TTCAATGGACAATAATACAAACAAGACAAGAAAAAACGAAAGAATTGGGGCCATATGTTGAGGTCAACGGAAAAAAGGATGGTATATCCTTGTATCGGTAATGTTCATTGCAATAACAACAACTAAAATATTTTTCCAAATAAACCATCATCCAATATAGATGATGATCATGATCATGGATGATTATCATGATGATGTAGTTCCGAAGGACAATCATCATCAATATGGTCACAATAACAGAAAAAGAGAGAGAGAAAAATGATAATATTAATTGAATAAATCAAACATAGACAACTAAATAAAAAACCAAGGTTTCGACCTTTACCGATATTTGATGTTACACATGAACATAATATCAAAATAATGTTGTTGGCTTTATATTAATTGAAATTCATTATAAACAATTCATTTTTGTTTCCTTATTGTGGATATCAATTATTTGATTTTTTTTGAGGGAAAAATCAACAACACACACGCACATACACATGCACAAACGCCCCATATGTACATTTATATATTTTTGATTGAAGGAAATTCAGAAATGTATTTTCATTATAAACACATAGATGCAACAGACGACTAAATCATACATGATGATGATACAAGACTAAATCAAGCTACTGGAACATCACAAGTGTGTGTGTGTGTGTGATTGTTCCGTGTCTGTTCCATTAGCTCGGAGGCCGAAGATTATTATTATTCATTACTCCATTCATTGTTTTGTCATGATGTATTGATAATGGAAACAACGGATACATACACACACACAATATCCGATATAAATAAAAATTAAAGAAAAAGCAAAATGGATATAACATCCACGTATTTTCAATGTATTATTATTATTACTCACCATCAATTTGTTCCGGTTAAATTATCGTGTATATCAAACAAATGATGATGAGATCGGAAACAAATAGATATATCAACAGAATAGTAAATATGTTATGTATTTCCGGTCAATTATATATATTTTTTTTTAAATCACAATATAGATGAACTTTGGCCGGTTATAAAATTATTATTCAGGATACGGCCAATACAGTTGGATGTTGATGTCGTTCTTGTTTTTGTTGTTGTCGTTGACAATAATGTTTATGATCCAACATTATCATCATTAATAATAATAATGATGAATGAGACGTACAATTATCAATGCTAATTTCCATCATCATCATCATCATCATGACAATGATCTATTCATCAGAAAATTTTTATGCTAGATTGTTCAATTCAATTTTTAAAAAATTTTTCTTGTTGTTGTTGTAACACATTGACACATCAGATTAACATCAAAAAAATAAAAAATATTTTGTCAATTGTTCGATGCTAAAATATATAATATTGATGTCAATGATGATGATAATATTTTGTTGTTAACTATATAATATAATGGAACAAATGATGAAATTTTTATGTATCATTTCAAATATGCAAATCGAAAATACTGGAGACAAACATCATATCGTACACAAAAAAAAAAAAAAATGAATTGATCCAGATTTTTTCTTCATATATGAATGGACAATATTCAAACGTTTCGAAAAAAGTATGACCGATTTGTAAAAATCGTAAATCGATTATTACTTAAATCTAATGATGATGATGATCTCAATTTGCTCTCGAGTATAAAAAAAACAGAGATGAAAAGCTCAAATTTTTTAAGATAGATGAAAATAATCAGGTAGAGATTTGTTGTTGTTGTTGTCTAATGAATTGAAAGATGAAAATTAATCCGGATATTATAATTGTTACGAGCGATGATATTCGAATTGTCGTTACAATGACTAGGAATCAATATTGATGATGAATTGTTACACAATTGACGATCGACAAAAAAAAACTAAAAATAGCTTGAAGAAAAAACAACAAATTAAATTGTTTATTTCACAAAGAGAGATAAAATCAATCAATTTTTAAAAATAAATCATTGAAAGTCGATTTTATGGTTTTTTGTTGGTTGATGATGGATCATTTTGTTGTTGTTGTTGTTGTTTACAGTGAATAAATCCAAAGATGAAAAAGAGATGATGGATTATTTGATTATCATCATCCGATTTATATACCAACCCTAGTACACACAAACACAGCGAGTGGATAACTACGAATGATTTTTTTGTTTGTTTGTTTAACACAACACTACAATTTGGATTTAGATTCACAACATTTAAATTACGACATAATAATAATCGTCGTCGTAGTTGTTGAATAAAGAATGAATGAACCTGATGACTACTACTGATACACACTATTGTTGTCAAAGGATTTTGATCTCAACAACAACGATATAAACCGAATGAATGATGAATATATCACGTAAACATACACATACACTCAGATTTCATTGAATAAAATGAATCAAAAATTCAAAAAGAAAAAAATTCGGTAGCAGGGTGAATATACATGTGTGGATGGTGAATAAATTTAATTTTGGATTAAGGAACTAAAAATTTTTTTTTTCACTGCATCATACATATACACCAAGATACACCCAACACACATGGACGTTTAGAAGATAACTACACACAATTCACAAACTGAATGATCAGAATCGAAATGGATTTTTTTCTGGTTTCGCTTTTTTCTTTCTTCCTATTTTCATACAACAATAATGAAATGATTTATATATTGGATCATATAATCAGAACAAACACACGAAATCAAAGGGGTAATCGATGGGGCTGTATTATTTCTTTTTTGTTGTTGTTGTTGTTGTTGAAAATCACAATACACACACACATGAGACAGAGAGATCAATGGTTTAGAATCAGGTTCATAAAACAAAAATAGAAAAACGATGAACGTCGACGCCAAAACAGTGGAAATGAAGCTTTTTTTTGTTGAAGACGACGACGACCGATAGACGACGACCGACGACGTTGCCGATCATGCAGATGTAGTTGGATTTTTTCTTTTTTTTTTTTTTTTTTTTGATTATCATCAATATCTAGGTAGTGGTATAAAACTTCGTGTTTGTTTTTTTTTTGGTGCAGCATAAAAACCAAATTTTATTCAATAAGTTTTTGTTGGAAACCACGAAGACAACAACAACAACAAACAATGATGATGATGATGATGATGAAATGGAAACGACCAAAAACGAACAAAACTAACAAACGACCACCATTCGAATATTGACAAAAACATTCGAATCGTAGAAGCATAAAAATAAATGAACACTAGGCCACATACGTCGTCCTTCTCACAGTATATCATCAACATCCTTGCTTGTTTAACATTTTATTCATTTACTTTTGCTGCTATCATTTTTTAAATCTTTGTTTTCTCACTCTGTCTCTATTCTATTCTCTTTTTAAATCGTCTGTTTTGTTTTTTGTTTCTGTTACACAAATTATTATATTATATATATACCTGCTACAGAAGAAGAATAAAGAGGAGGAGAAGGACACAAAAACAAAATTTGCACATGCTCCGTTTCAAAAAAAACTTGTCAATTTATACTCTCAATTTACTGGTCTTCGACCTGGTTCTTCATTTAATTCATTCAATTGTTAATCACATCATATAACAAAACGTTATATCCGTTTTCAATACATTGAATACATACCACTATCTTTCTCTTGCATAATCATTGTCGGGTTTTTTTTCCTGGAGGTTGCCCGGTTGTTCAATCGATGATGATGATGATGATGATGATATCCTTTACACACACACACACACACATTATTAGTTTCCAACCAGTTTTTTCCTTCCTTTTTTTTCACCATCCCAAATCCCATCCCTCATCATCATCATCATCACCCACAATCGTTGTCATGGTGTGTCATTATTGATAATCATTCCATTCCATATGGTTATTTCATTTAATCATCATCGTTGATGATGAAGTTAGTTGTCTCATTAACTTGATGATGATAATGGTGAAAATCAAAGTTCTGGTAAATTTACTTCCGCTTTTAGTTTTCACACACATTCAAAGAACAACGAACCCAATCGCCGAACCAACCGGATGTGAACGAACTCTTTCTCTCTCTCTGTTTATGTCTATCATATTCGATTACGGCTGTCATTCTTGTCACCCCTTTATTCACTCTCATTCAATTAACATTATCCATACATAAAGACAATTACAGCCAATAGGACGACAGGTGCATGAACGGACGATCACCTCAAAAAATAATAATAAAAAAGCCACAAGACCAATCAACTCTATCATCATTTGATAACACATAGCTAAAATTTCATTACATCATTTACTAACATCAATGATATGTGTGTGTGGTTTGTGTTTGATCCATTCTTTTTTTTGCCAGAAAAGGTTTTAATATCATTGTCATCATCATTTGGATCATATTGATAATTGTGGGTATCAATATGACATCAATAGTTGTATCATGGATACATTATATCATTTTTTTTTGATACAAGTCATAAATTTGATAGGATTTATAGTAAAAACCTGTAACCAGGAAGAATCTCATCTACCAGTACATCCAAGCATTATTTTCCCAAGTAAAAAGCATCAACCATAGACGCTTGCTATCCAGATTATACAATTATGATGATTTTTCTTTGAATCATAATCGAGACACACCCATGATGAATCAAAAAAGGAATTACACTGCTATACAAGCACACACACACACACACACAATAGATCACTGAGACCCAGAATTTTGTTGTTGCTATTGATCCAAAAAAAAAAAAAAAATTCTCTTCCGTATTTCGCATCCACACACACACACACACACAATGACCTCTATACAAGAATCGGAAATTTATAAATGAAAAAAAATGAACAACTGCTGCAACCGTCCAAATTCTATATACAATAAATGGATTTTTTATAGTTGGAAATCCGATAGTTTTCTTTCACTCTTTCGATGGCGGGTAAAATTTTTTTATTTATTATTCAACTTGAGCACTAGTTCTGTCATCTGATGTTTGGAATTTCAATTATAACGAACTGGTTTTTTCATGGTACGTCCTTTTTGACGGTGACCATGAAATTCGTGATTTTGTGTCAAAATAATTTTTTTTTTTGCAAATGGTATTATTTTTAATTTGATGATTGATGAATATTGGAATAATTTGGAAAACACCTCTTTTTTGGTTTTTGATAATTCTTTAAAATCAATAGTGAAAAGATAATAATATAATAATCTCATTCAGAATGGTATGTTCGATTTGATTATTTGTTTTATATTCATGTTTATTTTATAAATAATTTTTTTGTTGTTATTGAAAAAACAAACATTTAGCTCGTACTTGTAATCGGTGATTTTCATATTCCATTTCGTAAACATAGTTTACCAAGTAAATTTAAAAAACTTCTCATTCCTGGCCGTATCCAACATATTCTTTGTACGGGTAATCTTTGTACAAAAGAATGTTATGATTATCTAAAAACATTGGCAACCGATATTCATATTGTCAAAGGAGAATTAGATGATGTATGTCAAATTAAGTGTTCGTTTTAAGCTTAATTTTTTTTATTAAATTTAAACAGACAAATTATCCGGATAAAAAAGTGGTAACAATCGGTCAATTTAGTATCGGTCTTTGTCATGGTCATCAGATTGTACCATGGGGTGATGATGAAAGTTTAGCCATGATTCAACGTGAACTTGAAGTTGATATATTGATCACCGGTCATACACATAAATTCAATGCATTCGAAAAGGATGGAAAATTTTTCATTAATCCTGGATCAGCGACCGGTGCCTATTCGGCATTGGAAAATAATATCATTCCATCTTTTGTATTGATGGATATACAATCCACTACCGTTGTCAATTATGTTTATCAATTGATCGGTAATGAAGTTAAAGTGGAACGTACAGAATTTAAAAAAATTAACTAACAAAAAAAATCATGAATTATAAAATTTGAAATTCTGACTCATTATTATTACAAATAAATTTTATCCCAAAAAAAAACAGGAAAATGTTATCAATAAATTTCACTTGGATTTTGATTCTGATAAAATCATGTTTATTAATCAATCAAATAATTTCAAGTGATAACAAGCGAAAAAAAGATTCGTGAAACTGTGTGGGTTTCACACAAAAAGTTTGATGGCGAATTCACAAATTTGTTTTTTAAATTGTTTCCAGTGTAATCATTAGTTTTCAGGTAAAATTCTGATTCTAAGCTAATCCACGTTTTTTCATCTCTTCCAATAATGATGAACCCATCTGTGCCGGTGATCTTGTCACACGTACACCGGCACTTTCTAATGCATCAATCTTATCCTGTGCACCACCTTTACCACCGGCGATAATTGCTCCAGCATGACCCATACGTCGTCCAGGCGGTGCTGTTAAACCGGCAATAAATGATACAACGGGTTTACCATTAGGTCCGGAATTATTATTTTTCAGATATTCTGCTGCTAATTCTTCAGCGTTACCACCAATTTCACCGATCAAAATGATTCCTAAAAAAAAATTTTATTGTCGATTGTCTCTAAAAATTAATAACAACGAACCTTTGGTTTCTGGATCGTTTAAGAAAATTTCCAGACAATCAATAAAATCTGTCCCATTGAATGGATCACCACCGATACCAACACAAAGTGATTGACCAAGACCAACTTCGGTTGTTTGATGTACAGCCTCATAGGTTAATGTACCAGATCTTGATACAATACCAATCTTCCCCGGTGTATGAATATGACCAGGCATTATACCGATTTTACATTCACCCGGTTTAATAATACCCGGACAATTTGGACCAATTAAACGAGATTTATCTTGTCTAACTAAACGATGTTTAACTTTAACCATATCCAATTGAGGAATGCCTTCGGTAATGCATACGATTAAAGGTATTTCAGCATCTAATGCTTCCATTATAGCGGATGCAGCTCCAGGTGCAGGAACATAGATGACTGTTGCATCGGCACCTGTTTTATCACGTGCCTAATTTATTATCAAAAATAAAAATTCAATTAAAAATTTTAAAATCCAAAAAGTCAATACATACTTCTTTAACCGTTTTGAATACGGGTAAATCTAGATGAATTTGACCAGCTTTACTTGGCGATACACCACCAACCATTTTAGTTCCATATTCAATAGCTTGTTTTGAATGAAATGTGCCTTGTTTACCGGTAAAACCTTGACATATAACTTTTGTATGTGAACCAATTTTCAATGCATTACGTGTGGATGTATAATCATTACGTATAATCTGATGATTAATATATGAATTTGTTTTGATTGATGTTAATCTTGACACTGAATAAATAAATTAATAAATAAAAATCAATCGTCAATCGATCAATATTAAGAATGTACCCGTTATATAGATCAAATTTACCTGACAATTGTCGAAGAATATTATTCACTTGTATGACCATTTTTTCGATTTAATTCAATTATTATCAGCGTGTGTGCGTGTAATAAACAAAAACAAATCAAACTCAAAATAGGGCAGTATTTTATCAGATTATTATAGCAAACACATATATATTTTGCCCGTGAATTATCAATTATCAATGATGATTGTAAATGAATGTCTCATAGAAACAGAAAAAATTCAACACCAAATTCGCAAACAAATAGCAGTATAGTATAATATATAAGGAGGAGGTCGAACTTCTAAGTCGTTTTGATTATTATTTTACCACCAACCACCACCATCACATAAACAAATGGCAAAAATTATCTTCGTTTATAATAATCAAAATATCACTTGGATGCATTTGTACTTGCATATAAAAAAATGGATAAAAAAATTATCTTTTTCTCACATTGATCAATGATGATTCTTCACTCTGATGAATACAGCTGTATTATATTTTATTGCGATTGCGTGATTTGATCACATTATCGCTCAAATATCACGTTGATTTTTCTTGTATACAGCGATGATGCCATAAATCCTACCGAATAATCTCGATAATTTGATCCAATTTCCAAAACGGTAGGTGGTTTTAAAAACAATGTTCCACAAAAAAAATGAATCTAATTCGGATGATTTCGAAACATTTGATTTCCTAGTCCCGTATATAAACAATACATTCGATTTGAATATGATTTCTACCACAATGGCAACAATCGATGAAATTTTTTAATCAATTAATTTATTTCATTTATTCTGTGAATTTTAATTAAAATTTAAAATTTTCATCAATATTGAAAATCAATCATCATCATCAATCAAATCATCATCAAACATATTAATCCGGTAAAAATCTCACCAAGTAACGTAGTGTTTGAATGATTTTCAAAAAAGGTGGATCCAGATTAATGTTAAAATTTAAAGTTAAAACTTGTCTCTTCTTTAAGCCAAACTACTACCAAACAACATACACGCATTATATTTTGTTGGTTTGATAGCCGTTGAAGCAGCGCCAAAATTTTCTGGTTTTTTTTCGTAATGTTCACTTTTTTACCGCGATTAAATGAACACACTGGGTCCACAATCATTCATTTCACGTATGCCAGACATTGAATTGTTGGATGATCGATTTGATCAAAATTTAATTTTTTTTTGTCATCATCGTCGTCGTCATTGATTGTTGATTGTTGTTGTTGTTGTTGATTATATGGTGGTGTGATCATCGACAATCACCATTTTCGAATATAAATTTTCTACGGCCACATTTTCATTTTGAAATCCTTATTGTTTCTGAATCAAAAGCGATTCAAACAACAAAATGGATGAATCACTGATGAGTATCGAATTGAATCAAAGTAATGATGATCATTTTGATGACGATGAATTCATACAAGAAACATTGAATTTTTCAATGAATCAAAATTCATCAATTTCGGAATTTAAAATTCCATCACCTGTATCCGAATTGATCAATAATGAAATCACAACGACGGCGACCACCACCACCGTAACATTACCAAAATGTCGTCTAGATTTTAATGTATCCGATACGGAAACACCTAGAAATAGTTTGAATGTTGTACGTAATCGAAAACGTACAAATTTTTCTCGTCGTTGTCTTTCCACAGATTTAAATAGCGGCGATCATTATGAGGTTTGTTTATTGATTTCAATGATGATGTCACTATTTATGATTATCATTTTTTTCCACAGACAGATCAAATGTCTTTTCAGGAATTTCGTTTCTCCAACCAAACTTCAAATGATTTTAAAAGTCCATTAATATTATCATCGATTGAGAATAAAATATCACCACGTACAACGCCTAAACATTTTTCTCATCAGCAACATATGACATTGGAATTGACACCAGAATTTAATAATACGAAACAATTATCATCGTCTTTGAAACCATTTGATGAGAATGATATAATACCGAAAGCTAAATGTATGAAATCTTCATTAACAAATGCAGTAAAGTGCGGTGGTGGTGGTCCATCAAATGTACCGTTACAAAAATATTTTAGCGAAAATCATGCATCAATTATGCGTGCCGTACAAAGATCATCAGATGATTCATCATTAATCGGTGATTTTAGCCGTACATATGCGCTACCATTGATGACCAATTCAAAACATCAAGATCTTCGTTCAATTACATGTCATGTATTAGCAGAACTAATGCAGAATCAACGATATTCACATCAAATACGTTCATTTACAATAATTGATTGCCGTTATCCATATGAATATGATGGTGGTCATATACAAATGGCGATTAATCTTTATACACAGGAACAAATATTAAATCGTTTTATTAAAACAAAACCAAAAGAAGCTGGTAGCAAAGATAGTAGCAATGATGAGGATGATGATGATGATAAAACTGCCAATGATAAACGTGATATATTAATATTTCATTGTGAATTCTCATCGGAACGTGGTCCAAGCTTGTAAGTTTGTCTGTCTGTTCACTTTACCTGAATGAAATTTTTAATCAATTTGTAGATGCCGTTTTCTTCGTAACAATGATCGTGTAAAAAATAGCCGTGTATATCCTAAACTACATTATCCAGAAATCTATCTACTTGATGGTGGTTATAAGGAATTTTTTCAACATTATTCGGTTTGTATTTTTGTTTTCGTTTTGAATAATAATAATAATAATAACTTTGATTCTGTTACAAATTAATCCTATTGTAGCATCTATGTGAACCATGTGCCTATAAGCCTATGCATTCAAAAAATCACGAAGAAGATTTGAAAAAATTTCGTACAATTTGTAAAAGTTTAGATTATAAATATTCAACACGAAAACGAAATCTACGTCTTTAAGTGGATTATTATTATATTTTTTTTCACTTGCATTGATCTTATTCATCCAAATTCAACTTTACCAATACGCTACTTATTTAATAACAAGCGACAGTGGAGAAAAAAAACTAAAACTTTCACAAAACCCACCGCCATATATACAAACTAGCAGTACAAGAAAAAATATTCTTATATTGAATTCAATGATTCATTCATCCACTTCTTCATCATCTTAATTTATAAATTTGATTATGTTCATTTCTTTTTTTTTTGATTCTCATTCATTCATTTTTACATATCATTTTTTAAATTTTTTTTGTGATTCTTCAACCAATCGATGATTGATTGGAAGAAATTTTTTCAACATTTTGTTTTTTGGCTATAATTTTCTAAAATATTTCAACATTTTTTTTTTGACCATTGACTTAATCATTCTTTACAAAAAAAAAGTTTTCAAAGTATTTATTTTTTTTGATTGATTTGTGAAGCAATATATCTTAATAAAGATGATAAGTGGAAAAAAATTCAACCATTATTTACAACAAAAAAAAATTGAGTTTCAATCATATTGAATTGGAAAAAAATTTCGAGTGAAAAAAAAAATATTCAACAAAAACAAAATGAAAAATATTTCAATATTTGATCGATTGTCGATGATGATGATGATCAATAAAGCATGATTAAACCTTCTGGATGTTTATCATTTCGATTTGATCGTCGATCTTTACTACAACGACGGCGACTACGGCCACAATTCGATCGCTGTGTAACGTTGTCGATCATTGTCGTACCATAATAAATGATGAATATGTTGAATAAATGAAGTGCAAGAGCGATGATAACGACATAATAGCTAAAACTTAACGATGTACGATTCAATGATGTCCAACCATCCTGTTGTTCATCATCGGTCATAACATTTTTGATTAATCTGGTTTGATATTGTATTAGCCACGTGATTGCTGCACATGTACAGAATAAACCTGTGTATGAAAAAAAACCGGTCAAATATATAGGTAAAATGGATATAAAAAAAAGAATATCAAAACAATGATTAATCTTTAGAATTCGTGTGAAAGGTTTGATTTATGATGATCTATGATCTACCGTTGATTTTATAGATCGATTGATATGTCAAACAAGGAGATTTTTCATCATCATTAAACATCCCCACACATACGAACTTACTTGCTAATGCATTCCATAGATATAAACCTTGTACGCCCGTAATGGCTTCGATAGGAGTCATCACTGTATTTATAATGGAAAATATGGCAGCAACCAGACCGAATATCATGGCAATCGAAACGGATAGTATGGTCAATAGCCATAGAGCAAATGACATTAGATTTGGATTACGTAACATTTCTTGTTTTACTGTGCAAACGAAAAAAAAAATGAAAAAAATAATTAGCAAGAACAACAACAATACCGTTTTCACTTAATCTAATCGATTCATCTTCAAAATGAAAATTATAATAATGAGATATATTTTATATTTGAACAAAACGTCATTGTTCTCTATTTAGAGTGAAAAAAAATCCCAACACATATTGTAATGATTCATTTGTTCTGCAGTAATCATCATTATAAAATTTGAATTTTGATAAAAAAAGTTTTCATTCAATGAGGATGATGATATACAAATGTTCGTGATCATTGAAACCATATTCGATGATTATGGCAATTATTATAATCGATCGATAATGATACGCAATGAGATGAACCAAACGAATGACTTTATCAGAATGATGAAACATCATGATCAAGACATGATTGTTATTATTATCTGTAGTCATGACTTTGGCCACCACACTCTGGACTCTGATTGATATACAAATGATCATACTTACACCAAATAATTGTTGTACGATCACCTAGGCCATAGTTGAGTACCTTTGTGCCTTGAAATAGACCAAAATAAACAAAACCACGAAATTTTTTCGGTAATTCAATCTCAGTATGTTCATCATAATCATTTAGTTGAAATATTGTTGATGAATTAAGTGAAATTAAACGTATTGGACGAGCTATAATCCAACGATGTGTAGCCAATGATAATGTTAATAAAGCAAGACATGATGTGCATATGAAAAATGTTATAAATATGTAAATACGTTTACGTTGTTCCATTCTGGAAATAATAATAATATATTCGATCATTCGATGGTTTGATGGTGACGATGATCATCAGAATCATCATCATCATACCAGAGATCAACACCATCTCATCATCATTTTCATTGATTGATAATGTTCATTTTCTGTTTTGATTGAATTATTAAATTTGAATTTTTTTTTTAATTAGAAATTATAAACAATCACAATTCACAAACACAGAATCAAAAAAAATTTCACATATAACGTTCGAATTGATTCATTCGAATTTTTGAAATGATTTCATCGAATAATTTTGTTCCATCACCATCATTATATTAACATCAAAGTCATCATTGTATTTTGGCCATCTTGATGTTTATCATTGTCTTTGTCTTTGCATTTGTCGTAGTTTTTATTACATACACACGAACACACACACACACATTATATACAATCAACTTGGCCAGGTGTTTGTGTGCAACAAGTATATCAATTATATTATATTATATACGAAATAAAACAACAACAACAACAAAAATATTTTGTCAGTAGCAGATGTGATATGTTTTTTTTCAACAGGAAAAAAATAAAATAAAATTATACGGCCCAAAACATATACGTATGTGAATAAGTTGGATATATATCTATGATGATCATTGGACAACAACAACCTGGTCAACACCAACCATCAACTTCAATTCAATGCACAAACACCGACAAACGTTTCATTTCATTTAATAATGCTAACAAAATTCAATTGAAATTGCACCCACCACCACCACCACCACCATAATCGTCATCACCATAGAAAACAAACTTTAAAAATAAATGAATGAATGATCAAATAGAAAAAGAATGAATTCCATTCTCTCAAGTTGGATCTCAGGTTAGTTGGTTGGTTGGTATTTTTTTTCCTCTTCTCTTCACACTCATCATCATCAAACTAGATATTCAGCTTGTTTCTTTTGTTGTTGTTGTTCGGGCCACGGATTTTCATACATTCATTCACTTCGATATGAATTTTTTTTTCTACTCATCATCATCATCATCATCATTGTTTGAAAGAGTAAGATCTTTGTATATGAATAAGAGTAGTATGATCTGCCCTTTTTTCCACACTGTATGCACCATGATGATGATCACGAAAAAAAATTATAACAAATATATAATGAATGAATGAATAATAAAGGTAAAAATTGTAGAAGAAAAAAGAATTGTAGACTTTCACATTGAATATGAATAGATGGTTGGTTGGTTGGTTGGCTAGTTGGTTGGATGGTCGTGCTCAATTGCTGCCATACAAACATTTTGTATTTCCATTGATATCTAATTCAATGTCCTGTGACCAAAAAATAAAAATAAAAATGTCAATTGTATATAACACCAATTCTTTTCTGTTGTTGTCATTGGTAGATTTTTTTTTTGTTGCAAAAGAGGTAATACTTTTCAAAGAAGAAAAAACTTTCTGAATATAGATAATTATGATGATTAAGGGTAAGGCGTGATCATAATGATAATTATATTATCTAATAATCATAATGATTATTATTACTCTAGCTCTACTGTTTATTGTTGTCAACATAAATATATATTTTTAAATTTGATAAATGAAATAGTTTACCTTTTTGAAATTATCGAATTTTTATTCTTGAATTATTTTTTTCTATTGAAATAATTAACACTTTAAAAAAACATAATTATAATTATAATTCAATCGCGTTGTTTATCGATTGATTTATTTGAATGAATTGACAGAAAAATTTCAGTTCATTGTATTTTTTTTCATCAATTGTTTTGAACTATTGACCAAAAATTATGGACATTTATCATCATCATTATCATCACCAACATCATCGTGATCATCATCAACAATAAAGACAGCTGACCATGATCATCATGATCATTTTTTATATTTATTTTCGATTTCGATTCATTTTTGATGAGAATCATCATTTTGAAAAAAAAAATTTATCAATATAAAGTATCATGGCCACTAGATGGCATTCTATGAGAATTGGATTTTTATTTTTAAAATTCGAAACGTTTAATTTTTCATTGTAAAAAAAAGTGGATTCATATGAAATGGTTTTTTAATTAATAATTATCTAATTAATGAATAACGGTGTGAAATGTGAGAAATTTTTTCCTTTAAAAATATATGAATGGAATCTATTAATTAATTGGAAAATTGGTTGCATCGAAACCATTCATAGATGGTAATTGTGATTGTGTAATAAAAGGTTTTTGATAAGGTCGAACCTTTTCCCATCCGAATGACGATAATGATGATGTTGCTGATTGTCGTCCTCGTCGAATTGGCGGTAATTGGCCAAGATATTCATACAATCTGGATGAATCATGTGTCCATTTATAATCCAATCGTCCTTCATCGAGTACACTATTCGTACTCATAAAATAATCATCATAATAATCACTACTATATTTTGCATTAGGTGTATCCGATGTTAACACTGCAATCAAACAACAAATTAACAATGACAAAGCAATGGCAAAGCTAATAACTATAGAACTTTCTGTACGTGATGACCACCAACATTGGATGCTTTCATGACTATAACCTCGTGGATTACAAATCGGATCAAACATTTGTTTCGTTCGTTGTGAGAGTAATATAGCGTATTTTTGATGACATTTACTAGCCACTATAATTTCACACGATAATTGTAACCATGCAAAACAACAAAATTTTCGTGATGGATAAAACTGTTTTATGAAAAAAAAAAAAAAAAAATATTAATTGACCATCGAAAGTGCAATAGCGATATAATCTTACATATTCATCAATGGAAATTGACCATTCATCACGAGCATAAAGTTCACATCCATTGAATTCTTTTCGTACATGATCAGGACAATTTAAACGAACAGGTAGGCCATATAATGGTTTATATGGAAATCTTATCATAGTATCACTGGTCACGTTGTTACCATTATGTATAATAATTGGCCTTTTAGTAAATGCAAAACAAACGAATGTTAACAAAAATGATAACAGTATTAACATTCTGGCATTGGATATATGGAATAAGAATTTACAGAAATTTATATATCTGTTGATTGGAAAAAATTAATTTTCACTAAACTGCTACGATCAAACAATCAATAATGGAAAACAATCGAAATACATTAATAACCTATAGTTATAGAAAAATTGAAAATTAATTTTATTCTCAACAAATTTTATTGTTGTTGTTGTGGATTAAACATCTATTTATTTTCATTGAAATTTATTTTCACTTATAGAGACAAAAAGATCCAGAAGAATAATTCAACGCCCACATTTTGTTTTTCCCATTTTTTCCACTTTTTTTCGTGTTGTTGCTATGGTGTATTTGGATTATATTCACTGTGCGTGTGTGTGTGTGTGGAATTCAGAATTTCAATTTTTTTTTATTTCCATCATTCTTAATCTTTTATTATCGTTAAAAATTTTCTATGTTTGTTCTATGTTTGTTATCTTCGTCATCATCATTAGTCGTGTTTTTAGATTTATAACAGCAAAAAAAAAGTTTATAATAGAATTTGCTTGTTTTACATACACACAATCAACATAATGATGATCTTATTTAATCAAAAAAAAAAAAAAAATTTTTGTTTTGTTTTGTTTCTTGATCATCCGAATCAATATGATTCATCAAATAAACTTCTCACAAACAAATCTCAAAGATAAACTCATCATATATGATTTTTTCCAATTTAAAAGAATAAAATAGTTTTAAACAACAAATTGGTCCTGGTATGGCAAAAAATAATTGGAGAATATATCAACAAACAAACAAACAAACGTTTATAATAACTAGAATCATATTATCAAAAAAAAAATAAGAAAAGTTTTTCGTTTCAAATTTCAAGTTTTATTTTTCATTTTTATCAGAAATATATAAAACATTATCGAAATAACGGCAATCTATCCAAAAATAAAATAAAATAGTAGTGTTGTATGAATGTTATCGGTATCTTATGATAAATCCTGTGAAGAATTTTTTTTATAATTTTTGAATGAAATTGATTTTCCACTTTTGCATCTGTATGCGTCAATTCTTCTCACGGTTGTTGTTGTCTCTCTCTTAGGTTCGACAAATGCACACCATACAGATTTACAGCCATAAAGAAACCAAAGAAAAAAAAATTCTGGAATTTTTTTTTCTTTTTGTTATCATCACCGATTCTGGTTGTTGCTTGTTTTTGTTGTTTACATACGCATATACATCTATTGTCATTGTTATGTAAAATTTTGATGATGGTGATGGAAATGAAGGGGATGTAAATTTTGAATTTCAAAGAAAATTCTTGAATGCAATCAGAAAATTACTGTTGTTGTTGTTGTTGTTGTTAAAGAGTAGTGTGTGTGTGTTTATGAATAGAAATTCAAGAATTTAACTCAACAACAAGGGAATTTTATTTTTTTTATTTTTTTGAAACTTGTGAATTTCTGGTAAATATTTTTTTCGGGAATTTTATATTTTTAGAAATTTGGAAAAAAAACTCGGAATCTATATCGACCATATGTCTATGTGTGTGTGAATACAATGGTAATCAGGGAAAAAAAATTTCAAATTATAAAATTTGAAACTTTTTTCCCTTTTTTCATCACCATCGTTACTATTATCATGTCGTTTTTCCACAGTTACGCACATCCTTTGCCCTTTTCTGGTTTTTCTTTTTATCCAATTTTCATTTCCAAATCATTTTTTTCGGTTCGATTTTTTTTTTCATTAATAATAATAATGATAATATATATGAATATAATGATTTTTCGAAGAAAAAACGAAGAGTTGAAATCAACCAAGTGGAAAAATGAACAAAATGAATTAGAATACTCAACAAACAAAACTGACATGACGGCAGCCGTAGCTGGTTGGTCCGGTTATTTGGTCTATTCAATAACCACCATCAAAACAAAAAAGAGAAACCAGAATTACAAAATAGCTGCCAGAAAAAAGGGCCTAAAGGTTTTTTTTCGCAATTAAATTCATTCAATGAATTGTTCCAACCAATGATGACTATGACAATCACGACGAGTAAATGAAATTGAGAAAAAAAAAGAAACCTTGAGATCATCATAATAATAGAACAAAGGAAACAAAAACAACAACAATATTGACACCGTTTTTATTTGTTTCTGGTTTTTTTTGGGTCCATTTTCATTTTACCATCAACCCAATATATGATATGGCCCATTATTATTAATTTCGTGTTTTCACTAGAATTCATCAACAGAATCTATCATCATCTATTCAATCATTTATTATGGTGATCCATCACACACACACATATATATACGGCCGGACAATTACTACGGTTAACATATAAAGATCTAATGACCAACCAACCGTATACAACTCTCTATCCTGTTCTGTTGGATTCTCTGTGCTCGAGTGTTATATGAAAACAGAACACAGAATCCATTGTATTTTTCTTTTCCTCTCGATTTTAGTTTAACATGAAGTTCCGGTATTTTTTTTCCTATTTCTCGGTTCATCGATTTTTGTTTCAATTCATTCATTCATTCCGTTCATTTTTATCGAAGGTAATTTTTTCAGGTTTTTTTCAGTATTTTTCTTCGGTCATTTTTTTCCAAAACATTCATAAATTACTCATTTATCGAAAAAGAGAATACAAAGTCAAAATCCAACAAAAAAAAATGGGCGTTCCATTGGGAAAATTCCGTTTCTCACTCTCTCTATCTCTCGAGTGGATTCTTTCTCATAGGACCATTTTTTGATATTCTATTCCACTTCGGCTACTCCATGTTTTGGACTTTTTTTTTCTCGCTGGTTTCATACACAGAAAGATATATATACCGTAAACGCAATGAAAACCATATCGATTACGAATGTTTTTATTTTTGATATATTCCAATGGATCCTTTCGAACTATGCGCGCTTTTTATTGAAATTTTTCACACGCATGTGCAATACTTCTTCTCAAAAAAAAAAAACTAAAAATTAAGAAAGAGGAGGAGGATACTGATCAAACATAGAACCGGAGTACCGTTTTTTACATCAAAAAAAAAAAAAAAAAAAATGAAGAGTGAGTAGCAGCATGACGACGTTGATAATAAACGGATTTTTATTTCTCCAAATAGAATACCTCTCAATATTGAGAAAGAGAATCATCATCATTTGAGAGAAAAAGATATGGAGAGAGCTGCTCAACAAACAAGCAAGATATTATATAGCTTTTCCAAGAAAAAAAAGAAGCAAAAAAAACTGAAACCATCTTTGACATGATCATTGAAAACTAACAAACAAACAAACAAACCAACCAACCAACCAACCGCCACCACGACCATCGTCGTCATCAAACGAATATTTTGGAATGTGTTTGATAGCGGTGTGTAGCGATATAGCAAGCACCAAATGTGTGGCCAAAGTTTTATTTCATATGTTTGTGTGTGTATATCTTTCTGCTAGGGACTTACTAAGTTCAACTTTGGTCAACAAATGATCTTGGGTTACGCACCAGATATGCTCTACCAGATCTATATATCTAATATCTATAGATTTCAGAAATTTTAATCAATGCTACTACCACCACCACCATCATCATCATCATCATCATGGATTGTATATTGATGACAACACCGACACCCACTTAAAAAAGTGTGTGTTTGCAGCTAGCACTCTCGAAAAATTCTGATTAATTTTTCGTATTGAGCTCTATGGATCCATAGTGATCATCACCATCATCATCATCATCATTACACCAATGATCATCAAATTCAGTTTATTATCATAACCAATGATGATCATTATTGATCATTAATTGAATGAATATTAATAATCAAAAATGAATTGATCAAGTTTCGGTTTTTCTTTCTTTTTTGGATTGTTTCATCGAACAACAATTATTAACGAAAACATTATTCTGGTGTGTGTATTGCTCATATTTGATTCCAAACAGAAACAAAAACAAAAGATCCAATCATCATCATCATCAAAATCATCTATTTCATCAATCACATACACACCTTTTTGTGTTGACGTTAATCTGGATTGATATCTAAAACACATACACACACCTAATCTTTTGATTATTATCATCATCAACAATAATCCCCACGATATCATCATCATCATCATTATTATCATCGAAAAGTGATAAGATACAAATTTCCAAAAAAATAAAAAAAAATTGTTCTTGTTTTTATTTTCAATCCAAAAAAAACAAACGATACGAGATCCAGTATTATTTATTTAATTTAATTTGAAAACGAATCCAACGATAACTAAATAATAACAATGAGATTCATAATAATCAATATGAAAATCATAATGATCATCAACATTATCATTGGCTGTTGGTTAGCCGGTCGAGCTTTTGCCTATGTTGAGGTATGTTTCTGTAATATTTATCATTGACCAATTTTATTTTATTTTTTTGTTTCCAAATTTGGAAACATAGAATTCGATTTAGTATGACTAGCTATAAGCTCTTTTATAGGTGTTTAATCATAAAAATCATCATTATTATAAATCATACCGGAATTAATATCAATTTATTCCACCGATTAATATTATAAAACAAGTAATAATTACTTTATGGTGTGGGTGTGAAAACTCGTCCTTGTCCGAAATCCATTCATTCAATGGTCATTCGTTTATCTGGAATATTCGTAACCAGTTATTCATTGACTGTGTATGTGTTTATATATCGTTGTAGCGTAACCAGAAATTTCCTATTAATTCAGATTGTCTAACTTTTTTTTCATTCATTTTCAAATATAAAATTGGCTTACTGACTGACTGATTGACTGACCATCATCATTGTGCAACATTCATTCATGCATTCAACATTGATTCGAATCGAATGATTGTGTCTGGTCTAATCTGGTTTTGTTTTTTTTCTTTTTGTTCTGTTGTTTGATGATTGAATCCGAATTTTCGCTATAATATATTCTTTGCTATAGATTTATATAAAAGTTCATTTGATATCTTGTCTGTTTGTTTATTTCATTTCAATTTCAATTGGCGTTTTATGTACAAAGTTTTAGTTTTTAACAATTCTCTTTCTCTTTCTCTATCTGCATGTGTATGTTTGTGTTTGCCTGATATTCATTCAAGTGTGTGTGTGTGTGTGTGTGTGTGTGTGTGTGTGTGTGTGTGTGTGTGTGTGTGTGTATTTAGTTTAAATTCAAATATTACATATACAAATGAATATTTGATCCAAAATGAAGATATATGCAATGATAGGCACAATTTTACTTTTGTTTGTTTGTTTATTTATTCATTTTTCAAATACACACATATATGTACAAAGTCATGTATGGTAATAATAATATCTAGGATCAATGTTGAATTTAATGAAAAAATGCATAAAAAAACCATGGACATGATGATGATGATGATGGTGGAACATTTTAGTAAGAAGGTTAGCAAGCAGCAATACGAAAAATGAATCTAATGTTTTTATCAATCTACTTTTCCTTATTTGTACAATTCATAATTCGTTATTGTTGTTGTTGTAGTTTTTTGTTTGTTGTTGTTGTTTTAAGTGAAGAAAAAACAACTTTTTTAATTTTGTATGCAATGTTGCCATTTCTGTATATATATATGATATAAGTGTGTTGTACGGCATTTTTCCATTTTCATCATTATATCGCCCACGTTTTTTAACTGATGATGATGTTCATTTTCCACCACCACATGATTATCATCAGCTCTGTTTTTTTTTTTTGTGTGTGTGTGTGTGGTTATCATCATCGTCGTTGTTGTTGGTTGTTGAATATTAATTTGTGTCCACAGTTGGAAACAAAACATGTTTTTGTGTCGATGTCAATAATGACCAAAAATAGTATGAATATCATCATTGTCGCTCGTTCGTGCATGCCTTCATTCTTTAGGTTTTTTTTTGTCAGTTCTTACGGAATTCAAATTTGTTTGTTTGCTGGAAACATTTAAATAACCTTGTTTTTTTTAAATGTTTGACCCTTTAGTTGTATTGTATGATGTTAAATCATGTTGTCTAGTTCGTTGATCTATGCCCCTGATAAAAAATATCCTAGCCTAGTAATTTCAATGTTTGACCAGATAAAATGAAATGAATAGTAAAAAAGAAACACCTGGTGTTCATTTGTATGTGTGTGTGTGTGTGTGTGTATGTGTTCCAAACCTGAATTTCTTTATACCGTTTATTCATTTAGTTATGAAAAAAATATCAAATTCAAAGAAAAAAAAATGGCAGCTGACAATCGAGAAAAGACCATCATGGTTATTTTTTAAATTGTATTTATAATAGTAGCCTCAAGGGTTATCTGATCTTCGTTGTTCATCTGTACATGTGTTGTGAATGGCACGCTGAATTTTAATCGATTTTTGTTTCTGGTTTTAGTTTTGTTTGGTTCAATGGATTTCGTCATTGTTTCAATTTAGTTGATGGTTTCCTTGGAAGTTTGTTTGTTTGAAATGATTTTGTATTGCACGTATTGTATGTTCTCGATTGTTTATTGTATTGTTTTTCTGTTTGATGAACATGTTGGAAATGAAACATAAGAATCGAATCAAATGAATGAATTGCATGTCCCAAATGAAATTTATTGTATTTTTTTTTCTTTTCATTCCTGAAAACAATTCTTCTTACTCTACATTAGAAACATATTAAGAATATATATCAACAATAATAAAAACCAGTTGAGAATTAGAAAAGAAAATTTGGAAATTGAAATGAACCAATTTTAATGATGATGATGATGATGATGATGACGTCTTTTTCACCCAAAAGGAATTTTTTCTTTGAGAGAAAGAGAAAATAATAAAATTTTATTCCAATAAATTTTTGTTGTTATTTTTGTATCCGGGACATTTCGACAATCGACGGCAACACGAAATTCAATGGAACTCAATTTGCGAAATGGATTTCTAGTTTTATTTATTATTGTTTTTTTTTTGATAAAGTTGTTGTATAAAAAAAATAAGTGAATATAGCCGATAGGCAGAAAATTGAAAACTCAAAATAAAATAAAAAAATGATGATGACAATATGTTAAATAGTTCTGTCTCTTTCTCTGGAATTCCAAGGATGATAAAGTCCAGACTTTGATATTACTTTCTCTCTCTCTCTCTCTCTCTCTCTCTCTCTCTCTCTCTCTCTCTCTCTCTCTCTCTCTCTCTCTCTCTCTCTCTCTCTCTCTCTCTCTCTCTCTCTCTCTCTCTCTCTCTCTCTCTCTCTCTCTCTCTCTCTCTATCTATTTTTGATTTTGTTGCTATTGTGTTGAACGAACAAAAATAGAATCACAACTATTAACGAGAAAATTCTGGAACAATATCAGAAAAAACACTAACAAGAGATAATAAATAATGATTATGATGATGATCAAAGTGAGTATGCAAACGAATCATAATAAATGAAACATAAAGAATATATATATATGTAAAATCAATCGAGAGAAAAAAGTTTTCTTTTTTTTTGAACACACACACACACGACAAACAAATAAACGATATAAATCAATCGAATAAAGCTAAACACATCATCAACAACGGCTACTGTGAAAGAAGAAAAGAATAAAAGGAAAAAAAACAATTCTATGAAAAGAAAAAAAATCACACACACACATATCCTTTCGTTATCATCATCATTATCATAAGTGGTGGTGGTTTGTTTTTTTTTGGTGTTTTTTTCCGAAATATAAAAAACTTGTCATCATCATGTGTGTATTATTACATTTAGTGTGGCCAAACATACACAATTATAATAATGATCTTGCGGCTTGAATCATGAATGATAAATGATGTTTAAACATTATTCTGTAGTATATTATATTCACTAAAATGTTTTATATAACGCTCCACTCTATTCATAATTATAATAATTTTTTTGGATTAAAAACAATTATCATCATCTTGAATCAAACCATCCTGAAATTAAAATTGGATTCGTTTTTATTCATCATATTATATTGATTTAAATGAGAATATATATTTTCAGCTTAATTAGATGTACGTTTTCATTCATCATTCATTATGTCTTGGTTATATTTTTTTATTTAGCCTTTTTGTTTGTCTTTGTCCATATTTTTTTTCATCATCAATTTTTTTTTTCTTGACCGAAAACAAATCCAAAACGAATGTATATGAATGACGTATTTTTGTATTCTGGATTCATATTCTGGAGACGACGTCGTTCTACGCGATGAAATGATGAATAGATTCATTCCATACGTTTCTTGTTTCATTTCAGATGGGAGCGGTGGTGGTGGTGGTGGATCACAGAAAAAACCAATTTTTCCGCTCTGAATCAAAAAAAAAAAAAAAAACAGAATCCCACCCCAATTCGAACTTGCCGAAATCAGTCAGAATGATTCTTTGACAACAAACTTTGGTGTGAGATAAAGTAATAGAAAAAAAAACTTTAGTGGTGGTAGTGTTTTTTTTTCTCTCTCTCTCTCTTTCTGAACCAGAACAAGGTTTTTTTCATACATTTATTCCATTGCTTGATGAACATATAATCAGAAATATGGAACACAAATTTATAAAGGCAAATACTTTATATGCTATATATCACATTTTTTTTGTCTACTTTATTCGTTGAATCCAATATATATATAGCCATTCTGATATTTATATATTGGAGGACCTGATTTATTTATATGAACTTTTCTCATACACATATAAATGACAATGACGATGGCTGCTGTTTCCATTATGATGATCCTCGAAACATTTGGAACAAATACATATACATAGACAGTGAATGGAAAGAGAGGATAGTCTCTGGTCATGTGTTTTTTTTTTGTTTGAATCGAATAGATTTTTTCTGCATTCATCGCACACACATACTGATTGTACTTTCAAAGCTTTTTAACCAAGGAGATGTTTTTCACTTATCGAACTTATTGTATAACTCTCTCTCATTCTAATACTCTTTTGTCTGTCCAACACTAAGAAATTCTTTGGAGAATTCATTTTGGTTTTCATACACATATACATTGGGCCCATCGAACTATCCATTGTATGTGTGTGTATGTTCGTTTGAATGTCATAAATTGTTATTGAAATCTTGGCCACGAAAAAAAAATTCTCGGTGACATTAATGAGAAAATGGCAAAAAAAAAAGACTTTTTTCTTACTTGAAACTAATGATGAAACTCAGAATGATGAAAATATAATATAGTGTGGTCGCAGTAGTAGTAGTAGTAGTAGTATTAACAATATTGGAATTCTAACACATCCCACAGAGTGGGGGAAAACAAAAAAAAATTCCCATACTTTTTTCATCAAAAAATTGGCAGATTTTCTTTTTCCAAAGAATTTCTTTTCACACATTTTATTTCAAGGATGATGACAAGTTTTATTAGCAATTTATTACAAATTATTATTATATTACCGGTCATCCGCAATGATGATGACGATTATGATTAAAGTTGTCAAAAAAAAGAGAATTTTTTTCTCTCCCTTTTATTTGAAATGAATTCATTCACATGTCAAATTTTCATTTTTTTCATTTGTTTTGGTTTATTTGCTTTCTTTTCATTTCAATGGACTTTTATATTATTTTAGGCATTAGCAGCTAATCTTGATACGGCCCAATTAGGACATTTTCAACCAATGGTTGCCATATTATGTGGCCATGGTAAATACCATAATCAATTTCTGAATGAAGATAATAAATGGATATCCGATATGGATTCAAGAGCTGTTTGTACGAAAAATACATTGGAAATATTGGAATATTGTCGAAAGGTAATTATTGATTGATTGAATGTTCATTTCAATCTTTTTTCTTTTTTTTCATGACAACGATGCAACCAAACAATGTTGTCATCGTTGTCGTGACAATTGTGATGACATTCGGATTTTCTCATAATCATTTTTTGTTTATCTATTTGTTTGTTTTTTATTTTATTGCCATTCGTGTTTGTCATATGGATATATAAATGTCATTTCAACATTCATATATACTTATACTATAGGTATATCCGAAAAAAGATATTCGTAATATTGTCGAATCGAACAAATATTATCGTATTGAATGGTGTAAGATTGGCCAAACGAAATGTAAAACTAAACACTATGTAAAGCCTTATCGATGTTTGGAGGGAAGCTTTCAAAGTGATGCATTATTGGTACCAGAACATTGTGTCTTCGATCATATACATAATAAAAGTTTATGCCAGAATTCACAATATTGGAATCATACAGCAATAATTAGTTGCTCGATAAGAAATATGAAATTACAAAGCTATGCAATGCTTTTACCATGTGGTGTTGGCATATTTTCCGGTGTAGAATTTGTTTGTTGCCCACATTCATCATCATCATTATCGTCCATGAATCATGCAACCGCCGCTGCTGCAGCATCCAATATTCATGTATCTGGATCCAACACAGATTATTGGTCAAAGAAACATAATAATGTAGCTCAAAATCAAATGGATGAAATGAGCGATGATACTGTTAGCAATAATAATAATAATAGAAAATCTGATGATCTATATAATGATGAATCAGATTCATCGGATGAAGATCAAAATGGCGGCGATAATATTAATAATGATGATAATAATAATAATAATAATGGTGATGCTGGCCAAGATGATGATTATTATGATGATGATTTCGATGATGATAGTGATGTTGAAGATATGCCAGCATCACCAAGCACAACAACAACGACAACTACCACCACCACTACGACAACAACAACCGAAACACCGATAAAATATTATCTAAGTCATTTTAATTCGCAAAAAGAACATCAAGCATTCAAAGATGCTCAAAAGGCATTAGATGATGATCATAAATCAAAGGTTACAAAGGTAAGTTACCATCACTTTTACATGAAAACAATAAATTTTAATTTCATGGTTATAATAAATTGTCATGTCATGGCCATTCTAGGTAATGAAAGAATGGAGCGAATTAGAGGAACGATATCAAGAGATGCATAACAAAGATACGAAAAAAGCTGATGAATTCAAAAAACGAATGACGAATCGTTTCCAAAAAACGGTCGAAGCTCTTGAAGAAGAAAGCTCGGCTGAAAAACGACAAATCATTTCGATGCATCAACAACGAGTGATGTCGATCATTAATATGCGTAAAAAATCTGCAATGGATTGTTATACACAATCATTGGATGAAATCATACCGAAATCGAAAAGGATCGAAAAATGTTTGAAAAAATTGCTGCGTGCATTAGAGAAGGATCGAATGCATACATTACATCATTATAAACATTTATTAAATTCATTCACTAAACAAGCATTGAAAGATAAGAAAGCTATTTTAGATCATCTAACTGATCTGATTAAAATGGCCAATCAAAGTATTCAGATGTTGGATCGTGTAGCAACTGTTGCCGATAAAATTAAATTCCGTATGATTGCTTATTGGCATAATTTACGTGGCGTTCCAATAGAGCAAACAATTTCACATGAAACCGAACTTAACATCATGAATCGTTATGAAGAAGAAGTTGCACAAAAACAAATTGAACGTGAACGACAAAAAAGCTTAGAAGAATTGAATCGTGAACAGAAAGAATTGGATGAACAAGAACAACGTCAGAATAGTGAAGCATTAAAAAGCTCACAACAGCAGCAAAGTAAATCAAATTCCGATCAATATGATCCTGAATCGATGGAAGATGAGAAAACATCCGCTCAAACATCGGATGATGAAAATGTTAATGATTCAATATCATCATCATCATCATCAAGTTCTTCGACAACTAAATCAACATTGATTACAACATCATCATCAACATTGTCACCAAATGTCGATGATTTTTGGAGCCAAGAAGATCCTGAATCAAATGAAATAAATCGGGTTGCCCATTCAAATCAACCTCTTTATATACAAAGCCAATCATTCCATCACAATGAACCGGTAAATTGAATAATAATTTGCATTAAATTTCTGTTAAATTGTTTTTTTAAATAATTTCTATTCATATTATAGAGTTTTTCATTGAAACGTGAACATTATCATTCAAAAATGAAATGGAATGGAAGTGTATATCTAACATTGGCATTTGCCGGCATCGCTTTGTTAACGGCAACAATCGTTGGTGTCGTATTATTACGTAAACACACACAAACATCGCCACACAGTCAAGGTTTTATTGAAGTAAATCAGGCGGCAACGCCCGAAGAAAAACATGTTATTAATATGCAAATCAATGGCTATGAAAATCCAACATTTAGATATTTTGAAACACAAGAAGATTAATTCTTCTATACTTATAAAATCATCATCATATAATTATTAATATTATCGATCCGATCTATATTATAATAGAATACACCAAACACATTTATATCACCTACACATAACAACACATATACAGAATAATACCAGTGTTTAATTTTGAATGATATTCCGGATTCATTCTTAATCACTATCATCTCATTATCATAGTCATCATCATCATCATCATCATAATTATTATCATTGAACCAAATTATTATTATTTCTCCATCTTCTTCATCCGGTTTCTATTCTTTTTTTTTTGCTCTCCAAATCACAATATTAAAATTATCATCTATTCAAAATTACACAGAATCACACATCCCCATATATTAGTAGTAAAATCTAGACCAGGGCTTCTTAAACTTTTTTCATTCGCGACCCCATTTCATGATTGCTCTACACAAATACACGTCAAAAATTTTGCTACGCGACCCCATTCGGAGTCGCGACCCATAGTTTAAGAAGCCCTGATCTAGACCATCGATCTTATCAGCTTCTCACTAAATCATTTCTTCTTCTATAAACCATCTTCAAACTATGTTTCCCAATGATTTTCTTTCAGTTTTTTTTTTGATTTATTCGTTTGTATGTTTGTGTGTGTGTGTGTTTTTCTTGTACATTTTTTTGCGGTTGTTTGTTTTTTCTCTTCGAGTGTGCATCCATGTGTGTGTGTGTGTGTTGATTGAAAGAACAGCGAAAACAAAACGAAATTCATGTATCATATCTTCAATTATTATTCTTTTTTCTGTTGTTCAATTTCCACTTACCTATCTCCTTTTTTATTTTTTTTCCTATTCCTCCCGATTGTTCATTCGTATGAAAACTGAGACAAACTGACACACATTTACTGAATATTCTTACATTACCTTAAAATGAAGAAATTAATAATCTGATATGATATGATAAATCGATGAACAACCAAAAAAAAAAAAATGGCAGCAAATTTCCATTAACATCATCATCAATACCATGTTATATCCAATATAGAAACATTCGTTTCGTTTCATTTCAAAATGAACACTTGAAATCGTAACTTACAATATGTGAATACAACAACCACCATATAGTATCGAAATATGAGAATTCAATATTTTCCATCATACAAAAAACATCCGAAACATCATACAGTATTATTCATCATTTCAGCTTCCATCATCATTATTATTGTTATTTGGATCGATAAGATGTCCGGATGAATTTTTGTTTTGTTTTCTGTCTTTCCATGAAATTGACACTTACCGATTGTAACCAACATAAACATCAATGTGGAATGAAGGAATATTGAAGAAAATCGGATCAAAAAAATGTTCATCGACTAACACTCGATGATATCGATCAATTATTATTGGTTTTAAAAGATTAATTTCCTTATTTCATTCAATTGATAATTGTAAACATATGTGTGTGTTTGTGTCAATTATTCACCTTATTATCATTTTTCTATTATCTTTCTTCTGCTGCTTATATATTTGTTTCTTATCGATTTACCGAATTCGAATCAGAAATTCTTTACATCCAATATATTACAGTATTATAATATGGTGAAACCCTAATTCAATCAAAACATCTTATGATGATAAACGATATTATTTTAGCCCGAAATTCTCTTCCGTCTATCATAATCATCATCATCATCATCATCAACGATAGCAACAACAACAGTAACATCATAGGAAATAGACATATCGATTCAAAAGATGGCCATCATCATCACGAAAATAAATTTTATATAGCTTCCTACCTACACACGCAAGGCAGACATTCGAATCCATAGAAAAACATCATCATCAACAACAAAAAAGTCCGTCAAAGGAGAAACAAAAAATAAATAACTAAAACTATGGACCAAATAATTATGAACCAATCATTTCATACAGATAAAACCAGACAGATGATTCATCAGAATTCTTTAGAATCAATCATCAATGCTTATGATGATGAACACACAAATAAGAATGAAGCGTATTTTTTCAACAAAAAAAATTCTTATTTCATTGAATTTTCGGATTCTCTCTCATAGCAGAAACACACCCACACACACACTGTTATAATCAGAAAACTTTCTTTTTTCTTTATATTTAATGTATTTCATTTGAAAAACTAATGCTGCTGAATTGGAAAAAAATTATCTTGTTATCATCATCAAAATGTGAAGAAATGTGGAAACAAAACAAAAAAATTCAAAATTAATGTTGTTGAATGAATGAATTTTTCTTTCTTCGTTCTATCATTTCACATTCTAAGTTTTGCTGATTTTTTTTCACTTAATTTTTGTTACTGTTAGTTCAATTTTATTTGGTCACTTATTATTTGAATTCTTTTCAATTCACTTCAATAATTATTTGATTTATAAATTCTGTGCCATAGGCTTTTCTGCTGCTATACATGTGTTTTTGCTTATTTTTTTTTCATTCAATTTATTTTTGATTTACCATTTTTCATTTCTTTTGGTTCAATTAAATTCTGTGCGTCAATGTGGGTGACCACCAACAATCGACAAAATCGATTTGACTAAACCCTATGGATCGATTCCATGTTATAAATTGATTGATTTGATTTTTTTCTCTCTCTCTCTCACTCTCTCGCTCTCCCTGTCGGCTATATGATAAAAAAACTATGATAAAGTAATAATACATACTTATATTGTAACAATGACAACAACAAACAAACGTAATTATGATTAAAAGGATCGATTTTTTTCTGTCCAACGACAACAAAAATTTTTTTTTACATAAAAACATAACAAACACACACAAACACACATAAACGGAATTCCATTTCGGAACAAAAACGATAGAAATTCTGATTAATTAAATTTGAATTTGTTCTCTTCCTCCTTCTTCTTTATCATTATTACTATTATTATTCCATAACGAAACAAATGAAAACTAATCTTTGGCCAACAATTGATGAATCTAATAAATAAAATTTATAACAACGTTACACATGGTTATATAACACGAAACCAATCTCTCCCTTTCCTGTTTTTTTTTTTTTTTTTTGGAAATAAACAAAAAATGCCTATCTAAAACAACAACAGCAAATGATAAGCAGTAGAATTTGCATGTGTGTGTGTGTGTGTTTGTACGTTTTCCCTTACCATTCATTCAATTTTTTGTTTCTTTTTCATTCATTTATTCATTTTTTTTGACAAACTATAACAACAAAATCTACCTGAGAAAAAAAATGATGTAAAAGAGAGAATAACTTTATTACCACATGATGATATAATTATTAATTATAAATAATTTGGAAAAAAAACCAACCAACCAACAGTAGATTTCGGGACCAAAAAAAATATAACACATCAAAACTCTGAAAACAACAACATCGACCATAACCAATAACAATAATATACCAGAATTTTAATGAATCAATAAATCAATTCTTCTACCCTGAAAAAATGAAATAAAAAAAAATTTAATAAAAAAATACCTCGCTTGTTATTTTGATTGAAAATAATCGATAAAATGTTGTGAAAAAAAAGAAGAGAAAATCTCGAATTTTTATTTTCACATAATCAAAATATTCAAATCATTCAATGTGTGTGGAAAGAAAGAAAAATAAAAATGACAAAAATTGCAAGTTTGTTCCGTTTTGTTCACATATCAGATACGATTGATTGATTTGTGATTTTTAAATTCACTGTTTTACCAAAAATTCTTTCCCATTTTGCCATTAGTTTATGTTTGTTTTTGTTTTATTTTCAAATGTGTCCAAACGATAATGATTTGAATGTTTATTACAATTTGACAATATCATTGTTCTTTCAAATAGATTCAATTTAAATTGCAAAAAAATTTCAGTTTACTGTTGTTGTTTATGATGAACTATCATCATTTGAACGATGAATGAGATTTTTTTTTATTGAATTTGGACCATTTATTGACAAAATTATGATGAATATTTTGAGTTGATGGCTTGGACAAAAACAAAAAAAAATTTTAAATTTGTCCTCAATAAGTTCATTGTTGGGGTCCATATATTAACGATTCATTAGTTTTTTATTCATTCAAAAAATCTTATTTTCTCTCGCTCTGTAAAGTTCATTACTATGGCCTATGTAGATGGATGGAACAAACCAACGGCGGAATTTAATGTAATTTGATGAATGATGAACATGTAAGAATGGAAGAAGATGGAGCAAAAGAAAAAATTGTCTGTAGGATTTTTTCATTTAAACAAAAATTTTTCGAAACAATGCCATTCAGATTGAAAATTCTATAAATTTCACTTTAGAAATTTCGTTACATATCATCATCAGCAAAATCATCTGAAATTCGATGGTGGATGATATATGATGACGATGATAATGATGGCAACACATTAGTACGTAGAATATATGATGAGATTTATAAAATTTAGAAAAAAATTTTTTGTTTGACAAATGACAGGAATACGAATCGAATGAAACTAAATTAATGGGCGGCGTAGCCATTTTTCAAAAAAAAAAAAAAAAAAAATTCAGGCTTTGATAACACCACCATCACCTTCAGACACGAAACGTTTTCGTCCCCTGTGTGTGTGCGTGCGTGGGTAGATATTTTGTGTGTAAGAAAAAAATTTTCATTAATTTTTCATCTTTGCTTCAATCTAATTACCTTTGTGGCATTTCTTTTTCCAATTCATTTGGAAATGATTCCAATTTTTCCGCTTTGGTTTTGATCGTTTCAAGTATTTCATATGCAAACGGTACATCAATGACAATATCTGGCATCTCTTCAAAAACACGTAGATAGCCCTATATGTATCAACAATTAGACAAATATTATTATAGACAGGAAAAAACATCTGAAGAAAAAACATTACATTTTTCAATTGATCAATAGTGATGACACCGGAATCGAATAAATATTTGAGCAATGCACAAATCTTATCGATTGTTGTCTCTTTACTATCTTCAATAGCTTTTACAATAGCTTCATAGACAAATTCATGATGGAAATGTGGTACTTCCAAATCATTGAGATTTGATCCAGCATCTGTTGCCAGATTCGATACGAGATATTCTTCTAAAATCAAATGCATCTGTTTGATCAGATATTTTACTGGTCGCATACCGCCAGTAAAACCCCAAATTCGATCCACATTAATGAGACCATGTTTACTGGTCAATAAATCGTGTGCTACTTCGATGGAAAACTTTTGCGGCTTTTTCGTATATTTTTCTTTGTTACGTTTAACATAAATCGGTGGGATACAATCATCGGCAACAGCACGGGCAATAAAATTACCCAACAATTCATCCGCATTCGGTGTGTCAAGCATTAGATCAGGAAGCATTTCAAGCAAAACATCGAATGCATGTTCAATATCTTTCTGTTGAAAAACATGACCATACAAATCGGATATCAATACCGATGTCATTTCTCGATTAGCATTTTTACGTTCCATTGCCAATGAAATGGCAATGACAGCAATCATATAAAGTTCCTCGCCAAAATTAAATTCTTGCAATGAATCGATAACCTCTTCAGTGTTACCATGTTCATAATATTCAGTGACAATCGGTTTAACATATTGTTCAATTTGATCTTCATCCAAAACCGGTGTTATGGCTTCGATTTTACAATTTTCCATATTATCTGAATCATAATTAGGATCATTTGGATCCAAATAATCACCATCACCATCCGGATATACTTCACAGATTTTTCCCCATGTTCCTTTACCACCTGCACCACCTGTCAACGGAAAAAGATAAAAGTAAATTTTTTTAGCATATAGTTGTATAGAAGTTCGTAATTGAATCAACTTTCCAAGTTGTATTTACTAATAAACTATTTCTAACATACAACTACATGAAAAAACGAAAGAAATTAAAAACGCGCGCAATCGATCATCATGTTATGTTATTGATGATGATCATGATAATAATAATGATTATCGAATGCAATGACATGATCCAAGTTAAACTATACTAAATAATATTGAAGAGCATCTTATCAATTATCCTTATCATCACAATAACAATAATAAAAATAAAAGTATGAATTTGTTTTGAAGCCAAAACAAGGAACTAACATATTACAGGCACATACAGACATTGAATAAAAATGAGCGTGACTATCATCATTTGATTGCATTTCTTTCCTCATTTCATTCATATGACAACATCAATATTGTTGATTTTTGATACTTTTTTTCTGGAAAACAAAGAAATTACATCACAGGTCGAACAGGTAGATGATAGACATATGGATGGATGTATTGTCATTGTATTCAAAACATTACCTTTTTTAGCTAATCCACGACCAAATCGGCTACGTGATCGGCGACTATTTTTCATAAATTTCTTCATATTAGCTTCAGTTGTTGGTGAATGTTGATGAAGATCAGCATTCGATGCGGATGATGTGGATCCATGATTAGGAATCGGTTTAGCCATACCTTTACCAATCATCTCATGTTTGCCGTTATTATTATTATGATCACCGGTATCATCATGGCCATTGATTTGACCATCCGAACTATTTTTAGTCGTTGACATTGTTGGCAGATTTTTTTTTACTGTTGTTCAAATAAATTCGGAAAAACAATTGAATTTATTTTCGAAGAAAGAAAGAAAGAAGAAAGTTATATAGGCTAATGAAAACAAAAAATGACAAATAATGTAAAAGTGATGATGGCAGAATTTTTTCTTTTCGAATAATTGAAAAAAAATTCGAAAAATAGCAGTAAAGTTATATTTCTTTCTTTGTTTTTTGGTGGCAGCAACAACAACGACAACAGACAAAAAATCTTCAAGATATAACATACACTTTCAATCAATCAATCATTTAATCCAATCAAATGTGGAAATAATAAATGTTTGACTTGGTTTCTTATGCCTGATGATGATTTTTTTTTTGTATTTGATTCACATGACAATGTCCACACACAATTGGTGATGGCCAATGTTTGATTTTTGGTTGTCGATAGTTGTTGTTTTTTTTGGTAATGATGATGATGATGATGATGATGTTAACATGCCAGACATACACAAACACACATACCAGTTTTACTTTTAATATATTGGATTAGCTTCACTTGGTTTGGCTTTATGTTTTTTTTCTGTTGTTGGCTTGCTCTTCTTTCCTTGCTTGAAATCAATGATGTTGTTGTTGTTTTTTTTTTGTAGTTGTTATATCGTCATTGCTTTTGCTGTTGGTTGTTATTTTGGAGATACATCGATCCACACACAAACACCACATATTTACATTCATAGCCTTCAATTATGAAAAAAATCAACAACAAAAAAAAATTTACCAAGTGTTTATGGTAGTGGCATGAAAATATCAAATTCAGCCAAATTTTGTTAACAACAGAAAAAACAAAGAATAAATTGCGCTTGCTCAATGATCACCAATGTTGAATGTGATATGAGAGAGACCAAATCACGTATACCACCACCATATATACAATGATTTACATTCTGGAATATTCGAGAATTCAAATGTATATAGTATATACCGATAAATGAATTGGGATTCTCGGTGGTAGAATTCAAATAAATAGATGCTGTATTCATTAGAATTCTAGTTAGATTTTAAAGTAGTATTCATTATTTGACTATTTAAATGTACAACATACATTACATAAAATACACATACACTTAAAACACATATCCACAACAACCCATATAATATATACATACATACAAAAAAAGAAACAATTTCCCATACAATGGCGCCAAATAGTTTAAAAATTGCTATAACACAAAAAATCGCAAACATTGAAAATAGCTTGCTAGAAGCAAGTACGTTGCCACAGATATTCATAATCCTAACTAAATTGAATTTATGTCAAATTGAAATAGAACCGCTCAGAAAGCTGAAAAGGAAATAAAAAGTTGATTGATCATCTAGGGTCGTTAACAAAGCGTGTGAATGACAAATTAACAGAAGTGAGAGGGGAAATATAGGGTGAATTCAACGAAAACGATTTGGTGTTACGAAAGCAAAATGACAGTGGTGAGCAAGAATCCAACGATGGGATTGTGATTGAAAATGTGGAAGATGAGGAACAAATGCTAACCGAGATACCTGCGTGAATATGAATCGGGTCCGGATATATACCTGGTCCTGAATTTGACACACGAGAGAAAGGGTTAACGACAAACGAAGAAGCCCTTAATTATGAACCTGGGGATGATGTGCAAGCTGGCTCTTCGTACTTAACGGCGGTTTGAAAGGAATTTTACACATACTGATAATGAAAATGATTCGGATGATAGTAGGAATGAATGTTATGGTCCGTATACAGTAGAAGAGTGGAAAAACCCAGGCGAGAGAGGGGTGTCGGTTGAAAGGAAAAATAATCTCGGTAAAAGAAAACTAGCAAACGAGACAGAGTGCAAGAGGAACTGTCAAGTTCGGACTCAAGCTCTACAAGCTGATGAAAGTGATCCAAGTCAAAACGAAGCAAGAAAAAAGTTGTAAGAGTGAACTCGTGGAGGATTTGATGAAGGCCTTTCAGACCTTATCAAAACGAAAGAATAAGGGCGATAAGTGATAAAATGAAATTTAGTTGGAAAAATGTAGATAAAATAAAGAAATTCAAAGCCACGGTTGATGATTTTGGCAGATTCTTCAGCCAATATAACGGGTATGCACCAATACAAGAAGCAACTGGCCAATCAAATTGATGGCTCTAAAAAGCTTGTTACCAATTCTGCTGAAAAATTTACAACCGGTTATGATGAAGATCAATACGAGCAACTCAACGATTTGAAGTTGTACTATACAAACAAACAAACTGAAAGAGATATAGCAAAGTGGTAAGATTGCCAGCTGTTGAATAGCAGCGACGACTATGATCGTATGAGGAGATAATGTTGCTGTTGTTGGAAATGCATGTACAGCATGTTGAAAAGATGAGTCTAACACAGCATTTATTGACACGGGAGTATGTCGGCGGTGGCTGGCAAATTACCGTTGAAGATTCTGAGATCTCTGCGGTCCGGGCATACTAGTAGAGAATTTGTATGAAAGGTATTTAAATCACACTGGAAGATGAAAGAAACGTTGAACGACGGGAAGTAACAAAAATCAGAGAACCAACGTACCCATCAGGTGAAAAAAAAGTAAAAACTGGTGTTCTCTACAAAACGCCGGGTGAAAATCGTTTAAATTATAACCAATTTGGCAACTCATGGGTAGCCAACTATGCCAATACTGGGTGCTTATTTTGTAAAAAAATGCATCCGTCACTTAGTTGTCAAAGTAAACCGAATTCTGAAAAGCAACGTATATTGAACAGTGAGAGGCGGTGTTTTTTATGTTTCAGAATGAATCATCGTGCTGAATTCTGTAGGTCGACAATACAAAGTTGTAAAAAATGTGTTGAAAGACATCATCCAAGTGTTTGTACCAAAATTCCAGAGGTTCGTATGATAAGTAATGATGATTCAATGTCTGGGAAAATAGCGAACGATGCTGCCAAATGACTAGCAGACCATCGGTTCCCCGACGCCAACCATTAAAATACACCAGAGGGAGTGGACCTAGAAGCTATCTATGATACCGGAGCCCAAGTGAGCGTGTTAGGGGACGAGGTTTGTCGAAACATTGGAAAAATTATGTTACAACGATAGTGAGCTATAGATTAGCAAATAATCCAAATTGACGAATTCTGTGGATTCGTACTGCGTCAAAAGTGGGACAAAAATTAGAACATAGAGTTCTACGTATCCACTGGCTCAAAAATTATCATGGGATTAGATGCCATAAACAAATTCATACTCCATGGAATCAACTGCTAGATCAGACTCATTTGAATAGAGAGAACAGTGGAATTCTGAACATTTGGATGTTGAAGACTAGGTTAATTCGTTTGGAACATTTGTGGACTAGGTCTGGGTTTGTGGGACCTGGACTTCGAATACTGGTGGATCTTTGGAATGGAAGTCGGTTTGATTCAAATTTTCTGGGATATCGATGGGACTTCATCATGAATATTCAAAGAATTCGTCACTGAATCAGATGGACTCGGGCTACTTCACTGAGTTTCTGCTGGGACTACTTGCATGGGTCCTTCAATGGATCGTTTGGAATGGGAAGGCATGGGTTTGGGTTCAATGGATCATTCGCTCAAGAACTCCAGATGTTCAAATGATTTTCTCAGATCGGATGGGGTTTGGGAGGAATGGAATGTGCTAAAATGATGCTATGGGACAACTGAAAGGACCGGATGAAAGACAAGAATCTTTCAGTCCGACTCAAATAAAAGCTTTGGGGTGCTGGTCCGATTTGGTATCAAAATGGATGAGGAACAGAACAGACAGAGGAATGAATAGTCAAGATATCTTTCAAAGGGACATGCTTTCGAGGGAGTATCAATGGGCCAGGACAAGAACTGGACTATGGGTTACTAAGCGATGGAACAGAGGTTTCAACTGGCGGAGCTGTTGGGTGGGAACGGTGCACTGATTGTTTTAATTGGGCATTAAAAGACTGGAACCAATTCAGCTTTGATGTTGTTTATTCCTGGAGTGAGGGATGTTAATGAAGGCTGATCCTTGTCTCGCAATCCACCATGGGTGTCACCTTAGATGGGGAATTGTTGGGGGTCAGAGACCTTTCGATGACCTATTTACCAAAGGGTTTGCACTATGTATATGAATGGAATGATAGTAAAAATGATTCGTAAGTCTCGTTCTCCGTGGGCTTTTCGGTGGTACTTGTGGATAAAAGATGACGGGGAGAAGTCTAGGTTGTGTGTGGACTATAGGGCTTTAAACAAAAATCACAATTGATGAATCTTTTTCCGATGCCTATGATAGATGATATTGAAGATCGATTGATTGGCGCTAGTGTGTTTACTACTCTGGACGTATCGTCTGGGTTTCATCATGTTGGTCGCTACAAAGAATGACGTTCAAAAAGACGGCGTTCGTCACCAATAGAATGGGAAATATGAGTGGATGATAGATGCCGTTCGGGCTTAAAATGCGCCACTGATTTTCCAACGTGTAATCCATAATTTACTATGGGATTACGAGCTGACGAGATTCACCATAATTACATAGATGATATTATCATTCAAAATCAATGTGAAAAAAAAATACACATCAGATCATTTAGAACGCATTTAGAACGATTGAAATCACCTTTTCTAATTACGGTTAGGAGTTTTTGTGTATATAGTATATACCGATAAATGAATTGGGATTCTCGGTGGTAGAATTCAAATAAATAGATGCTGTATTCATTAGAATTCTAGTTAGATTTTAAAGTAGTATTCATTATTTGACTATTTAAATGAAGGAGAAAAGAAAAATTAAAGAATTTGTAATTTTTTTTTCATTTAATTGTATATACTCGAAAAAGGTGGTGCTTTTTGTCCGGGCAAACAATATTCTCATGTCTCATAATAATGAAAAAAAAGTTTTAAACTTTATTTATTCTTTAATCATAGGAAAAAAATGAAATGAATTTAGTTTTCAGCTTAAAAGACGAGAGGAATCATTTTTTGCTCTTATTTATAGAATTCATGTTCAGATTCATCTTTTTTGATTGTATTCTTGTAACCTTTTTCAAAATCTTTGGGCAATACAACATAACGATTCTCACGTACAGCATGCATTCCAGCTTCTTGGCAGATGGCATTAATATCGGCACCGGAAATTTTATCCGGCCGTGCAACATAATCTTCCAGGTCTACTTCATCACTTAGATTCATTTTAGATGTAATTGTAGAGAAAATTAATCGTTTCTGTCGTCTATCCGGTAATGGAAATTCAATTTTACGATCCAAACGACCGGGTCGTAATAAAGCTGGATCCAATGTATCGGCACGATTAGTTGCCATTATAACCTTAACATTTGTAGTCTGATCAAACCCATCCATCTGATTCAATAATTCCAATAGGATACGTTGTACTTCACGATCAGCACCAGTTTGTGCATCAAAACGTTTCGTAGCAATAGCATCGATTTCATCGATAAAAATAATTGCCGGTGCATTTTCTCTGGCCAAACGAAATACATCTCGCACCATTCGAGGACCTTCACCGAGATATTTTTGTACAAATTCCGATCCAACAACCCGAATGAATGAAGCGGTAGTATGATGAGCGACAGCTTTGGCCAACATTGTTTTACCACAACCAGGTGGTCCAAACATTAAAACACCACGTGGTGGATCGATACCAATTTGTTTGTATAATTCAAAGTGTGTAAGCGGTAATTCAACTGCTTCACGAATTTCTTGTTTTTGAATATCAAGACCACCAATGTCGGCATAACAAACATCAGGTTTTTCATCTGGTCGTAACATTGCTATCGAGCTATCAGCTTCCGGTGGTAGAACATCAACCAATGCATTACTGTGTTTATGTAAAGCAACCGAACTACTTGGTTTCAATAATTCACGATCAATTGTACTTAGAATACGAACATAATAATTTGAACCGGTTGTTGAACCAACAATACCAGTATTTGCATCAACTGCTTCCAAAAATTGTCCAATTACTAATGGTACACTTTGTATACGTTTCACTTCTTCTTGAGCATGTAGATATTCTTTTTTCAAATTTTTCTGTTCATCTTTAATATATTCCTCTTGAACTTGTAGAAATTCCAATTGACGTTGTAATTTTTTATAGATAACATATAGATCATCAACATCATCGGTTAAAAGTGCTTCACAAATTGATGGTGTTATAATGTTTTTAATATCGCTTGGTGAAGATTCTTCATGCTGCTCCGAGATTCATGAAACGAAAAAAAAAATATATTTGTTAGCAAGATTTTCGAATAAGTAAATATATTATATAAACTATATAATCACCAAATATAAAATCTTACCTTTTCTGGTACAACGATACCAATCTCTTCCATGTTTTTTTGGAAAAATTTAAAATTTAAAAAAAATGAAATCCAATAAACTTTAAGGCAAAAACAATGAAATTCTGATTCGATATACACTGGAATTGGATGACAATCTGTTCAGTGAGCATGAAATGAATGAGATTGCTATTTTGTAGTGCAAATAAGAGTATCATAGATGGCGCTCTTTAATCATTGATTAAAAATTATTTATTTATTGATTTTTAATTCCTGATTTTTCGGTTAAGAATGACAATTTTTTATTATGAAAAAAATGTTTTACATCATTGATGAGATATATCAGCATCAGATCATTTATAAACCATTTTGTTTATAGGCAACCGATGCTTTGATATTATGAATTTTAGTATTAAAACTCCGAAGCTGTACTTCTTCGGCGTTAGGAATGATATATGATGTTGAATCATACCAATCTGCTGATGGTAATTGTGTGTCTTTGTCCGTGAAAAAGAGAATATCAAATGAAACACGATCATCAATCAATGGTAAAAAGGTGACACTAGCCGTAATTTGGCGAATCAGGTCACGAATCTGAGTCTGTATTGCTTTCAAATCAACTTTGATCTGTTTATCCTCACTAACACTATTATCACAATCGATTTTGAATTCCCATCGTTCAATCGTTTCTTTTGTATCGATTCGAATTAATGCCATGACAACCCGATGAAGTTTTCGTTGTGCCAAAAATACTTGCATCTGATCGAAAATAGTTTGCAAATATTTTTTCAATCGTTCATCCGTTGACATAAATATGGTTAGGCCATAATGTTGTACGGCTGTAAACTATATATATCAGAATATTATCAAATGTTTTTCCTTTGTTGTCTTTGCAACTTTATCGTCTACCGATACTTACCGAATCTGGGGGATAAATGCTACGCTGGAATAGGATATTATTAATACAATAATCTTAATAAACAAAGACAGACAAATGAAAATAAATTCATTAAAAATCATCATATTGAATCATATCAAATTATTTTACTTACTGAAAAATTCCTTAATAATTGACACTGATCCTTTCAGATTGATTGAATTACAAACACCAACCGATGACATTTTGAATTAATAAAAATTTTGATTAAAAACAAAATAGCGCAAAATTCTTTCATCACTTTTACAACGGTTATAATTTTGCCACTATTGTGACATAGATGGACATACAGTGGCAGAAAGATTGATACGCCATCTTGTAATTTAATTCAAAAATGGAAATGAACTTTATTTCAAACAATAAAAAAAAAATTTTATCGTGATTTTTGTGGTTTACGGAATTTTTTTTTACCTTTAGCAGCACCCGGTTTTCGTTCATTCTGTTGTTGTTTTCGTTTATCTTTTTTCATTCGAGAATCAACAATTTTATAACGACCTTTCACGCCGGGTGGTCGTCGATTTCCGTATTGTTTTTTTGCCACCACCAATGTTGGTCGTTTTTCATTTTTAATCGATGCTCTTTTATATATTCTACGTATAGTATCGGCTTTTTCTTTATTCGACATACTTGGATCTTCTGTCAGATTTTCCGCTTTGATTCGAGCCTTTTCCAAACGTCTCATCGTACGTTTCTTTTTTCTTGCTTTAGCTTCTAATTCTTTTTTAATTGGTCGAGAATTAATATCGGTTGTGGATTTTTTTGAATATTCTTGCGAGACAGGCATCGGTTTACGACAATAGGTTTCTTCTTCACGCTTAAACCAAGATGGTGCACCATCTAAATCATTGTTCATATAACGATTCCAGCCATCGTCAAGTAAATCTCGTTTACATTTTTTCGAATGAATCATTGTCGCTGCCATTGTTAATTCTTCGGGACTAAGCATTCGTTTGGCTTTTTCTTTACGGCTCATTTTTTTACTTAATCCATTCACCATTGATTGATCGTCTTTTTTCACAACCTCATCATCATCATCATCGTCATCATCATCATCATCGTCATCATCATCCACGTCGGATTCAATTTCTTTATCGTCTGATTTTTTCGAATTTTGTTGTTTGCCATCTTTTTCAATGTTTGATTTTTTAAAGAAAGAATTTTCAATCTCTTCCAATTCGATTGCTTCATCATCATCATCAGCAAATTCTTTGAATATAGGATTATCGAAAAATCGTTCACTTTTGACATCAGTTGGCTGATTATCGAGATCGACGATTAATTCATTTCCATCATCATCGTCATCTAGATCAAAATGAATTACTCCATTTTCTTTTTCATTTGTTTCATTGTCATCATAATCACTATTTTGATTTTGGCCATCATCATTATCATCATCTTCAGATGATTCATCTTCAGAATCTAGATATTTATCATCTTTATCATAATAAATTTTTTTCTTTTTATCTCGATTTTCTTCATCATCATCATCATCATCTAATACAACATCGGGATCAACATCTTTAATTTTGTCCAAATCTTTACGTATCTTATTTAAGCTGAATAAATCCTGTTCTTCCTGTACAAGTTGATCATTTTCCAACACCATTTTCAGATTCATTCGTTCGGCTAATTTACGTTTCTCTTTGGCCATTTTCTTTTTCATTCGTTTCAATTTGATTGTTTCTTCATTTTCAAATGAATCAATTTCTTCCACTTCATCATCATTATCATCAATATTTTCATTGATATCACTAATATCTTCTTGATCATTTTTCAATTCTTCAAATTCCGTTTTAGATTCTTTAGCCATCTTTTTCATTTCACTTCGTAGTGTACGACGCCAATTTATTAAAAGTCTATAGAAAAAATTTTGATAATTATTTCGGTTAAATTTTATGAAAGAAAATCAAAAAAAAACTTACGTCAATTCTTTTCTACCAAGTACTTTAATATCTTTGAAACATTCAATAATTTCATTCGTGGTTGATGGATGATTTCGGATAAATTCGTCATCGATAACAATTTCACTTGCTTTATTCAACAATTCAGCATAATTAGCACTTTCAATAAGATCGATAGCATTCAATTTTTTATATAAAAGTATTTGTCCATCATCATAACCTTCTGCTTTAGCTTTTTTCTGTTTCATACTTGCTTTCAGCAAATCATTTGTTGTTATTTTTTGCTCTGCATCCGGTAACTCAGCGAACACGTGTGCTGGATCAAAAAATTTAGGATCAATTCGATCTGGAGCTATAAAATTTTGACAAACAACAAAAATTTCGGCCGATTCATTACGTGATGCTTGTGGTTTAGTAGCTAGTACTTTTTTGAAGAATTTATTCATAACCCAAATCAATGCATTATAATCTTTGGAACGAAAAACTTTTGTTATGAACCAACCACCTTTGACAAGAAAATCACAGGCCAAATGTAATGCCGATAATGTAAGACGATTCTGTTCGAATGCATCATGTATCCAACTTTTACCAACATTTGGTGCACCATCATTGAGTACAACATCAGCTTTCCATGTTTTTAGATTTTTCTTCAATGAACTTCGACATTTTTGTGTAGTTATATCCTCTTGTAATGTGATGACATTATGAATTGGTTTGATTGGCACTAAATCCACACCGATTATAACGCTTGAAACAGGCATATATTTTTGTGCCACTTGTAGCCAGCCTCCTGGTGCTGCACATAAATCAATTAATACTTTGGACTTTTGTAGAAATTCAAATTTTCGATTCAATTGTATCAATTTGAATGAGGCACGTGAACGATATCCTAGTTTAACAAAAAATATTAAAATCAAATAATATTATCTCCATTTCAAATATATCTCTTACCCGTCTCTTTGGCTAATTGATAATATTTATCTTTACGTTGTTTACCCACTTTTCCTTTTTTACCCATTTTATTCGTTTGTTTTCGTAAGAAACAAAATAAATTTAAATTTAAAAATATGAAATTCTAAACACACAATTATCGTCGTGTGTTTATGTGGCCACATGGCTATCCATCAATCATGAACGCCATCTTTCAGTCAAATCGTGTAATATAATTTTTTTTCAAATAATTCTTGTGCGGATTTTTGATTTAATTTTGATCCAATTCCCGCATTGGCAACCGATCACTAATCAAAAGTTTTTATCAAATGTCAACAAGACGTTTCCTGATGATTATGGTAAATTTTGAATCTTTGTTCGAAAGGTGTCAAAGCCTTGTCACTGATAACAAGGAAATAATTGATTCGATAATTTTCTTCGCCTATATTAGGTTTATCGGTGCCTTCATGAAAAAAACTTTTGATTTTTTCCCTAATTTTTCAACTTTGAAAGCAGGATCAATCAAAAGATTTTCAGCCATGTTATTTGCGGTTCACGGTAATTTTTTAAAAATTTAATAAGCCTTTTCAAATGTGAATTGGCAGTGGAAAACGCAAATTATCATTTTTATTATCAAATGCATTTACGAAATTTAGCTGCGAGCATTTCAGCCTCATTCAACAGCTGAAGCAATATAATAAACGGCATTGTTCTCAATCGATAGCTATTTCGATATATCGTTTAGCCGCTCTATCAAAATCAAGATTTCAATTTTGGAAAGTGTTCTTCGACATGTATTTTCTGTTATATTTATTCACATTCATAAAAGTTTGATTTAGTTTTTGAAAAATAAATCAACAAGTTGGAAACTTCTTTTTAAATTTCAAATTTTTTTGCTTCTTCATTCATATCATTTGTGTTGAATATATTTGTTTGTGAAAAAATGGACCAACAAAAATCACATGGAATAACCCATGTAATTTTCGATATGGATGGACTTATATTTGATACGGAAACTTTGTATGAAAAAGCTTATAAAAATGTACTTGGCCGTTATGGAAGTGAATATACATTAGATTTAAAAATTAAAATTATGGGTCGTCCTGGTTTAGATGGTGCCCGAATTCTGATTGATGAATGTAAATTACCATTGACCATTGATGAATATCTAGCCGAAATGACTATTGAACATGATAAAGTTTTTAGTGGTCATGTACCATTGATGCCCGGTGCTGAACGTTTAATTCGACATCTTTATGATCATCAAATTCCAATTGCCGTTGCAACCAGTAGTAAACGTTATACATTCAAATTGAAAACCAAAGAACACGGTGAATTATTTAAATTATTTGATCATATTGTTATTGCAAGTGAAGATCCTGAAATAACGGCTGGTAAACCGGATCCACAAACATTTTTAGTTTGTGCTAGACGTTTTCGGCAACCACCATCAACAATGACTTCGGTGCTCGTATTAGAAGATTCAACAAACGGTGTACGAGCAGCAAATAAAGCCGGAATGATATCGGTTTGGGTACCCGATCCACAGATTCGATCACGACAACAGATTGATGCCCATTATACATTGGATTCCTTGCTTGATTTTAAGCCTGAACAATTTGGCCTGCCACCATTTTCAATTAACCATTAAAAAAAATTTAAAAAAAATATAGACCTATTATTACTTATTGAACTATAGAAATAATAAATTGTTTTTTTTTCTTATCTTTATAATAATTTACATTTATATTGAATAAAATATTGATTTGATGATTTGATTATTGTTTTGGATAAAAATATTTTTTTTTTTATTTTGGGTGGGGGTCCTGTGAATGATTTTTGTGAAAGTTTTCTTTGTATCAATTTACTCACTTGTTGTTTTACTCAGAGTTGAAATTTTCAATTTTCTTTTAAACGATGCCAATCGAAAAGACAACATTCCACGAAGGTGGTGATAATGATAATGTTGTTACATTATATTCATTGACCAATGGACGTTTAACGGTCAAAATTATTGATTATGGTGCGACAATCATACAGATTCGATATCCTGATCGTGATCACATTGAACGTGATGTTGTACTTGGATTCGATGAATTTGCCAGTTATAAATCGAAACTGAATCCATATTTTGGTTCGACAATTGGTCGTGTTGCAAATCGAATTGCGAAAGGAACATTTCGTTTGAATGAACAACAATATCAACTATATCAGAATAATGGTGAAAATAGTTTACATGGTGGCCTGATTGGATTTGATAAACGACAATGGAAACTTTCGAATGAAGCAGATAGATCAATAACATTGATGTATGAATCATTCGATGGTGAAGAAGGCTATCCTGGAACCTTAATCATTAAGGTTCGATTCGAAATAACCGATTCGGATGAATTACAAATCGAATATGAAGCTCAACTCAAAAATCAAGATTTGTTGAACGTTAACAAAACAATTGTTTCATTAACAAATCATTCATATTTTAATCTAAATGGATGTTATGATCAAGATTCGTTGAACGTTCTGGATCATAAAATTTGTCTTTATGCTCGAGAATTTCTTGAAGTTGACGACGATCTAATTCCAACTGGCCGTATATTACCGATAAAAGATACCGTTATGGAATTTGCCGAACAACCACTTCGAACAATTGGTGAACGTAAATTTCCATATGATCATTGTTACGTGCTTGTGAATGATTCAATCGAATGGAAATGTACAACCAGGCGACCTTTACGATTAGCTGCAGAAGTTTATTCACAACGAACTGGAATAAAAATGTCATTCATGACCGATGAACCGGCATTTCAATTCTATATCGGCGGTTTCATACCAGAACACGGATTACAGACGAAAAAAACACAAACATCCGAGATGATCTCATTGGGAAAAAATTCCGGTTTCTGTCTCGAAGCACAACGATTCCCAGATGCTATCAATCATGATGGCTGGCGTAAGCAGGTAATTCTGGCCACAAACGACATCTACAGACAACAAACTATTTATCAATTTAAAATAGCTAATATTTGAACTGTTTTTTTAATTTGTACGAGAAGAAAAAAAATCAATTGCACACTTATTGATCAGCTTAGAATAAAAAATGAATGGGAGAGAAAAAATTGAAGAATATTCACTACTAATCGATCGGAATAATTTAGTCATCAGATTTTATCATTATTTCAACGGTTGTTGCTTCAATGATTGATTATAGTTGTTGTTGTTGTTGTTGTTGTTGTTGCTGTTTGAATTGTGAAGTTTCTTATTGTTAGCCAATTGTACCAATAACCAATCAATACCTTCCTGTACGCCATCACCGGTCAATGCATTTGATGATTGTACATGCCATTGTTTATGTGGTAGTTGATGTAGACCCAATGTTTGGCTAATTTTTACTGTTGGTAACGCTTCTTTAAGATCCATTTTATTAGCAAAAAACAAAATAGGAATATCCTGTTTCGATGATGTCGATCGGTCATTATTGATTGATTGATTCATATCTGTTGATAAATCCTCATGATTAGGACCATTCTTGTTAGATTCATCATGACCATCATCATGTACACCATTTTGTTTATCATTCATTCGACTTTTATTATCCAAAACAACTTGCTGATGTTTGAGCAACATTTCCAATTCATCACGAGCAACGACTAATCGTAAGGCATCGGTTGAATCGACAACAAAAATAATACCTTCAACACTATCATAATAATGTTCCCAAAGATTACGATAACGACCCTGGCCAGACATATCGAACGCTGTCAATGCAATACCCGAGCGATTACGTTCTATGCCGGATAAACGTTCGACAGTATAGCCAACAGTCGGTACAATCTCTTCTACTTGATCTTCTTTACGTTTCAAATAATTCAATATGGTAGATTTTCCCGAGTTATCTAGGCCGACAACCAAAACATTTGCTTCACGACGTTTTAGACCAAGAATGGTGAGAAATCGTCCAAAAAATGATGACATCTTGATCGACAATCGGATTCAATGTTTAGTGACCAAAAAATTAAACAAACAAAAAGCTGTTGACGATGACACAGTGAAAAACATGAACCAAAATTACTAAAGAATATTGAAATATAAAAAACATGACAACAAACAAACAAAAAAAGATCGAATGTATTCGGGAAAAACTCGGTTGTCACGGAAACGGGAACCAAAAAAAATTTTGAATGTAAAACCAGCATAAAACACAATTCATTCCAAATACACACACACACACACACACACATATGAATTACATTCGTATGATGACATTGAAAATCTTAATTTTTTTCTACTTAAAATTCGATCGATAAGAAACTAAAGGAATTGAATTGAATGTGAATAAAAGGTCAAGGTGTATTCAAAATTTTTATTTTCAAAAATTCAAATTTCAATATGTTCGATTAAAAAAGAATGAAATGAAAATGGATAGAGAAATTGGGAAAGAAAAAAAAAATTAATTTCGTTTTTTGTGGGCATAAGTGGTGTGTGATTGAAAATTCTGGTTTTAAACTGAAAAAACTGATTACAGAAAAAACGGTAAAAGAATTAATATGGATTTTCATAGATTATTTAGTTCCACTGGTTATTTCCGGCGTAGCGGCAGCGGCAGTTGTAGCAGAAGTCGAATTTGTTGCTGTAGTAGTAGTAGGAGTATCCATTGATGATTTTATCGGATCATTTGAACCTTCGAGTGTTTTCATCAATCCATTCAAATCGTTCACAGATTTCAAACAAAATTTTTTCAATTGTTCATACTATAGAATTGAAAAAGAAAAAACGGTCAAAGTGGTCATAAATCAGATATTGTTTGAAATTTACCTTTGATTTGATTTGATCACGATCACGTTTTACAGCACAAAGTTCCTCATTTTGTCGGCCAGTGGCAGCTGTCATTTTCTTTTGTTTAGTTTCCAATTCTTGTACATAATTTTCCAAATGAGCTAGATAATAGATTAGAAAAATTTGGATTTTGTTAACAACAAAACGAAAATGAAATAATTATTGAAACCCTTACCAATCTTTTTTGTTGTTTGCGTCATTGAATCCTGAAGACAAACTTTGATCTTTTGATCCTGTTCCGATTGTTTTATCAATTCCTCAACATTATATTGTATAGAATTTCTTTCGATAATCAGTGTTTGATCCTTAGTATTATCAGCCGAACCAATGGCCATATTTCGATTAGTTGACGAACACGATGAGTATGATACGGTTGGATAATGTATCTGTCGTGGTATTAATTGTGATGGTTGTGGAAAAAATATGTACATTATTCTTTCATTCATCAATGATGATGATATATGAATATTGGCCAACGATAATAATGATGAGACTAGTGATTGAAATGTTTTCTTCGATTGTATGAATCCAGTCGATTGTAACAATGTATTGAGATCATCGGCCAACATATAGCCACAATGACCTTTTTCAAAATATGAGAATGCCAGATGAACATAATTGATTGGTGTTGGTATACGACCACTTGTACTATTGGTATCCGTATTTGCAGCAACCGGTAATGTTGCTGGTATAATCGATTTCTGTTGCTGTATGCATTCAAAGATGGAAGACAGAATATAACGGGCAAAATGCATGGTCAATGAATCTCGAATGAATTCGGCAACAATAATCAATTCAAATTGATCAAAACGATGTGGATTCAATGCCGATTGTAATGTTACTATTGATAATGGTTGTTGACCCGATCCAGTTTTTACTTTTATCGACGATGGTATGGCTGTAAAATTATTATCCATCAATTGTTTTTTATGTTGTTTGAATGGTGATTCTTCTATTTTTGAATCATTCGATTCTTGTTCATGTTGTTGTTCAGATTTAGATTTTTTCATAATTGTTTCCTTCGACTTTGATTCATCTTCATCATCACCATTAGCAAGATTATCATCATCATAATTAGCAACTTTAGAATCATCGAGTTTTCGTTTCTGACCAGACAACAATATCAAATCTTCATTATCATCCATTTGAGAATTCAGTGGAGATGATTGATTTTCCTCATAATGATCATCAATCATATTGATATCTTCAGATTTGCCAATAGTCAAATCTTGTTGTCCATCAATTCCGATACTATGACCATGGCCACTATCTTCACCGGAAAGAATTCGCAATGATTCTTGACATACTTGTTGCAAACGTTGAAATAATTGTTCTTTTTTCCAACGACTTTCGAAACGTATATAAAATTTTTCTAATTCATTTTTTAATTCAGCCACTTTAAGACCAGCCATCGTTTGCAATAATTTCTCTATATATTCTTTTTTCTCTTCATTCGGCACATCTTTAATGCAAACACGATCAGTAGATGAAAGTTTCAATGAAACTGTCACATTGTCATCAGTGTTTGTTTCCATTTGTTCTACTTTTTTGGATTCAACTTTCGATTTTGTTGATGATTCATTGGATTCTGGCTTTATATCACTAGTCTGTTTACTGGTCGTTGATTTCAAATCTGTAGTAGTGGGGATTGAAATATTATTCGAATCTTCTATATCATTTTTAAATGGACGATAAATACTATCAAATGATGACCAAATATCTGGAAAATAAATTTTGGTCACCTCATAACCAGAATTTAATGGATCAATTGAATTGTCACGATTATATATGAATGTAGAGAATACACGCCATTGTCGACATGATGATAGATTGAGACCAGTTTGTTCCCAAACAATTCGTATAGCCGTATTGATTAGATTCGGTTCATCATTATCCATGTAGCCATCCAGATCACGCTGAAATTTTCCACCAATCAATGAATATCCATCATTACTATTACGTGTGACTAATAATTGAAATAACTTATGAAAATGTCCAACATGATTTGCGGATTTATGACCACCGCCACCACTTTGTGGACCAGGAAATTCTGATCCAAATAAACGTTCATAAATTTCAGCCAATGATGGTAATGATATAAGCAATACTTTTACATTGAATTTATGGCTCAAAACTTTTACAGATTTCTTCGAATGTTTCGTATCTTTTTCTCCATCTTTATGTTTAGAAGATTCATCCGATTCTGCGCATTTCTTCATTTCTTCATTTGTTTTCATTTTGATTTTATCATCATGTTCATGTTCATCATCATCATTATCATCAACATCGGTATCAACATCTATTTTAGCATTTGTTTCATTTTCCGTTTTAATTGATTGTTGATTTTCGATCGATTGTTTTTCTGTGTCATTTGATTCTTCCTCTTTATCCTGTTCTTCCTTATCAACTTCCTCTTCTTCGGGTGTTTGTATTGTTGATGCGTCTGCAGTTGTTGGTGGCTGATCCACTTCCATAGTCGATGCAGATTTGATTGATGTATCGGTTTGTAATTGTTGTTCATTTTCTATTTTCTTATCATTTTGGCCGATTTCATCCATTTTCTTATCACTACTTTCTTCCTCTTGCGGTTTTGGCTGCTGTTGTGATTTATCCGATTGTTTTTCTTTATCATTTTCATCTTTTGAAATTTCTTTTGTATCCTTATCTTTTTGTGTCGGTTTAATATTGTTTGTCACTTGGGAAGATTTTGAAATCCTTGAATTTTCCTTATGATGATGATGTAATGACGATGTATCTTTTTTAACTGGAACAATAATTTTATAAAGAATTGGTTTAGGCATATTGAATAAATCAAAACCATTTTCAACGTCGTATATGATTTCCTTCAAATCTGATGGTACATGTACAGTATTGGAACCGAAACGTGATTTCAATTCAGTTGAATTGTATCGATTTCTATTCATGGGAAAAAACAATGTAATAAACATAAAGTTATGAAGATTGAAATATTCATCATACTTGATTATCGATGATTTCGGTATGTTACATGGTTCATAACGTCGTTTAGGTAGATAGGACATTAGATTCGATGCCGATGATGATTCATTACGACGATTCGATGTACCACCAGCTGTACTATTACTAGTTAAACTTGGTGATGGGGAAATCGAACGTTTTGATGTTCGATCTCGTTCACGATGATCTCGGCGATTTTCGCGACGATGTGAATCATTTTGTCGTTCCAAGTTTTTATGAATATTATTATCCACTTGTTTCGGGTCACGATCACCACGACGATTATCATGACGAAAATCTTTATCCCTTTGAAATCGACCTCGATCTTCGTTGAACGAATGTTGATCACCAAGACTACCACCACCACCACCACCAGTTGATTGTAACAATTTTCGTTGATTAGCACCTAATGAATAATCCGGACCACTACGACCAAAATTCGTAGGTTGATTAGGACCTTGTTGATGTAGGGGTTGTGAAGGTGGCGGCTGAAATCGTTCCGGAACAGCATCACTAAATCGAGATGGTTTCGAACCAAAACGGTTAGCTGAACGTGGATCTTCACGACTAGGGCCACGAAGACCACCACCACCACCAGTACGTGGATCATCACGTTGATGATCCCATCGACCAGATCCTTGTCTTGAAGGTCCACCAGTACCAGGAACAGTTGGAGGTTTTGACTGTTGATTGAATGGTGAACTTATAAAAGCTGAACCTATTCAAAAATGTTTAGAAAAAAATCAAATTATAATAAAAATTTTTGAAAAAAAACTCATCAGAACAAGTTTTTCAATAACCTAAAATAAAAATGAACGTTATTATCCCGTTATATTCTATTCTATGTATTATAATAATAATGGAAAGAAAAAATTAACGACAATTTTGTTGACAATGAAACATCATCATTAATGGATCGACAAAAACAAATATTAAAGGGAAAAATGATAAAAGACAAATTGAATGAAACAATTAATACCAGGTGTTGATGTATATTGTAAAGAACCAGGATGATGGCCTGGCCCTCCTCCACCACCAACACTGCCATATTGTCCAGATGGATTCGATTGTTGTTGTCCCACAGTACTATTAGTAACCGGATTTGCTGTTGTACAATATTGGGATAATTGTTGAACAGCAGCAGCCGCTTTAGCCAAATCTACAGGTGACACGGTTGCTGCAGCAGCAGCTGCTGCGGCCGCAACTGTTGAATTATTTGTCGATGTTATCGATCCGGTTGTTTGTGACGATTGTATACCACCGGATGTAGCAGATGGATGATAAGCAACTGTTGGATTATAAACCTGTGGTGGCTGTGATGGTGGCGGCTGAAGACTTGCCGTACCATATGGTGATGGTTTTTGACCACTATTTAAAGATGATAATTGTTGCTGTTGTTGTGGATGATATGGGTGACCCAAATGACCACCAGCAACAGCCGATGAGTATCCTAATTGTCCGCCGGATAATGGATGATTTGTAGGTTGTACATGTTGTTGCTGTTGTTGATGAGGAAGATTATGTGAATGATACATATTCGTTTGTTGTTGTGTTGCCGGATTATTATTTGTATTACTATTAATTGTATTCGATTGTAATGATGATGATGATGATGATGATGGTGGTGTTTGTGAAGGATTATAAGATGGATGAGATGGCGCCACGCTATGCAATGATTGTTGATGATGATGTTGCTGTAACGATGCTGGTGATGATTGAGTATGTTGATATGATTGTGATGTTTGATGTAATGAAGGTGGTGGCTGTGGTTGTTGTTGAGATGGCTGTTGATGGATCGGTTGTACAATCGTTGCGTTCCAATTGAATGGTAAATTTTTCGAATATGTACATTCGAAAAATACTTTATCACCAACTTTTACTTGTGATGCACCACCTTTGACAACACTAAATCATTTGGAAACAAATTGGAAAAAATTCCGAATCCGAAAAAATAGGTGAAAAAATGAATGTAACCAATATGATTCGATATGTGGTGTTAGTGGCCATTCGATTAAATATTGTTTCAATATTATTTAAGGGAATGATAAACCATCCATACATGTCATCCAGGAATTATTATCAATCAATGATGAATGATCGATTTCATTTACCAAGTTTCAATTGTGTAGACACAACACACAAGCACATTTTGTTTTGGATACGAATATCACATAAATAATAGTGAATCACATATAACGATCAATGGAATGAAACGAAAATGAATGAAGAATCCAAATATTTGTGTTTAATATCCATACAAACACATATATCCAGGAATCGAATCCAAAATCCAAAACGGGTGTAAAGCAAAATTTGAAACAAAATCGAATCATTTTTCATCATCATTAATATATATAATACGTTTTAAACAATTTGTTTGAATTTAAATTATCCATAATTTTTTTTTGTTTTCATTGTGGTGTTTTTTTTGTTTGACCATCCCATCCATCCAATCGTTCGATTCATGTTAATGATTCAAATAAAAATCGAATAGAAAGAGAAGAGAATAAAGAGAGAGAGAGAGAGGAGAAATAATAATTAGGTCTAAAATAATAAACAAAAATCATTCAATTCCAATATTTTGTGTTTCATCCAACTACAAATATCCGTACGAAATACATGTGGCTATATGAGAAAAAAAGATTGGTAAATATAGTTATTCATCCAATTGTTGTTTTGACCAATGATCAACATTTCAAATTCATGTTCAATCAACGAATAATGAATAAGTAGTGAATGAATGAAAATCGTGAATAGAAAAGAAATAAAAGAAACAAATACCTCAATGGAAAGAAAACAGAATCGTCGATGAAACCAAAATTGTCAAGAATTTTCGTTATCGTTCCTGTTGATTGTTTTGTTGGTCCTAATTGCAAACAGGAAAAAAAAGTGAAAAATTTTGAAAAAATTATTCGAATCTTTCATACCTAAATTCGATTGCTGTGAATTATTCGATTGTTGTTGTTGCTGTGCTGATAACATTCTGATGAAATGAAGATGGTGATAATACAATCGAATCACATACACACTCACATATACAAGTTATATGATGAGAATGAATTTCAATGAAATTTAAATGAAACAAAAAAAATTATTATTTCTAATTTCAATTTTTTTTAGCCCAACTTGATAAAATGTGTGAACAAAGTAAATTATAAAATACATGCTCGCCTTCGCCGCTCATTGAGCAAAGTTAATTTCTTTTTGTTGGCACCTCCCTCCTTGATCGTTCTCGATAAAAGAATAATTTCATTGGGGACCTTTCATTGATTCTGTAATATTCTAAAATGCAAGTGTGGTATTTTTTTTCATTTTTTTTTTGAATGTTTAATTTTCCTGTTTCAAATGAATATGTTTTAATATTTTAATCATGATTTTTAATGATAATATGGATGAACCGGATATTATTGAAAATATAAATGCTGATATGTTGGTGATCAATGATGTTGATGATAACGATAAGCTTGTAAATAAGAATCAAAAAAAAAGAAGAAAAAATTTTAAATGTCCATATGAAGAATGTGATGGATGTTTTGTAAAGAATATTCGTCTACAAACTCATATCCGTATCCGTCATACCGGTTATGTATGTTTTTTATTTAATTTGAATAATTTTTAAAATTTTATTAAATTTTCAAATAAAATTCAGGCACCGTATGAATGTCCACGCGATAATTGTCGTGCATCGTTTGCATGTCAATCCTATCTTAATAAACATTTACGTCGACATGATAAGGAACCATCGAAAAAATCTCGTCAACGTCGTGAATATGCATGCACAGAATGTCCTGAATTATTGTTTCGAAATAAAACTCAACTAAAACAACATCAAGCAAGTGTACATAATCAAATGCCATTTAAATGTGAACATTGTGAACGTGGATTCATTGTACGTTCGAAATTAAATGCTCACCGACGTCGTCATCGTGGCTATCAATGTGGCCGTGAAAATTGTAATTATCAAACTGATAAATGGACTGATTTACGTAAGCATTTAGCCAAAGAACATCGAAAACTTGAATGTAATGTCTGTATGAAAACATATTCATCATCATATCATCTACGTGTACATCGACAGACAGCTCATCCGGACGAATCAATAGAAGTACCGAAATTTCATTGTCCACATACCGATTGTGATCGAAGTTATACCCGTTCGTCTTCTCTACGAGGACATTTACTAGCTAATCATTGTGATCCGAAACATTGCTGTTCAAATTGTGATAAACGATTTCGACATAAAAAAACATTGGTGGCACATTTGGATCGTTGCCATTCGAGCAATAGTGGCAATAATGAACGAAAAAAAGTGATATCGAAAAAAACTTCAAAGATTAAATTAACCAAAGCTAAATTGGATAAATTACTTCGAGTAAAATCATTGTTTCAGCCCAAACAATCGAATACTGAAGAAACCACCGATACAGATTGTAGTGAAAATATCAATCACAGTGATGGTTATGATGATAATAATGACAGAATCGATTATGATATGTTAGCCGAATCGAATCTCATGTCCGATATGTTAAAAACCAATCAATGAAGGCAGGCATTCTAAACGAATCAAAGTCAAATGAAAACAAAAATTAATCAATCAATCATTCGATTTGAAACAAAAAAAAATTGACCGAATGAACTTGAAATTATTTCAATTCAATCCAATCATAGGTCACACACACATACAAAAACACTGATAATCAATCAATTGGTAATCAAAATTTTTTTGAAAACAAAATTAATTGAATAATATTTGGCAACACTATCAATATATATGGTGAAAATTGTTGAAATTTAAATTAAAACTTTTGTCAAAGAATGAATAAATTGAATTTCTCCCAAAGGGGGAAGAAGGAACACAAGATGGAAGGAAAAAATTTAAATTAAATCATTTTCAATTTATATGCGTGTGTGTGTGTGTGTGATCCAGGATCGATGATGGATTTTTTTGCCATCGACGGAATCCGAGGAGCCTGTTGAACCGTAACTTGTTGTTACCATTAGGTTTGGATGATAATTTTTAAATTAGATGATGATAATGTTGATCTTTTATTAGGGATTTTTTATTTATTTTCTTCAATTCGAACTAGTCAACCATGAACACACAATGAATGATATAAAGGAATGAAAAAACCTCTAATAAACGAAACTTTTTTCTCACCAAATTTTCTCATTTTGATTTTTTAGTTCGTTTTCGATATTTTTCCGCTTTCTATGTTGATGTTGATTGCTATATATAATGACAAAAAAAAAACAATCCCGAAACGAATAGATCCATGTTGTTAATATGTGTTCGATATTCGAATGATAATCATTTTTTTCGTTCCAATACTAGAAAATGTATCATAATCTTGGGTGTCGCTACAAAGTTTCGCATTCGATCTTTATTGATTGATTGATTTACTTTGATTTTAATCGTCTGAAGTGAATTTATTCGTTTGATTGAAAAAAGCATTTTTTCGACAAAAAAAATTATTCATCATTCGTGATCATCATCTCGTTCAAAATAAAAATATCATACGAACGAATGAAAAAAATGTTCCATACAACAAAACGGATATTATCAATATCAATATCTTTATTCGTTGTGGTCATCATTTTTATTATCATCGTTGTTGATGCATCGATTGGTTATAAAAAATTTCTTAAAGGTTTAATTGTTGGTGCACTTTTAAGCAAAGGTAAAGGTGGTGGTGGTGGCAATTATCAAGATCAACATCATTATTTTTATCCGGTTAGTTATTATCCAACATAGTAAGTAAATGAAAAATGATGATGATGATTTTAACTTGGCAAATAAACTAAAAAAAAAAAAACTTTATTTTTTCATACAGCAGCGATAGCTATGATGATTCATATGATTCATGTTCATATCGATAATAATCGAAAAATAATAATGTTGTTCATCTCTTTTCATTACATTTCCTTCAAGTTTTTTTACACTATTTTTCAAAAATTTATTCACCTTCACCTTAAACACACCCACACACAAATTTATATGACAGGAAAATTAGCATTTGTAAAATAATAAAATAATATATTTTTCACCTAACAAACAAACAAACAAACAAGCAAAAAAAAAACAATTTAAATTTTTTTTTTTGACAATTGAAAAACAAAAGGAAAATCATTCGGTAGTTATTAGGATGATTGAAATCGTTCACGATTAACATCGATAGATATGTCAATTAGATCGGAACCGAGAAAAAAATCACCGGCAACAATATTCGTACAATTTGACCAACGATAACGGAACCATTGTTCATAATTCATATTGACTAAAGCGGCCATTTCACGTAAACCATGATAACGACGAAATAGTACACCTTCAACTGTTGGTGTTAATTCAGCCATCATCGAACGCAATAGATGTGTATTATGAAATGATCGTGATGGTTTACATATCTGTTCCTGAATATATGATTCCAATTCGATTAATTTATCCGTATCAGCCCATAAATGTTGTACTGGTGGCCATAACATTATCGAATCTGGTAATTGGCGAACATCGAATTTATATGCATAACAAATCAATACGCGTTGATTACGTGCAATCAAATTACCAATGGTTGGTAAACCTTTAGAACTGTGTATGATTAAATCAAATATAATTGATAAAAAATGAATGAATGATCGATTAAAGAGAGAAACAAAAATCAGGAACAATTATCTAACCCTATTTCCTATTGGATATATAATCATAATCATAATATTATATATAATGATTATGTTTATAATTACAATGTAATAACAACAAAAACAATTGACAAAAGTTCAAACCAATAATTGTCAACATATATTATATGATGTCGATGGTAATAATCAATTTTTTTCTTTCTATTTCTTTTGTCAGTTCATTTCACACTTGGATAAACCATTTCATCGGTGATTCATTTGTTCATTACCTGTATGGAATAAGATATGGGCCAAGTTGTTGATGTATGATGTCGATAAATGTCTGTAAACGTTGACGCATAGCTTGTAAATCATTTTCACCATCAAATCCATGTACAAATCGATGAAAATCAATAATAATAATTTCGTGTGTTGTACGTGTTAGAAATTTTACAACTTGGCGTATGGCCTGTTTCAATGTAATACGATTACGTTGCATATCATGTACCATCCAATATTCTTCAATCCAATTAAATGTCTGGCTATCCGTATGATTTGTTTGATTATAGACGGCAACACGCCAATCCATATATCGGATACCGTAGGCAAGTTGATTGTATAAGCTTTCATCCTGTGTATATTGAAATCGGCTTAAAACTATTGTTATAAAAAAAAATTTATCCATTTTAATTAATTTTAAAATCAAATTGATGAAAATTACTACCATCAAGTTCATAGATATCGTAGGAATATTTTTCATAACTACTTGCATCATGTGTTCCGGGTATCATCAATTCGGATAATCGATGATCTTTAATACGTTCAAATAATTGTTCCATCCATCGAGCTTGCATTCGAATACAATTTCTTGATTCAATATTTTCATGATGATTTACATAGACAACCATATATTGAAGACAATTTTCATAAGGATCATCTTTATCGGTTTTATTAAGATTCGTTAGATTTTGATAATTAAATTCTAAATCACTTTTATAATAACGTGGAAATGTACGATTCGTTTTCGTATCGATCAATGGAAATGTTCGTATCTGTACAGAATCATTTGTCCGATAAATGGCTAAATAATCACCAGGTTGTGGTGGTACCGGACGTCGCCAATGTATTTCCAATGCACGAATTAATAGATCACGATTATGATCCTTTGAATCATGTCCAGTTACATTCACCACCGATGATATGGTAAGCCATACACGTGTTTGTGATAGCTGTGATTCATAATGTTTTAAACGATCATGATATCGACGTTCATGTTGATCATTTGGATTCTTAAGATCTTTAAGGAAATCGGAGAATCGATTAAACAATCGTTCGAATGGTGATTGATCTGAAGACAAAACTGTATGACTAGATAGAAAATGTTGAATAACAATAATAGTGATGATGAACACGATCCTTGTCATTGTGAAATGAACGGAAATTTAAGATGAACGAATCAACAAATATTGAAGAGAACACAATCAGAGTATCGAATTTTAATAGAATGTAAACATGAATTCAATGCGGATATGTTAAAATGACAACAACAACTATGATGATGGTGTTCCACAATTTAGAAAATAATTATCTAAATTCAACATGTAGAAAAAAATGATTAAAAAAATATAAATGTATATGGATGAGTTGTTTAAAGCCTCTATCATGGGGAGGGGGAAAAATACATTTCTCAATAAGTCAAGCGAATGCGTTGTTTTTGCCATCATAATCATTGATCACAATCAAAATAATGTTGATTAATATTAATATATATATGAGGATGCTATTTTATCATTTAACAAGTTTATTGGTCTATGTTTATTTGTTTCAATTTGATACTTAGATGGCTTTAATAGCTGTGCATCACATGCACATTTGATTAGGATGTAAATCAATTGTATAGCATCAATAAATCGTTGATATGATACATAAGAAGAAATCATCATGGGATTTAATAACATTGAGAAAAATTGGCACGAGTCAACAAAATATAAATGAATTTTCATTTCAAAATCATTCGAATGATGAGGAACTTGGATTCAAATAAAATTGAATGACATTCAATGTAAATGAATATTGGTGATGTTTTTTTTTGAAAATTATATTATATGACGCTTTGACGTTTATAATCCTTAACATCCGCCAATGAAAAAAAAAAATTCATTCCAGTAATGAACAACATTATCGATAGTGTGTGCATATTCATTTCATAATTCGATTGTATATATCCATTGGTTTATGTTGTGGATTTTATATTCGAATTTTGTAATCAAATTTCATTTCAAAGTATTAATTAATTAATGTAATCATTATTCGCTTGTCATTTGTGATTTATGATCATGGCCGACCATCATCGAAATGATGATGTGAATAATATTTCAAGGGATTCCAATGACGATTGCTCATCTTCATTGTCAGCTGTAAGTTTGAGCAATTTTTTGTTAAAAAGTTTATTTACATTTTTTTTTAATTTAAGGCTAGAGAAGATTTTAATAATGGAGATGATGAAGAAGAAGAAGAAGATGATGATGATATCGTACTCATGGAGATTGGAAACAAAACAGAATCTTCCATAGAAACGCCGACAACAACAAAGCATCACGATCAAGCAATTGAATTGAATTGCAATCATATTCTAGAATCTTATGATACAGATCTCGGTAATCAAGATCATGTAAGATATACGTTGAATTCGAATGTCGTAAGAATGAAAAAAGCTCGCCAAGAAGTGGAAATGGAACCGTTTCCACATGATATTGTATTTGATCGAAATAAAATTGATACAATAGCTTTGGCTCGAGTAATGATAACCGAACTTGGCCGTTACAAAATTCCACGATCAGCATTTGCCGATCATATACTTCATTGTTCACGATATACTTTGTCAAGAGCTTTGAAAGATCCACGGCCATGGAGTGAAATGACCAAGGCAAATTTTGATTCAACAAAAGCACTTTATGTACAGATTAAAAAATGGTTACAAAAACCGCTCATTGAACGGCGACGAGAATATATTGCTGTCAAAGCTTTGCTATTGGAAAATATATCCGAATCGAATGATGTGACACCAGCCACAAAGCGCTCTACAGATTCATCAAATCGCGATTCGAATGATACCAGTTTTACTGCCACAACTTATACTCCGTTCGCTGTAATCATACAGAAATGTTGGAGAGGATATAAGGTTCGAAAACGATTAGATTGTGAAACGCCATCATTCAGGATCATACGACAACGTTTACGATTCATCGAACAAGATCGTATGCGTCAATATCGGAATAATGGTGGCGATCCGGATATTACCCGTCAATTTTTACAAATATCACGCACAATAGAACAGATACTTAGGCGAGATACACACAGAAAAACGTTTGAATCAATACAACTTAAAATGCAAGAGGTACAGAAATTATCGCTGAAAATTTTCGAAATACTAAATCAGCACAAACTCGATAAACGTGATGGACAAATAGCCAAAATAAAAATCGAACATGAACAACGATTACAGAATCTACAGCAAGAATATTGTCAACAAATTGAACAGATTCAAAAACAATTAAGAGAAAGTCAAGAACAGAATATACAAATTGTACAAAATGAACATCCAGCCAATTATATTCAGACACAATCAACAACGATACAACCGACACAATTCTATCATATTAATTATGAACCATATCGGTATTAAAATTTTTTAAACATTTTTAACATATCTGTATTTTATTCCATCAACATGAATATTAAGGAAATTGTTTATTTATCAATCCTAAATTCTTAAATTAAGCTTGGTTTCGCTAATCCAGAATCTAATGTATAAACTGGATGTTCATAAACACGATTTTCACCAAGATCACCATCATAAGCACCATTCCATTTCCAAGCGGCTAGTAAAAATGGCCAATGGTCTTCAATATGCTGTAATCGTACACCTAGATCGGTTAATTGTAAATTTTTGGATACTTCATCACTGATCGCTTCCTATATTGAATCGAAATTAATGAAAATTAATTAATTAATTGAATGATCAAATGATCCATTTACCCTTTCGATACGTTCCCAACAGGTTTTCGGTTTTTTAAACACCGATTTTAAATTTGACCATAAAAATAATCGTGGACGTACTTGTAGATCCCAACGTAAATTGGTCACCCTAAAACCACAATCGTGTTGTTTGCCAATTATATCATTAATGTATAGGGCTAGCCGACGTAGTTCATATCGTCGTGGCCTAATATTTCAATCAAATTGTAAATAAATTTGAAGAATGCATAAATAAATTCACTGACCCGACAGCATCAAACGTCTGACCAATGGCTGCATCATCAGTAATGGAATTGACAATGCCTTCGGCTAGGTCCGATACGCTTACAGGTGTTTTTGTTATACCATAACCACCACTGGGTAATGGAAACGTACGGAATCCACGTCGATGTGGAAAACAATAATACCAAAGAAAATTATCGCATTCACCATATACATCGGCCGGTCTAAATATAGTTACATCGGGATATTCTTCACGTACTGCAATTTCACCCCAATATTTGGATTTTAGAAATTTGGATCCACCTTTTAAATAATAAGCAGGTGGATTTGGCGATGAATTCAATGATGATACATGAATCAAACGTTTAATGCCGAGTTCACGAGCTATTCGAGCTATGGTACGCGGACCTTCAACATGAATGGTTTCGAAATCAAAATTATTCGTTTCATTACCACGGCCAATTAAATTAATCACTACATTAGAATATTTCATGGCACGATACAAAGTGTCCACATCGTTCAAACTATAAGGTACGAAAAGGATTTGTCCAAGATCTCCGGCTAATTTCAGATTTTTCGTAAAAAAAGAATCACCACGATATGGACAAATAACCTGTGAACCACATTTGGCAAGATTATTGACCACCGATTTTGCAATGAAACCAGTGGCCCCAAATACGGTAACAATCAATCCGTTAAAACTTGATCGATAACCGGTACCACGTTTAAGTTTCAATGTTTCAACATCAGGAAAAGTATCCTTATTCAATACGCGTGGGAAGAAATCGGCTTTACGTTCGGCCGGAACTGTTGATAAAAATCGAAGATGAACATAATGATTTTGGTGATGGTAGTGACCTGAACATCTGAGAATGTTGTTCAATTTAATCAAATTATTCATTGTTACCGTCGACATAATTCAAGTTTGTAATGAGGTGAAAAATCCACCAACACAAATTTTTTTTTTTTATTTTTTTTATTATTATGATGTCTTTCGATTGTTAAACAAGGACTCGATATATCGATTAAAATACAAACAATCGATTGTCATATGTTCACAAATACATGCACATGTTTTTCGTTTTGGCTTGTCGAGATAATTATCAATATATATCGATCATAACGGGATCAATTTATCCATCTGTTTCAAGAAGAAATGTCTATATTAATATTGACACGAATTTTTAATGGTGCTGGCATATCCGCCGCAACTTCGTCACTTGGACGTAATCGTTTGGCTGTGTTTAATGGTGCACAGCTAAATTTGATTCGATCTCTATCGGTACCACCACCACCTGGTCCAGGAGGTGCTAAAGTATTCAAAAGAGATAAACCACATATGAATATCGGTACGATTGGTCATGTTGATCATGGTAAAACTACGTTGACCAGTGCCATCACTAAAATATTGGCTAAACATAAATTGGCTAAAGTAAAAGAATATGATGAAATTGATAATGCACCAGAAGAAAAGAAAAGAGGAATTACCATTAATACAGGTATGATCGATCATTGAGGAAATTAAAGATGATGTTTGCAAATGTAACCATTTTGTTGTTTATCAATTAAATAGCACATGTTGAATATGAGACAAAAAAACGTCATTATGCTCACATGGATTGTCCCGGTCATGCTGATTATATTAAAAACATGATTACTGGTGCTAATCAAATGGAAGGTGCCATCCTGGTTGTAGCTGCTACTGATGGTGTTATGCCGCAAACTCGTGAACATCTTACTCTTGCCAAGCAAATTGGCATTGAAAATATAATCGTCTATATAAATAAAGTGGATGCTGCCGATACTGAAATGGTGGAATTAGTTGAAATGGAAATACGTGAACTATTGACCGAACTTGGTTATGATGGTGACAATGTGAATTTTGTTCAAGGTTCAGCATTGGCCGCTATGGAAGATAAGAAACCCGAAATTGGTGAACAATCGATTGAAAAACTTATGCAAATGGTGGATGAAGTATTTCCCGATCCTATTCGTGAAGTCGATAAACCATTTTTGTTGCCAGTCGAACATGTTTATTCGATTCAAGGACGTGGTACAGTCGTCACTGGCCGTTTAGAAAAGGGTGTAATCAAAAAGAATACTGAATGTGAAATTATCGGATATGGACGTCATCATAAAAGTGTAATCACTGGTATTGAAATGTTCAAGAAAATCTTGAACGAATCACAAGCTGGAGATAATTTGGGAGCATTATTACGTGGTATTAAACGTGACCAGGTTCGTCGTGGTATGGCCGTTGTCAAACCGGGTGAATATCGAGCTGTTGATCATGTGGAAACACAAATCTATATGTTAAAAAAAGAAGAAGGTGGAAAAAATCTGCCATTTTTGTCAATGCTTCGTGGACATTGTTTCTGTCGTACGTGGGATTGTGCGGCCGAATTAAATATTGTCGGTAAAGATATGATTATGCCTGGCGAAGATGCCAAAGTCATTTTAAAGGTAAACAAAAACATTGTTTCAATTTTACTAATCTAAATGAAAAAAAAATTTACCCCTCTTATTTTAGATTCTACGACCAATGGTCATGGAGAAAGGATCCCGTTTCACAATCCGTGATCAGAAACAAACAATCATGACCGGTGTGGTTACGGATTTATTAACCGATCTAACACCAGAAGAAAGAGCCAAATTGGAGAAAGGTCGCACTAAGAAAGAACGTGAAGAAATGGAAAAACGAATGAAAGAAATTGAGGAAGGTTTTGCTGAGAAAGAAAAATAGACGCAATAACAGCATCAAATGTCATTCACATATGAATATTTGATTCTTAAGTAGTTGTATTTTGTATTTGTAACTATTAATTAAAATAATCATTGAAACAATTATTATATGGATTCGGGTTGTATATTAGTACTACAACGACCGTATTGAACAACGATAGGGCGATCATGGAACATAAAGCCATTAGTTGATGTTAATGCTAAGCTAGCCTGTGTCACTTCGGGATAGGTGACAAAAGCCTGACCACGCATTCGACCTTTTTCCATGTAGACGATGCCAAATTTATCTACATGATCATAATTATCAAGATGAATGTAGCGAGCAAATAATCGATACAAATCTCGCAGTAAAACTTTTCGATGGATATTTTTCACATAAAGCCGATGACTTTGATGATCACCCATTGAATAATTTTTGAATACGGGATATTCTGACCATTTGTCTGTAGGTATTCGATTTGATTCCAATTCCTGATCAGTAATCAGATCCTCTGGACGTAATAGACAAATATCAAAAGTATTATCACTGATCGATGATGGCTTCGATTTCAATCGAGGTGGTGAATTTGGTTTGACTAGAGATCCGAAACCATCGGAAGTGGTAATATGTTCAATAATCGAATTGGATGACGATGGAATTGAAGTAGAATTGTTGTTAACAGTTAAATTTATCGAAAGTTTTTTTGATATTGGAACTGTATCAAAGATTTGCTCGATTTCTGTAGTGATTTGGTTTTTAGTATTGGTTGTTGTTGGATGAAATGATTCGGCATTGTCACCAATGAATCCTGTTTTTAGCCGCTTTCTACGACGTCGACGACGTTTCATTTCGAATTCCGGTGCTTCACTGTGATTGAGATCATTGATGGTGATATTGGTTTCCAATTCAGATTCTTCATCTGAATCTGGTGGCAATAAAATTGTAGATAAGTGATCATTTTGCTTGGTGAACGATACATCCAGACCAAGTTTAATCATTATTGTGACGACATATTTATAAAATTTTTCATTGTTTAACAAATGTTGTCCGATTTGTTCGATAATTAGTGTATCGGCTTTCGGGATATCTTTGAAAGTTGAATTAAAAATACTGTCAGGAATGGATTGACGTTGCAATTGTTGGATATGATCACGAAACGCTTGAAATTGGTCTTGCTCAATCTTACTATAAGAAATCGAAAGTAAATTGATTATATCTTATTATATTGGAATGAGAAAAATACCGTTTGAGTGCTTGATCACAGACATGATGACTTGGAAGACGACGAATCTGTTCTGGTTTTGCAAATTCAACACGTAAACGTCGGCCATTCCATTGACGTTGGTGTAACAACCGAATTACCATATGACATGCAAGTTCATCCGTAAAAAAAGCAACCGAATAATATGGCTATAAGTGTGATAAAACAATCCTGACATGAATTCAATGTGTTTTTGATCAAACTATAAATATAACGAACATACATGATTATGAACAGAAGTAGCACCTAGGCCATATAACATTTCATTCCGATCAAAATAAGAAAATTTGGTGGTCAAATTACGAATTTCCAATGCCGGAATGACCGGTTCCAAGGAGATGGTCGATGTTGCCGGCACATTCATCTCGTTGACACAACATACATAAGACAAAATGATTATGACATTGAACAATAGTAGAATTGAAGAATAGTCAATGAATGAGAATTCATTTAGACAAATTTTTTAAAATTATAAACATCAAGTTTAGAATAGTAAAATCATATATGATTTTATTTAATTTAAATCATCATATGATTTACACACACACACATGGTTTCAATCAGATTTGGAAATTTATACTGACACGTGATTTATGAATGGATCAATTTTATTCGTTGTAAAAAAAATGCGTAGTTATTCGAGTTTGTGTGAGTCAGCCATGTATATGTATTATATATCTATATATATATTCACATTCGGACAAACCCAACCAACGCACACACACACACACTCATATAGTATATAATTTTGAACTGAGCGAATGAATAAAAAAAAATGAGAAAAGCAAATAAAGATTTCGTCGAACAGAATACAATACATAATACACGTTTTAAATAATACAGCCACCACAACCGAAATATAAAAAAAACTCTCCCTCAATATATATTATTTGCTCTCTTTTTTTTAATGTTTGTATATGTGTTTGATTTACTGTTCTGTCTGTTGTGTGTGTGATGTTTTGTTTGAGTGGCACAGAACAACCAAATGTGTTATGTTGTGTTGTGTTATGTTGTTGTTGATCACGAGATTTTTAAATCTAGTATTTTTCACAATTCATGAATTGTGAAAAATTATAAAAATAATGATTCATAAATTGTTTTAATTAATCTTTTCAGTTATTCATTCATCTATTCATCGATTATTATCAACAATTATTCATTGATTTGAATTTTTTTTTATCAATAATAACGACGAATATATTTTTTTTGGTGAAAAAGAGACCCGCGCGCGCGTAATTTTTTTCTCTGTCTATCATCCACATCCACAATGTCGTCTGCGATTGTTGTTTGTTTTCATTTTTTTCACATTCACCTATCATCATTGAAAAATTGAACATTGAATTTTCTTAATAAAAACAATTTGATTGTAATTGACAATTATTATCCAAAATCAGAATTTTATTCGTGAAGTGAGTGTGTATGAAAGAGAGTACGTGTAGAGATTGCTTAATGATTACATCAGTGAAGATCATATGGGCGTTCATCATCATCATCAGTGTTTTTGTTTTTATTTGTGAAAATCTAACAAACATCTGATTTTGTTTTTTTTTCATTTCGAACGATGGATACATCATCGCATGATCCTGGTACGACCATCTCAATGGCTACCGAGTCGGCCACGCCCACTACCACCAATGTAATATTGACATCGAATGAATCATCATCACCACCAATGATTCCAGCAACATCGACGACAACGACGACAGAAACGATATTGTCAACAATGAAATCTGAAACTTCATCAGAAACGTTACCCCCAAATACCGCTAATAGTAGTAGTGGGAGTGGTGGTGGTGGTGGTGGAAGTAGTGAAAAACCTTTAGGGCTATTAGCACGTGCAGCCATCATGAAACGTCAGATGGATATGGAAAAAGATAATGAACAACAACAGCAACAACAAACATCAATATCATCAAATTCCAGCGGTAATGACGAAAAAACTGTCACAGTTGAACCAACAACCACTGTCACCAAAAAAGCCAAGGTAAATTATTATTATCCTCTTTGTTTAATATTCTAATTTTCGCGCTTTTTTTTGTTCAAACAAAAACAGAAAAGTTCAACGTCCAGTAATGATAAAAAGAGTTCATCACCATCATCATCATCATCCTCATTAACTGCAACAAGTTCATCAACAATTGAAGCTGTTGCTACTTGCAATCCTCAATTTACGCTAAAACAAGTATCGAAATTTTCGGATAAACGATTATTATCAACATTTGTTGAATATAAACGCGATGTAAAAACAAAACGTTGTTCATATAGTTGTCATTTATTGCCCCAGCAATGCCAACAACGTTTTGAATCGGTATTTGGCTCGGCCGAAGCTGAAAAATCAAAAAAGGATATTGTTGATCATCTTCGACAACATTTGTGCAATCTTGAACAAACTATGCCAAATTTAAGGCTTAATTCATGCCGTAAAATTCGAAAGACCGCTTTGGATAAAAAAACAACATCAGCAAAACAGATTAAAAAGGAAACGGAAAATGTTCATGTTACAGTTTCGATTGCGTCAACAACAGCAACGACAACATCGACATCATGTTCACCATTGACAACAACGAAGACGACAGTGGTTGCAGCCGAAAATGATATCCTAAAACAATCGATAGCAAACGCTGAGATTGAAGAGGAAATCTTTGGTCTGATGAATGTTGAGAATCACCAACAAAGACAACTTACCCAACAACAACAGCCTGGATTAATAGGAACTGCTACCGGAGCAGTTCATCATATATTGAATACATCATTACCAATATCTACGTTTGTTGTTGCAACACAAGCAGCGATGGCTGGTCAACCATCACTAATGCCGCATCATACAATCGAGGATGTATCTCAAACGGTCGAAGTTTTTTCTTCAACAGATCCGATTGTTATGGATCAACATCAAAATCAGTCTCTATCCGGAACATTTTCATCAGCGACAATGACCACAGCTGCAACCACAGCGACTACAACAACGTTGATGAATGCGGCTGATCCATCAATGCCAGCACATCAACTTCGTGCATTAGCATTGGATTATATTGATGATATCAGAAAGAAAAGCTCATCGGCAGCACGTTCTATAATTGTTAATGGTGATAAATCGGTCATATATCAGTGTAAAATCTGTCCAGATAAACAATTTACCTCAACAAATGGTTTGATATTTCATTATAAAAAACATGCCGGCCTAAAGCCTTATGTATGCGATCTTTGTTCGGCAACATTTACTCGTCAACATTCATTAAATTATCATATGTTAATACATTTGAACAAATCACGTTTTATTTGTTCCGAATGTTCACGCCATTTTCGTCATCCATCACATTTCAAAGAACATATGCGCCGTCATACGGGTGAAACTCCATTCCAATGTAGCGATTGTCTTATCAAGTAAGTTTCGGTTAGTCTGTTTCAAAAAAAAGTAAAACAATTATTATTATTATTATTTAGATTCAAAACGCGAAACACCTACAAACGGCATTTACAGACTAAACATTCAAAAATATTAACATCAAAAGGAATCATAGAAGTTACGCCTGGATCACAACAGCAGCCGCCATCTCAACAACAAATGACAACAACAGTGCCTACGCCTATAACAGCAACGACTGCAACGAAAAAAATTCTTGCAACCAAAGGTGGAAGTGGAAATATTATGACTGCTGCATTATCGACAACACCTATGGCACATACACAATTGATTGGACAAGTTGTAGCGATTGGTCCATCAACATCAACAGTACCAATTATAGCAGGAACTATGGCCACAACATCGGCATCAAATACAACATCGACAGCAAAACCACGAAGAAAATATGGCATTAAATATTTACATAAAAACATTGAGACAATGACCAAATATGAACAACAACAACATCAACAGACAGCCACATTAATAGCGACAAATCATCCTGCCGCATTGACAGCCAATACGGCGGCAGCCATACATCATCCACAGAATCAAACATTGACGGCCATAACGGATCCGACAACAATAACCGGTACATTAGGTGCAGCAGCAACGGCACAAACAGCGCCTGGATCAAATATAACAATTTTACGGATGCCACAATATCCATCTGTTCATATACTAGATAACGGTGGTGGTACTACAGCAACGGCAAATGCTGCATTAGCTGCCACAATGGCTGCAGCCATACCAACCGGAACGGCGACAACGACGACGACAACAGCAATAGCTCGAAAGACTACATTGTTGAATCGTTGTCAACAACAACAACAACCATCACTATCAACACAATCATTATCATCATTACAACCACCACTACCGGGTCAACAACAACAACAACAACAGACATTAACGTTGGTTACTGTGGGACCAATAGGTATCGATTCTGAAGGTAAACCGATATTTCAGATAACTGGTCAACCGAATGCAACCACAACTGACCATCTGACAGCAGCATCGTTGATACCAACATTTACTACAAATCAAGCGCATGAAATTCTACATGATCAACAATCACAACAACAAAGTTTAACCGAATTAACATCGGCAATACCATTGACAGCGACAACCATTGGTAGTCATCATCCACATCATCATCAATTAATCTATCATAATCAACCACATCAAATATTATCTATACATCCTCAACCTATGACACCATCGGTAACATCAGCAACAGTAATACCAACAACACAATCATCATCAACAGCAACGAATGATAATTTTATGTGTCTATTGGAAGCAATCGAAATGACCAAAGATGAAGAATAAAACATTTTTTTATTATTCTCTACTAGTTGTAATTATTTTGGTCATTTATATCACGGGAAAAGTATCGATTATTATTATTTTGTTTGAGATACTTGAAAAAATTGATTGTGTTCATTTCATTTCTTACATCTTATCATCATCATCATTGTTCATTCATATATTTCACATGTTCACACATTTTTTATTTTATTCATCATGACTTTTTTTTGCAACTACATTCATTATTATCACACACACACGAAAAATCCATGTATGATTCAGCAAAAAAAAACTATAAAAATATGGACATCATACACACACATGAATCATAAACAAAGATCCAGAGAGATATTATTGTTATATATCCCTTATTGTTTATTATTGTTGCTGCTGATAAATAAGTGAGGTGTGTGAAAAACAAAACAAAATTAATGTGTATTTATGAATCGAAACACACTCACACTCACATCGTAATATAAAGAATTGAAACATGTTTAAAATCATTAATCTAAATTGATTGATTGGTTGATCATATATGCTAATTATTCTAATTAATTCTTTTTGCTATTTTTCTATTTCAAACACTATATATACCACCACCACCACACACATCTTACCACCATTTAATGGATGAAATTTTTAGAGAAAAATTAGCTCATTGTTTTCTCAGATTTGTTTTTTTTGTCATCATTGATACACACACATACACAAATACTGAGAATATTGGCATTCTAAAACACACACACACACACACTCATAACCGATTCTTTATCATTATTGGATTCTAATTCACACAATTCATCATTGATTATTATTATTGTAAACAAACATCATAACAACAGGAAACAATTGAATCGCTGAATTTGAAAAATTTAGTTCGGAATGTTTCTTGATCGTTATCATTTGTTTGATTTTTTCACACACACACACACATCATTTGCAAAACATTATTTTATTCTTTAATTTAAAAAAAATTGCATCTTTTTCACATTGTTACAATGAAGTTTGGTCATTTCTGATAATTGAAAAAAATGGAACAAAACTATAATAATCATAAATAATAAAATGAAAAAAAAATATAACTGGTCTAATCTAATTGTCTAAATAATAAGTTCAAAATACAAAAAAAGAAGCGAGACTTACCAAAAGTTTATAGGTAATCCGATTCGAATTTTATAATTATGTGGTAAGAATGTGTCTAAAAATTGATTAATTAATTAATTAGTATATTTAAGATTTAAGAATAAATGATGGAAAAAACTTACAAATTTCAATAGAGTATATCTATGAGAATCTGAATAAATGGTATTGTGACTTAGAGGATAGATATGGAACAAAAATATTAATTTTTTTTTAATATGATTATATATGGCTTTTTTACTCACATTTTATTTTATTCTTTCAACATTTCTTATTATATCATTGCTGCTGTTGGCTATATGTGTATGTATTTTATGTGTGTGTGTGTTTCGATAAATCGAGCAACAATGAAAGAGAGAGAGAGAGAAAGAGAAAAAAAGTGGTAAAGAAAAACCGTGAGACGACTCTGTGTTCCACAATGTTATATGATGATGATGATTGCTTTTGTATGCTATGCATTATTATTATACGATGATGATCATATTATGCTATCTATCTCTTTTTACTATTAAAAAGCAAAAAATACACACAATTCTCATCGATAAATAAGAGCAAAATGGGAAAAAAAATAAATCAAAAATGGCTTGGCTCAAAATCAAAATGTGTTTAGTTGGTTGATTTGTAAAGGTGAACCAAAGGGGGGGGTGTATGATGGAGGAGAGTAGGTTAAGTAAATGGAACTCAATAAAATGTAATTCAATCATGATTTTGGATCTTATGGCATGGGAGAGTTAGTGGATGAAATATAGTGGGGGCCCAACACACATAATAATGATATTTATTATCGAAGATCTTATCACAGACACAAACGATATAAATAAATTTCAGATGTCAAAACTTTTTTTTTCTATTCGATAAGGACTGTATCAGCTAACTTTTTTTTGTGTGGAAATGTAAATGATTCATGAATTGAATTGTAAGAAAAAAAAATTATTTTGAACTGATGATGATGGTGTGTAAAGTACCTAAACACATTAACAGCATATATACAACACACATTGGTGGAAGAAGAATGAATGAAAAAAAATGAGTATTTTTCTCTGAGCAACCCGAGCCAAACAACATAAACCGAACCAATCAAGCAAACAAGAATTCCTTTCTCTCTCTCACACACACACATGAACACAACCATTATAATGCCAACAACAAAATACATACCATACATAACTAATGTTTTCATATAATTTGGACACATTTGGATAATTAAAGCAAACCAAAAAAAATGATAAAATTTTAAATCAAAATGGATAGAAAAATGACCATATCAAAAGAAAAACATTTACCAGATTTATTTATGATGATGTCGTTGTCGTTGTTGTTGTTGTCAAAATCAAAAAGGATATATTTCCAAATATTTATTGGTTTCGGCTCATCAGTGAGTGTGTCTGTGTTTTCACTTGTTTTTATTCACATTTTGGCCAATAAATGAAAAAAAAAATTCAATCATATCGTGTGTGTTTGTGGCGATGGATGGAAAAAAAGTGTGGCAGTCAATCCACATGCACACTTCAAACTAAATAAAATAAATCTCTCCATCCTAATTGCCATTATTCAATGCAACAGCTAGAGAATTCTTTCAGTTTTTTTCTGTGATTACCATAAAAGATACGTATAAAAAGAAGCTTGGTAAGACTTGTGTTTATTCATTGTGTACATTGTGTGAAGAATTTTTATTCCATCAGAATACATATTCATCCCGGAAGTTAAAATTGTTTGTTTGATGTACACTATTTTGATCGAAATCATCATCATCATCATATCATCATCATTATCATTATCATTATTATTAATATAATATGGCTAATTGAAGTTGGAGTTACAAACAAAGACCGCCTAAAAGAAACCGAAATCGAAAAAGGACGTAAATACGAACTACTAGCTAATGAGCTAGAAATGACTTATCATGCAAAAGTCTTCCAGATTCCTGTCGTGATCACTTGGGACGGACTAGTAACCCACCACCACCGAAAACACCTACAGAAAATTGGGGTGGATAAAAGGCTACAAGCTTACCTTCAATACATAACAATCAAAAGGGTGCTCATAGATGCTAGAGCAGAACGCCCGTGTCATGATAAGGATTTAAATGAGTTGTTCGACGTTGCCGAACAACAAGACGAAAATTTGATACATATTTAACTTTTTATTTCCATTTGTATTTTTTGATGCTCTTAATACCATAATAAATTAAATTCATTATCATTATTATTATCATTACTTTATATAAAAGAGTAAGCCAATTAGTGTCTGTGTGTATACATCCAACAGTAGGGATTGCCTTTGAGCAGTGCTTTTTGAGAATGCTTTCAGCGTCATCTGTCGGTAAAAAGTTTCTGAAGTGGTGAGATGTAGCTTTGTTAATGCTTTTTTTAAAATTGTTTTAGCTTCGCGCGTTGATGCAGCTTTTGCATCAAATAGGGTTGCGGGTTAGAATAGCCAAATTGGAAATAGCCAAGGCAGAAAACAGCCAAATCTGAAAACAGCAAAGTCTAAAAATAGTCAAAACTGAAAATAGCCAACCATTGAATTGAGCCAAAAAATAAAAGATAGCTAAGTAAATTAGCGCAATAAAAAATAGCGAAAAATAACACGTTATATATGAAAGGTCGTGGCACAGCACGTATGTGTTCCTTACACAGAAAAAAACTACTCTGAAAACTTTTACCTGTAGCAGTCAACTGGCTGCGCACGCTCCTGCCTATTGCCACCTCTTCCTATTTCGACCGAGAATGTCGGTGAGAGAAACGAGCATGTTTCCAACCGAAAATTCCGAGTCCGCATATAGTTGAACACACACACTCGAACACACCTAGTGATTTCGGTTTCTCAATAAAGTTCAAATTCGATTCATAAACTTGTCGACATTGCGACATACCAATCTTTCAAAACAATTTAACTGTTAGTGTGCAAAGTTTGCCTTCTTTTTAAACGCAATATTACAAATGTAATCAGCTTTTTTGCAAAAAACGAATCATAGTAAACGACAATCGAATAATGGAAACACCATTATAAAAAAAGAGCATAATCATGATCCATTAGTCGACGATATTGAAAAAGAGGAAAAATTAACGAAATAAAAAAGATCGCAGAAAAAACAAATGAAACAACTTCTCGGATCATTTCAAAATTACCAAAATTAGAAGATGCATATGATGCTGGATCAATGAATTCGCTTGAATGTACATTGATAGTGGCCGAAGGGGATTCAGCGCATATGATCGTTAATAGTGGAATCAGTGTTGTTAACCGCAACAAATTTGGCATTTTCCCCTTGAATGGAAAATTCATAAACGTACGAGAAGCTAACAAAAAACAAATAATGGGAAATGTTGATATAAAATGTTTAGTGGAAATACTTGGACTAAAATACAACATGAAATATACAACAGAAGAAAGCATGAAATCACTGCGATACGGTCGATTAATGATCATGACAGACCAAGATCCAGACCGGTACGCATATTACAGGACTAATAATAAATTTCATCCACTATTATTGGCCTACATTGATTAACACAGAAAAAAAGTGTGGAGACTAGTCTCCAAATTTGGAGGGAAAAATCTGCAAATTTGGAGACCTGACTCCAAAAATGAAGAGAAGTGGAGACTGGTCTCCATTATTGAAGAGTGATCGCCAAATTTGGAGACCAAAAACATCAAATTTGGAGACTGGTCTTCAATATTGAAGATTCGTCTTCAATGATTGATAAATTTCGATTGTTTTTCGATTGTTAGTTAAAAATTGTAAATTTAATTGGATTTTTACAAAAATAAATTCATAACTTAGAAGAAACAATTCACTAAAAATTGTTTTTCAATTGTTCGTTAAAAATTTTAAATTTAATTGGATTTTTACAAAGATATAACTTAGGAGAAACAATTCACTAAAACGATGATGATATCGATAATGATCAAGATGGTCATCCAATTCAACAATCAATGGCTACAAAAATGGCCATCATGATCCTGTTAGAATGATTGATTCATCATGCATATTCATCATCAAATATGATGATAATGTCACCACAATTACAGCATCATAATTTTCAACACCATCAACAACAACAACGGAATATTGTACATGTGACAAAAAATGATAATAATTGAATCAAATAATTTTTCGTAAATTAAATCACTATTTTATATTTTATTTATTTAAATATTAAATAAAAGTTAAGTTATAAAATCATAACTATTTTAGTCGTATTATAAAGTATAGTATAGTATATATATGATTTCTTTTTTTCGCCTATGATAAAAATTTTTTAAGGCCTCGCGATTTTCTCGGCCCTGTGTACTGGAATGTATTATTATTAAATTTAGATATAAATGTGTATATAAATAATTGGGGGGCAAATTTATAAGTGATTGGACAATTATGGTCCATACCACTATCCTCCCCAACAAATAGGTTTTATAAGTGAGGGGAAGGCAAATTTATAAGTGATTGTCCACTATCCACCCCCAACACTGACTATTTTTTAAATTACTTTATGTACAAGTGTAAATGTGTATATGAATAATTGGGGGGCAAATTTATAAGTGATCGGACAATTATGGTACATACCACTATCCTCCCCAACAAATAGGTTTTATAAGCGAGGGGGAGGCAAATTTATAAGTGATTGTCCACTATCCACCCCCAACACTGACTATTTTTTAAATTACTTTATGTGCAAGTGTAAATGTGTATATAAATAATTGGGGGGCAAATTTATAAGTGATCGGACAATTATGGTACATACCACTATCCTCCCCAACAAATAGGTTTTATAAGCGAGGGGGAGGCAAATTTATAAGTGATTGTCCACTATCCACCCCCAACACTGACTATTTTTTAAATTAATTTATATGTAATGTGTAAATGTGTATTGTGATAATTGGGGGGCAAATTTATAAATGATCGGACAATTGCGCTCCGAATCACTATCCTCCCCAACAAATAGATTTTATAAGCAAGGGGGAGGCAAATTTATAAGTGATTGTCCACTATCCACCCCCAACACTGACTATTTTTTTATATTTAGATATAAGTATGTGTAAATGTGTATATGAATAATTGGGGGGCAAATTTATAAGTGATTGGACAATGCGCTCCGAATCACTATCCTCCCCAACAAATAGGTTTTATAAGTGAGGGGGAGGCAAATTTATAAGTGATTAAGCGCAAACCACTATCCACCCCCAACACTGACTATTTTTTAAATTACATTATGCGCAAGTGTAAATGTGTATATGAATAATTGGGGGGCAAATTTATAAGTGATTGGACAATGCGCTCCGAATCACTATCCTCCCCAACAAATAGGTTTTATAAGCGAGGGGGAGGCAAATTTATAAGTGATTTTGCGCAAACCACTATCCACCCCCAACACTGACTATTTTTTATATTAACCCAGACGGCCGCGATGGGATTTGAACCGACGTCGAATGTGTATATGCGTGTATATGTGTTAATGTGTGTAAATGGGGGAGGCAAATTTATAAATGATGGGGTAATTTCCCCCCAGACCATTATCCTCCCCCATAAAATAGAACGTAATTATGGTCGTATATAACAATCATATTTTACGACATTACAGAAATACTTCGCTTAACGCTGCCCCGATTAGCGCTGTTTCGATATAACGCTGTGCAATTACATTACATTGAATACATTGTTACATTGTATATGAAGAGTAAAAATGCATTATGTAAATTATGCAAAAATAACCCCGCTTTGCGCTGTTGTTTCGCTTTACGCTCAATATTTTTGGAACGTAACCCCGCGTTAAGCGGGGTATTACTGTATATTTGTATTATATCACTGTATATATGTAGCATTACTGGCTGCGCATGCTCCTGCCTATTTCTACTTTCCCCTATTTCGACCGAGAATGTCGGTGAGAGAGAACGAGCACGTTTTTCAGCCGAAAATTCCGAGTCAGGATACTAATAACCTTTTTACTTTCTTTTCTGTGTATACACGAACACTAACACACACAACTCGACAACAAATAAAAATCCGATTTTCACAAACGATCCCACGACATATTTATTATTAAATATTGTTCGTTTTGCATTCAATTGATTCTCACTACAACAATGGTTCATCATTATTATCAATTTGTAGAAACCATAAAGGTGATAGTCCAATTGTAGCAGTAAAAAAGATGAATAGGTTTGTTAAATATTTATATGTTTCAAATTAAATTGGTTATAATTTTTTTTCTGTTAGCTGTTCGCTATTTTTAGGCATTGGTAATCTTTTGGTTTGGTTTCCATTATTACGTTATTTTGCCTATTTTCAATCATACAATATTCTCTTATTGTAACATTGAAGAAATCTTTTCCAAACGTTTTGCGGTTCTGTCTCTGTGCATTTTTAGTTTATGGGTAAGTGTAATTGTTCATCATTAGTTTATAAAAAAAATTGTTTAAAAATTTTATCATTTTACAGAGGATTTTGTTTTTGTGGTTGGGTCGTTTTGGGTCCTCATCATCTCAAATTTCGTACGCTTAGTTCAACATTGGAATGTTTGTTTTCACTTATAAACGGTGATGATATGTTTGCTACATTTTTTTCCACTGATGTGAAAAAAGTCTTATATGGTGGTTTAGTCGCATTTATCTTTATCTTTTCATTTCATTGTTCATATATGTGATAGTCTCGTTGTTCATTGCTATAATACTCGATGCATACGAACGGTTCCTATTTTTTTTAATAACATTAAAACTTTTTTTAATTTTTATTTAAGAAATTTTTATTTATGATTGAAATTTTTGAAAACAAAATTTTAAAAATACTTGCGCATTCACTGTCTGATCAGACAATTTGCATCTTATTTCTTAAAGATCAATGTCATTGGAGACAGTGAAGCGCAAATGATGGTTTTAACAGCAATTGGTTCAAAAAAAAAAAATACTTAAAACAATAATGTGCAACAATTGATTGATAATATATAATCATAAAATTTGAATTAGTAATTAAAAAATGGGAAATAAAAGTAAAGTATCACATATTTTGTTGTGTATGTCAGGGAATTTTATGAAAACCATAACAATCCCACAGATCGAAATCCGAATGATCGAGCATCAAAGGATGCGACAAACATTCATAAACATGTAAATGTAAATATAATTTGTTAGAATTACATTTGTTCTTTAAGTGTATCGAGCAATATTAATATTGCTCGATACACTTCTGGTAGATAAATTTTATGTTTATGTTGTATTATTTGTTATTGTAATACAATTTGTTGTAATAAAATTGTTATATTGTGGTTATGTTGTAACGTCAATAAAAATAGTATCGAATTATCGAATATTCGGAGTATTGATTTTTATGATACTGAATCAAATGATCCAAATTCATAAATTGTTTATGTAAAACTGTTGGAATTATTGAACAAATAATTCCAACACTCCTCTTGTGGAAATAAAGATTGAAACGTCACAAAAACTACAACAAATGACTTGACTTCCAACTTTGACCATAGAAAGGTTCCCTTTACCGCAATATCGATATGGTTGCCTTTCTAGGATTAAACCAGACCACGTCTATGACTTGCTCTTTGAACAAATTTCCAATCATATGATATCTAAAAACGATATATTTCAATCTTGAGGCAACAGCCACTTGTTTTTATCATCAAATGTTATTGGTGAAATCAATAGCTGAACCGATGCAGAAGCAAATGATGTCATTAGACCATCCATTTTTAGGTAATAACCATTTGCCTAGTAGTCTTTTTTAAAACCTTTTGGTTTTGAAAAAGTAGGAGCTTCACTGTCTTCGATGACATTGATCAATAGTGGACCAATAAGCTCGCCAATGATTTTTGAAACAATGACAATTGGCTATTTGTCCGTTATGTTGAAAATCAAAATCAAGTGTCGTGTTTCGTGGACGATGTAAATAAAATTTGTGCTTGATTTGATGAATCCACCACTAGTGTATCGAGCAAAATTTAATTTAGCTGTGAATTTTGAATGGAACCATCAATTACCACTAATAATGGGATCCTATTTGTGTAATCATATACACTTGTAGCGTTATTATTAATACAATTTAATGATGATAAAATATTGCCAAAATCCTTGTTGTGAAAACAATTGTTTCAGCACCATTTATATCTTGATGTGGGATCAGAAACGTTCTTCCACGGCCATTGTTAAAAATTATTTCATCACTTTCCATATTGATTTCGATTTTAATAATGGTCATTTTGATCACAAATTTTATCATCAGCAATATTTACAAGAATTTCATCAAAATTTTATATAATTGGGGCACATATGAAACATCACGTAAAACCATTCCATCTTGACTGGCATATACCCACATTTGCTAATGATAATAAGATTTATCAATTAAATGATTGAATTCTTAATGATCAAAAGATATCTTACCTTGGTGACTTTCTCAACGGATCCAATATTTGGACGAAACAAGATATGTTCTATCTGACATGGCTCGTCTATTCGACTTTTTTTGACTGGTGGACTACTGCCTTGTGCCTGTGTGAATTGTTGAAAAATTAGAAAATTAGCAGATTATCGAAGGATTTCATTACAATATTTCTGCAGACAAATTGATAAGAATATTTTGTTTGCAAAAACAATTGCCGTCGTTGTAGACAAAATGAACAATTCACTAACATCCTGAGATTTTAATAATCCAATTAATCGATTTGGATTCATTTGATCAGATTTTTGTATACTAAAAAGCTAAATAATTGAAACAACAATGAAAAATTGATCGATGATGAAACTTCATCATCATCAACAGCATCATAAATGATATGATGCTAAATATGTTTTATATGGAAAATATTTGTATTTTGATTCCACTACCACTATCAACAATTTGATGATAAATTTATGATCAGTAATTTTCTATGAAACACACGTATACAAACCTTTGAAGGCGGACAATTTTTACCAAAAAAAATATGTAACAAAACGGTTTGGAAAAATCACTTTATTGAAAATCACGATGATGCGTGTTCAAATGTGTGTCGGTGAATGCGGACTCGGAATTTTCGGTTCACTCAAACAAGTAGACCCCATTTTTAGGGGAAAAATTAAGCTCCTCCCAAAATGTATTTGTGTTACTTCTTTTTGCGCATGTTCGAGTTTTCATGAGTACAGCTGATTCGAATCGTGCCCGGGAACTTTTTTTTGTTTTGTACTTTTTGTTTCTGAATTTATTTTTGAATATTTTTATTTGTTGTAATAAAATTGTTATATTGTGGTTATGTTGTAACGTCAATAAAAATAGTATCGAATTATCGAATATTCGGAGTATTGATTTTTATGATACTGAATCAAATGATCCAAATTCATAAATTGTTTATGTAAAACTGTTGGAATTATTGAACAAATAATTGTGGAAATAAAGATTGAAACGTCACAAAACTACAACAAATGACTTGACTTCCAACTTTGACCATAGAAAGGTTCCTTTACCGCAATATCGATATGGTTGCCTTTCTAGGATTAAACCAGACCACGTCTATGACTTGCTCTTTGAACAAATTTCCAATCATATGATATCTAAAACGATATATTTCAATCTTGAGGCAACAGCCACTTGTTTTATCATCAAATGTTATTGGTGAAATCAATAGCTGAACCGATGCAGAAGCAAATGATGTCATTAGACCATCCATTTTTTTAGGTAATAACCATTTGCCTAGTAGTCTTTTTAAAACCTTTTGGTTTTGAAAAAGTAGGAGCTTCACTGTCTTCGATGACATTGATCAATAGTGGACCAATAAGCTCGCCAATGATTTTTGAAACAATGACAATTGGCTATTTGTCCGTTATGTTGAAAATCAAAATCAAGTGTCGTGTTTCGTGGACGATGTAAATAAAAATTTGTGCTTGATTTGATGAATCCACCACTAGTGTATCGAGCAAAATTTAATTTAGCTGTGAATTTTGAATGGAACCATCAATTACCACTAATAATGGGATCCTATTTGTGTAATCATATACACTTGTAGCGTTATTATTAATACAATTTAATGATGATAAAATATTGCCAAAAATCCTTGTTGTGAAAACAATTGTTTCAGCACCATTTATATCTTGATGTGGGATCAGAAACGTTCTTCCACGGCCATTGTTAAAAAAATTATTTCATCACTTTCCATATTGATTTCGATTTTAATAATGGTCATTTTTTGATCACAAATTTTATCATCAGCAATATTTACAAGAATTTCATCAAAAATTTTATATAATTGGGGCACATATGAAACATCACGTAAAACCATTCCATCTTGACTGGCATATACCCACATTTGCTAATGATAATAAGATTTATCAATTAAATGATTGAATTCTTAATGATCAAAAGATATCTTACCTTGGTGACTTTCTCAACGGATCCAATATTTGGACGAAACAAGATATGTTCTATCTGACATGGCTCGTCTATTCGACTTTTTTTGACTGGTGGACTACTGCCTTGTGCCTGTGTGAATTGTTGAAAAATTAGAAAATTAGCAGATTATCGAAGGATTTCATTACAATATTTCTGCAGACAAATTGATAAGAATATTTTGTTTGCAAAAACAATTGCCGTCGTTGTAGACAAAATGAACAATTCACTAACATCCTGAGATTTTAATAATCCAATTAATCGATTTGGATTCATTTGATCAGATTTTTTGTATACTAAAAGCTAAATAATTGAAACAACAATGAAAAATTGATCGATGATGAAATTTCATCATCATCAACAGCATCATAAATGATATGATGCTAAATATATGTTTTATATGGAAAATATTTGTATTTTGATTCAACTACCACTATCAACAATTTGATGATAGATTTAAGATCAATAATTTTCTATGAAACACACGTATACAAACCTTTGAAGGCGGACAATTTTTTACCAAAAAAAAATATGTAACAAAAACGGTTTGGAAAAAATCACTTTTATTGAAAATCACGATGATGCGTGTTCAAATGTGTGTCGGTGAATGCGGACTCGGAATTTTCGGTTCACTCAAACAAGTAGACCCCATTTTTAGGGGAAAAATTAAGCTCCTCCCAAAATGTATTTGTGTTACTTCTTTTTGCGCATGTTCGAGTTTTCATGAGTACAGCTGATTCGAATCGTGCCCGGGAACTTTTTTTGTTTTTGTACTTTTTTGTTTCTGAATTTATTTTTGAATATTTTTTTAAATTAAAAATTAAATAAATAAATATATTTTATTTTATTTTCTAAATTATCATACAATTTATAAATTGATTATTTAAACATATAAAGCAATTTGTGTGTGACAATGTATCGTTGTCACATCTAATTGTTCTTTTTGAAACAATTTTTTTTTATATACTTCCACTTTGTGGATTCTGTTTCAAATTTATCACCTTCGAGTCGATAATGACAATTTTTTTTACCTGCGCCTTAATTTGTACACACTTGAAAAAATTTTACACCCTCTTACGTTATGCGTAAAATTTTTTTGAAATAAAATTTGATTCGAAATGTTATAGTGATGAAACTATACATAAGTATAATTAAATAAACAAATAAAAATAATTCTTCTTTAAACAATTTTTTATTAATCAATGTTTTACAAAAAGCATTATGCTAGATTCTAGAAATAGCAACGTCCAACCTAACAGTTCGGAATCGAGAAAATGACAAGTCCAAACTAACACGACCAGTTCAGGATTCAAAATTCACAATCGATAAAATGGCAAGTTCAAACTAACACGACCAGTTCAGAATCGAGAAAACATCAAATCCAATCTAACACGACCAGTTCAGAATCGAGAAAATAACAAGTCCAAACTAACACAATCAGTTCTGAATTCAAAATTCAAAATCGAGAAAACATCAAATCCAACCTAACACGACCAGTTCAGAATCGAGAAAATGACAAATGACGAATTATTGTTTAGCAGTCCTAAACGAACAAGATGAAGTGACAAAAGAAAATGCCGTGGTTTGGGACCATAATATCACTGTGGACAGTGTTGTGAAACAGCTTAGTTTAGCTGTGTTCTTTAATTTAATTATGGAACTGTTTCGAGTTTCTTTCCGAGCTTAAATATTCGCTCTGATTTACGATTATTCATCATAAGTTTGTTCTGTTTTTCTTTTCAACCCGAATATACTAATTGTTAATAAATCTATATTTGTTTCAAACCAATTTTACGCTACGTCATTCTTTCCGTGGTTTTACAGGACAGCGATGAGCAAATCGAAACCACTACAATCATTGGGAAAGTCATCAATAAAGCATCGTCAACCAATTCTGAACTGGTCGTGTTAGGTTGGATTTGCCATTTTCTCGATTCTGAACTGGTCGTGTTGGGTTCGTAAAAAAAATCAATAACCAACTATTTCAACAATGCAAATGATAATTATAAAAAATTTTTCTCTACATCGCAAATCACGAAATTTTTTAAGCCTAATTTTCACAATGTACAATTCATTACAGGCCATGGCTTTTTTATGAGCTATCTTTACAGAATCAATGTCAACTTATCGTCCGAATGTGAATGCGGTTGAAGTCATCAAGAACCTGGCCGACTAATTGGCGCTAAAAATAATAAAAAATAATAATCCTCAAAATAAATTATGAAGTGAAAATTATAAGTTGTGAAAAAATATAAAATTGCATTGACAATTTAAAAAAGCAGAAAAAAATATAAAATTGAATCGACAATTGAAAATAAAGAAGAAATTATAAAATTGTAAAGACAATTATATTTTCCTGTTAGAAGATTTTTTCGATTAACCCATGGAAATTTTTCAATCGATTTAATAGGTGGAATAGATCTTAATCTCAACAATTTTATTGAGAAAATTCAATTTGCCATGTCAAAATTTTTTGTTTTAAAAAATCATATAAAACTTCAAAGGTTCATTTCAAATACGAAAATTGGTCGAATTATTACGATTCATAACACAAGTGATAGAAATTCTAAAATTATTCATATTTACTTTCAAGGTATGAATATGGTCATTGAGAGAGCGGAACATATGTTCTGTGTCTGTTGTGCTATTTATTCTATCCGATTTGTTTTTATGGTGATTTCGAATAAAATTCATTTGTTTTCTTATTTATAAATTTGTGAAAATTGTGAATTATCGATAAAATCAATTAATATAAGCCTCAACGTAAGTCGTATTTTGTTTTTTTTTGCTGGTTGCTCATCAATATCTTCGTTGAAAATGATTTATTTTCAGAATTGATTTTGTCCGAACTTTACTTTATTAACCCTTAGCACTCGGACAGAAAAATCCGAGTTCTATTTTAGAACATGCAATGTCCCCTCTACGGGGACATCCGAGTGCTAAGGGTTAAGGTAGTTTAGGTTAGGAGGATGAACTTCACCGGTGGATTATCGAACGAATGTTGACGAATCAAAAATGAGTAGTTTAGTTTAATTTAGTTTAGTTTAGGTTAGGTTAGGTTAGGTTAGGTGGTCTCGGTTCATTAGTTTAATCCAAACCTCACCGAAGGTGAGGTTTGGAGAAAACTATTGTATTGACAAACAATCTAGAATAGAGATCAAAGTCTAAAATGCTATAAAATGACAATTTGATAGCCTAGAAAATATACCGATAGATGGCCGCAGCAGTACTATTAGAAAAAATAAAAATTTAGAATTCTAGACGCCAAACCAGAAATTGATGATTACGCCGGAAATATGGGCAAAAATTTTGTCGTGCCTACAGTGAGAATCGAACTCACGAACCTTTGGTTTTCCTATTGGTTTCCTCCCCCCTTATTTAACCTTTGGAATTACCCAATCAAACAGGAAAATACAAGACCAACGTTCTGCCACTAAACTATGCAGGCGGATAGTTAACACACTACCCGCTTCCGACTTTTGGGAGCCTCTGACCAAATTGACAACTGTTTACATACCGGAAACAGTGAATCTATGTCAAACAGGATATTATATTATATTGTCCTGTTCATAAAATCATTGACTATTCATAAAGTGATACAGTCGAAATTTGGTTTACACATTCCAAGTTCATAATTGTAACTTTATAAGTATAATTCATTACGTGCGTGGATGCTGAGCGCCGCTGGCATTTCTTCTTTACTTTAGCGCTGTATCACTGCTTTAAATTTTCTGTGGTATGATTTGCGTGAGTGTTGTCATTAGTTTTCTGGTAATTGAAAGAACAAAAAAATGTATCATGTTAGCTATTGGGAATTCAAGGCAATACTGAATGAATCTTTGAACCATCATCATTCACATTCAACGAATAAAAATATCTGACAAAATCTGTGAGCATTATTGATTGATATGATGACATTTAAAATTAAACATTGATGCCACATGGATGATTGGGCTATGTCTATTACATTTTCTTGATTCTCAAACAATACACTATGCATTCTTTTTTTTCTATTTTTTTCCAATCGTTTCTTTTTTTGAGCGCATCCGATTTTCTTGGCATCCATCTCATTTTCTTCTAACATAAATAGTAGACATTAATCTAATTATTAATCCAAACTTCTAATCCGAAATTTGGACAAAAAAAAACAAAAAATTTTTTGTCATGCCTACAGTGAGAATCGAACTCACCCCTTTGGTTTTCCTATTGGTTTCCTCCCCCCTTATTTAACCTTTGGAATTACCCAATCAAACAGGAAAATACAAGACCAACGTTCTGCCACTAAACTATGCAGGCGGATAGTTAACACACTACCCGCTTCCGACTTTTGGGAGCCTCTGACCAAATTGACAACTGTTTACATACCGGAAACAGTGAATCTATGTCAAACAGGATATTCACATTAACGATGAACAAAACGAAAAATTGGATCGTTTTGTTTTTCACTTAGTAAAATATTTCAATTCCTGGTCACTATGGTAACACATGAAATATTTACCTACTTTCTTTCAATTTTCAGATTGTAGTGTTTGTGATATGAAATAATAATAGCATTTACAGCGGAGTTTCTCAAACCAATAAAACACAATGATCAAAACAATGTCTTCAACTCGTGAACGAATTATAATGCTCAACGATGATGATGATGGTGATGATGATGATGACAATCACGGTGGTGATGATAATGAAGATCTATACAAAGGTTATAATGAATTTCATCCGGCATTGGATACTCGTAATCTACAAGATGATGAAGAATTTCGTCAAACAGTGAATAAAAGCGGTTATGGTCGACAATTACAATCACGTTCATTACAATTACGTAGTGGTTTTCGTACAGCATTTTCCCGTTCACAAAATCATTCAAATTCATTGATTAAATCTCGTGGTACGGCTGGTGGTGGTGGTGGTGGTGGATTACGAACCGCTATTGGTACTGGTGGTACTGGACGTCCAGCAACAGCAGTTCGTGGTGCCGGTTATACATCACAATCCAGCCAGAATCGTATATTCGATCCACTTGGTCTGGCTAATGGCTCATCAGCAGGACAAAATTCGACTATTGGTAATGGATCAAAATCGGTATTTCATCTGCAGGATGAATCAACACCAGAATGGAAGATTAAACAGTTGGAAAAACAGATAATGCTTTTGTTGGATGAAAGTGTACAAGCAGCAGCTCAACGAAGACAAGATTTTGGCCAAGCATTAGATTTGGCCAAAGATTGTGTAGCCAAAGAACGGTAATTTCGATATTCTATTTGACGAATCAATACTCAAATTAATTTCATTTGTTTCAGATCGCTGAATCGTTTGAAAGAACAATCCGGTCTGATGGAAACATATGGACCAAATTCAGATCTAACATTGGCAACAATGTTCAATCTAGCCGAACGATATTCTGATGCTCAAATGTGGTCCGAAGCAATCAATACATATCAGGCACTGTTGAAGAATCGATCATTCACTAATACAGGAAGATTTCGAATGAATATTGGTGAAATTTATTTCCGTCAACGACAATATCCAAAAGCGATAAAATTTTTCCGGATGGCATTGGATCAGATTCCACAGATACAGAATGAATTACGATTAAAATTAATGGCAAACATTGGCTTAGCATTCGTACGATTGACACAATATGCCGATGCAATTGCAGCATTCGAATTTATTTTGGCCGAACGTGGTGATTGGAATGATGCAGAAACCGTATTTCATCTGATTGTTGCCTATTATGCACTTGGTGATGGTGATAAAATGAAATATTATTTCAATAAATTACTTCAGGTTAAAGTTGAAGATCAATTTGAAGAACGTTATGGCCATCACGAAATACTAACAAATGGCGGTATCATATTTGCTGGTGGCGGTGGCGGTGGTGGTGGTGGTCAAGTTGGTTCGACCGAGATAACCGAAACAATCGATAATCGAACATCCGCATCATCATCGATTAATCAGCGGCCAACATCTCCAATATTATTGATTCGTGATGAACAAGATCATTTCAATAATCTATTAATCGAAGCAATACGTAATGATCGTTTACGTCAATATGAAAAGGAAAGTATTCGTCATGTTGAATGGTGCATACTGACTGCGGCCAAACTGATTTCACCATTCATCCAAGTCGATCATGGTCCTACTGGCCCAAATGGATTGATGGTTATGCCTATCGATTCATTCAACCGAATTCAATTGACGAATGGTGAGCTATCAACAACAACAACAACAACAACTATAACATCCGGTTATGATTGGTGTTTGGAACAGATACGCCGTATGGCTTCAATCACATCAACCACATCGTTTGGTTTCAATTCTGGACTAAATTTTGTCCATTTAGCCGATGAACTTGAATTGTATAAAGCTACTAAACAATTAAGATCACGTGAATTTGATCTAGCGATTTCTACATTAAAATCATTCGAATCAAAAGATCGATTACTTACAGCATCACGTACGGCTAGCGCTAATGATCCATCCAACCGGTTGAATATGATATCAACAATATCGTCATCGGCAACCTCTTCATCTTCGGTAGCACGAATGTCATCGGCTACGGCAAGAGTGACGGCAACGGCAGCTACAAATTTATCATTTTTATATTTACTACAACGTGATTATGAATCGGCCGGACGTTATGCAGATGAAGCGATTGCAATCGATCGTTATTGTTTAGGTGCCGTACTAAACAAAGGCAATATTTTCTATCGACAAGGTGATTTTCAACGTGCAATCGAACATTATCAAGAAGTGATAGCAAATAATTCCACCATATTGGAAGCATATTTTAATCTTGCATTAGCTGAACGTAAACTTGGTAATTATGATCGTGCTTTGGACGCACTTTATCGTCTACGTACAGTGATTCGTATACCGAAAAATCGACCCAATATGTTGAATCAGAAAATAACAAATACAATCGAAGTGGATCTAATGTATCAAATTGGATTAATGTAAGTGATTCTATACATTTAACTAAGAAATCTAATGATTTTCGTTTGCTTTCATTTAGTTACGAATCAATGGGTAATCAAGACCAGGCAAGAGATTTTTTTCAAAAAGTTTTACAACTTGTGCCTACTGATGTTGGCCTTTTGATTAAAATGGCCGACATGGCTTCAGATGAGAATGATCGTAAACAATCATTGCATTATCTACTCGAATCATATCGTTATCTACCATCACATATACCGACCATTGAACGTTTAGCAGCTTATTATATTGAAATGAAAATGTATGATCAAACCATCAAATTCCTGGAACAATTGGCCATTATACAGTGAGTACATTGAATTTTCATGTGTGGAAAACTTTTAAATTGATATTGGAAAACTATCATTCAAACAGACCAAGTCAAATTAAATGGCAGCTAATGATAGCTGCATCATATCGCCGATCGGGGAATTATCCACAAGCTCTATCTACCTATCAATCCATTCATCAACATTTTCCGGAAAATATTGATTGTTTAAAATTTTTGATTCGTCTTTGTTCGGAATTAGAATCAAATGAACCGAATGGATCATATGGGCAATTAGTTGAACAATATTCGGATCGCTTACGACGTTTGGAGAAAACGCGTGAATTACGTGAAGAACAAAAATTAACTTCCAGTCGTAGTGCATCACGAGCATCGACAGCTGCAGGTCGACAAACGGCAACTGCCGCTACTTATAGTAATCGTAATCTAAGCGGTGGGGGTGGTGGATCGAGTTCACGGGAAGGATCAGCTGCAACTACATCATCAAATGGAAGTGGCAGTAGTGGTTATATGACCAAATCGATTACACCGACAAAATCAAGTCCACGATTGTTGATTGCAACAAACAATAATAATGCTGATGTGGTGAATGGTGGTTCATCTAAATCTTCAACAGGTTCAATTAGTGCCATCGTTGATCAGGTGGTTGAACAATTCGATACGACCAATATGGAACGACCAACAACATCTTGGCGGGATCGTAATCTCAAATCATCACATGGACGTGCTGGCATGGGTCGAGGTGTTGGTGATCCTGATGATGAAGATTTTCTGTTGGATGCCAATATCGATGAAATGTTACCCGATTAATAAATTATATTACAACAGATATATTCAATCAATTTTTTTATTAATGTTATGATGAATGTTGTGACATTGCAATGAATTGGAAATATGCACTAATTTCTAAATAATTACACTTACAAATGATATACATTATTATATTGAATATAAGAAATTGTTGTTATTGTTGTCTATAGACAAATATATAGAATGATGATTAATTTTTTTAAAAATTATCGGGAATAACTCCAACACCAACACCACCTTCATGTGCAACCATTGATGCAACCATTTCCCAGGAATCTTTTTCTATGTCATATGCTTCAACCGATGATAGATTCGATACACCATCATAGCCACCAATGGCAAATAAACGGCTACAATTAGCTACTAATGCAACTCTTGAACGTGTGGCACGCATTTTTGATATCTGTGACCATTTACCAGTTTGTGGATCAAAAACCTCAGCTGTTTGTAGAAATGTACAACCATCATATCCACCACAAACATAGATTTTTCCCCCGAAACAACAACAACCCACACGACAACGACGACTTAGCATGGATTCAACAAATTCCCATTGTTTAGTACGTGGATCATATCGTTCAACCGAATTGAATATCATCAGACCATCATGTCCACCAAGTGCATAAATATAGCCATCCAGTGATACCTACAAAGAAAAAATGGAAACATTTTAAATTGAATGATTATGATGATAACCGTGATTAAAATAACTTACCACACCAGCAGCCGAACGTTTAATATTCATAGGTGTCACCTCGGTCCATTCATTCGTGGTGGATGAATATCGTTCGACAACATTCAATGATATTGAACCATCATATCCACCACAAACATAAAGTTCATCACTTAGTGCAGCGGCACCAACAGCCGAACGACGATAATGCATTGATTTAACACGTTTCCATTGTTTTACTTTTGAATCATAAACTTCAACTGTATTTAGACGATCAAAACCATTATAGCCACCGATTGCATATAATTTTCGTTCCATAACGGCAACACCAACACGTGAACGCATCATACTCATTGCTTCGGCCATACGCCAACGTTTTGTTTGTGGATCATAAACCTCGACGGTTGACATTGAATCACCAGTTTTTGTTAGGCCACCAACAGCATAAATCGAACCTTGTACATGATGACCGGAACGTGGTCGGGTACGTTCACGTGCTATTGATTCACGACGTGCCGGTAATAGATGAAAATCTTTTGCTTCATCAATCAGATCACGACATTCCAATGATTGTCTGACTAGTTTATTTCCAAGTACCACATCGGTCAAATATTCGGGATATAATAATGGAAGACGAACTTGTCGCATTAGATCAGCAAGATTTTGTTGTCGCATTTTTTCGTCATGTGACGTCCATCGCATAACAGCTTCGAATACAATTTTTTCATTTGATACATTCAATTCATCACTACTGATAATATCAATCATTTCAGCTGAATCGAGTTGAAGGAAATCATCACTTTGTGCAATTTGTTCGAAATTTCGATGAATATAACGTTTGGATGCCTGCACAAGTGTATGGCAACCAAGTGCGAAAGCAAATGTTTTAATTTGTAATACATTTCCAACATTCAAACGGATTTTAAGATAATCTGAACATGCCTGTTGAACATTTTCCAGACCCAAGAATGATGCACCAATCAATATGGATTGTACATTTTTTGAATTGATTGCAATCGTACCGGCGTAAGCATAATTGAGTAACGATTCGAATGCTTCACCATCCAATGAGAGACCATCATCACCATCATCATTGGATTTAATTTCAATTTCCATTTGATTACGTTCGGCTAGATCATTCGTAAACATTGCATAGAAATAAGGTATGGTTGCACATAAAACAATACGATGAGCAACGAAACGATGACCATCAATTTTGATGATAACATCACAAACTTGTCGGCGTTGCCATAGTTCACGAAATACCGGGAAAGAAGAATTCGCATGTTCCATTGATACATAGGTAAAATTATCGGCATTTACAATACATTTATTATTATTGTTCGTTACTTTTTCCATTGTTTCTGGTTGTTTGACATTGGTGGTCGTTTTGTTCATTTTGTCTTTATTATGTGATGTTGGTGTCGGTGATTTCAAATTATTATCCATATCGGACGAATGCATTTTTTGCAATTTAACCGTCCATGATCGTGGATGATTGTTATCATCACTCATTTTGATTATACTCGAATGTTCTGGATCGGTTAAACGACGATGAACTAAATTCGGATGTTTTTTCGATAAAATACCCATACTTTCATCATCATCATAATCATTTTCATCTTCCATCAATAATGATGATGTTGTAGCAGTAATAATAATGTCATTATTATTATCATCATAATTGTTATTGTTATGATTATTATGTACTTTTTCATCATTCGATAGTGATAAGCATGATTGATTATCACCACTCATATGATGATAACCGCCAACAATTAAACATGATTCAATGACCGGTGATGTGGCCAATGATGATGTAGTTGAATGAAAATTAACAGGGTCCAATTGTTGATGATTACAATTCGGATTTAAAGATGTTGATGATGATGATGATGATTGATCAGTCGATGATGATGTGCAAAGGAAAGACATTTAGCTTTCTTTTTTAGTTTTCAATTTAGAAAAACAAAAAAAAATTTAATAGAAACTTTCAATTAATCATCAAACTAACCAATTATTATTCGAAGAAAACAGATATGTAGGGAAGAGAAAATTATATGGTCACATGCCAATGCACTTTGATTTATTTTGCCTGATTTTTTTTTTTGCTGGTTTCCTGGTGATTAGATACTTTTACATTTACAGCCAACAGAAAAATATGCACATCAAACAGTTCAATATATGATCAATGGATTGCAATTGTTTGCATTGATCATCGTGTTTATTATGGCGCCAGAATATGAAAATCCTTGAAAAGATAGTGTGGAAAAAAAAATTTTTCCTTTTCGATGGCCAATCCTGTCGTATTCGTACAATTTTTTTTCTTAATAGCGGCATGTAAAGGTAGTTGATGCACAATGATGGTAGGTACGTGCTAAGTGCAACAAATCATCAAGGACAATATATATATTATCATCGATGATTCATTCAAAATTCACCTGTGTTTATGTTGATGAAAGAGAATTTGAAGAGAAAACATTTTAGATAGAAACTATTTAGATCCAACCACTTGTGTTGAAATATTTCACCAGACAGACTGACAATGATGATTTTGTTTCAAGCGCGTATTTTGAATATTCGAATTCTTTTATTTGGATTATATTTGGTGTGTTTTTTGTTTTGGTTGTATTTTTTTTTTTTTTTATTAAAATAAATTGCTATTTTCTAATGAATTTTTTTTCATTCTATTTATAATCCATATCAAATCAAATTAATAAAAATTTTATTTTGGTTGCCTGATTTATATGCAATTTATTTAACAATCAAATTCACTCATAAGATATGATATCAAAAAGCAGAAAAAAAATTGGAAATAAACAAAAATTTAAAACAAAAAAAAGGCGTTATTCAAACAGCAGCAGCGGCAACAACAACAACAACAACAACAAAACAACGGAACCAGTACATGGCCAATTATCATTTGATTGATCAATCAAATGATAATAATGGTAGACACGGCAGTAAGAAAATTACTATGACGACAAATAATGTATGAAAAACTGTTTTCTTTATGTTTTTGTTGTGATCAAGTGATGCAAATATATTATGATGCCATTAAAAACATTAGTTGCAACTATGACAATCGTATCCTATATTGAAAACGATGGCGACGTTGACGTTTTGGATATCATAATATATGTCTATGATGATGATGATGATGATGATAATAATGTAATGATCGATAGAAAGAAACATAAATGTGATTGAAATTGAAATATAAGTCTAAACCATTTTGGGTGTGAGTAATATTGAGTAATGATTAATCTCAAATTTTTTTCATTTAATCATTAATTGAATTAAATTCATTATATTAAACAATAAATCTATATATTCCATCCATTCTGAATATAAAGGCATTAAAATTACAAAAACTTTTCTTTGTCAAAATTCCAATTGAAAATGTCAAGTAAGTTCGTATTTATTATGAATAAATACAAAATTTTATTCGATAATTTTTTCACCACATTGTTTAGATCAACAATTTTATCCACAAGGACCGCCACCACCTGGTTATGGTTCTTATCAACAGCCACCTCCACCCCCTCCTGGATTTACACCTGGTGGACCACCTTATGGTCAACAAATGGGACCACCACCGCCACCGGGTCAACCAGTATTTCAACAGCAACCACAATATTATCAACCACAACCACAGGTTGTTGTTGTACATGATAATCAAAATAATAGAGGTGGTGGTGGTGGAGTTTCCACATCCGAATGTTGTCTATTTGCATTATGTGCATTCTGTTGTGCTGCTTGTTGTTGTAATGATTGAAAAAAACAGAGCGTGGAAGACCGGTGTGTTTGTGAACCGAAAGAAAATAAAAATTTTATATTTGTTAAATCAATAGTGATTAAAAATACAGTAAACCCTGTAATGAATTATTAATCAAATTAAATTATCGAATTCGAATTAATCAATTATTAATCAATTTTTCTTAATCAACCGACATTGAAACATAATCAAATGATGAGTTGACAAAATCCACGAACCTAAAGACAAAGCGAAAACAATTCGAATGATGAGGGAGTGGAGATCAATTTTCAAATTGATCGACAACATGACGAATGACAAATTGAACTTGAATGAAAAAAAAAGAAATAAAAAATACACATCAAAGTCAATCACAACAACAATAATAATATGATTAATCAGGTCGTATCACTGAATACAATGATTATTGATCAATCACTTAATGATTTTTTTCTTCAAATTTTTCTCCAACCATTGCACATTTATTTTTGATCGAATTTTTGTAATTCAATTTCATTTCAGTTTTTTTTGATCTGTGATGTGTGTGTGTGTGCGTGTGTATTTCGAACAAAACTTTTAAATTTTGTCGTCATAACTTTTTCAATTGTTCGAAACGTATAAATAATTACTGTCCACTATAAACATTGTCCGTTTTCTGTGTCATTTAGTGTATGTTGTATGAATTGAAAATTCTGTTTCTATAGATCATCATCATAACAACAACAAAAGTAAATTTTCGATCAGGTTGGTAACAATTTTTTTCCTTGTTTTGTTTTTTTGTTGTTGTTTATTGTTATTGTTAAATAGCAATACATTGTGTGTGATATATCGGTGTTTGATGATCCCGTTTTTTTCCTTTTCATATTGTTCCACTCATTTCATTCTGCTGCTTAATTTTTGTTAAATTCCTATTAATAATTATGATGATGAAATGGATCTATATTGATTCTCACGGGTGGGGAGAGATTAATGAAAAAAAAAAAAAATTCAGAATGGGTTTAAATTCAATTTTTTCATGTATCCAGAATTCTAAACTTTGTTAGAAATGTCCTATTTTTTCATTTACTTTTGTTCTGGAATTTTCTTTCACTTGGAATTGTCCAATTTGATATCCATTTCAAATCCTAATGATTTATCCATTTTTTCTATAGATAAAAAAAAATTGACCATATAAATACGTCACGTACTTTTTGAACGTGTCGTGTGAAAAATAATATTTAACCAAATAATAATTTCATCATTGTTTAATGCTGCTAGCAATTAATATGTGTTTTCGCGTCTCATCTGTGTGTGTATAACACCCATAAATGTTTTTGCTAATCCAATCAGAAAAATTGGTTACAATATTCGTTGATTCTTTTACTACTACCCTTTACTAATTCCTCAATCAGTTAGTGCTACTACCTTTGAAAAAGAATAAGCGTTTTTTTCGTTGCCTATTTTTCTATTACATTTGATTCACATTTTAACATTTTACCAGGGATAAAAACGCATAGAGACCACGCGTTATATTCATCCTTTCATTTTAGTTTGTGTTGATGACCGAATTTCATTGAATTGAAGAATAGAAAACAAAAATTGAAACCATTTCGTTTCCGGTTAGTATCATGATTAATATTGGTGATGATGAGAAATATGTCGTCATCGATGATGATTATTTTTAAGAGACGATATATATATAATATAATCTATAAGTAAAGAGCTAAGCCACATCGTCACCACACCAACTCCACGTGTTTTCTTTTTGGTGGCATTTATAAATTCAATAACTAATTTTCTCTTTGTTTAGTTATATTTTTAGTTCTAATTTTATATTTGTTCATTATATTGTTGTTGTTCGAAATCATACGAAATCATACTCATTTTTAATCATTCCTCGACGACCGTTGTATCCGTTGTTGATTGAATCATTATCGGCAACATATATAAATAATAAAAAGAATCTTAAAATGGAAAAAAACGTCCAATTAGATGCAAGGTAATATTATTGTTTTCATCCTTGTTTTTGTTTATGTTGAATATATTATATTAATATTTTCTCTAAAATACACAGCGGTCAAGATGCTGAAGTAATGGCACAGGCACCACCAAACACACGATTGGTATTGGCATTAAAAAAAATCACATTGGACCGTATTTCATTGGAGATTGAGATGCATAAAAAAATATTCCAAACTGAACTTGAATATCAACAACGTCTCAAAGAATTTGACGATAAACGACGAATGATTGTGGCTGGTGATTATATACCCACCGATGATGAATGCAAATATCAATATGCTGATCCTGAGGAGCCGGTTGTTGAAACCAATGAGAAAGGAATACCGAAATTTTGGTCAACCATATTTTCTAATCTTGATATATTAAGTGATATGGTGCAGCCACATGATCAGGAAGCCATATCATTGATTACAGATATTCGTTGTGTATTACTCGATAATCCAATGGTAAGAATATTTTCTTTTGCTTTATGTGTATTATAATTATTTTTTTTGATCGATAAAAAAAGGGATATCGTTTGGAATTTGAGTTTTCTGAGAATAAATACTTTAGTAATAAAGTTCTCACAAAAGAATATTATTTTGCTGATACTTTTGATCCAGAAGATCCGTTGAATTACGATTCGCTTTATGTTAATCGTTGTAAAGGTTGTAAAATCGACTGGAAATCACCACAAATGAATTTGACCGAGAAAAAAGTCGCGAAAAAGATGAAACATCGTAGCAGTAATCAAGTAAAAACGATTGAAAAGGTGGAAAAATGTGATTCATTTTTCAATTTTTTCCAACCACCAGAAGGTTCGTTTCTGTTTTTTATTTTGTTTTTTGTAATATTTCATTTTTTCTTTTAAAATTGTTTATTATTTTGTACGATAGAAAAAATTGAAGACGCTGATAATGACACCAAAGAGTTATTGGCAAGCGATTTTGATATTGGTGAAACGTTTCGATTGAATGTTGTACCTAGAGGAATTATCTATTATACTGGTGAAGGTATCGAAGATGAATATGATGATTTCGATGATGCAGATTTCGATGGCGATTTTGACGAATCAGATTTCGATGAAGATGATGATGATGATGAAGAAGAAGATGATGATGATGAAGATCTTGAAGGTGATGATGGCGTTAAACCTAAATCGAGCAGCCATAAACAGAATAAAAAATCACTAAAAGCTAAAGGTGCGCAAAATGGTCATCATGTTAGACATTCTAATAGACAACATAAAGGTCATAATGTTAAAGATAACAAAGAGGTTCCTCCGGAATGTAATACACAATAATAAACACTGATTGGTGTCATAGACAGAGAAAGAGAGAGTAGAAAGAAACGTTAACTTTATCACACCACCACCACACCACCATCTCATTCTTATTCAAACAACAAACTAAAAGATTTTTTTTCAAATTTCTATCTGAAGCAGCATTTAAAACTTGAAAAAGATTTATAGCTTTATATCACTCGAATAGATATGACTAACATTTTTTTCCCCATCCACCCAATTTGTGTGTGTGCGTGCGTTACTTTTTTCAGAAAATTAAAACAATTTTTTTCATCTAAATATTGTTTATTTATTTGAATCTTTTTTCACTTTGCAAATTTTCTTATCTGATGGTGATTTTTTTTTCTCTTTTTCTTGTATTTTGAAAAATATTTAGGTAAAAAGTGAAATTAAATGATTGGACGATTTGAAGCTGTTCGAATTTTTTCCAATGATGATGAATTTATTATATCAAACAAACAAACAAAAACACATCAACAACTATCATATGATCCATTATTTTCTTTTTTTACAACATCCAATCAATGAAAATAGAAAAATCCATCACAACAACAAATGAAACAAAATATATATATCTATGGCGGCTTCCACAATTCATAAAATAAATTGATCAAATGCCTTTTTTTAAAAACATTTTTCTGTATCATCACACAAAAGAAACGAATAATTCGCATTTCCATGGATTCAAATCAAATCAAAAACATATTGGTCGCTATAATAATAAAATATATGTTCTCTGTGTCATCATCACATTGAAAATATTTAACTTGATTTTAGTTTATATTTTTTTTTTTAAATTTCCATTGTAAGGTTCCGTAAAACAAAACAAAAAAAAAATGTTTATTATATTTGCCCGAATAATTTAATTCTTTTCCTTTGCTTTCTTTTTTTTTCATTCGCTTTGTGTGTGTGTGTGTGTGTGTAGTTGATCCAAATTTTGCTCCTTTTTCATTGATTGCTTGATCTTTCTCAAAAATTGATCGACCAATTGATCTTATTTTTAATGAATTTCAAATTATCAAACAAAACAAATATTTCTGTCATTGGCATGCACGCACGCACACACACACAAGCATATACTTGATGTAACAATAATAATAAAATGCAGCTAAATTTTTGTTAAATTATAAGTGGTTGTTTTTTATTATATTTAAATTAATATCAGAAATAAACAAATCAATTTTTCTGACAACGTCATTTATGAATTTTTCCATTGATAATTTCCTAAAATCGAATTTTTAATTTTTCTGTCGCAGAATTTTGACTATTTGTTATTACGGCGATGATCATCATCATACATGTTTGTGATTCAGATTTTATTTTTATATATATAGAAAAACAAAAAAAAATTTACACAACCCAACATTTGTCATTGTCATCATCATCTGCCAAAGTATCAAAAAGATTCAATGTCTTTCTTCAATTAATTCAAACGCACACACACTCATTCTCAAATACTGATTTCGATAAGTCATAATTTGTATTGCATCTGTGATTGTTGGATGTATTTTGGTTTCTATTCTATAGATTCATCTTCACAATTTCATTCATAACCTATTTACAGTTGGTGTCTGTGTTTGATATTTGTTTTGATATTTCCCATATACTTTTTTTCAAGAGGAAAAAGTTCAACAATGTTTCCGTCACATCAACAATATTATGCAACAAATTCATCACCATTTTATCCGGGTACAAGCTATGCTGTTGGACCACCACCACCATATGAAACAACACATGGTAATCATCAACCACCTGCTGCCGGTTTTAATCCAATTATCGTTACACAACAGCCATCAAGACCGGTAGTTGTTGTTGAAGAACCCGTATGTACACCAGCCGATTGTTGTCTATGTGCAATGTGTGCCATTTGTTGTGGCATGTGTATGGCAAGCCATCCATGTTGTTAATCCATAAACGTCATCATCATTATTATTGATTTTGTGGACGCTCAAAATCAACAAAAATCTTTAAAAATACAATAATCATATCCTTGATACACTCTTTTTTTATATAAATCTGTTTATAATTCGAATAATGGAAAAAATCAAAAAACATTTATTACAATAATCAATCAATAAATTTGCTAAAAAAAACAAAATGAAAATCAATTTTCTCTTCTTCACCGTTTGTAAAATCAATCAATCAATCAATCAGACAAACAAATTAATCCTAGGAATTTTTTCCCTTTATAAACAAAGAAAAAAACAAGTTACCAAAAAAGCTTAAAATGAACCGAATTTAAGAATTCAAAATATTTTCATATCACATCAGAATAAATGATGAAGAGCACATTGCGAATAATTCTAAAGTACAATTATATTTTGCATTGAAAAAAAATTTGCCCATCACATGAACAATGACTGAACAGAAAACCAAAAGAAAAAACGAAAATTCATCATCATTATTTCATCATTGTCACTTTATGATTGCAGCCAATTCGTTTTCTTCTTGGTGATTCTTTTATTCCATTAGCACCATTATTATTATCTAAAACAGCGGAAGAATTGATAGGAAGAACGGATGGATCAAATTCACAAATTCGAAATGGTTCTGTACGTATATTGCGTTCATAGAATGGACAAACTTGTAAATGATGAGCCATAACATTATCGGAATCCAGACGCCAACTACGTATCGGTTGCATTGCCGTGCTGAATAGCCATTTCTGTTTGGTTTAACGGAAAAATTTTAGAAACCAAAATGTAATAACTGCAGATTTATCAAATCTTACCTTATAAACGACACGCCATTGAAATTTACCCTTTTCCATTTCGAAACGTTTCCATTGTAGTACGACATAACCTTTTTTCTTCACAAACGATTGTACAACCATTCGCATACGTTTCGACACGAATGACAGATTATTCAATGAGAATCCATCCAAATATTTGCAAATATTTTGTAACAACTATCAACAACAACAACAAAAAAATATTATAAATTCAAAAAACAAAGGCAAAAACTTCATACTTCAACTGGTAGATTATTCAATGAGAAATATAAAATATTGCTATCCGAGGATTTTCGTGATGATGTACATGATGATGAAGTATTGGCTGTTGTTGTTGATGTTGTTGTCGTTGTCGTCGTCGTTGTAACAGCAATACCGCCATTAATTCCACTTTTACCGGACATTAATAATAATGGAACGGATGAATTATTATTCGAATATAATAATGAATATGATGATGATGAATGTGATGTTGAATTGATACTATCACCACTAGTAGCAGCAGCATTTGCTCTACTTTTTCTTGCCGAAATAAATGGATGATGATTATTATCATCATCAAATGATGATGATTCTAATGAAATGGATGATGTTGATGATGGTTGTTGATGATTGAATAATAATTCATTTCGTCTATTATCATCATTCATCAATAGATCATCGTCATCACAACGATCCAATGAAACATTTGTTGTGCAATTCGAACGTACATCATCATGATCTTTGTTTATCGAGCAACAGGCAAACGTTTCTAATGATTCATTGTAAACAATGGTTGTTTGTTGTCGATTCCATTGATCAACATATGGTGGTTCATTCTGTGATAAACGTGGCCAAAGACGTCGATGTACAAATGTACAACCATTATAAAATAATGGGCAACGATATTCAATCCAACCATCTAGACCGCCATGAATATCACCATGTATATCTCGTGAATGAGCGGCTAATTCATCCTTACGGAAATCTAATCCACAACGAAATGTATACATTGCTCGAGGCTTCGGTTGATAGAATGCATACGAACGAATTGATATCTCCAATGATAATGTATTACATTTTGGTACAGGTGGTGGTACCGGCGGTGGTTGAGATTGAACTTTTTTCCTTTGATTCATACATTCTTTAGATTGGGCTTTTTCTGTTTTGGATTGTTCTTTTTCCGCTTTCATTTTAATCATTTCGGCCATAAATTGTTTATCTGCATCTGTTATTATGGGTAAATTGATGGATGATGAACTTGGATACGATTGTTGAATGGCCAATGTTGGTGATAATAATTGTGGGCTATTAGTGCTTGTAGTGGGGTGGTTACTTTCATCATCATTAATGTTATTATTCCCTTTAATTTGATTTGAATTGCATTTGGAAAACATCTGATGACTACAAATTGAATTTGATTTCTTTCTCGATTGTTCTTGCTGTTGTCGATAATCATGTGAACTTTCCATATAGATTCGGCGATAATATTGAGCCGTTTGTCGTAATATTTCTACCAATGATTCTTTATAGGCATGTTCAACCAATTTGGCAGCATAATTTAGATACTTTTCCTCTTCAATATTATTATCACAATAATAAGATAATTGATTGCTATTATTATTATTATTACTAATGTTGTTTATCGATGGATCATCGGTGGTTGTGGTTATAATGATATTGTTTGTTGTAGTCGAATTCTGTGCATTGTTGTTGGTTGTAGAACGAAATTCACGAAATGTTCGAATACCAATATAAGGCTGAAATTTAGATGACGAAATAAAATTCAGATTTAGATTTAGAATAAAAAATAAAAATTAGCAAGACAGATACCTTGATAGGAACAGCCGGATGTGTGGAAAGACGACCACGCATAATTCGTTTCATTTGTCTGGATGCTGACCATAATTGTTTGAGCATACGTTGATCACGTAATGCTAATGCTACGTCTAAATTATGAATATTCAAAGAATGTGGTGAACAAAATGACTGGGTTGTTGGACTTTTTTCACTGGAATACAGAGGCATTCGATTCCATTCAGCCGAACAATGTACAACATTGGCCGGACATTGATCGACAAGATGTTGTGACATTTGACCACGTAGTACTGTATATGGACATCCATAATGGCTATTTATACATGGAACCATTTGATAATGGCAAAGAAGAAAATGTTCTTTCATTTTACAATAATGCATTACCATTCCACATTGGCGATTTGTACATCGAACAACTGGACAGAATTCGATGGCATTATTTTCATCTTCATTTCTATCATAACCACCATTCGATAATTGTTGTAATCGTTGTTGTTGTCGATGATGATCCTTGATTCGATTATCATCATCATCACAATAGTAATCCACATCCAAAATCATTGAATATTTTTCCTCCATCGATAGCTGATAAGCTTCATTGAATGAAACCGGCATTCGAATACATTTTAGTGGCCGTATACAATGAAAACAATGGCTATGAATATGGCTGAACGATTTTAATCGATTACGATGTTTAAAAAGATTGAATGACGAACGATTCAATTGTTCTTGTTGTTGTAAATCCATGGATGATTGATTTATAATGGATTTAACATGATCAATTTGATCAGATGATGTAGCTACAACATCTATTGCTGTATTCGATGTTGAAGTTTTCATTGTGAATTTTGCGACAAATTTGGAAGATCGTAAAATTGATAATTATAATTAATGTCTTAATAAGTACAATAATCGATGATCAATCAAGTGTCACCAATGTTATTGTTATCATTGTCGCAGTAGATTGGAAAATTGGCCATTTAGAAAAAATCAAACATTTATAGCCGATAATTATTTAAGATTATGATGAAAACGATAATGTCCACACAATGGATTGTAAATGATAAAAACGTTTCAATTATCAAAACAAGATCAATAACAACGACGAAGACGACATCAAACACAAACAAAACACTTGATGTATGTATCGTTGAATAATCGATTGTATCGCAATTTTAGAATCACATTGTAAATAATTATTGACTTGCATGCTCAAGCATTATTTGATTCGTTTTGATTTTTTTTCTATTTTCAAAGTAACTTTGTTTCACTTGGGATAAAAAAAATGATCCTTTCACCAGCCGCATCCGAAACTAAACAACAGATTGATGTTACAGCTGAAGATCAACAGATGATTAATCGTTTTGCGAGATTAAATCTAAAATCTGATGAATTACAGAATAAATATGGGGAATTAAAACGGCAGGAGGAGAATTTAGAAGAAGCTGAAAATGAATTGATGTTACAAGATGATTTTGGTGATGATGAAGATTTTGGCGATGATACGAATTCCGGCACAAAGCAGGATCAACAATCAATTAAACCAAGTTCTAATATTCAATTTGTTGTCGGTACGTCATTCATGGCCGTAAGCAAAACTGAATGCGAACGTCTTATCGACCAACGTAAAGCTGAAATTAAAAAAAAGATGAAAGACCTGGATGATCAATTGGCACCGATGAAAGAGGAAATGAATTCAATCAAATCAAAATTATATGCCAAATTCGGTAGCAATATTAATCTTGATTCAGAAGATTCATAATAATGATTTTAATTTCATTTCGAACATTTTGCAAACATTGGCTTTATTTTACAAAAGAATTAAAATAACTTGATTGATGATAATTCTAATTAACATTTTTTTTGTCAAAACATTTTCACTGTTCTTCACCACATTCGATTCGAACGAAATCCAATACACTTGCACCAGAATTATTTAGAAATTGTTCAACGGTAATATCTTCGTTGAAGATGAATTTCTGCTTCAGCAACGCTTCAGGCTCTTCATCACCGGTCACTTGTTCTTCGAGAGATTGTTTTTGATTTTCGGTCGACAATGGTGCAACTATTTTAGGTGATAATCCAATAATATGTTGTCCAAGACGTGAGCCAAGTTCATCGATATTTTTTGACACTTGTGTAGTGTCCATTTCTTCATCTTCATTCATTAGAGGATTCGATTCTGGTGATTGTGTAACAGCCACTATGGTTCCATATTTTCCCAAAACAATATCTGGATCGTTTGATTCAATTTTACCAGCAACCGCATGTGCATATGGTAATAATCGAATCGCAGTGGATCTACCATTAGAAATCCTCATCAAACATCCACGTACAAATCGAATATTTTCCCCCAATTTTTGTATCATTTCCACCACTAAATGATCACCAATCTCTTTTAATCGTTCTTCATCTGTTATCCAGATTTTTTCAACGACACCATTCGATTGTTGTTGTTGACTAGCTTGTAGATTCGTTGTATAATTGTTCATCTTTTTAACTAGTTCCGATACAAGTCGAATGAAATGTTCATTACGGGCAACGAAATCGGTTTCACATTTGACTTCGACCATTGTTGCTTGTAATCGATTTGGATCCGTATAAATACCGATTAAACCTTGTCCAGTTGTACGTGACTATTGCAATTTTTTTTCTTAGATTAAGTTTTGAAGCATTCGTCATACAAACCTTGACTCGGTCAGCTTTTTCCCAACCTTGTTTAGCAGCTTCAGCTCTTAACCATTTCTCAGCTTTTATCACATCTTGTCCATTCTGCTCCAAAGCTTTACGACAAAGCGCAAAAGCATAACCGGTCTTTTTTCGTAATTTAGCTAGATCAGATTCAAAAACAATCGGACTTGTATGAATATTTCGAATGGCATTACGATTTGTGGCCATAGGAATGGGACCAATTCGAATCGTCCGAAAAATCGATCTTATGAATGACATTTTTTAAAAGATTAAGTTAACAAAAACCAATTCAAATAAAAAAAAATGATTAACATTCACATGTTTAATAGTTTTTTTTGCCGAGAAAGATTACGACCAAACATTGAAAAAATTTTTACGGAAATTTTTTTTTGTCTTCGAATATGAGTACAAGCGTTCATTTGTTATTGAAAATTGTGAAAAAAAAATTTCTGGCATATTTTGTGATTGAATTTTTGGTTGATAAACAAAAAAGTTGATTTTAAAGACAGAGAATAGGACAATATTGTTCCAATTCGACTTACAAATTAAAAAAACATTACCAAGATGATGATCAAACGATGTTCAGTAATTTTAGCCAACCAATTGGCCAAATCAAATTCATCATCGGCAAATTTGCTCAAAAATATTCAGGTTTGATGATCGATAGAATCGAATGATTATGAAAACTAAAATAGTTCTCGAATTTTTCAGCCATTAAGCTGTAATGGTATTCGTTGGAATAGTACATTATTGATCGCCGATCATACGGAAGAAACACTTTCACCATTAACATTGAAAACAATAACCGCCGCAAAACAATTAGGTAATCCGATTACCTGTATGGTAGCTGGACCGAAAATTGGTCCAGCAGTTGATGCATTGAAGACAGTTGATGGTATTGAGAAAATATTGACAATCGAAAGTGATTCATTAAAAGGATGGCTACCTGAAGTGATGGTTAACGTTGTGATGGAAGCACACAAGAAAAATAATTATTCTCATATCTTGACAGGTGCTTCTTCCGTTGGAAAAGTAAATTATTGTTATTTTTGATGAATGATTTCTCATTAATTGATGGATTTTCATTTTTTTCTGTTGAAATTTATAGAATTTTCTACCTCGACTAGCCGCTCTACTTGATGTATCATTAATATCGGAAATTATTGGCATTAAAAGTCCTGATACCTTTGTACGAACAATTTACGCTGGAAACGCATTGATGGAATTGAAAGCATTAGATGCAATTAAATTGATTACTGTTCGTGGTACAGCATTCGATGCTACACCAATCGGTTCAGCTGATTGTCCTGTCGAAGCCTTTGCAGCCGAATCTGCTACAGCACCTGCTAATGTTAAATGGATTAAATCAGAGCTAACCAAATCAGAACGGCCAGAATTAACTGCAGCTAATCGTGTGATTGCCGGTGGCCGTGGCATGAAAAGTGGTGAAAATTTCAAAATGTTATTTGATCTTGCTGATAAATTAAATGCAGCTGTTGGTGCTTCACGTGCCGCTGTTGATGCTGGTTTTGTACCTAATGATCTACAAGTTGGCCAAACCGGTAAAATTGTTGCACCTGAACTATATGTTGCCATTGGTATTTCCGGTGCCATACAACATTTAGCCGGTATGAAGGATTCGAAAACAATCGTCGCGATCAACAAAGATCCGGATGCACCAATATTTCAAGTTGCCGATTTAGGTTTAGTCGCTGATCTTTTTCAAGCAGTTCCGGAAATCAATGAAAAAATCGATAAATACATTTCCAAATAGATAAGCTAATGATGATTTGATTGAAATTGTTTTAATCTAATATTTGTAAGATGATAACTGAATTAATAAATTTTTAATATTTGTTTAACCATTTTTGAATATGAATTATTCGCTGTTGACATTTTTGATGTAAATATTTAAAATATTCCTCTTCTTCTGATAGTCTTAATCGTCGATACGTATCGTCGTCATCATTGTCTGGATGTAATCGTTTAAATGTTTTTGGGAATAGCCAACCATTTTGGCTGATATCTTCATCGAAAATGGTCATTAACAACTGATTGATACGTTCGAATAGGCAGACAAATTTCGAACGTAAAATAAATCCACCATTTTCATCAGAATCTTGAGCACCGTTTTTAGAAAGTGGAAGAAAACGACCATTAAAATCAATTTGAGGTAAAAGTTTTTCGAATAATTGACAAAGAGATTCTAATGATTTAATGAGTAAAATGATATTGTCTTTGGAAATATATTTGGGAAAAATATCCATCAAATTCATATCGATTGTATCAATTAATTCGAATACTTTATATGGCATTCGAAAACGTTCATAAATGGCAACCATTATGATTGATAGATACAGTAGACGATAACTACCATGATATGCAATCTGACGATATTTTTCATATAATTGTTCAAGACGTTTGATTTTCTTCTCGGTTTGATTAGGTTTCAAATATGACGTGCGGTTTGATCGATATCGAATATAATAAACAATACGAGAAATTGGATTCTGTACATTTTCATTGTTCAAACTATCAAAAAGGCCAAAGAATTGTAATCTGATTGCATTAATTTTTTTCATTAATCCATATGCTTCATATAGATTTGATGGACGTTGACCACAAGATATACAAACGTTGTGTTTATTTAGCACTAATGGTCCTGAACATTGATCATCCAAACATTGAATAACATTTTTCATAAAGCAACACTCATTACGGCATGCCATACATTGACAATAGAAACAATAATTATAATGTAATTGCATTTGTCGTTTATCGATTGATTGTCTTGTAGCGTCTGTTCCATATGAAATGGTTAATTGTTCACCACGTTTTATCAACCGTTTTGCATGTAAATGTATTCCTTTTGAAGAAAAACGCCAAAGTACATTCGGTGTACAGCTATGATTAAAAAATGATCCAATTGATTGTATACAATTGGCAATCATATTCGGTGTGGTCAGCCTTATAATTGATGATGATGATGATGATGAATTTGTTAAATCAAATCCAATTGGACCACTACTCCAACAGAAAGCGTTTGTTTGCATTCGCAATAAATCTCTAGCTAGATGTTCAGCACGATGGCTAAATTCTACCAAGTCATCAAGAATGTTTGCTTGAAGAATCTGTTTACGAACAAATAAATGTATCAAAACCCATGACATGAATATGGCGAAAGCTTCACGCAATGTTGCATGTTCATTTCGATGATGAAGAAATAATGTGATTAACTTGCAAGCTTGAAAACGTTCTTTATCCGACCATTCAGAAAGTGGTAATGATCTTAATCGTTGATTATGAATATAATCATTGCAAACTTTGTCATATTCATTTTGTTTACATTCATCGATCAATTGATGACCAAAAATTGCATAATATCTGTAAACATTACCGAATGAGAATATATCACCAGGACCGGCAATTAATCCATATATACCACATTCAAAACTATGATATTGACGCCAACCCAGCTGTCGACAATTCGATGAACAATAATAGATTTCATCACATTTTTCACATGGCCATTGTTGTTGTTCACTATTATTGTTGTGATTCACATTCAATGAACAGTGACAGTAATGACAATAGGTTTTTCTATGGTCTTCATAGAATGTAAACAAAATTGGTCGTTCTTTAAGAAGAATTTCTCCTGGTAAAATTGAATCATTCGCTATGAAATGTCTACCAAATTGTTCGCTTTGAATTAGATGGCATTTTTTATTCAAATGAAAATTCATTGCAGACTTATTATCGTATCTGTTATCTGAACTGCCAACGATAGACGGCATCGATTCATCGGTTGATTGTTTACAATGTTTTTGTTCATATAAGTCACATTCTTTTTGAATTTTTTTGCCAAGTTTTCGAATTTGAACAGCATGTTTGCGAACAGATTCAAACATCATTTTAAATCCATCTTTTTCATTTGTCATCGGCGACGACTCTTTTCGATATTTTTCCTCATCATAAAGCTGTTGAAGTAAATTGACCGCATTTGAATCATTGGCCAGATTAAATTTGGGCATTTTTTCCATGGCAAAACAAATCAAAACAAAACTCTAATCTTGAATTGAGTGCTGGAAATTCGAATGAATTAGAATTTAGTTCAAAAATGGATCGATTGTTTGATTTGATTTCATTTTTGACCATATAAAATCGATTTCCAATGAATCATTCGAAAAAAGTTTTTTTTATTTGTTCTTTTTGATTTATTGAACTTTATTATTTCTGATTTGAAGAAAGAATTCTCTCATGTCATCCTCATCATCACCATCATCAAGTAATAATAATTCCATGTCGTCTAAACAACATCAATCATCGAGACATGGTGGTACTCCCAGTAATAATCGTAATAGACCTCGTCCTGTAACACCAACTGGTGTTGGAAGCAGTAGTAATAATGTAATACGGGGACCTGGTTGGCGTACAAAACCACCGGTTAAACCACGTGTACAACACGAATTTTGGCATCGACCATTTGCACAAGTTGGTACCAATCAACAACCACCACAATTTACACCTGTTGAAGAAGGTTATATGATTGGCTATATGGATAGTCGTGATTTTCATTTTCGAAAAATACAACGTAAGTGTGTGTACAAGTTACGAATCAAATCTTTAAATATTGTTGTATATGATTATCAGGTTTAATCAATTGGTTTCATCGCAATGGACCCGGTACATTTAGCTATGCACGTTATTTACATCGATTTAAAAATCTTCCCGAACCAGTACAAATCACGGTATCGTCTACACCACCATCACGAAAACGACAACAATCAAGAGGCGAAAGAGGTGTTGGTTTTAGAACTCGCGGTTATGCGCCACGACGTGGTTTCTATAGTGGTTTTAGACGTCAACGATTTGGCGGTGGTGGTGGGGGTGGCCGAATGATGATGCAACAACAACAACGTCCACGATTGCAACGTCGAAGTAATGGTTATTAAAATTGGAATTTTTTTGAATTTTTTTTATTCGTAGATGAAATTGAATTAAAAAATTGTTTGTTTGAAATTTGATTGTTTTTTTTGTGCAGTTATGAATATATAAATGTAGGATCGAAACATTGAACAATTGATTGATTGATTGGTGATGATGACAAAAGAGGAGGAACAAAAGTCAAAAACTGTTGCTGTTATTAAGATGAACGAATCGGAAGCTGAACAACAACAAAAACAACCAATTGTTGTTGTTGGTGATAATAGTGGTTTTCCTAAATTATGTTGTAAGACAACCGAAATTTCCGGACTAAGTTCACATTATAATCCTCATCACAAACAACAACTACAACGTCCACCGACAATGGTGAAGCAATCATTTTCTAATTATCATCATCATGATGATCATAAAACAATGGTGGCAAGAAATAACTCTAATTTATTACCATTAAATTTATGGACAACAAAGATAGCTCCTATATGTAAAAGTCGATTAATATCAAAGTTAGAGAAAACACCGCCCAAAGAAGCGGTTAAAAGCTTGCCAAATTCTCCATCTGGTAATAGTCGTCGTGAATTTGAAAGACGATTTAAGGAAACATTAGAAAAATTAGATCATTTTAAAGATGACGATGATGATAAGGATGAACATGATTATGATCCACAAGATCAATATGAAAAATTACGACCAATGTGGAAAGGAAAAGAATCCGAAAAGCAATGGAAATTCGTACCAAGATATTATAATGATATTATGGATGATGGTAAAGATGATGAACCGGATAACGATGATAATGATGATGATCAAGAGGCATGGCTTAAAGATTTAGTACGTTTAGTTATGCATTCTTCTACTGATCAACAACCGAAAGCACAACCAATTGTATGGTTACGATCATCACAACCAAAATCGGCTAATAAATCATTATTGAAACAAACAAAATCTGCACCAAAAATCATCATCACGCCAATTCAGGGGAAGGAAAAATGATGAATTTCGATCGACAAACAACCACAACAAATCCAAATTTAACTACAGCAGTAATTCGTGGAACATTTTCTCGTGCATCTACGTTAACGGCAATGGTTGTATCATCCAATCAGAATAATGATAACAATAATCTAGCCAATCAAAGTTCGAGATTAATGAACAAAGGACAATGGTCACCAATGAATCAGGCACCGCCTTTGAATAATGCATATAATTTGATTGCCGATTTTTTTCGTCGATCCTCACCATCTAGACGGCGACGACGACGACAACAACGTCAACAAAAACAACAACAACAGCCAAATGATGGAATACCAATGGATCGAAAACAACAACGTAATAATTATCGAGGAAATTATCGTCGATTTAATAGTTATTAGAATGGTTATAATATAATATAATCAATATATTAAAATTAATTAAAATCTGCATAATCCGATATGGATGGAAGAAAATGAAAATATATATGAAAAATGATGCAATCACACAATTCTCTTATCCAATTGCTTGTTTTTTTTGTGTATTTTTTTTCTTCTAAAATCAATGCTATGTTGATAGCTAATCATTGGATTTATTGATAATAATAAATTTATTAAAGGTTAATAAATGAAAAAGCAGACGGATTTCCGATCTTTGTAAATTGTTTTTTTTTTGGTTCTGTTATCAGTTGTTTTTGCGTTTTTCATTTGTTATTGGTATAATTATTTCTGAAGAATCAAATGATATGAAAAAAAATGAGAGAAAAAAAAGCCTATTAATAAATTTATATATTGAACTTTGGATCAAAATCGATCAAAACACACTAAAAACACACACTAAAATAAATTCTTATCATAAACAATTGAAATTAATCAAATCAATTCGAAAGAAATAAAAAAACTATTTCACTGATAATGAAATTAATTGATGGATTAATTGTGAACAAAAACAACTCAACTGGATCATCATTATTTGCCCAATGTATCAGAGTAAAATGAGCGATAATTGTTATTGATTCGATTAGAATTCTTATCAATATCATTTGTAATAATCTGAATAGAGTCAAGATATATAGTAGTTGATTAATCATCAACATAGGTTAAAAAAAATCAAATAATCAAAAACATAAACGTCGAAATCATTATTGGATGATAATATCGTTGTTATTGTTGTTGATGACGATGACGATGAATGCTGAAATTGCGTCGTAATTTTCAATTTTTTTTTTGTCTTTTTCTCTTTAGACTTTTTCTCTCTCTCTCTCTCTCTCTCTCGATTCATATGGTTCCTTTATTCGATAGATCGTAGCAACAAAAACATTTACATTCCATTTGAATCTATAAAACGACCATTTATAGATGAAATAAAAATGAGATTTGCCAATTTTCCCATGTTTTAGCCTTTTGAATTTGAATTCACATGAGTGTAACATTCATTTGCTAATTACATTTCTATGGTTACAAAATTTGATTTTTTTTGTTTTTGTTTTGGTTGTTGTTGTTCTGAAAAAATAAATCATTAATAAAATCAACAAGTGAAAATTTTTATCCTAAAACAACGTACATTAACCGGTTAAAAATTAATAAACTTTATTACTCATAACAAATTAGCGATGATGGAATTTTTTTTATATATATATTCTGATGACAACCACAGTTGATGGAATGTGTAATCAAACACAAATGGCTCATATTATTGTTATCACATATGAATGATGGTTGCTCATGGCAATTTTAAATAAATGGATTTTTTTTTTGATTGATGACCAGAATGAAATCGTCATAAAAAAACAACAACAACAAAACTAAAATGAACTTTAATCTGATAGGTTATCTATATAAACAATTCATGTCCATTGGTCAATGGTCATTGTATTCCGCTTTTGGTTATAAATACGTACTCGATTGTGATTAGCTGTAATGTAATAAGAGTTGTATATTTGCTCCGCCCATCCAAACTAAGGAATTATTCTGATGTTATGGATTCGATTTTTTTTTTTTTTTTTTTGAAAATTCGTCTCATTATCAAAGTTACAAATGAAAAAAAATACGATAACAGAAAACAAAAAACAATTTTTTTCCTTTTTTTTCAAATACCAAAAAGAATGTATCCAGGATATTCGATCATATAAAAGAAAACGCCCGATCATATTGTGTGTATATTTTGCCCTTCAAAAAAAAGGAGAAATGTTTGAAAAAAATACAATAAAAACAAGTAATCTAGATTAAAGTTTTTTTTTCATTGGATATGACTAAAAAACAACACGAAAATTGAAAATTTGAATGTAAATGTAATTGTCGATGGCGCCCAATTCATTATCAGTCGTCGTCATATTATACGTATATTCAAGTATTTAACGGCGCCAAATCATTCTAAATGATTTTTTTTACTGTAATTCTGTTATCTTGAATCTTTTATTTTTTGTTGTTGTTGTTGTTGTTGTGTTTGTATGAAATACCTGGGCGTCAAACAATACGATATATGATGATGATGACTATTGTTATCTTGAAAGAAATTTTTGGTTGCTATAATTTCAAAGTTTTTTCTCTCTCTCTCTGTGTGTGTGTGTGTGTGTTTGTCCATGGAATTGTACCAATTTTTTTTGGCCTGTTGTTGCTTGAGTATTCAATACTGATGTAAAAAGCCATATGTAAATAATAGAGAGGTGAATGTGAATGAAAAAAAAATTGATAATAATGCCATAGCAGAAATTCATCCATAATCAGTCAATTTATTTCGATAGAAAATGGCATTGTATTTTTGTTCATTGTGGATTATTCTACTTTTTTTTGTTTGTTTGTTTGTTTGTTTATTGATTTATGACTTGGGACTTCAATTATTCATTACAAACAAATATATTGTATTGTATGTATATGTTATTATTACCTACAGCCTATTTCACTCTTTCATTATAGTGTTTGATTGGTTGGTTCATCATTTATAATTATTATATTGAATGAAAAAAATGAATTGGTGCTCAAAAAAAAAATTCAATTCGATTCAATCATGAAGCATATGATTCAATCGATTAATCTGTCTATATAGAACATGATCAAATACAAACACATCAATGATATCAATCAATCAAGAGTTGATAATATATATCGATCACTACTAGATTTTTCAAGAAATCCAAAGAAATCAAGCCAGAAATAGTTAATCCAATATTGTCTCATATCAATGGCTAGATGAATTTAAGTATAATCATCACCAATAATGGTAGCCATGGTAAATTTTTTGTTGTTGAAATTTTGATCTGAAATAAATCATAAAAAAATGGATAAAAAAAGATCCTTTTTCGTATCTAGGTTTTTGAGTAATTGAATGGTATCTGGAAATAATAATAATAAAAAAAAGAGAGAAAAAAAATGTCAAACACGTTATCATTCGAAAAGAAAAATTGTTCAGATAAAAACGCGTGCAATCAAATCAATTTCAATCATTAACAACCTGGATAGATATTTTCATTCCATATTTCTTTCTTTTTCTCTTTATTTTGGTTATCTAGTTATAAATATATAGTCCGCTCAAGGTAAATATTGAATTAAAGATGGAAGAAGTAAAAAAAACCAAAATCGATGTCGTTGTTGATAAGTGAATGTACAAACAAATAACAACAACAATTTGCTGAATTATCCTCATCATCAGCATCATATAGCCAAGTGTTGAGATTTTATTCAATTTTTTCGTATTCGCCATGTTTGTTCATGTATAGCCATTTCCGTATGTGAAAAAAAACAACGAAGCTCCCTATATATATATTTACACAGAAAGTTCATTGAATTCGAGTATCTATGTGCTTACTTATACCTAATTCTATCTATTACATTATTGTGTGACATTAATTCAATGATTTAGATTATTTGCGAACTTTTTTTTTTTTGGTTGTTCCGAAAAATTTCAACGAATACAAATACATACATTCATCCGAAAGTTGAAAATTGAATAAAAGAACATTTCAAATGTTTATGCTTTTGAGAGTGAGAAGACAAAAAAAAATAATGATGATTATGATAATAACCAATGGTAACCATTCAGAATTGGTGCACAAAATCCATTATTAATTCAATAATGATAATAACCAATGTTTATCATCATATACATATGAAAAGGATCATCATATCGAACATTCATGCTATTTATATGAAATAATTTTGTTTATTACAAAATTTGAAATAGATGAACAAAATTAAAATTCTTTCCTTTTGAATAATAATCATATTATATTTACTAAAAAATGTAAATACATCATTCAATGGTTTTTTTTCCTGATTAGCTGCTGAAAATTGGATTTTTATTTAAGGATAGTCCATTTTTTTACTTGTAACATTGGCAGATGAATCATCAGATTATTTTATCGTATATATAATTAGCATAGACAAGTTGATTGGAATGATAAAAAAAAACTATTTACTCAATCATAATCATATTGCATGCATTTATACAAAAAAAAAAAAAAAATACAGACAGATAAACACAATGTGACAATTAGTTTTTTTTTGGAAAACTTGGACTTTTTTTTACATTACATTAGCAGAGTTATTACATAAAATTTTTCTAATACACACCTGATGCAACCCGGTCACATAAGTTTGGAAATTATAAATTATACAGAGAAAAAATGATGTTTGAATTATAATAGAAAAAAAATTGAATGAAATTTTTCAAAAATTCAAATGATAAAAATGTTGATGATGATGTTTACTCATATCATTTCATTTCATTTTTTTTTTTTTTTTTGTTTGATTAATTTCTCAGTCAAATCCATACAAATTTATTCTACACCTGACATTGAGACAATGAAAAAAAAAAGAAATGCTTGTTGAATATAATTAAGAGATTATTATAAAAAAAAACAATGGGGATGAAAATTTCCGAGAAAATATCAAAAAAAAATTTCTCTTAGATCTCTTGGATGATTTTTTTTTTTCTTCTTCTTCTTCTTGTTGTTTATGATGGATAATAATCTACGTGAAATTTTATCGATTGTAACCATTGGTATATGAAATAGAGAGGAAAGAGAAATTTTTTTTTTTTTTTTTTTTTTTTTGATTGTCTAAAGCACATTGAAATCTCTTTTCTCTATTCATCGAATCTGTATACACAATATGACAAAAAAAAATTTTTCTGTACATCCGTAGCATTTGAACATTGGTTGTGTGTGTGTATGTTTGTGGTTACCATGATGATAATCGAAATGGAAAATTATTGCATCAATCCAAATCAAACCAGATAAAAAAAAATATATACCTTTTAAGAAAACGGCACACCTTTTTCATTTCAAAATTGAATTCAATTCAATCTAATCCATTGGTGTAACAAATTGAAATAACGAAAACACACACACACACATACACGATATATTTACGATTCTTCGTGTATGTATATGTTGTTGAATACTGAACACACCTGTACTGTACATCTATTCATATATATATATATAGATATGTGAACACACCAATCCGAAGCCGTTATACCTGAACAACATCCTTAAAATGGGCGTGGCTTATGTTTATTAACACTTTTATTTCTTTTTCTCCTTTTGTTTAGTTATGTGCGTATTTGTTCGTTTTTTTTTTGTTGTTTAGTACATGTATCGACATTTTTGATCAATTTTTTTTTGTTCTTATTATTGATGATGATGATGATGATTTTTGTGCTTTTCCAATTTTCATCCATTTTTTGTTATATAAATGTTAGTGATTATTTCATTCATTCATTGTTTATCGTTATTTTTTTTTGAAGACTTTCTCCATATTGACTAAATTCGATTGAATGAATAGAAAAAAAATGAGTGCTAGAAAACGTAAATTGAAAAATTTCGAACAAATTATGGACAATTTAAAACAACAGAATTCAATGAATAATTATAATGGTGAAGATTATAATGATGATGATGCTGATGATGATGATGATGATGATGTTTATGATGTTGGAATGAAACATTTAAAATCAATGTCCGAACAATCAATATCATCACAAATGGCTGTTATACAATCCATTCAAGCTGATTTTCTTCAACAACAACAACAAATTGATACGAATAATAATATACAATTGATGACCATGAATGATGAACATCACCAACATCAACAACAACAACAACATCAACAACAACAACAACAATTGACAAATGATAATAATTCAATATATCGTGGCCTTTATCCAATCAATAATGTAAAACAATATTTTGAGAAAACAATAATTGATGGCAAAAAACGTTATAGATGTTTATGGAATGATTGTACATTCTGTACATGGAATTATTCACAACATATCTCCAGACATATTTATCTGAAACATATCGGTATTAAAAAATTACAATGCAATATCGATGGATGTGGTAAATTGTTTAAAAGACCAGAATCATTAGTACAACATATGAAGAATCATAATTGTGGTTTCGGTATTGATAATGATACGATGAAAAATCCAGATAATATTTGCGGTGTTCGTAATATACGGCGATATTTTTCTCGTACATTAGATAATGATATCTATGTATATCAATGTCGATTCGGTGATTGTAAATTTCATACACATAATTCCGGTAGTATACGACGACATGTACACAATCAACATGTTTGTCCATTTTCTGCATCCAATAATAATAGTAATAATAATAATAATAATATTGTTCAACAACAGCAAGAATATGGTGAAGCTAATCCAATTATTATTGATAATCATTCATATGATGATTCAAATGATCAATCATCATCACCATTATCATCGACACCACCACCACCGGATGTTGAAGTGCAATTAAATGAATTTGACAATCAATTATATGATCCTGAACGACGACAGATTGTATTATCGGAACCCGAACAACAACAATTACCATCATCAAATGAAGATTCATCTGAAGAATTTCCTAGCGATTATTTCGATGATGATGATGATGATATTGATGATGGTGATGATGATGATAATCATTCAATTAATGGCCAAAATCAAATGATTGAACATTTACAACAATCATCGGCTATGATTAGTTTGCCAAATGTAGATGATGATGATGAAGTTGATAGTGAAATTGAATTGACCATTGATAATAATGATGATGATGACCAAATGCAAAACAGTAATAATAATGATGATCATGATCATGATAATGGCAATCATGAACAACAACAGCAACAGATAAAATCACCAACCAATCAACAGCCACCTAATGGTCTTTATAGTTTGAAAAATTTCAAAGGTCAATTCCGCAAAGAACGTAATGAATCGAATGGTGTCGAATTCATTTGTAATCGTTGTGGTTTTCGTGCACCATCTCAGATAACACTTGTACGACATCTATGGTCGGAGAATGGATATAAAAATTTCACATGTGATAATTGTGATCAGATTTTCGATAGTGAAGTTGCCCTATACAAACATCGTAAAACAATTCATCAACAAACGACGTCAACATCATCATTATCGCCACCACATCTTCCGGTTGTTATGGTTCCATCATCACATCCTACTTTATCTAATAATAATATTACTAACAATTCTGTTTGTTCATCTTATTCATCATCGCAAACAATTGTTCAACACATACCATCATTGAATAATGATAATTCAATGAATATTCCACAACAACGGCAACAACAATTTACAAATGATAATCAATTATCAGCGATTAATGATATGAATAATGGTGCTACATTAATGGCATTATTGATGATGCAATCACAGCTTCCTGATCCATTGTTGAAAACTAGAGAAAAATTGATGATGCTATTACAGCAACAGCAACAGCAGCAACAACAGCAACAACAGCAACAACAGCAACAGCAGCAACAGCAGCAACAGCAGCAACAACAGCAACAACAACAACAGCAACAATATCTGCATCAGATACAAAGGCAAACATTATGTCAATCATATTCATCAATGTTTGATAGGATCAAAAATTCGGATGGCTCTAATGAATTTCGTTGTCGAATATGTCCAACATATGTTGTACGTAGTCGACAATCGATAACGAAACATATGAAAAATTATCATCCCCTACACCAACAACAACAACAGCAGCAGCAAAATCATTTACAAATGTTAAAAATGGTATTACAAACACAAACACAAACACAAACATCATCAACATCATCATCACCACAACAGCAGCAAACAGATGAAGAAGAATCGGTTAATAATAATCTAGAAATTGATTCGAATCCCGATGATTCGACCGTTACTGCTGGACAACAAGTTGAACAACAACAACAACAACGTCAAAGTAGTGGACGTGATAAGAATGGTCTTTATTCATTGAAAAAATTTCCGGATTATTATCGTCGACAACGTATGCCTGATGGTTCACCCGGTTATCAATATGTCTGTCTCAAATGTATGGATGAACAGAGTTATGCAACCAAATCACAGGCATCAATGATACGTCATATTTGGCAACATAAACCACAGAATTTTCATTGCCCAATCTGCATGTTTCCATGTGAAAATGAATTTGCATTATATAAACATAAAAAACATAAGCACCCCGAATCAACTAGTCAACATAATCGAACCAAATCATCATCATCAAAATTAACTAATCGAAAATTGATGAATAATCAACAATCACCACCATCATCATCATCGTCGATTATATTTTCGGATAATATTATTCAACAGCAACAATGGATCAATCATCATCATCATCAACAACAACAACAACAACAAGAACAAATAAATCCAATCTCATTGGTAAAACATGCTGTTACAGGTGATGATGATGCACACACACAGCAGCTACAACAACAACAACAACCAGAAAAAACATCCAGACGAAGTCTTCAATTCAAGACGTATAAATATAATTGTCAATCATCATCCTCATTACAAATTGATGATGATTATAATGATGATGATGATGAATAATGCAAATTAACACTGATACATTAATTTATTTATAACAATGTTTTTTAATTTTTTCAATTCTTGGCAATTTAATTCACCAAATCGAGTGCCTTAACAAATTTTTTTTCCATTTTTAATCCAAACATTGTGGTGGTGGCTAGTCATCATTGGGCTTGTTCATCTTTTATCTTTCATTTTTTTTTTGTTTTTTTTCTGAAATTAAAATTATTTCTTTTTCTTGTTACTAAAATTATCATTCTTTTTAGCCATTGCTTTTGTTTTGATCAATCCATCAATACTATTTTTGACCAACGTCTTGGCTGCTGCTTGTTGTTTGATTCGCCGGCCAGATGATTTTTTCGATCTTCGTTTTTTATTTTTTGATATCTTTGACGATGAAGAAAATGGTGCCGAGGTTTTGGTTACCGTTTGATCGTCGTTGTTGGTCATCGTAATTTTGGTTGTTGATTCTTGTTTACCAGATTTTTCTTGTTGTTGTTGTGTGATCGATGGTGATCTAATCTTCAACGAACGAGCACTAGTTGACGATGGCATTTCCGATGGTGGCACAATTACTTTGACTTTTTGAATTGCTGATGGTGATCGTGGTTTTTTTCCCTGTTTCGTTTGTTCATGCTTTTTTCGTTTTGTTTTCGAGGATTTCGATGAAGATGATGTTAATGATGATCCGGATGGTGTACGTTTGATCACTTCGAATTTACTTTTTTCCAATTTCAAACGATCACCAGATGATCGTCGTCTATGACTTAATGATGGTGAGGATTTCTTCCGCAAAGCTGTTGTTGATTGATCCGTTTTCATTGTCTTTGATTTCGATTTCAATCGACTGGAAGATCTTGGTTTAACCTGTTCTATCTTTGTCTTTGGAGATATCTTAAACATCATCATTTTGCTAGCTACAAGGCTTAATGGTCCGGATTTTTTCCGATCTTTCGATCTATCATCGCTTGATTTTAATGCTTTGCGTTTTGACGATGTGGATGGAGATTTTTTCTTTTTTTTCTTCGATGATGATGATGATGATAATTTTCCTTCACTTTCGGTTGTTGTTGTTGTTGTTGTTGTCAAAGATGGCGATGATAATGTTTGTGATTTATGTCTTTGCAGCTGTAAACTCAACAATGGTTCATTCAATTTTGCTATAGATGTTGTTTGATGATGTTTGACATTAGTGACACCTGTTTTACCACCACCTTCTACACCAGTGATTTTAGATTCAGGATCATCAATTACATTTTTAACGAGGACTGGTTCAGATTTCTGTTCTTTCATCAGATCCAATGTTGATTTAATTTTGATTTTAAATTCATCCATTTTAATAGATGCAGATTTTTTCGGTAATTCTATCATTGGTTTTGATTTAACTCGTACAATTGGTTTAGATTTAGGTGGAATATTCGATTGGACCATATCATCGTTGTTGTTTTTAGAATCCTGTTTTTTTTGTTCCATTTTTTCTGGACCAGTTTTTTCATCGATAATTTTTTCTGCCGATGGTTTAATACTTGTTCCAAATGATAATGCTCGATCAATCAATATCTGAATTGATTTTGGTTGTTTATCGAGCAATTTAATGGGTGGTGATGAAGTTGTTTTCATCGTTTTTTTCGGTGAGCTAAATCGGTATACATCAACTGGTGCCGGAATCGGTTGTTGTTGTGGTTGTTGATGACGTTTTTGTCCATACAATTCTCGAATTCGATCTTTTGCTTGTTCAGTTTGTTTTGATAGTGGTGATATTGATATCGGTGTAACCAATGATGATGTTTCTGATTTGGTATTTGTACCTGTGGATGTGGATATGGTCATTGTTGTACGACTTGTATCTTGTGATCGTTTTTGTTGCCGTTGACTACGTTTTTGTTGCCGTTCAATCGATTTAAATGTTTCGGCAGCTGAAGCACGTTGTTGAAGTAAATCTAATCCAGAAATTTGAACTTCTGACATGCGACCAGCTTCTCTAATTTCGCCTCCATCATCTTCGAACAACAATTTCATTGAAATTCGACAATTTAGGTCTGGAATCAATGCAATCCAGCGATAATCACAAATTATGACAGATAATGTTCCACACAACACTTCGACTATACAATCCGATGGAATACGATTCTCTTTGATTTCCCAACCATTTTGATCAGAATATTGACCAAGTAATAAATTACCCTTGACTTCTAAATGATTTTGATCATGATGAACATTATCCAATGTTTTAGCATCGAAACGAAATCCATAAAATGTTTCACCCAATACCGTCACTTGACCTGACTCTTTTGGTATGATTAATGCGGAAATCTGATTCGATTTATCAATCGTTTGAACAAGATAATTACGATCAGCAATCAGAAAACGATCATCAGAAATGAATGGTAACCATCCGATTTCACCGGTAGATCGTCGAATTCGATTATACGGTATGATTGAACGAAATTCATTAATCATTGTTCCATAGAAAATTCCCATTGGCCGTATAAACATTGTCGCCATCTTGTAGTAGACGATGAATTCACGATATAATGGCTTTTGATTGAAATGACTCATTTTATGTTTAATCATATCTAGATCAAATTTATTTTTCAATTGATAATAATAATCTTGTACACAGCGCTGTGGTGATGATTTTGATGATGATGATGGGATTGATGTTGTTGTTTGTGACATTTTTTTTTTCTTTTGTTTCTATCGTTTTTTCACTCGTTTTCTAATCGCAATATAATAATTCAGTTAATACAAAAACTTATAAATCATTGGTCAACATTTATATTTCCGTTTGTTCGAATATAATCAAAAGTTTAATTTAATTTTTGACAATTAAAATCTGATTTTTAAATTATTCAAATTCATGGTTTTCATCAATTAATTAATTCGAAATTGCCTGATGAGATGACAACCGATTCGAATTGTTTTTGTCCTGAATTGTATCGAATCAAAATGATATTGGGCTTCGAATGTCGTTGGACGTTATGGTCGCATATGACTATGTCATTAGAGAAAAGTATAAAATATGAAAAGTCAATGATGAGAAAATAAATCTACTGTTTGCTTTTTCTTTCCAAAATTGTGTTGTGTTTATTTTTGGGTGCAAAGAATTTCTTGTTAAATTCACACTTTAATTCAATACACCAATCCTGTAACATCAATTCTATATCTAATCATGAAATCAATTTATTCGATATAATAATATTAATGTTGACCGTCATGTTGATCCAATTCGATAAATGTCGATCATGTTTATCACCTCATGGACAAATGACTTCGATTAAAACAACGGGATGTTCGAAACAAAAAACTTTTCATTCGAATTCATCAGTTTGCCATCTAAAAATGGGTGATACAGTTACTGTTCGAATGAAGTTTGTTCCAAGTAAGTATCTATAATTTTTTAAAATCAATTTAAATTTGTCCTTGTCAATCTGTTGAATGTGTAGACACTCGTGTTCATTCGTTGAAAGTTCGATGTACAGGTAAAGTGCACGGCCATTCGTTTGATGTACCCATTCCACAAGAGTAAGTCAAGTTAATCATATGGATTCATTTGATGAATTGTTTCTCATTCATTTTGATTTATCTATAGAAATGTATGCGGAAATTATGATAATTTCATTTGTCCAATAAATACTGGTGAATCACGTGACTTTACCATTAAAATTCCAGTACGATATGATGGTCCAATACCATCTAAAAACATGAAGAACGTACCGGTAACATTTCAATTGACATTGGAAGATGAATCCCACAATGATGTTGCATGTAAAAAACTTCAAGCAAAAATTTGTGGATGAATTATTTGATAAATCAACGTCTTCTAATATCTTATTATTATAGACGTTAATCCAGTAGATGTGTTTTATTTAAGTTTTATGATGCCCGATAATAAATTTATAAAAAATTTATTTAAAAAAATGTCATCTTGTCAATGGATACTATATTGACTATTGTTTTCATTGTAATCATTGTTTTTGATTGCTGGACTTCATACCTTAAACCTATCTGTGTATGGAATTTTTTTTTCTTGTTAGCCTTTTGTTTGGACCAATAATAATTATTTGATATTTCAATCACAATGTTTATTTCCGTTGATCGTATTTTACGGATTAATTTCATAGCAAAAATATTCTCAATTAGCGGCCGTTCACCGATAATGAAATCAAATTCGATTGCAACAACAATCGATGATCAAACGGTAGTTGATGATGTAGAAAATGATGCAGCCGATTCTCTGCCAAACAAATCAAACTCATCGAAATCTTCTCGCCATCGTCCATTATTGATACCATATATGCCAAGACGTATTATTGTGTATAATTTTCTTCGACGGCCAAAAAATTTCCATGCAATCATGTATCATGTTTCTTTGATCGTTTTGATCATCATGGCATTACTTTGTTTTGCACTGGCTACCGTTCCAGGTACGTTAGTTGCTTATGATTCTATGATGAATAACAGATTGAAACATTTATATAGAATTTACCAGATCGATACGTCCTGGCCTAATCATAATTGATTCATTAATCTGTATGTTTGTTATTGGTGAATCAGTTGCCATTTATTGGTCATCAAGTTGTCAGCCAAAATATCAAGGCATATGGGGTCGTTTGCGATTTTTGCGTTCATTCTCAGGTTTATTCGATATAATGATATTATCCGTTACATTGGCTATTGTTTATTGCCATTTTTGCGATTATGGAAGTGGTTATTATCATCATGTGGATGTAGGTCATGGCACATTTTGGCTAAGACTTGGACAATGGTTTCATATATTACGCATGGGTGAGCGATTTAAACCATGGCGTGTGCTAACATCAGTAATATGGCAACAACGTTATCAATTTTTAATCACATTCTATATGTGCTTGGTATGGCTTATCTTTGTTACGTTTGTTATGTTTCTGGCTGAACAAAGTTATGATGAAACTGATTTCACATCCTTACCCAAAACATTCTGGTGGTCAATAGTCTCATTATTCACCATTGGTTATGGTGATATGACACCGGCCACCAATATTGGTAAAGTGTTGGCTTCCATTTTTTTCTTTCTTTTCATCTTTAAATTTGCGTTACCGGCCGGTGTTCTAAGTACCGGATTAGCACTCAAGGTATTTCATAACATTTCGATAATTGATTTCATTCCATTTGTTTGTCATAAATATAGATTCAAGATCAACGACGTGTTCGACATATAAGTCAAAGACGTTTAGCTGCTGCTCGTTTCATTAAATTAGCATGGCGTTATTTTCATTATCGTAATCACGAACCTGCCGTATGTCCACGTCGTCATCGTCATTCTCAATCTATGACGGTGAATGATGATTATCATCGACGTAGTTCAAGTATAAATCCACCGGAAATTGTTTGCATACGATTCATCATTTCCTTACAGTTTCTGTTGGCAAGACGACGATTTCGTCGTGCCATGCGACCATATGATTTTGGTGATATTATGGAACAATACAGTGTTGGACATGAAGAATTGATTGCACAAGTAGATCGACTCTATGTTTGCATAGATCGAATTGAAACACAATTGAAACAAAGTGGGCAAACGCTTCAACTTGTTGAACGGCAAACAAAGTGGATAACTAGAATTCTTGAGACTAAATTTATTGAAAAAAATACAGATTCTTCAATTTCGAAAATTTTCATTATAAAAGATGATCCAAATAAAATAGAATCCAATGAATGAATGTTTCGAATTTCGAATCGCTTAAATTTCAAGTCCAACATTCGAATCAATTTTATTCTGTCATACATTATCATTCGTTATCCATTCCATATATATGTTTTTATTGCATTAATGGTTATTACCAAAAGTTTATTCATAATTCACTTGAAGCAATTAGTTTAGTTCTATTTATCTGGCACTTTTGTTTTCATTAATGACTGGTTTAATGACAAGTTGATCTGTCGCACACAGCATTGAATAGATCAATGCTGATGATTCAAATGAGTAACGAAAGTAATAATCACGAAATATGAGCAAAATCGAAAAAGATCATACAATCAATCAATCGATGATTAAAATATATTAATTTCCATTTCACTAATAACCAAAGACATCATTCTCATCGTGAAAACAGAGAATAAAAGCGCGAACAAAGACATCCTTCTCAATCTATAAAACAATAATCATAATAATTGTCAACGACCACTACCACTACCATAATAAAATAATTTTATTATTTTCAGAATAAAAACAATTTACATTTATTGAAAAATAAACGATAAAATAAATCATACAATCATCAATTGTTCGGTATTCGAAACGGCGGTTTCACCACGTTCTGAAGTGCTCGAATAGCGAATCTTGGCAGCAAACAAAGAATCGGTATGACAACCAGAGCACGCAAAAATTCCACTTGGAACACTATGTTCTGTAACGAATCAAAAAAAAATCAATCAATGACTGTAAATGAACAAGCACATACATTAGACATTTACCATGAAAAGTTTGTAGTTGCGTCCACCCAGAATGAAGATTAAGGAATCTGAATAGTTGAAATCGAGAAAAAGCATTGATGAGGCAAAAAAGCCGATCGAAATGACCAAAGACAACAAAAAGTACCGGTTCCAGTATTTGTTTTCCATCGAAATCTGCAACAGATTGGTCACGATAATTAGAATAAACTCAATGAGACCAAACTCGTAGACATCGATACTAGTCCCGTCAAACATTCCGTAAGCGGAAAAAAAGATAATACAACTCTGGTAGATTGAATCTATGGTGGTCACCCAAAATGATTGCGACGTATACACGGTCGAACGTCGGCCGCGTTCGTAAAGCGTTGGATGATCGATGAAAACTGATTCATGGCAGTCCTTCTCGAGAATACCACGTACGATCGCCGGTAATGTGGTGTAGAAAATGTTCACGGCCATCAGATAAACCTCGTCCAACAGCGATGTGCCGCTGAATCCACACAGAAATTGATAGAAAAAGAGTATAAATACGACCATAGTATTCTTGTAGAAAAAGTACTGTATGGTCAACGCCAATCTGTTGTAGCATAGATTTCCATGCAATAACAATAGTCTTTCGAGAAAATGAAATTTGGGAATAGCGAAATCGGAAGCCATGGCCGCTTGAGAACCTTCCAAGCCAACCACTCCAACGCCGATTGCGGCCGTCTGGATCATGGCTACGTCGTTGGCTCCATCGCCCACGGCCAAAGTAAGTACATTCAGTTTGTTCTTCACACATTTGACCACAAACGATTTTTGCGAGGGCGTCACTCGACAGCATAGAACCGATCCACAGTATTGGGCTAACTGGATAAAGTAGTCAACGTTCTCCTTCTGTAGAACAAAATTCAACGACGGTCCATCAATGACCAATCCCCATCGTTGTCGGAAGTGACCACCACCATCTTCGGCACCAAAGTTACTATCCGCTCGAACTGCAGCCGATTCGGCATACGTTTTTTCTCGTTTCAGAAAGTGATAAAGACGTCTGAGCAACGTGAAACAACCATAATGGCGTTTGTTGGTCATGCTGTTGAACGATTTCTCGGAAGACAAACTTCCGTTGAAAAGTTGGTCGTCTTCATCTCGACTATAATTTCTTACAATGTCCAGGTGTTTGAGCAGTTCAAACCGAGCAGTTTTCTGTTGTAAATGTAAACAACGTTTGTTAATCATTATCTGAACATTGAAAATTGGCTTACCTTGGATCGAACAGTGGTCAGATTGATGGTCAGCAGTCGCATGTTGACATTGAACAACAGACAAGACTTGGCGATACTGATGGCCGTTTCCATCTTGTCGCCGGTGAGTACCCAGACCATGATTCCAGCATGACGCATTGCACTGATAACTTGTGGTACTCGATGTTGAAGCCGATCTTCGATGGCTGTCGTGCCAAGCAGTTGCAATTCACTCTCTATTTGTTCATATAGGGCTTTCATTTGCTTGTCTCGATCATCGCTCGATTCAGCTCGATTCAATTTACCTAGCCAATCATCGTATTCTTGTCGACTTAACTTTCGTTTGGCAATGCAAAGGACACGTAACCCCTTGCTGCTATAATTGTGAAGGCATTGTTTGTTCAGTGTTAATTCATTTTCGGGATTGTCTTGCTGACATGTAGACAACTTCTGCAGGACAGTAAGATCCGATCCTTTCACGTATAGAATAATGTTTCCGGTAAAGGGACATTCGACAATCACAGACATTCGTTTTCGGTCAGAATCAAACGGTATGATGTGAAGCATTTTGTAACGAACGACCACATCGTTTGGCAGCGAAATAGTCACAAAATCTCTAGCACGTTTAACCAAACGATACTGATAATGGTAGGCAGCTGTGACCAAGGCCACTTCATCTGGACTTTCCGATTCATAGCAAGGTCCTTCCATTCGATTCTTGAGCGATGCAGCATCAGGTGATGATTTGGCAGGCGACGTTGGCATACTGCTTTGGAACACGTTGAACAAATCGAACGAATAACTTCGACTGCCAAGCTGCTGCAGCAGCAACGTTTTGCTCATTGGTGGTTTTGTCACCACAACCTGTTGTCCTTTTGCATTCAGATTATCTTGATGAACATTCTGACTGGTGGCCGAATTACAAATGGTAAGTGTGATGAAAAAATCGTGCATAGCCTGCTGTTCGCCATCGTTCAATTGGAATTTGTCGCTTTGATTGGGTTTAGTCCATTGTTCGTAATGATGGCCAATAGCTGTTACTTTATTCTGCAATTGGTTGTTCATTACTTTACGTTGTTGTTTATTTGCATCTGGATGATCCAAACTTTCAACGGTGGACTTGTGTTCGTAGTTGATGCCTTTAATACAACAGCATTGAAATTCCATAATGTTCTCTGTAAGCGTACCGGTCTTGTCGCAAAACACGTATTCAATTTGACCCAGATCTTCGGTTATATTCCATGCTCGACATTCGCAGCGTTTTCCTGTGACCGGGTCGATGAGCTCTTCATCCCGGTTGATGAGATAAACCTGACCCAGTTTGACCATCTCGATACAGACGTACAACGAGATCGGTATGATCATCTGGTAGAGAATGAGAAATGTGGCAAACGTTTTCAAAGGCCACACAAATTCCAACGATTCGATCGGGTTCTCGTAATCAGTATACGGTGGTCGTAAATGTAGTAGATCGGTAAATTGGTCCAACCAGAAATATTGGCCCATAAATCCGATGACGCACATGATAATCAATATGACTACACACATCACTATGTCTCGATTCATCATTTTCTCAAGCCGACTACGTTTATGGCGAGGACCTTTGTTGTTGAGCATCGCTTTGGTTTCGTGACCAGCGTAGATGACCAGGCCCTCGGCAAACCCGGTGTTTTTCAACGAACAATCACGCAGCAACAGGTTGTCCTTGTTGATGGCTATCTTTCGAGGTCGGCCATCATGATCATCATTGTAGACAAGTGAACCGTTGAATTTGTGCAACTTGAGATTGGGCTTTTCGCATTCGATCACGAATTCAAAGTTGGACTCTTCCAATGGCTGATTCGGTTTGATAACATTGGCCACCACATAGCGTGGCTTTAGATTGCTTTCGCCATCCAGGTTAGAGGTCTCTACATAACATGTACCATAATCATCATTTTCGGCCGATTGAGAACGAAGCAGCAATATGTCTGCCGGTACAATCTCATTGCAGGAAAGATGGATAAGATCGCCTACTTGCACTTCTTGCCACTTGACACGCACAAACCGTTTAGTTCGAGCATCGTAACGACGTGTGGCCATGTTGTTGACTCGTTTATCGGACAAATGACGTCTGCGATCTTCGAACAAATCCTTGATGGCCGTCACAGACAATACAAACAACAGAGGCATCAGTTGTACTTCCCGCACAAACACTTCCATTCCTATCGATTCGTATGAAACAATTAGACACCAAATATCAACATAAATCCATGACATACCTGGAAGCCAGTTAAGTATCTGAATAAATAGAAAATAAAGGTTGGCAAATCGGTAGAATTGTTCAAACAAATTCTTCGGCAAGAATGTGATCCACGTGTATTTGGACGTATGAATACGATTTGTTTTGTATTGGTTTGTTTGCTTGCTTGGATCGACACTTGGTTCCATAACCAAGTTGGGCGTGACCAAACGGACATTCTTGGCGGGTGGTTCTTCACGTATAGGAGTTACATTAATTGTTTGAGCCATTGAAATTACACTGGAGACTGGTTAGACACTGGTTACCGATTGCTGAATCGAGAGGCCTTTATCAGCTTTTCGTTTCGAATAAATTCATAATTCATTTATCGAATTGTTGTTGCGAAACAATTGTTTGATTGTTGTACAATTCAACAGTTGCCTTGATCTGGTTGTTCACGCTCGAATTCTGCTCGTAGCTGTCACCAATCATTTCATTGACATTGAAATCGGTCAATGAAATCAGATTGACCATTGGACAAGATAAATGGAAGCAAACACTTTCATATAAAAGCTAGTCATTCATTCGAATAGGACATTCATTCGTTTAGTGGTTGCTCGACACGCAAGACACGATAACAACGACAATGCACCAAAATGTAAGTGTAAAATTGTGTCCAAAGGCTGATTGTTTATTTTGCTTTTTCATCAGTTACCGTCTCGAATGATAACGATGCTAGCGATAGCCCTGATGCTGCTTATAATGATGACTTTGGACCCATCATCAAATCAGGCCCAAGCAACATTTTATCGACGATGGTATTCACCGTATTATTTTGGCTATCCATGGTGGATTAGAGCGGGGGCTTACGGTTGGGGAGGTGGTTACGGCGGATATTATGGCTCTCCGTTTTATTTCGGCTGACACAAAAAAAAACAATAATTTTTCAAAAATCACCTTTTAAATTTTTGAAATTTGATTTTACGTCCAACAGACAGCGCTGTTATTAAAAAAAATTTTTTACCTGTTACAGGTGTGTTATCTTGATAATCTTTAAATATTCAAGTACAAGTATATATGTAAAAACACTTTCCTATTTGATTGAGACGTTGTGTGAAAATAACCGGTGAAGTACCCATTAAATACCAAAAACCATTTATATTTTTATTATTAATCCTCATCACATATCATTGATTGATTGTTTTTCAAAGGAAAATATAATTTACAAATGAAATTTCTGGATGTCACATTTAAAATGATGATGATGACAGCTAAATGATAAATTGATAAAAGGAAGGCAATATTGTGGTTGTTGCTATTGTGGCTGTTGTTCAAATTTTTGTTCACTGTGAGGCATATTGATGATAACTGTCAGCAATGGAATCTCTTCCTTTATATGCGATATGTAAATCTTTTTGTACAAAAGACACAGATCAATTAGTAAGTAGAATAGACAGAAATAAATCTGAAAAACAAACCTTGATCGAGTCGGACACGTTCAACTGACTGATACAGGTCACTGGATTGCAGTAACGATAGGTCAAATTGGGCAACAAACAAGATATATGAATCACGTTCAAGTCCAGACGATAAATACTCGAATCGTAGTCAAATACCATCAACAGATCGGTGAGAAAATTGTTGTCAGCGTTGTTATTCTGTAGTTCCAACTGGATTTGAAACACAGGGCCAAGTCCAATTACCTGTTGATACAAAAAAAAATGATTTCACTTACACAATCCAAGAAAATAACATGCTCGAATGTTACTCACCTTGGCCGACAGTTTGATCGAGTCAAAATGCTTCAACGAGATCGGGTTGAGACTCGATTTGAATGCCTTAGCGTACGTCTTGAATGCCGACAATTTCAGTCGAATAAGTTCCTGTTCAAACGTCTTGTGGATGGCTGCAACAACCGGCTTATTAAAGACTGTAATTATGCACTTATGTTAGTCATACTCACACAGGAATTGTTCTCGTTCACGCATCGTCTGGTCGACAAAGAGTTTTGTCTTTTTCGGAATAACCAGTTTGGTCGTCGAACTATTCACCGTTGTGCCATATTTGTCCTGGTCATTCATCATTTGAAATTGAGCTGTTCGCTTGAGAATCTTGACTATAAGCGAGCCATTCTGGGTGACCATGACCAGAGTGTTGTCTTCACGCCCGAATCGACCATACTTCATGGCAACCACCACATCGTCAACATGAAGCATGTCCACGCATTTACGGTCCTATGCATCAGTTTGAGAGATGATGATAATAATTAATGAAATAAAATAATCTTACGTTGTAAAACATGATCGTTTTGTTGGTAAGGGCGACGGCCACTAAGTTCAAAGCCTGCCGTTCCAACACAATCTCTTCCATGGTCGTTATGTTAGCTGCCTGTTTCATGTTCCAAGTGCGATTTCCTTTGTTCGTGTAGATACTCAACGTTTGATCCATGGCAGCCACGTAGATATTGGTTCCAATTCTGGCCAAGCCGACTGGCTGGGAATTGAGCTGGATACAGAGACGGCCACTATCGTACCCTCGTTTGATCAGATAAATGTGGGCGTCACGACAGGCAAACAGAATCCTGTATTCGACGTCAAACAACCCGCTGGCCTGAATAAATACCGGCACACTGGCAAGTGTAGCAGTACTGACCATGGTGAATGCTTCTATCTCAAGAATGTATACTTGTTGACTTTCCGTTCCAACGATCAAACAGGAAGGGGCGTTCGTCTCGGAAACGGTCTTTTTTAGAGAAGCCATACAAGTGATTACATTCAGCTTACGTAATACCTGATGCTTGTAGTGTTCGGCCAGACTGTTCTTTATGTCGGGCGAATGTGTGTTCAGAAACATCAATGTCCTGCATTATGAATCAATAATTATCAATCACAATCACTCACTCACTCAGTCACTCACTTACTCACTCACTCACTCACCTGGAAGTAAGTTGACGTAGGCCAATTTCGAGGCTGAGATTGTAGAGCATTTCTTCGAGTGTGGCCAGGTTGATCTTGCCTTCTTTGTATCTGGTCCATGCATCGAGCTCGACAGAATTGGTCTCAAGAGGAGGCAGTGAAAATTTGTAGAAAGGCTTCATGTTGCGATAGACGTAGAGATAGGAACTGGATGCCACAATCACAGAGGCAGTCAGCTCGGGTTTATCGTTGTGTACGACCACCACACCACACGGTAGATCGACCAACAAATTCTCTGATTGCAGGAATGTTCCATGATACACTTTCAACTTGGCCAATGCTTTTGTTCCAAAGAGTCCAAGATCACCAATCAAGAGCCGGTAATCACCGTCATGATGGAGATCTGCCAGTGTCATGTTGGCCGAAATGGTCGATATATGGGCCTGATCATCTTGGTTGGCCAACAACCATTTATCGGCTTTTTGCTCGCCACTTGTATCCGATGTCTTAAGAATCGATTTATGATTGCCTCCAGATGTTTCACTTCTATGGCTTCCAATTCTTTTTTTCAAAGTTGATTCGTTTGACTCATTGCCTACCGATTGCTGTCTGAAAATAAATCAAAATCAATAAGAACAAGTAGCGAAATCATAGAATAGGCTACCTCGAAATGTTGTCGTCCATCTGAACGATGATGATCACCATCAAACGATTTCTGTTTTGGTGACTGTGTCTATGTTTGGCATTCACGAGATGGCTGTTTCTATGGCAACTAGCCAAAGCAGAAACAAACACAAACATAAATAACAAACAATTGATCGGAAACGCTAGTCGCCATTGTAATTCGATACTAGGATAATTTAGCAGTTTATCGAGAAAATTAACAAGATAGCGTCATTTGCCAAGTAAGCAATGAACAGTTTATTAGATTGGATTGTGTAATTGCATCAAAAATCATGGTCAATCAACACCGACCCTTACCATGTTGACGACCCATTTGTTCATTGTTTGAATGAGGTGGAAAAAAACCATGAATGGTCAGTAGCAAAGACGTCATCAAAAACGAGTTTGTCTGGCATTGTTGATGCTGTAAAATGTAAGTGTTCATTAATGTAAATGCTGTAACATTCAATAATTCCCCTCTATGTTGATAGTGTCGCGTGTTTAATAATTTTATTGACTGATAATAAAATATCATCATTCACTTGGATTGTTTACCATAATCACTGTTGGCTTTTAATTCTTCAGTTGTTGCAATTGTTTGTTTGTGCATAATGACTGTCATTGATAAGCACGTCATTCGACATGATTGCATTGCAATACCAACCAACATTTTCCTTGTTCATCAATCCGGTGTCCATGTCTTTCTCTCTCTGTACGTACTTGTATGGGGAATATTTGTCATAATGATCATGATGATGGCTGAGATTCTTTCTTTGTAATCAATCAATAGCAATCAGCTAGTGTGTAAGAAAACAGAGTTAGAAATTGTAAATTCGAACAAAGTAAAGCCTGCAATCACGATCCAAATGGATCATCGAGCATACTGGAGCAATGGTCACAGTCGAATGAACATGTCATTATGGATTATAATCATAACGCGGTTATGAAGTGAACACACAATCATGAGTATAGGGTCGACAAACCGGAAAATCTCTCGTTGTGTTTGTATTTTGTATTGAGAGTGGCATTCATTCATTCAGCTACCAAATATATGTCATTATTGTGTATCCATTAGACCAGTGAATTTCCGGCTCAGATCTGGCTCACACATGTAACTTGTATCGAGTCAAGGCAAATGTCTTTCATTACGAAACGTTTGGGAACATAGTTTGTTTGTGTGTGGATCTCACCTTGACTGAATGAATGAATGGAATGTGATTGTAGTCAACGGTCTTGTCCAGTGTTTTTTGCATTTGCATGTTTGATAAGCATCATGGTCACGAGTCTTTATTGACAGACCAGGGGCAATAAATCAACAATGAGGGAGACAATGCTATTAATTAGACATTATCGACAATGAAAATGCTCAGCAAGTAAACATTTACCAAATCACCATTGTTACGTCTCTCTCTCTCTCTCACTCACTCTCACTATCTATCTATCTATCTATCTCTGCATTCACACAGACTGTCCATTCGATCATAGTCTCATTGGCGTTGATGAATTCATTTAACGATCAATCTGGCAATCATCGATCATTGGCCAACGGTATCATCACCAAATTCAACTGTGAATTGATTGATTGTGTCAAGTGCATTGTCAAAGTGTGGATAACGAATTTCCTGGTAAGTTTATTCAAATCTCGAATGCAAATGTCGCTTATGCATGGCCACATTGTATGAGAAGAGTGGCACAGCAATAAACAATAGTGAACAGTGGTAGACATCAGCTATCAGCTATTAGCAATAAGCTATCATCCACACACACACACACACACACACAAACATATCGATTGATTGATCATCATCCTGTTTCGAAGAAGGGAAAATGTTTTCGACCAAATATTACAATCGCTATTTGGACGATCACTTCGATCGACAGTACTACTCGGGACGGCTTAAACTGAAAAAGTTCGACACTGACGAATTTCAATCAATGATCAACGCCAATCAACCCAATTTGCTACCTATGGCACCTGAGCCAGGTCCACCGTGTATCGAGACACGAAATCTTTCGTTCCACTATAAGGCCAGCAATCCGGTTCTCAAAAACATCACAATCAACGTACCACAAGGCAGAATCTATGCTCTTCTTGGCTCGAGCGGATGTGGCAAGACCACATTATTGCGAATGATTCTCGGAATGCTCAAGCCGAAAACAGGCACAATTCGAGTGTTTGGAATGCAACCGGGAACTGCTGAGGTCAAAATACCGGGCCCTGGTGTCGGTTACATGCCACAAGACTTAGCACTGTTCCGTTTGTTCAACATAGAAGAAACGTTCGAATACTATGGCCGTCTTTACGGCATCCCGATTGAGACGATCAAAGAGAGAATCAAGTACTACATCGAATTTCTCAATCTTCCGGTCAAGACTCGTCTCATCACACAGTTAAGTGGTGGTCAGCAGCGTCGGGTCTCGTTAGCAGTAACTCTTATGCATCAGCCACCATTACTCATTCTAGACGAACCGACAGTGGGCGTCGATTCTGTGCTTCGGCTCAAGATATGGAACTACCTGGAAGAATTGTGTACCAAACTGGGTAAGTTACATTCATTCACAATGAATTGAAACACTCACTTGTAGTTATCGTTGAAACAGGCACCACTGTGATAATTACCACGCATTACACGGAAGAAGCTCGTAATTCATACAGGGTAAGTGTCAGAATGCTATTTGACCACTTTATTCACTTTATTCTGTACAAAAGGTAGGCTTTGTGGACTCTGGTATTATTCTGGCCGAGGACAACCCACAACGACTGCTGTTCAAATACAATTGTCGTTCTTTAGAGGATGTCTTTCTTGAATTATGCCTAGAACGTGCTCGTCAGCCAGAAATCAGCAACGAGAACAAACCACAAATCAGCCAACATTGTTCGATACCGGAAGTAACAGTGCAGATTATTGTTGAGGAAAGCAATGACAACCACCATGAATCAAGTGAGAATAGCAGCGACGGATCTATCGAACAAATCGAAATGAGCCAAATCCCCAGAGATATGAACAACAACAATAATAATAGCCAAACAAGTCAGGAGTTTAAGGCCACAGATGACACTCTCATTTCGCCAATATTACCAACACCACCCATACATCCAAATGCTCCACAAGCAAACATGGATGGGGCCACCAACACTAAATTGCCATGGCTTGATTATAGTCGTCTGCACGCACTACTGGCCAAGAATTATCTGCTTTATCGACGAAATCCAGTTTCCATCATCCTGATGAATATCATTCCATTGGTGCAGGTCACTCTCTTCTGTGTAACGTTCGCTCGTAATCCGGAAAATATACCGGTTGCCGTGGTCAATCATGAAAACCGAACTCAATCCCTGTCAAACGTAAGTATTATATCAAATAATAATAATATAATTCATTTTATAATCATAGTAATCATACCTCTCGTTGCACACAGTTGTTTATCGATCAATTAGACCAACAATCGTTGTCGCTTCACTATTTCGACAACTTGGACGATGCCATAAAATCAGTTCACGATTTACAAACACGAAATGTCATCACGTTTCCAAGCAATTTTTCTAGATTTTTCCGCAAAAGATTCTTAAAACCGGAACAGATTACTGACGAAATCATCGAACAGAGTCGAATCAGTCTCTATCCCGACACAACCCATGCCGTATTCTATCTTTACACTTACCAAAAAGTGCTCGAAGGGTTCGAGAAGTTTTTAACAACCGTAGGCAAAAGCATGGGATTCAATCCAAACTTCTTTGGCTCGCCTGTTGTGCTTACAGAGACCATGTATGGCCAGAACAGCCTTCAATATTTGGAATTCGTGACTCCTGGAATGATTATCGCCGTCGTACACGGTCTATCCATGCTGATCGGATCGTTTACAATCATCAGAGAACGGTTTGACGGCCACCTGGAGCGTGGTTTCGTTGCTGGAATTCGAACTACAGAGATCCTTCTCTCGCACATTATATTCTACTTGGTGCCACTGTTTACACAGGTGGTACTGGTCTTGTTTCTTACGTTTTACATATTCGACAGCCAATCACTGGGTTCCTTGTGGGAGGTGTTTCTCATGACCTTCGTAATGGCATCACAAGGCTTGATTTTCGGTATCACAATGTCGATCACATGCCAATCTCAAGTTGCATCTTTGGTGAGTAATCACAATTATTGGCATTCATAATCAAATTCACCATATAATTACACACATATCTACACACAGTTGATGGTGTTCATCATGGAAATGCCAATGATATTTACGTCCGGTGTCCTGTGGCCATTGGAAAGCGTACCACCACTGGTGAAAACATTGGCCATGTTCAACCCGCTAACATTGCCTATCCGTTCTCTGCATTACATAATGTTACGTGGTTGGACTTTGATGCGTCCTGATGTTGCCGTCGGATTGATATCGGCAGTGTCCTACTTGTTTGTCTCACTCATATCGGGCTTTGTCTGGTTCGAATTGTTTAAATAATGCACACCCTGAGAAAAAAGACATTAGGTTTATTTGCCAAAAATGAATTTTATGTAATGAGAACAATAAAGTATGCTTACATTTATTAACCATGTGGGTCCCATATATCCATAAACAATGGCTATAAATAGCCAGCCATCATTCTGATTGTCAAAGATGCACTTTTGTTCGGTTATAGCAGTCCTGCTGGTTGCTTTTGCAATCGACGCCATCCATTCAAGCAATCTAAAAAGATTGTTCGACTTGAATCCAGACATATTTCGCACCACGGTTCGTGTTTCCTTTGATCAATTTCGCATCTGATGATTGACCCTTTGCTCATTTTATTGTGTAGCCAGAATTGATCACATCACGAGGTTTCGTCCCAGAGCAACATCTGATCACTACTGATGACGGCTATGTTCTGGTAGTTTTTCGTATCATCAATCCATACGTCAAACAGGTTAAGCGTCCGATCATATTGTGGCATGGACTGGGCGTTTCCTCCGATTCATGGCTCTTCTCCACCGAAGGTCGTATTAATGCTAGTGGAATCTATGTGGAAAACAGCAGGCTCATCAACGATTGTAATGAGTCGGTAACCAACTCATTAGGATTCACTCTTGCATCATGTGGATGGGACGTATGTAAATAACTTCCAGTATAACTGTTATTTGTATCTTTATGTTAACTGTATTTTTGACTGTTAAAAGGTATGGCTGCCAAACAGTCGAAGTGGCCATTATTCAGTGGGACACGTCAAACTTGATCCAAACAGAGATCCATTGTACTGGAAGTTCAACCTAAACGAACTTGCACTGTATGACATTCCGGCAGTCGTAGAATTCGTGTTGCATACCACTGGTCACAGTAAATACAACATTAATAACAATATAACTAATCTCAACCGACATACTCACCGTTGTATCTTTGCGTTTCCGGTTAGAAACCGTTGGATACGTAGCACACTCGCTTGGAACAGATCAAATGTTTGCATTGCAATCACTGATACCAGAATCGGGCAAACTGTTCGAGCCATTTATTGCGTTAGCACCGGTTGCTTATTTGGGCGGAATTTGGAGTGTAGCCAGATTCGGTGTTCCTCTCGAACCATTGCTCAGGTTTGCTAATGCTTATGTATTCGTTCGATGCTGTAATTGATGGTTTGATTGTTTCGGTTACCAGAGCATTTCCAGGTCCATTGGGCGTTCCAGCACCAATCATGCAGTTGATAGCAGTGGTCATTTGTGGAAACGAATACCTCAACGACATTTGTCTGGACACACTCAACCTGATCGACGGAGCTGATAATCCAAACTTTAACCGGGTAAGCACTGTTCATCATTGTGTCATCATAACATATAATATGTGCCAATAATGACAGTCGACAGTGACCGTAGAAGTGGCTCATTCGGCAGTCACATCGTCAACTTGGCTATTAGCTCATCTAGCTCAAATGGTTACTTCGAACCGATATCAGATGATGAACCATGGAAGAGTGGAGAATATACTTCGCTACGGTCAGAGTGAGCCTCCTGCATATCCGTTAGGAGATATAACTTCTCCCAACATAGCTTTATTTCGCGGACAAAATGACGCGTTGGCCGATGTTTACGATGTGCAACACCTGATCGACAGTCTTAAAGGTTAGTAGGTCAGTCTTGAATTGACGAGTCACTCATGACGAATGGAATGAATTACAGTGAAACTGTTGGACAACTACATCGTACCATATGAAAAGTGGGAACACCATGATTTTCAGGTGGCCATCACACAAGGATTCTACGTCAACCGACGTGTACTGCAGTTGTTGGCCAAGTTCGATCATGCTTCCTAGCTTTATTCATCATTCTTCAATAAATAAACAAATTGAACCAAATGCTTAATTATATTTATCAAATATGACAAATAATAATACTGTTAATGTTATATTCATTGATTACTTTGACTTGATATTTAATTCACCTATAAAACTTTTATCATTTTGGGTTACATTAGCGTTGATTAACCTGATCGAATGATGAGGGTCGTTTGATGCAGGCAGCTAATGTTAGCTCATTCATTCAGTAATTGTGTTGTTCCGGTGCAACAAGAATGGCAGTCTATATAACCATCCATCATCAGTGTTCAACATGCGGGCGAGCTTTGCCCTGGTCGATTCATTATGCCCATATACATGTCTATATATTAGGTTATTAGAAAAGTACTGTCGTTTTTGTGTATAACATTTTTGAACGACTGTCACAAAAAATTGGTAAAGGTTATGACACTGTGTATGACCTCAATTTATTCTTTGATGACCATACTTTAATTCAAAAGTAAATTTTTTCCAACTTTGACCACAGGAAGTGGTGGCCAACCTCGGTATTTTGAGGCAATTTTTGAGTAAATTTTAGGCATTTTGTATTTGGCCGTTGTGACCCCGACGAAAGAGGAAATGGTCATCTGACCACTCAATGGAAATTCCACATGTCCTAGGAGTTAAAAAAAATTATGAGCGTAATTTTTCCGCAACTCATTTTTTCTAGAGGGCCGGTCAAAATCCGGTCGGCCGCTATCAGCCACTGTGTTATTCTGCCATAGGAAAAATATGCTTCAAAATGAAATTTTTTAAAAATTTTGATCAATTATTGCACAAAACGATTTTGGCTAACCAAAAAATCAACAAAAAAATTTTGGTTGACGAAAAATTCCAAATTCTTGAAAATTTTGAAAATCGCATAACCGACCATGCAATGCATGTGCCGTCAGCCACTCTGCCAATGGCATTGCCCATTGATTTTGTTAATGGGCAATATCATTGGCAATCACTCAATCAATGTTGAATCTGTTGCAAATCGACATTCATGGTATCAAAACAAGAAGAATTCATAAATTCACGAGACAATAAGTCGACGATCATTATTTGAATATTCGTTCAATTCCAAACAAATTACCGAAAATATCCGAAAATTTTGAAAAACATAATGATCACTGAAAAATTGAAAAAAATTTAATTAAAGAAAATAAAGAAAAAACAAGAAAATAAGCAAAAAAACAAAAAAAAAAATAATGAATACAAAAAAAGAGAAATTTGCCAAAATTGGCCAAGTGATATCACATTCGTCACCTGATGCTCTATTGGTACAAAATGGGCATCAGTGCAACTAGAGTTGCTGTTGAAACCAACGAAGCTTACGAAAACACTGTGAGTTCCAATACTGTGTGAAATTCATTGAAATTGAATAATTTGATTACCGTTACAATGCCGATATGCATTATACTCGATACGAGACTGTTGAGAATTGCGATAAACATTGCACTACGTGGTTTTTGAAATTAACCCGAATTTTTGATTTCCTTTTCCGGTTTATGCGTCATAATGTAATGGGAATGAATTTAATGTTTTTAAAAAGTTCATAATGTATGCAGTTTATGAAATCGCCAACAGAAACATGTATGCCATTTGCAGAGTGGCTGACGGCACATGCATTGCATGGTCGGTTATGCGATTTTCAAAATTTTCAAGAATTTGGAATTTTTCGTCAACCAAAATTTTTTGTTGATTTTTTGGTTAGCCAAAATCGTTTTGTGCAATAATTGATCAAAATTTTTAAAAAATTTCATTTTGAAGCATATTTTTCCTATGGCAGAATAACACAGTGGCTGATAGCGGCCGACCGGATTTTGACCGGCCCTCTAGAAAAAATGAGTTGCGGAAAAATTACGCTCATAATTTTTTTTTAACTCCTAGGACATGTGGAATTTCCATTGAGTGGTCAGATGACCATTTCCTCTTTCGTCGGGGTCACAACGGGCAAAAAACAAAATGCCTAAAATTTACTCAAAAATTGCCTCAAAATACCGAGGTTGGCCACCACTTCCTGTGGTCAAAGTTGGAAAAAATTTACTTTTGAATTAAAGTATGGTCATCAAAGAATAAATTGAGGTCATACACAGTGTCATAACCTTTACCAATTTTTTGTGACAGTCGTTCAAAAATGTTATACACAAAAACGACAGTACTTTTCTAATAACCTAATACATTGAACAATCGCTTAGAAAATACATGTACATACTGTCTGATATAAAGAATCAGAAAGAGATATAGAAAATTTTCTCCAAATCATCAGATCGGTTAGTGAATGAGTGGGCACCACTTTGCAAAATAGCACAAGCTATAGCACTATGAAACTCTGGGCATTGTGTTTGGCTTTGGCTTCTGCCATTTACGTCCTTATGTTGGCTCTGTCGTCATCAAGAATCGAGCACGAATGCCAAAAACAACATTAACAACGCAATTGAACATCGATTCTGTAAAGCAGAAAGGCAGACATATCGTTTCTGATCAAATCTGAATCCGAATCAATAAATTCTGGCCGCCATAATCCTTTGCATACAATGACAATATATTATTCTTATTAAGTCAATAAAAGCTCAATAGCTGAATTGTCAACACCACCCACTCACCAGCCGTCAAACCTTCAACATTCAACCATTATCTATAGTCATGTCGAGTTCGTCGACAACATGCTAAGGAAATTCGTGCAAATACCATTTCTGCTGGTCATCGTTACGACCACAATATGCTATCAAACTGAACGATCACCATCTTTGACCATCAAGCAGCAGCAGCCATTTTCTCCGCAGTCATATCGTGACCAGGCCATCGGATGCCTCTATAGCGATTCCATATGTTCGCCAGAAGAGACCTGTTTTGATGGTGAGTAATTCTGATACAACATTCAAGTATAATCGTCTATTTTATCCAACGTATGTAGATCATGCATTCGGTCGTTGTGAACAATATGACCCCATCTCTGGCACAGTCAACAGTGATTACACCTACCGACTGGATAGAAAAACGTTCCAGCTACTCGAACAGGAAGTGACAAGACTTTCGTCACAAGGCTTTGATTGGCCTAATCCGTACACCCAATGTATACTCAAAACCATCCTCAATGATCGACCTCGTGTCGTCTACAATCCAGAAGCTTGCGATAACTACTTGCCTCTGGCTTCAACAACCAATGAACCAACAACTAGCGATGACTGGTTCCTAGAATTTCCTGTACTACTGACAACAACCAAGATAAGCCCACAATTCAAATCTGAACAACAACAACAACAACCTGGATCAAATAACAATCTGAACAAGGAGAACTTGCCACTGGTCATTGGACAATCACAACAATCGATCAGTTCAACTCATCAGCCAATTAGTGATACTAATTCCATCAATGATCGAGATTCAGATGACCATCAGCAATTGATGCAGCTGTCTCGGTTGCTTGCAGCAAACAGCAAACACAAGCGACAGCCCCAACTTCAAGACTACGACGATCAAGACGACAATATCAATCAACAATTTGTCGCCTTTCTCAAACGAATCATACAACAAGACAACCTTCAATTGGCTAAGGTAAGTTCACGATTTACTTACGAAACAATTAACCACCAATAACTTTTTAACAGTCACATGAAACCAACAACGACGATTTAGATGATGAAGACATACTGGCTAAATTACTGCGATTGAATGATCACATCTCTTACCGTGATGGCCAAGCAAATGTGGAGGAGGATGAACCACACGGCCATTATTCATGGTCATCATTTAGGACTAGGTCTGTACAACGGACACCGGAAATTCGTGTTTCTCGTGATACTAGCAATGATGACCATGATGATAATGATGAAAATATCGATTTGGCCGCTCTGTTTGGTACATTGCCACTAAATGAAGATGTGGTTGTCGTTAATCTCGACGACGATAGCGATGACAATGACCGGGATGATGACCAGAATGAACAAAAACATTTGCTAATAAATGAAGACGACGATGATGATCAGGACGATGGTGACCTGAGTGAGGAGGACAAAGAAGTACTGCTGGGCGACATTAACTACAGTAACAACTATTTAATGCCAAATTTCAACCGTAATCACCGTCATGATATCAAGAAACCAGGGCCAATCTACGTAGAACAATACTGGTTCCAAAGCGATGACCAACAGCCCAAGTCGACAACACGCCAATCAACCAATCTAAGTATGTCATCACTCAATGCTAGTTTCGTTATCAATTTCAACATTGTTCCGTTCTCACCACCCACACAAAGCCAAAAAAAACTTTAGCGTACAAGCAAATCAACCTGTGGCAGAAGGACCGGTCAAATTGGATTCCGAATCACATGACATGTTAATCATTCGATCGGCTGAACAAGGTGAACATACCAATCTAGAAGCAATAGATTCCACTCACACCTATGTCATCACTGACAAAATGTAAGTCAGTTACAGACATCAGTAAAAAAATCTAATGTCTATTTATTGATGATTATAGTCTTGGCGAAGAGGATTCCGATCGTTTCCTGCAAACCATTGAACAGGTGTTCAATTTACCTAGAGGGACATTCTCGAATCTAAGGTCAGTTGGGAATGTTATTCTCAATTGCATTGCTGTCATTTTGATTTAATGATCATATCTGTTGTTGTAGGAAAGAGAATTTTCAAATAACTTTCAAAGTGAATCCCAACTATCTTGAATTGAATGCTTCACAAGTAGCATCTCGAATAGGTTTGTATTACACACACACATGACGCTCACTCAATAAAAAAAAATTTCTTATCGACAGAGGACATGGCTCAACTCATACAGGATATTACTGGCTATTTGGTCAAGGAGGCGGGTATCGGTGACAAAAACAAATTGCCGGTATTATCGGACAAAGCAATCGCCCAGAACAACGAACAAATCAAGTTGATCACCATTCTGGTTTGCTCGCTGGTCGTATCGATAGTGTTGATTGCCTATGTGTTGATCGCCTACGTGTTTCGTGAACGAATCAAAGGACTAATGAAATTCTCAGGGGATTGGATCAATTTCGATTACCAGGATCTTTGTCGTCAACGATTTGGACAGAACAAGAGCTCAAAAACGGATGTTGAACAGGGTAAACAGTCCACAGACACGAAACCTATCAGTCAGCAGCAGCAGCAAGGAAGAGATGGCCAAAACAGCCCGGCCAGTCGATCATCGACGTCGTCATGGATAGAAGAGCCCGTCTCATCCAACATGGACATCACTACCGGACATATCATCTTGGTAAGTAAATCAAACTAAATTAATGATTGTCTTCACTAATTTCTACCAAACTAATTGAGCAGTCATACATGGAAGATCACTTGAAGAACAAATCTCGGTTACAACATGAATGGGAAGCTCTTTGTGCATACGAAGTTGACCCCTGTGCAACAAATGCAGCTCTACAAAAAAAGAATGCAAATAAGAATCGATATCCGACCATTTTGCCGTACGACCACTCACGTGTAATTCTCGACGACTCGGCCAACACAACCAATTCTGATTACATCAACGCCAATACGATTGTCAGTATCATAGTTTTATTTACTGAATCATATCAATCAATTAGATATTTATATTACATACAGACTGACCACGATCCTCGAAATCCAGCCTATATCGCTACACAAGGCCCATTGTCCAACACCAAAGCCGATTTCTGGCAGGTAAGAATATTATGTGTATAAATGTGAGAGTGAATAACCTACCATCATTCTCTCAGATGATTTGGGAACAAGGAAGTGTGTTGATCGTTATGTTGACTCGTCTTCGCGAGAATGGTCTCAACATGTGTGAACGGTACTGGCCAGAAGAAGGTTCTGAACTGTTCGACAATTATGAAGTTCATTTAGTGTCTGAACACATCTGGTGTGATGATTACCTGGTACGTAGTTTCTATTTGAAGAATCTCAAGACAGGTGAAACGCGTACGGTCACCCAATTCCATTATCTGTCGTGGCCAGAGAATGGGGTGCCGAGCAATATAAAATCGCTGCTCGAATTTCGCCGTAAAGTAAACAAGTCATACAAAGGTCGTAGCTGTCCAATCGTCGTCCACTGTTCGGATGGGGTGGGTCGAACTGGCACCTATATTCTAATCGACATGGTTCTCAATAGATTGGTCAAAGGTGCCAAAGAGATTGACATCGCGGCTTCCTTGGAACATGTACGCGATCAACGAATGGCAATGGTCAAAAGCAATTTTCAGTTTGAATTTGTTTTGTTGGCCGTTGCCGATGAAGTACAAGCCATACTCAAGGCACTATCCAACAACAACTGATCTAGACACACAAACAACAAACAATTATCCATCATGGTTGATAGACAAATTTCTATTTTTCTCACTCGATTACCAACATTAATTACAATCAATTATCAGTTATTGATTGAATCACACACACACCGACACACACTCCCCATCAACAAACCCATTATGTTATCATTTTATGATAAAAATAAATCAATTATCAATAAAAAAGACATGAAAATCCATTATTTCTCAACTTACCGTTTATCAATATTGATGAGAGAACTTGATAAATAGTTTGTCAAATTTGACCAAAGATTTTTCGTACATCTGATTCAAAGAATTCAAAAGTTTGCAGATTTTTTTCAAAATGATTTTCATCATCATTAATACCTAATTTCACATCTTATACGCACAAAAAAATCATTAAGAAACAATTACAAACAATCTATAGAAAAAGAAAGAGCAAACTTTTTTTATTTATATACCTTAATATCATCAAAATAAAATGTGTGTACATTAAAAATTAAAATGTGCAAATAAAATATTTTTAAGGGTTGTCACTATTTTAATTATCGCCATCTAGTGGTGATCACATGAGGAATTGCTAAATTGAACACGTGATATTTTGGGTAGTCGAAGAACATGATGATGGAGAAATTGTTTGCTGATGCGGAATGGAAATTATTGTTCCAGGGAGCCGAGTCACGTGTTTTTGAGGGTAACTATCAATCACAACGAGCCATTCTTAAGGAACGTTTTCCAAAACGATATCGACTGGTCGAACTTGACGAAAAGCTGACCAAGGAAAGAATTCGTGCTGAAATTAAAGCTTACACCAAACTATCGGCCAAATGTGATCCAGATCTATCGAATGTGTTGCCTTCAGTTCTCTTTTCGGATAATCGTCATATAATTCTCACTCGAATCGATAATGCCTGCACGCTCAACTTGTACATCAGTGAACGTCAACAGCAATCCGAATCGATTGAACGAGTATTGATTACATTGGCTAAATTGATTGCCAACATACATTCGATCGGGTTAATACATGGAGATCTCACCACATCCAACTTTATGGTCATCGACAGCCAGCCACCACAACCTAAACATCAAAGCTTAACCATAGTTCCCATCGATTTTGGCCTTTCATATTCATCCAAAACGGACGAAGATCGAGCTGTCGATCTTTACGTGTTGGAACGAGCTATCCAGAGTACACATCCAAACGTCGATATTAATATCTTTTTACGAGAATACCAAACCCAAATGGGTACCGACAAAATTAACAAACGCTTAGATCAAGTTCGGTTACGTGGTCGTAAACGTTCAATGATAGGTTAAATAAATAAATGAAATGTATGTATTCGTAACATTGTTTTTGTCATTCGCTATATTCATCATGGCGTGATAGAGATGATATTTCCATCCATCTCTGTACACATGTTCATTATGATAAACAATAGACAAAGCCAAAGAGGACCAAATAGCGCACCTTCCACACCATAGTATACAACTCCACAGGTAATGGCCAACCCCGTTAGGTAAGGATGTCCACCTCTGTTCCAAAACAAAACAGTTATTCCTCATTCATCAATTCATTGTGTATGTCAAATCACTTACTTGCCAATGTCTGAGTAGATGGAAGAATCGACCATGAATGATGGCAACATGGCCAGGCCAAACATTGACAATGATTTGACTAGAGCCAAATTACCCTCAAAGTAGTACAGGTATAGACAAGCCGGTAATGAAGCCCAGTACGCGTTGAGCAAAGGCACGGCTGCCAGAATAGCCGCAATCACTATAGTGAAAAATATAAAATAAAATCTCTTATGATTCGAGAATATTTCAAACACTATACTCACCAGCCGGAATATAACATATTCCTATCGAAAACAGGGAATGCAAGAGCCAAGTGTAGACGCCATAGAATGCTGATATCTTGATAGTGGCTGCAAAGATGCTGTTGACCACTTGTTCCACGTAATGACTGAATTTATTCTCCTCTTGATTCGATGTGACCAAACTGGCAGCCATATGATCCATCAATTCGATTGGTTTGTATTTATTTTGGCTGGATGACAACAGATAGAACAGAGCCAGTAAGAATATGATCTAAAAGCAATAAACAAACATTAAATTAAATTAAACTATATGGTTCACTTATAACTTAAGAATCTTACAAAATTAAACACAAAGCTCACAAGCATCGTACTGGAATCCAATATGACGAATACGAATGCATAGGAAACCGAAACAATAGACTTGACCATCGGCAGATAGGATGAAGCTTGCGTTCGTAACAGCTCGATTAGCTGACTGAAATTTTTGTAGTCGACTAATCTCCATAGTTTAGGCCATTGATTTAACGATAGCCATTCTAATCGGTCGGACGATTCTGACGTCAATGGAATGGATTGATGATCGTTGCTGCTGTTGTTCAACCATGGCAGGATGTTGTGTCTAAATTCGGCCAACATTTTGTTGATAAAAATCTTTTCATCGTCTTGCAGATTTAAACGGTCGTTGATCAGGTTATCCACGTAATGCGGTTCGCTTATCTGTTTGATTGTAATGTTAATGCTTTCCTGGATGAATTCGATGGTCTTTAATTCGTTTTGCAATAGGTATATCGTTTGGTAGCATTCTCCGTAGATCTATTCAAATGATTAAACACATTATACACAACAAACTGACCAAAAATAAACAAATACCTTGATCGATACGAACACGGTCGAAAATGTGACCATCAAGCCGACAATCACAAACAAACTGATGCTAGTCAACAAATCCAGACTATTTCTCAGGCCAACTTTAATCAAGCGATCACCTTGTCTAAAGAAATATGCTAGCATCCGGAAAAGAATGTCATCTTTGAATTTATTGGCCGTTTTTTCCATGACAGATTCTAACCATCGCTTCCCGAACTCAATACAGGTCGACAATTGATCGCTAATGAGCATGGCCAACATTCGTTGAAGAATCAAATGAACAAGCACAATGGCCAACAGCAGATTCGATACGTTCATGTGTTCTGCTATGGCAAACGCAGAAACGGTAAACAATCGCGTAATGAATAGCTGGCCAATATTCATGTCACTGCCATCAATGTGGTCGGTCGATTGTTGGTACTTATCGCGAATCCAAGTTGCGTAATTTTCGACTTTGGTCCGAACATTCTCTCGAAAAACATTGACTAGGCCATCCAATGGTGGTGGCTCGGTTGAGCCATGAACAATGTTATAAATAGTGGCTACCAAACCGACTACAAACATACAGACAATCAACAGCAATGTGAGCTGACCAAAGATTCTCATATGATAGTGGAGAGCATAGATACAAGCCATCAACAAAACACTTGGCATCGATCGTGATAACTTCCGATGTTCAGGTGCCAAAGACATTGAGATCACAAAATGGACGATGATCACCACTAAAGCTATCACAATCGCTGCCAGGTGACCATCTTTGATGACCATCGGCAATAATTTCGAACTCAACCGTCTTACATGGCAGACAATTTGATATCGAAAATGAAACACAACGAACAAGACTAGATTGCTTGACATTAATTCTATGAAGCAATTGTAGAGCATCCAAGTTAACTGCATTGGCAACATCAGACACCCTAAACACAGCGATCGATTTGTCCGGTCAAGTTGATCCAGCCATTCGCTTAACAATTTTGCCAACCAAATCTTGAACGGGTACAGTGCTGAACCACACAATAAAGCCCACAACAATGCTTTTAGACATGGCAGAAAGATGTAGTACACTTGAGACAACAGAAACAATATGGTCACAGACAAGAGAATTGATAATGATTGTATGACAAGATTCTGTACGCCTTTTTGTCGATATGTGATCCAAGTGGACACCACATCCGACAGACGAGCCTTTACTCGAGGCGTTTTCACGAAAGATGGTGTCGATTCCATATGTACTAGCTTGAATTTCCTATAATCATTGATTGATCAATTGATTGATTTGGTCAGAGATTTAAACAACACAACAACAACATGAACAAATTTGATTTGAATCGATCGTAATCAAGTCACCATTCATAGAGAACGTACGAGTGCCGATTAAAAAATTGAGAAAATCATTTGTTGACAAGTCAACGCAACAGTTTGGCCATCGTTATCTGATATTCTTGAAACGACAATCAGAATGGATAAACTACGCAGAGTACTCAATGGCAATGACATGAGTGGCGATGAAGGCGAAGGTTTTGCCCAATTACCGGTATATGGACACTTGATGCTTAAGATTATTGATGATATTAAAAACTTTTCATGATGATGAACAGATTGGCGATTCTTCATCGCTTGATTGGTCCACCCGAATCAAAGGATTCATAATCTGTTTCGTGCTTGGTTTCATCATGTCCATAATCGGCACTGCGCTTATACCTTTACCTCGTGGATTGGCATTGTTCGCTTTGTTTTACACTCTCGGCAACGGCTGTAGCATTGCAAGGTAGGTGTTACTGGTTTGTTGTGTTACTATGAGATAATGATTCATATACTATTCATTGACATGCAGCACCATGTTCCTGATGGGACCTTGGCGACAAATGAAAAAGATGTTTAGCGAGAAACGAGTTATATCTACTGCCTTGGTCATTGTATTCATGGTTCTTACCTTATTGGCTGCTCTTGTTTGGAAAAAATCACTTTTGGCCATAATCTTTTGTTGTTTGCAGTTCTTTGCCTACATCTGGTATTCCATATCGTACATACCGTATGCACAGGAATCAGTTACCAAGGCATTCATGTCATGTATCTAATTTATGTCATTCAATCACCGAAAGCTTTGATTTATTCCATATGATCAATTAATTAATTGTTGTATTATAATGCAATTGAACCAACAATCGATAAATCGAAAATAACAATGGTGGCCAAAGTTTCCATATTTCATTGTCGAAATCATTTTACATTTTTAGATTTGATTGATTAATATATAGATAATAAATAGATAGATAGATAGATAATAAGATGGCCAAACAACAGGATAGAATACCTCGTCACGAATATCGGCATTGTCGACTGTGTCATAAACGTGGAAATGATTCGGAATTGATTCAACCATGCGACTGTATGACTGGATCAAATTACGTCCATGCACAATGTCTTGTTGAACATATGTTGTCCACTGATCGAATTCATTGTGAACAGTGTAAATCTCAATATCGTGGAATCAAGTACCGTTACACTCGAAAATCGTTGATCGAATGGCTATGGAAAGAACCGACAGCTCGTAACAGTCTATTATCTTGTATCAGTCTTTTGTGTTCAAGCCAGGTGTGTCTCTATTCGCTATGGCAGACATTGTTCACCGATGAACTTGACGAATTCCTCGACGACATAACTGACATCGATCTTAGCCTATGTATTGATGCTATTAAACACAATATGAGTATTGTGATGCTAATCCAGGTCAAAATCGTATTGCCGATCGTGTCCATTGTGTGCTCTATCAAACAACCGATGACAGTATGGAACGAATATCGCAAATATAGCCAAAACCATTACAACATCTACATCGAGGATGAAGCAATAACCGCAATCACATGAGAGTCAATACTTGACAATAAACAATTAATCATACTCATATTTTGATCTAATCGCAAATCGATATCGCTTTATCACCATGCCAATGTCAGGGTGAGCGAACCAAATAGAGGATATACATTTGCCGATTATCATTTTGATTGATGACGAGTATCAATAATCACACGATTAATTAGCTTGCATTTTGCATTTATAGTTTGCTTGTTGTCAAATCAAATGAATCTTTAAATCATGCTTACTAAATGTTTGTTGTTACTTGTGTTTGTCACTGCGGTGGCCTGTTTTCCAAATGGAACTTTTACTGTTGACTACAAGAATAATCAGTTTCTCAAGAATGGTCAGCCATTTCGTTATGTTTCTGGATCGATTCATTACTTTCGAGTTCCACAACCGTATTGGCAGGATCGTCTTCACAAAATGCGTCTAGGTGGTCTGAATGCTATACAAACCTATGTTGAGTGGAGTTCGCATGAACCGTCGCCTGGCCATTATGATTTCGAAGGGCAAAATAATCTGGTCGAATTCATTAATCTAGCTCAGAAGGAAGACCTGTTGGTCATACTGCGAGTAGGTCCTTATATTTGCGCAGAACGTGATATGGGTGGTTTTCCATATTGGCTTCTACGGACGCCCAATATTAAACTACGAACATCGGATCCAAATTATCTGACACCAGTGGACCGTTGGCTTGAGATTCTGTTACCAAAGATAAGACCATTGCTTTATGAGAATGGAGGTCCAATCATTATGGTGCAGATTGAGAATGAATATGGCAGTTATGGTTGTGATCTCAACTACACGAGTCATTTGCGTGACAAATTCCGTGAAATGTTAGGCCATCAAGTGGTACTATTCACCACCGATGGCAATGGTGATGGATATCTTCGTTGTGGTCGAATTCCTGATGTGCTCACCACCATTGATTTTGGTTCAGGCACTAATGTAACTGAAGCCAAAGCCATATTGTATCGGCACCAGGAATTTGGTCCGTTTGTCAACTCTGAGTATTACAGTGGCTGGCTCGATTATTGGCAAAGTCCTTTCGTTCAAGTGGCCGTCAATCCATTTATTCAGACATTACAGCAATTGCTCGATCATAACGCATCGGTTAACATGTAAGTCATTCAATCATTCATTTATAGTCAGTCTTTAATCTCGTTGATCTAGATACATGTATCATGGTGGTACCAATTTCGACTTTAAAGCTTCTGGTAATGGTGGTAACAATTATCAACCAACATTGACAAGCTATGACTACGATGCACCCATCAATGAAGCAGGCGACCTTACCGACAAATATTATGCCATTCAAAAACTCATCAAACAGGTAAGTTGTTCAATTCACTTAAAACAGTCAGTTTCTTTTACTGTTTTTGTTTTTTGTGTTTTTTTCTGCTAGTACTTACCGGATACAATCGATGATAGAAATGTGAAAAATGTTAGCTCGAAAATGTCACTTCCTCCCGTTAACATGACCTTTTTGGCCACTATATTCGATATGCTACCATGGTTTGTCAAAATTCACAGCAAATATCCGTTAACGTTCGAACAAGCGAATCAGGCCTATGGTTTTATATTGTATCAGACCAACATAACATTCCAGCCAACAAATCCAGCCGTTCTGGCCATTCCAGGACTTAGAGATCGTGCCCACGTTTTCGTTGATAGGGTAAATGAATATTCTTTTTAGCAACAATCAATTCATCTAACTATTACTTGTTCATATACAGAGATTTGCCGGTATTCTTTCTCGAACCCAAAAATATTTCGATCTTTCCATATTGACTCATAATGGATCCGAATTGAGCATTCTGGTCGAGAATCAAGGCCGATGTTCGTTTAGCTGTTTCAGCGAGCAAAGAGGCATTATTGGCAATGTTACCATCAACAAAAAACATCTGCTTGTAAATTGGACTATTTACCGGATACCGTTCCAGGAACATTCGTTTACGGAGATCATTACACAGTTATCTCAACCAAAGACGAAATTTAGATTCGCCTCCAGCCATTATCGAATTCCCAGCATTTATTATGCTAACTTTACCTTACCAAATGTTCCAGAATATCCACTCGATACATTTCTACGAACAGACGGATGGGGCAAAGGAATAGCTGTTCTGAATGGCCATAATTTGGGAAGATATTGGCCGGTGGCTGGACCTCAGATCACCATATATGCACCCGGACCTTACTTTAATGAAGCGCCCGACTCAAATCAATTGTTTGTGTTTGAATTGGACGAAAGCCCATACTGGAATGATCCAAACAATAGCTGTCAGGTTCAATTTGTAAAACAACACATTGTAAATGGGGCATATGCCCATTGACATTGACATGAAAGTGAAAACACGTTGTTATTGATATAAACAAACAGAACACATTGAAAAAGTGGAATAATATAATATAATAATAAATAAATAAATGAATATATGAATATTTGAATGATTGTAATCAAATAGAATGTTGGGAAAGAGAGGGAGCATTCGGTTATATCACAGTGTGATGCGTGGCAATGGGCACACAATTCACAAATATGGCTGGTCTGTGTTTGTTGCTTTGCTTATAATCGAATAGGGCTGATCGTTGGCCGAAGTACATCCAGTTTGTTGCAAATGAACTTGCATCGATACCGGATGTTGTTGTTGTGGATGTCTCAAAGAATCATCGCTGTTGTTATTGTTGTTGTTGGCCATGGAAAGAGCCAACGCTTGGCAGTGTTGATTGTCAGCCAAACCTAACCCAGTAACGGAATTTTCGACGCTGTTGTTGACATTGGTATTATTGTCCACAACAAGCAATAAATCTCCCATACTACAACGAGCATTGTGGACTACTGTCGTTTGCAATGGTTCAGCGTATTCATGATCCAATCGGTGGAGATGGCTATGGCTGTTTGGATTAGTTAGCAGATTTTTTCGCTGAGGGGAAGAGTAGTAAGATTGTTCCATTGCGATAGATCCGTTTGCTTTGGCTTGTAGAAATTTCAATGTGGCAAAATTTGATGTTCCATGATCATTGTTCACGTTGCCATTCAACAGGTTTGATTTTGAATCACAGGAATTGGCACAGGATGACGACCCCATCACATTGTTGTTGACAGTGGTGGTGGTGGTGGTGACTCCATTGTTGAATTCTGTCATAGGATAGCACTCGAGGCTATCACGTCTACCATTGTTGACTAGCATTGTGGTGGCACCCTCTTTGCTACCATTATATCGGGCAAGATGCTTTGCACACAGATCTGGTGGTGGTATGGAACCATGACCTTCGACCGAATTGACCACATGATTGACATGTTGTCGTCGTAGACAACCGAACAATGTGGCCAATATTACAATCAACACCATCAACGATATCAACACAGGCAATAGGACAGTAAAGTTACGAAAGTGGACATTCGTATGACCACTGTGCATAGAGTCGATTCGATAAGGATCCATGGGCGATGCAGATAATCCAATACCACCACCACCATGAAGACGAACAACGGCCGAATCGTTGGGCGTATGGAATGTGTATTCTTGCTGAGTAACACCTGGTTCACAATGAGCACTCACCAGCAATTGGTAATCACGGTTTGGACTTAAATGATATACGTAAAAGTAATCTCGAACTTCCAAATATTCCACTAACGGTACCCACTGCTTCTGATGAATTGGTTTGTATTGTATGGTGAAAGCCTGTATTATACATCCACGAGCTTGCCATGATTTTAGCGACAAAATGGCTGTCGTCGAATTCGCCACAATGAATTCAGCTCGACTAGCCGCAATGGGAGTGTCTCCCTTGGTTCGAGCAATCACTGTTTCACCTGTTTTGCATTTATTCGATTCATTACACATTCGATTGTAGTGAGATTGTAATAAACTTACTTGGCTCTCCAGTGCCCAGACTGTTGGTGGCTGTCATGTACAGGTGATACTTTGTGCCACAACGAATACGACCCTGGCTATTTTCTTTATTCAAAACAAATTGGTTTGACTTTGCATAGATACGTTTCTGATGCCATTCGGTGGATGGTTTCTGGTCTTCACGGTAGTAGAGTACATACTCTTTTTCTTCAACGTCGTTCTCCATGTTATGACCGTGCGATTGCTGAAAACTAGAATCCCATTTGAGCATGATGCTATCGTAGGTGGTGGTAATAATTTCCAACAACGGCGATGTTGGTGGTTGAGAATCAAATGTCGATATTTTAATCTCGTCCGAACGAGGTCCTGGACCGACACTGTTGTAGGCCTGCAATATGACTATATAACTGGTCTTGCGTTTCAGATTCGTAATGTAGCTGACTTGCTGTGACTGATCGCTTATTGGCGATATGATTGGATCGTCGTTGACTACATCGACATTCTTGTACTGAAACGGATCATCAGAGGCGGCGACTTTGTATCCAATGTAATAGCCTCGAATACGGCCAAATTGTACGGAACGAAGCGGTGGCCGCCATTTAATTTTGAGCGATGTTGATGAAGTTGTTTCCACCTGTACATCGGTCGGTGGACCACCGGGCACTTCTTCTAACGTCTTCGTAATGATTGGATTCGTGCTATGTTCGGATCGACCGATTTGATTTTCCGAACTGACTTTGACCTCGTAGTAGCAATTGGGCATCAATCCTTTGACGATGAGTCTCAGTTCTGTGCCGCTATGTGTGGATTCCTCATTCCAAAAGGATTCCTCCTGCTTCATATAGCTACAATTCACTCGACGGTATTGCACATAGAACCTAATCAATGGCGAATTGCCTGAATAAGGTGATTTCCATTGTAGTTGGATACTTCTGCTGGAAACCTCGACTAATTCAACACCTGGAGGTGCATCGGGAACCTCTGTGATAAACAGAATGAATACGATTACTTAGTGATTGAATCGAAAACAAACAAACAAACCTTGAACAATGAGTTGTACTGAAGTGTTGTCATTGCCGTACTTGTTGTGGGCCACACAAGTGTAAATTGTTGAATCTTGCCTGTCTACGGCGACAATCTGCAGGAAAGAGATGACTTTCTGTGAAGAAATGACATCCTGTTTGATCGTATAGCGTTTGTCGTACAAGGTGTGCATCACAGAGTGGCTGCTGCCATTTACAGGTGATTCACTGACGGCCTTATTCGTTGATGATGATGAATGAATTAAAGCTCTGTTTTTGTACCAATGAATATGCAGTACTGGATCTCCTTGAACTTCGCACTCAAGCAAGGCCGTCTCTCCTTTGCTCACTGATTTACTCAGGAATTTGGTGGCAAAATAAGGTGGTGATTGTACGACCAACTGTATCACTTTGCTCAGCCCAGCCCCGATCCCGTTTGATACCTGAAAAAGTCACTTTAGAATCAATGGATCTGATAAAAAAGTCAACTTACTTCGCACATGTAGAATCCTGCATCGGACTTGTCCACCTCTTGAATCCAAAGTGTGCCGTTTGGATAGACTTGGATTTTTGCCGACAATGAGTCTATCGGTTCATTAATGCTATACTCTTCCGGTCCATTGATTGTGCTTGAACCGCTTGGTGTTGCAATGGATTTTTTCCATAAAAGTCTAGGTTTCGGATTTCCTTGGGCATAACAGTCGATGATAATACTGTTTCCCATCACGACTTGATAACTATTTTTTGGTTCTTTTAGCCAAGATGGCGCTACGTTTACGATCAGACATGAAGTTCGATTCACCGATTGGACATCATTCCACGCCCGGCATGTCCAGTTGCCAACATGACGGATGGATACATTTCGAAAGGTGAGCAAAGAATAATCTTCGTCTTCCTGCACTGATATACCTATAAAAAATTTAACTTTATTCAAATGAAATCACTGCAAAATAGTGTGATCTCCACAAGATAAAGATTGTCAGGCTCTGTGTTTTGTTTTTATGGTTTGTGTGTGAATTTTAAAGAATGTTAATTGATATTTTTTGTTTGTGTTTATTTATTATCCGATAGCTAAATTATCGGTTGTGTTTAAATGTTTAGAATTTATATAAAAATATTTATATCATTTAATTTTTATAATGTTACATACCCATCGCATGATTCGTAGTTACTGGACTCAAAACATTGGTTTGATGTTCATTATGCCTGAACCATTTGATACGAAGTGGAGGGTCACCTTCTAAAACTGAACATAAAAGCTTGACTTTCATGCCTTGATTGGTCACGGTCGTTGCCGGTATTAACTGTGCATCGATCAGTGGGGCAACACGGACAACCATTTTTACCGAACCGTGTACAGCCCTAGCATCAGATCCCTTTATGAATAAAGAGGGGATGAATAATCCATATTAGCAATATTGATGATGGAGAATCAATCAATCAATCAGACTATGCATGCAGCTTGCATTAGATCAATACATTTTTACTAACACACTCACACACACACATACACAGATAGTGAGAGTCTTATTTTCTTAAAAATGGGAGGATGTTCCAGATGTTGGTCTCATAATAACGTGGATAGCAGTTGAAAATCGTTTAAAATCCTATGTAAATATCTACTCTCTATATCAGGCATTCACTGAATCGAGTAAAGTGCCTGGCTAAAGATTAGAAATCGATAAATATGGAAACATAAACACGAATTCAGACAAGACAATCCACATAGACAAACTCAATCAATAAATCAGACTTGGCTCTAATTCCAAGACAATCTTCCATACACCAGGCACCGGAAATCAACTCGATTCTGACTCTCACAACCAACTAATGCTGGATGCTAAGATTGGTGATCAAAGCATCATTAACATGTTCATCTCATTGACTAAATGGACAAGTTTACACATTAATGGACTTGACTTACGGCGAATCTGATCAATTATTATTGATTTTGATCTGTAATGGCTATATTAAAAATGGTCATGTTTTCCACTAGAATCGCTCATATTAGGATCTCAAAAGACAATCTCAATCGACTGCTTACCTTAACGATGCATTCGTAGTCGCCTTGGTCATTGTCACGATGAACATTCTGAATGGTCAATTTGCCACCCACGCCGCCGATAATGGGTTCGATTTGATGACGATGATTGCTTGGTAATGTGACTGATCGATGTTGCCAAACCAATGACTCGATTGGATAAGCGATCACCGGACAGATCAAAGTGACTGATCGACCAGAAATGACCATTATCGAATAATCTCCACTAGATGAAGATGTCTTCTGAGATGAACTGCTTGTTGCAGTAGAAATCCAATTGGGTCGTAATGCAGCAGGCCCCATGACATTTATTCGAGCTGAATAGCTCACAATACCTGCACTATTGCTGGCTGTACATCGATACTGCCGAAGATTGAAAAAAGATGAGATTAACCATTCATTAACATAACATTAAGGTAAACCCCTTACTTGGCCGCCATCAGTAACTTTGGCGTTGGTTATGTTGACAAAGCTCACCACATGGCCACTCGATTTTACATAATCGGCCATTGTCAATCGTCTCGATGCATAACCATCAATGGTTTGTCCATCCAAAAACCATCGAACCTGAGGAAGCAGAGTTGAACTAGCTGAACATTTGAGGGATATGTGGCTGCCTTGCTCAAACACCAAGCCGTCGGCAAATGTGTCGACAAATACGGGGGGACTGTCGCCCAATTTAAGCTCACCCGTGGCTTGTGTACTGCTGTGATCTTCTGCCTGAACGATGCATTGATAGCATCCAGCATCTTCGCGGACAACCGAACGAATGTTGAGCACGTGTGGTTCGATAAGACGAATTCGACCTTCGCCGTTAGTTACGTATACATTATTGGCCGTATTATGAACGGAACTAGTACCCGTCATCATTATTGGTTGGCCATCTTTTACCCATAGTATGGACAATGGTTGGCCTTGGCTCACGTTACAGACAAAGGTAGCAGGAGAAGTCATATCGGCCACCAAATATTCGGGTGACATGTTTACTTGAATCGAACGTATCACGTACAATTCAATGTATGCTCGTTCTTCGCCAAGTGAATTGTTGGCCACACAAATCCAATTACCAGAATGTTGTTCAGTTACGTGACGAATGTGTACTATGCTGTCATAGATCTGTACATTTCCTGATGGTCGAATCGGTGTGATTAGACCTGAATCAGATGCTTGAAACCATCTTGACCAATAAGGCGAATCATTAATCAACACTATTACGATGATAATGAATGATTCACACCTACCTGACAGTGGCTTGGGGCCAAGCTTTTGTCACGCATAAAAGTTGAGCACTATGACCCAACTGCGTTTTGATCGGAGATTGAGATGATATTCTTGGACTAACACCCGATATGACATCTGCATTTAAACACACATGCCAAATGATAAAAGTGATTATAGCGGACTAACTAACTCTCATCATATTTACCGTTCACGATGAAATGTCCTTCGACGGAACTGAGCATAGTTTCCTGTAATTTATGTATCGTTTGGCAACTATAATAGCCACTATCAAATCGGCTAACATTCCTGATCAGCAAATCGCCATTGTCCAGTATGATGTAACGAGAATCTAGTCAATGATGACGATTGTAAAGACAAATTCAATTAGTGCAACTCGTTCATCATGGAGGTATATATATATGTTGGTCATCATTATCGATGGCCAATCATACATTGAACATCAGCATTCAATAATGGCATCGATTCACTCCATTTTCTCAACTCAATTTGCTTAATTGACTGGACCATCCGGTCTAACCAGGCCAACATGGCCGGCCAGCCAACTTAATAACTCATCATTATCAACTGTGAGTCCATTTGGTTTGTTATAACCCCTCATGATCTAGCATCACTCATCACTACTGTACCGTTTGGAGCCTAAATAGATGAAACGTAGTACGGAAATTGAGTTCCATCACCGGCCATTCATGGACAAACAACTGTGCAACGGATGCTGAAATGATAACAATCAATCGATTACGATTCCAACATTATCAGAGAAACCATCATAATGAAAGTTTTGTGCGCGCGCCAATGGGAATCGGTAATGAGATTCGATTAAAATGGAGATTCATATCACAAACACACACACACACAGTAATAGCCATGATGGCCAGCGTAATCGACTAGGCACATCTAAAACATCCACAACAGAAACAATTTAGCTCGACAAACACATTCGACTTGAATGCACTTTTCTATTCCGAATCATAAGTTAATCAATTCCAAATGCAATGGAATTGTTGCTTATATCATCTGCCTTATGGCCTTTTTCATCATCACTGAATTAAATGGCTTATTACAAGCAGCGATTCTAAACCGCTTTTTTCGACTTTTATTCATTCGAATAATTGAAAATGGTTCAATGAATTTAATTAAAAAAAGGTTGTCAATAACGTAACTAATAAATGATCAAATGAAATGATTCAGCAGCAGCAGCGTTTGATACCGGTGTATTTTAATGCACAATTAGTATATGACAGTAAAGAGTCAATTTGTTGGCTACACGCTTACATTTGATAAACACTGTTCAATCGTAACAATAACATGGTCCGAGACATTGTTGCCAAAAGTTTTTGTTTGCTGCATTTTTGGCCATCGTATACCATATACACATGCAGTGAGCCGTATCAAATGTAGTATATATTCACCATTAGATCCAATGGATAAAAAGTTTGTCTCAACAACCATTGTCATGATAATGGGAAAGCCAGAAAAAAAGGGAGAAAGAGCAAGTTGGATCATGTAGATGATCCATCAAAGTATGAAGAATACCTCTCATAGCATAGTAGACAATGTCATTATGAAATGTGAATGAATCGAATTCTATCAATTACTTTTAGTTAGAGATGTCCACTACTATATATGCAATGGCAGCACAAACACATGCATAAATCATTTCCAATTCGAATGATTTCGAGGTTTATTCTGTTGACATTCTGAATGATGATCATCACAATCCGAATTGATGGTTCTTTATAAAGACAACAATCACATTTTATATGACCGCCAAAAAGAATGTTTTATCGCAATTTTTTTCGGTTGGTTGTTCGTTGACTTTGTTTTATTTGTGGCCGCCGTTTTTTGAATTTAGGAGGAAGCTTGTTATGCTTGGTTTGCCTATGTCCATCATCAATTCGGTGGTGAATTTCTATTCTAGAAGTTTGAGCCAGATCATCAATGGGTTTAATCTCCACGGTTTGTTCATCCAATTCGTATTTGATGGTCGATTCGTCATCAGGCTCCTCTTCAGTTGATTGAACAGTATCAGCGGCCTGGCGCATTTCGTTCATCATATCGATCATTTGTTTTTTTTCTTCTCTTTGATTCGTTTCATTTCAGTTTTCAATTCTCGATTCAATTGTTCACTGGCACGTTGTCGTCGTTGTTGTTTACGTTCATGCAATCCCTTCAGATAGCTTTGGCGATCTGATTCATCAAAGTTAAGTTCGGTCTTTTTTCTAGACTTTATCTTTTTCGAATTTCCAGGTGGTCTGGATCGTCGTTTATCCATTTGTCGAATTTGTCAAATTGACCAAAATGCATCAAACACAAACACACACATGTATATCACACAACATGCTGCTTAAATATTTCGGCTGTTCATCGATGATGGTACATACCTTTTGGCGAGAATATTGGAGAATGAGTGGCCAGAATAGTATCGCCTTTTAGCCAAGCATTCACACGAACATGTTCTCGTACGAATGCTGGAATTTGACATTTAAGATGACCTGTATTACCAACGATTGCATATTCGCCATACACTTGGGCGCTATATGGCTGAGGAATCACTGTTTAAGTTCAATCAGAGAAGGTCAATCATTAGATAGATAGTCGAACAATGAAAACAGGGAACAATCATTTGTGAGGAATAATAGTCTCGTAATGGAAATCGGCAGTTTGCCAAATGAGCAAATGATGATGCTAATGGTGTTTACTGCTAATAGTTGTGGCGTTGATCATTTGATAATGCTAGATAGTGGTGGCTATTTACGATGAGCTTTCATCATCATCAATATGGAATTTTTTTTTGTTTGTTTGTTCATAAATCGATTGACTTGTGCATGTCATCATCACCAATCAGGTGTTGGTTGAACTCATTCGGTTAATAGGATATACATTTTATATTTTGATAACAACTAATAAGCCAAACACTAGATTCTGATCTAATTTGCATGTAACTCAATAAAGGCGCGTCTCGTTTCTCATTTGGACATATGGATGGACGCCTGCATTCGACAAGAATGGAAATGGACTGTGCTGAGTGTGCATCATTGATGAGTCAGTCTCATTGATAATTGATTGCATTCGACACTTACCAGCACGAACTTCACAATCCCTACTTCGAATGGTTCCCACTTCCGATGATGTAGCCATACATCGATAGAGCTGTTTTAGCGAAAATGTTAGTCATCACAAGACCATCATCAGTGTCATTCTCACTTACGGCTGAATGGACATCTTGTCGGAACAAGGATGGAGCAAATGGCGACAAAACCAGATCGCCATTTGGTCGAATCATACGTAAACCGTGTATTTCCGACACAGCTGTACCGTCGGAAAGCGACCACCAAACTCGAATTGGTTGTATTCCGGTCACTTTGCATGGAATTACAGCACCAGTTTCGTTAAGAAAATGAACTCTGCTTGGCGGTTCAATCAAAAAACCAAGACCAGTCCGTTGTTGATTGCTGCTGCTGCTGGACGAACCGGATATGGAGGTAGCTAGATCACTGGTGCTTACTGATGGTGAGGATGAGGCTGAATCGGACATTGAAATGGACAGGCAACCGTTGAATGCCGCAATTGTGATGGCCAACAATAGCCAGCGAACGGTAGATATGGATGACAAGGCTGTAAAATAATAAACATGCAAGCATTATTCATTGTTATACTGTTATATATACCTTGCTATAACTATCGATCCAAATTGTCTTTTGTCAATTGACTTGTCCAATCTAAACACACACTGACATACCATTCAATCTGATCAGACATGATTTTCTCTAGAGATTAAAGTGAAGAGTTGTTTTGCATATATGCTGTCTTTATTCATCTGCATTCTTTCTATTAATATAACATAATAATCGGACAAAGCTGGCTATCGATTGTGTCAATGTGTCAAACTCGATTCCTGTAATGCGTGATAGCGACAGAACATTTCAAACAGAGATCGGGATGGATATGTAGAGTTATTCATTTATTCACCATAGACACACACACACACACAGATACAGAGATATATATCGTGTCGTTCGTATCCACGCTTCTGGCTTGTTCATTATAATTATTGTAATAATAATAATAATTAATGCGTTTGATCTTTTTTCCATCTCATCTGCATCGATGGTTCTATTCGATTCTATTCATGTCGGACAGCAAACATACATTTGTGGAACTTTCTCTTTCTCTTTCTCTCTGAAAAAAGATTTTACAATTGTTTGTAGCACGTGTAATCAATATGAATACCCAAAACTTATTTCAAACATTCAATGAATTTAGCATTTTCAAATTGGCAAATCTAATTTGATTTTGCCATATCAGCAATATGAATGCAGATTATTGACGTTCGAGACTCGATTCATATCGACCAAATCATTTCTTTATTCTTTTTTTTTGATATCTAATAGATCCCCAACGGATTTGGTTATCACACTACACACACTATTCCCCATCGCCATAGAATACGTTAATTACAACCTGCCATTTTAATCCAAATTCTTAGGGCGTAATCAGAGACAAACACGCCCATCACAGAATAATGACCTAGCATATGACCTAATGTGCATTGACCAGTAAGCTTTATTAGTTTTGAAACAAACAACGGCTTAAGCTAGTCGAATTAAATACACACACATACACAGAGAGAAAGAGATACAAATGATGGGTTGTTGGCAGGGCGACTTTATTATCGGGAATTATTACCAACTCGACTTTTCATTTCATCGTTACAGACACGCACACACATACACGGACAGAGAATGAGATGGGTTGGTAGAAAACAATGACGATGATCAATCCGGATCATGACATTAATAAACACGTATATCGTCATCATGAGAAGGAAAAAAGGCGGCTTTATTTAATTATGGACCCATTAAGTGAATGTTGTTCGTAAACCTGAATGGTCAGTGGAGACATATGACCTATGGTTACGATAAAACAATTTGACTGATTGTTTTGATCCAAATGGCTTTGGGCAAAAAAAATAGATGATCGAGAAGAATGCATTACTTGCTTTCGCAAACAAAGCAAATGACTAATGGACCATATGAAAAAGAAACATTATGAATTGATAATGGCAACTTGTTCAACCATGGTAAATGGTTCATCTATTCATGAATGACATTGGTGGATGATGATGATGATGATGATGATCGAATGACCTAATTGAATGCAATCGACTGTCGCTTTTCATTCTTATTCTTGTTTGTTGTGCGTGTGCATGCCCACACCTATCATTATGCAAATGGTTCTATGTTTGCTTTCATATCATTTGATTGTCTGAATGTGTGTGTGTGTGTGTGTGTTTCAGTATTTATGGGCCATCATAATGAATTATTAAGAATTGTCATTCGAACCAGTCGAAGAAAGTGGTGGTTGATGGGAGAAAGAAATCCGTTTAGCGAAGACCGTAACTCAATAATCTGCTGGTCAGCTACACTGAATATCGTAATCACTCATCACCCAATCCATAGAGAACCAAGACGATTGTTGAATTCATAGCAATTACATTAGACAGATGGATATAGAGACAAGGTGTTGTCACCAGTCAAGAGTCATGATGATCGTTGATCATGGCACGCAATGCAGCCATTTAGCACCATTGTCATGGATCGGATATATTCTATTCACTGATTCACACATTGGTTTCGGTTACCATCTGCTATAGGTTTCGCTTGTCTTAGATTAGTTGTATAACCTCCTAAACACACAGAAAAAATGGATGTGCTTCTTGTATTCTCAACAACAAGCAGAATGAAACATCATTTAATCTTTATACTAATGACATTCGATGTCAATAAAAAATGTATGACTCTATTAAACAAGACAGACTTTTATCTCTCTTTCCTTTTGAACAACTGTGTGTTGGGAATGAATTTGAATGAATGAATGGATTCGCTAAACAAACAAAGTAAATGATTGGCTGACTTTTCACTCAGTAAGATTAGTTTAAATAATTATAAAATTAATTTCCACAACAAACCAACCAACAACACTATGACTATCACTGCTTTGGTTAATTGATTTTTTTAGCAGTCAATAACACATAGAGTCTATGAACTCATGAACGATTCGATTTGATAGTGAATTATGAAAGCCAAGCATCGACCGGATGTTGCAGGATTTTCATTCAACCGCCATACGGAAACGGTTTGGTTAACAAAAAAACGGTGGTAGCTCATTTAACGATGAGAATTTGTTCTACCGATAATACAATCAATTCGTTCACAGCCCACAATGTTAATTTGTTATATGAATTCGTTATGGATACTTTCAACGTTAACTCAATACAGACAATCTGGATTACTAATTGTGAAAAAACCAAAGTACCACCGTATAGTAAACACCAGTCATTGCCATTGATTTAATGCACACTAAACTGATGATATGATCCAGTAGAACTATAACAACAATCTGTTTGTGTGTTCCAGGGATCCAGTGCAAGCTGAAAAAGTGAATTTAAATAAAATTAAATTACGATTAATTAAGTCGATCGCTAGATTCAGATCGAAATGACATGTTGTCTGGTAATGAAGAATAATCAAACCATCCATCGATTTATATCTAAAGAATCGACCATAGCCAGTGGCCATATTCAGAATGCTGACTAATCGATCACATGGATGCCTGATAATTGGTCAAACAAACAATCGGATGACCAGATGGATCAAGTGTGCATTTGTTTAAACTGCCAACATGTGTAAATAATACCCTTCTCAATGTTCAGAATTGTGTGTGTGTGTGTGTGTGTGTGTGTGGTTGCCCTTATTATTGTAAGCAACCCTTCTAGTGACCAATATAAATGGTCCATACGAACCAAATGAATGATTCGGTTAGAGAGAGAGAGAGAGAAAGAAAGAAATGAGTCTCAAACTGGGCTAAACGAGCCGAACCAAGAATTATTAATTGTCATCATATACAAGCCACATATACGAACAATGAGTGAATGAAACACACAGTGGCACAATGAAACTGGAATAATGATAAAAGAATCCGATTAAGGGCCAATTGAAGCGAATCGACTAACTGTCTGTCTGTCTGTCTGTGTGTGTTGTCGCATCTTGTTTGGGCTGCAAATTACATGACACAATCAGCTGGTTGGTTGCTTGCTAGAACTAGATGTATCTCTGTATTCGATCCATTGTGTTTGGACCAAAATTCAATGGAATCATTCGAGCTGATAAGCAGACATTTATGAAAGAATTTATAAAGTTGAACAAATACACGACCAACCAACCAGCCAACAGAAATGAAACGATTATAAAGACAATGGCTCATCATCATGACCATAACCGATTCACTCAATTTATTGATTGATCGGTTATAATGAAAAAAAGCCTTAACTAATCGTAACATTTGCATCGATACCACAGATATTGGCAAATGTAGGCTAGCTAGTAGCTACCGATCATTACTATCAATCGATTGAATAGTGATTGATGTCTAATGATTGTGTTGACGACCAGCACAAATGTGTCAGTAGCCTAGGTTACCCTTTGTGGAATCGATCCAAAATGAACTGCTTTTAACGCTTATTATCGATAGCAATGATGTCACCTGCATAAAGCAATGGTTCACTTACCAGCAATGTGGATGAGAGATTGGATAACGCTAGAATCATGCAGACTTTTAAAATGATCATTGTGTATGGTGAATGATGATGATGTTGGCTTGGCCACCAACCGATCCATTGCAAATTGCAAACGAATAGAACCAATATGCGATATTCACTTATCAATGATGAACAATGTGATAAACAATTATGACACTCATTCGTCCGTCTATTAATCGATGAATCGATCAATTTGGCTCCCGATGCATCTTCCCGCTTTCACAAACACAGACAAACAGAGAGTGTCAATAATGGTGGTGGTGGTCGACAGAGATCAATTATGGAAATGGGATATGGTTGGCCAACAATGCACGCCCAATAGAATATTGTTATTCACTGATGCATTGTTTTACATTGCCTCGGGCATTTGGATTGCATTACACTATGCATCTTGGTCGTTGAGCAAACAAACACCACACCCACACATACATCACAATTGCCATTCATTAATTAAATTCATCAGCTTCGGGCAATAAAACAAGTAAGTCGACTTAGACAAACAAACGGGTTAACTCGATTATTTACTGATGGATCGATCCATCATAAATTCGAGTCTTATTGATTGAAATTGTCGATATTGAATAGCAGATGACACAGATGCAGCCGAGCGTTTCTTTGATGGCAAGTTTGTCGATTGTTGATGATTGGCCGCTAGTTGAACAAGATGGATCAGGATGGATCGATCTAATAGATAGATACCTGAGTAGATTGATTGACTGTCATCGAAAACGTTCAAACGAATAACCAAACTCAATTCAAGGGTTCTGCATCATTGATTCGAACAAATAAATGTCTGGTAGCCAATACCGATTTGCCGGCGATGATGTTCACATAAACATAACATCTATTAAATGAGTGAATTCATTGAAAAACCAATAAGGGAGTCAAGCAGAACAATCATTCGATCGTATTCAGAATCGATTCCATTGGCGCCAAATGGGCAACCACTGTCTATTAGTTATGTTGGTGTGAATTGATAAAACCACGAGGCTCAGATGGTGACTGGTTGGCCCGAGTCGAATGAATGAATAACCAACCGTTCGATTTGTGCAGCATGTTTTTTTCCCAATTCTGTGGTCGCCATCGTCACTGTCATCAATCGATGCTTCTACCGGGTCCATTCATTACTAGCTTCAAACATTCTGATCCGCTATATAGACAATTTATATATAGTGCTTGTTTTACATCAGACAAAGACACAGACATTCTCTCTGTAAGTGGAAATGCGGGCAGACAGAATGAAACATTTCCTGTTATACATAACAATGAATGTAGCTCGATTTGTATCGTTTTCGTCTTTTTCTTTCTGCATTTCTGACACGAAAGAATCGATACACATTTGCCATTCACTTTGGCATCAAGCAGTATTCATAATTGTCCATCCAGTTACATACATACATTGATAGATTCAAAGAGTTACACGGATCGCTGATTTGCCATTAGTCTATATTTCATTCGATTTGTTTCGTGGATCAATCAATCGTCTAATAAGAATTCGGACTATTTTACCACTGAAAAAGATAGAGATCAACCGATAAATTACTGAAAAAAGTGACGTAATATTGCTGGACTTACCCTAAAAATGAAGACAATGTGTTGTCTGGTCGGTTGAATGTTAGATAGTTTGATACTATAGTAAATGGACAGCAGAATTTATGTTCATGCCGATTAGATGTCCGACACATAAACAGAGTGAAAGAACCAACACTGCTGGTCTACGGACATTTTATAGTCAGACGATTCGATTGCAAATGACAACAAATGAGTTTTATCAACAGCTTAAGCTTCTCGGCTAACGTAAACATCACATACACACACACACATCCAAAACGAATGCAAATTCCAGCAAATCGTTCATCGCTATCTTTGTATGTGTAAACATGGCCATGTTGTAAATTTAAATTCATCAACAAAAATCGATTGCAGACCAGGCTGTGTTCATTCCACTCATTCTTTTAATCGATTCGAATGATGCAATGAACATTAAAGACATAGGCGTTCAACACTTGAGTGCATAGACTTATTTGCCAAAGCCGATTTACAGATTGCCTGGTGACAACTCGACTGCAACACTGTCGATAATGGGCTCGATTCTATAATCGGATCGTTATTCGTCGGTGGTCGTGGTCATTGGTCATCATATCAAAGTGAACATCATTCACCGATTGTCAATTTCTGTAGTCCATAATGATGGTTCTTCTCTGTACTACTTCAATGCAATTGCTTTCTCTATATTCTGGACTACTCACTTGTCAATTGTCACCATAAGTAACACCCGAATCGATATAATGGCCACCCTAAACTGTCAATTGCTTCACTGTAGGTCTATAGTCATTTCAATGGTTTTTTTTTGGTTTCTGTTTGTTTCGGACTGTCGTCGAGGAGAGATCATCATTTCGGTGTGGCAAACAAGAATTTAATTAGATTCAAACACAAAAATTTTGTATTACTTACTATGCAAGCATCGTAACGTGTCATCCAGTCAAATCGAACCAAACAGGCTTGTGGTCTGTGTATTGTTGATTGCAAGAATTTCTCAATGTCGTCTGTCAATTCAAATCAAAACTGCCAGAAGGCCATTCCATTTATGTAAGTGCTTACATGTTGTCTGGATCAATGTGACAAAATCGAATGTAGCCATATCAAAATAGATCGAATGTAAAAAATTGTACATTTGTTTGTCGGTTTGTTTCGATCGGAATGATGGGGTATTTCTTTTTTCGTTTGACAGTTTGACCAAATTGATCGATTCAGACAGCTGCCATAAAAATGTGATCAATGAACGATCAACGATCAATCAACTTGAACTGATCATTAATTCGAATTAGCAATGATGAATCAGGTGGTCATTAGTGTGAAGCCAACGACCATTGTTACTAATTATGCAATCATATAAAAATTGTCAATAGTGAAAAGCGATCGAATGACCGACCAACCACGATGCTAATCTACGGAATAAAAAAGAGTCTGTGTGAATGAGCATTGAAAATCCATTAATCATGGCTACTTGCAACGAGACTCTCTTACCAAAGCAATATCATCCCCATGGGTGAAAAAAATGTGCAACAGTATCGGCCCCATGCTTGTCTGATAGCCACTATCACACAGCAAGAACGAAAACGAGGCTTTTCATACATCTCGAACAAGATTTATCGATTCGACACAATTATACCATACGAAGAACGAAAACATTATGGCAGTGGCGAATCGTACAAACATTACACATTGACAGGCAGCCGGTCCAATGGTATAGCAAAGAGGATTCATAGACATTAGGCCTGATAGTGGGTGATGATGCTAGGAAAAAAGCAATATGATTAGAGTTGGTTCCATAAATTGTTATAAATAAATCAATGTTTCCATACCACAAACACATTCCTTTCGTGGATTAATCGATCGTTCGATTGGTAGCATCAAACATCAAACACCAGGTTGACCACATTACCAGAGGCAGTGGACATCATATTAGTTAATCACCCCATCATCGACATAAACATGAATGGGGCTCGATCGTAATCAAAGCAAACGACGATTGTTTCAACAATCATTTATCGATCCGTAATGATTATGTGCATTGTTTGTTGTTTGTCGTGTGTGTGTGTGTGTGTGAGATCATTGTGATTAACAAACACCTAGCCCGAAATGGCAATCGCAATTGTCGCCATTAATGAGGTGATAAACAAGATTTACGATCTAATTGCCTCCTCACACACACACACACATACAATTAAATGGAAAACAATTAACCAGGGCACACACACACAAACAAGAAAGCAAACTTGTGTATAGAACAGGAATTCAGTGTGATTCAAGCTGATTGTTGTCTGTTGACATGTCAATAGCTATCGATTCATTGTTGTGTTCACATCAAACTCATCGATCATTGAATGGACACCTAAATGAATGAATGGTCTGCATGGATGAACTGAATGTCCATTGTCCGTTTTGTTGCCATGTTTCATGTTTGATGAATCAATTTGGAAAGAGAGATAGGGCCCATGTAAATGAAAGGAGATTAATTTCGATTGCCGAATCATCGTATTGCTGCTGCTGTTGCACAAGTCATTGTATATTACAATGATCAGCAAGTACGAACCTCGATACTGTTGGCGACTGGTCGAGCATAATAATGTCACGTCGGCCAGAAAAGATTTCATTTCATTTCACATTTCGTGCCTATTCTTCTTCTCTTAACTGTTTATATTGTAAGAATCGAGTTGAATAAAATGCAAAGAATGTTGTGTGAGATAGTGATAGAGAAAAAGCAAAAATGTTGCATACATTTCATGTGGTGGCCAAGAATGTTAAATCTGGCCCCTATGCTCATAAACAAAGCAGAAAAGGTCTGTTTGCCTTGCAAATGAAACTCAAAAATCGGCCTGCTGTTGGTGAATGAATGGTGGTCGTGTTCAGAATATGGACTAGCCGTAATCAATGTCATGTGATGTATCGATTCCGTGCAATGTCGTATGTTCCTCCATTCTTTCTCCCCCAACATCATGCCACTGACTGCCTGGCGTATAATTAATACGGCAAATCATCGAGTGATTCTGATGATCGCTGTGAACCATAATGGAAATCATCGTTTGTTTCAAATTGTTTCATCTCGAGACAATGGTCCTCGTTCTAAATTGATTTTCGACCATCTCAGCATCAGACATACACACACAGAAAAATCAAAAAGAAAGTGAATGACATATCTGTCTTGATCAATTAAGGGCTTTTATCTTGCAAAGAATGGTGGCTACCCTACATGACATTATTAATAATTAACTCAATGTCAACCGGTTATTGATACCAATACCAATTATGATATGTGATCATCAGCTTGTTGAACGATTGAAAAAAATCATAGCTTTCTATTGTCGATAAAAAAACTGAATAATTTGAAACGCACACACGTTCTATTAATAATATAACGATAACCAATATGGTGATGTGAATCGAATGAATTTGGCCGGATGAAATTGAAACTTTCCAGGCAAGAACAATTGCTGAATTGACAAACAGCAAACATTTTAGACTACGAATTTGGAATTACAATCAGAGACTCTTCCTGTGCTCAGTATATGTGATGACCCTTTATCCATATCATTTGATACATTCATGCGTGCATGTTTAGGCCTGTTTCATGGTCGAATATAATGGACTCCAGTCTATAACATCATCATCATCATCATCAAATAAAGTTTGCATGTGACCAATGCATCTACATAGAATCTATGTCATAGACCATTACCCGTTAAACAGTTTGAATGTTGTAATTTGAAACTATAACTACCGGTCGTCACTGTGGGTGTGTGAGAAAGATAGAGAGAGAGGAGAGAGAGTTAGAAAGGACGACAACATTTGAATTATGATTATTCTGGTGGTTAATAAGAAATAGACCACCATCATAAATATCACTTTAGAGATATACCTATAGAATAAAGTAGTGTCAATTTGATAAAATTCCTGCCTATGATGAGTGAATGGCCGGTTAGAATTGGAACGAACCGAGCGTATCATCATCACAATATCACCAGGCTCAATTTCAAATATTAAGAAACGTGACTGAGGTAGCAAACCAACCAACAGACAGAATTTGAATTGGTTTTCAAAGCAGAAATTGGTCGAATTGGTCGAGAAACAAAACTGGCAAAAATAGCAAAAGGGAAAAGTCAATTTCGATTCTGATTTTTTGGATGGTTCGTTCATCGGACAATTATCTCGATGCAGCAGCAGCAGCAGTATTGTGTCCAGGCAGTCAGGATTCGATTAAATTTATTAACCGATTCAATTCAATTCAATTCAATTCCATCATCATTGCCGATCATTGCGAATTGTTCGCTTTCTAATTGTTTGCATCCATGACCATTACATGTCTTTGTGTGTGTGTGTGTGTGTGTGTGTGTGTGGCTGTTTCCCTCACTTACTGGCTATTCTTAAATCTAATCAACTGGAAAAATTGAAAGACTGAAGCGAACAAACCGAACTAATACAAAAAAGGCAAGCACTCACTCACTCACTGTTAGTATTTCTTGAAATAATAAAACCGACCAAATTCTCAATTTCTAAATTCAACACAACAAAAATCACATGAGTGAGTAAGACATTGCTGATTCTAGAAATTTGTTTCGATTCCAATATTCGAATAACCGAAATCGAAAGCTAGCCAGCCACCAGTCTGATGATGAAATCTAATTCGATTGGACAACTGGCTCACAGAATCTGTTTTTCTTGATCAGATTGATTTTCTTTTGAATCTCATGGCGATTCTCAGTGTTTGCATCACCGAATAGGTCGTCTTGCACCGTTTTGTTTCATTTTCATTTCAATTCTCATTCATTTCATTTTGTTGTTTTCCTCACTCTCTCCGTATAGAATCAACACGCACATGCATGCATTCATTTCATTCACTTTACTCTTTACGATCGCCTCAATTCCCCACATTCTCCCATCTAAAATCACTGTTAAGACATCTTTTTGCATCGGACTAAATTCATCGTGGACCATCGACGTTCCACACATACATACAATCGACTTGGGACCAACGTAACCGTAACATACGTCAACCGATGAATACACACACACACACACACACTAAACACTCATATGAATACCATACATACAATCAGACAGACAGCCCGAAAAAAAATGATTGAAAGCCTACGATCGGGAAGAACACAACAAACAAAAAGAAAAGAAAAAAACAAAACAACTTGCCACACACACAAATAGGCGATCGATTCGTTTGGTTTCTTTTTTTTTTTTTTTGTTTGTTTGTTTGAATCACTTTTGAAACAAACATTCACAACTACATTCAATGCATCTCATCATACATTCATATGGATACAACAAACATTCGACAACAAATTGGTGAGCCTCATGTGATGGCAATTCTCTGGTAAAAAACAAAAACAAAAATGAAAAAAAAATTGCAAAATTCATATGCTCAAATCAGATTCTTGGAATTCAAACTCAAAATGAAACAAGCTCCAATTGTTTTTTCTCTCTTTCTTTCTCTGTGTATGTGCGTGTATGTGCCCTTTATAACCATATATTTTTGATCCGGCAATATTCAAGCAATGCAGTTTATTACTGTGATCATTGTTTGTCGTGGCTTCAGGCTCAATTCACCTTAGTCGACCGCCATTGTCTTGGATAATGATCAGGATGAATGGCGCCATCCACCCCTGTCTTCCCCACATTGACATCATGCAGATAGTATAGTTTGATACGAATTACTGAACGATGGAGACAAATTGAATTATTTTGTAAAGCAAGATGTTGATGCTATTTTTTTCTCTCATAACTACAACAACAGTGCAAAACCAAATTGAAATGAACCTCAGTCACTCATTCTACACGCACATCATACACGACGATGAACAACACTCGGTTCGTCGTCGTCATCGTCAGAGGCGGCAATCACTTTCTGTTGGAACACAAGTTGGAACCAAATAAAAAATAAAAATCTACAATCTTCCCCTCTCTTTTACACTGTATATGTGTGCGTGTATGATTTGAATCAATTTAATTTAATTTAATTCGATTCAATTTATCAACTTGTAGGCAGGCAATGGCCAACATGGCAATCTTAACGATTCTATGAAAGCAACATGAATCCATGTCATAAGCTAAGCAACATTGCATGCACACAAAGACAAGTTAAATTTCATTTTAATTGATTCTCAACACAGACACACACACACACACATAATACACACATTCCTCATCGGTCCCATCTCCCTTATTCATAACTCCTTGTCCAAGTTTGAAATTCTCTCTCACACTTTTTTTCTCTTTCTCTCGACAAAACGAACAATATTCATTTGGTTAACACTTTACATCTTCACAAGCCTAAGATACACACATTCACCGATCTTTGGGGCAAAAGGGAGGGGAAATTAGATTTTAAAAAAGTGATTCTTGCCCTCCAACATCGACATGTAACCAAGCGATTTAACAATCGAGAGCTGATGTGCATTAACGAAACATTGCAATAGGGAAGTTTTTAGTTCAATCGATTCATGGATGCCTACCCAATCGACTATTTGCGAGAGAGGGGCCGGACAAACATGGATGCACAGATTTTAGCAATGGAATGCATATATTTCGATGCCGACCCTCTCATCCACTATTCAGACATTTCTGCTACAACCCACCTAACAATCGATAGTTACATCAACAAATTTTTCGCCTCTTTACATAATATTAGTCGCTCCATCGATGCTCGTGTTCCATAGATAAATTCCAAAATTTTTACTCAGTTTGTATGCCCTGCCATACAATTGTTTTTATATGTTGGCCATAATAAAAACAACAAAACTGTCAATGATTAGATTAGAGGCCAATGAATGATATTAGCATAACGGAACAACGATGCACGATAAGATCATAGGCAAATACCGGCACGAATCAACACGAAACCAACAAAAAACAGACTATAGGCAAGAGTTTATCAATTCAATCATAAATCAGAGATAGACTGGTTCATAACCGCAAATGGTAAACAATTTAATTAAATTGAATATAACTACCATTCCTTTGTTTGATTCTATTTGTTCCCTATTCATGTGGTTTAATGGCTATACATTAATCCAGATTCTCTATACATGTCGGGGGGTAGTGGTGGTTATCTACAAGCAAGCATGAATTGATGCAAACTTTCAGCTCACTAACTGCATCGTTCTTGCTGTAGTCAGCTGAAAAGTTTGAACCAATAATATGTATGTGTGTCTGTTAGGTTCACCAATGGCCATACCGGGCCAATGATTCATGACTCTCGTCGCATTCGAATCTGTTTTCTGCTGTTGTAAAGTTGATTGTTTTCAATTAAATTTGTAAAATGAAATTCTTTCCGTTCGCCCGTACATGCAAGCAATCTGTTATTGTTTCCAACAATTCAATTATTCGCTTTATTTAACATAAATTGACCAAACATTTGGTCATTCCGGTAGTGGTGATGAACAAACATATAAACAGCCAGCAAGCTGAGCAACAGCCTCCGCCTAATAAACAGGCCAAACAACAACAACAGCCGACCGATGTTCGATTTAGCAAATTTCCTGGCTTAGCCATGAGCATCAAGAATAGCCAACAAAAAGAACGACTGATGCAGACCATTGCCAAAGCCATGAACAAGCAAGAATCTTCTTATTCTGATAAATATGTTCGAAATCTGGTCATCAAACAACAACCGAATACAAATGATACAAAACGAACTGGCGAACGATCATCGAAATGGCCACACCAAAAAGGTCCACCCAAACATCATACTCGATTCGTATTTAAGATAAGCAACACGATCAAAGAGGAAGCGGCCAAACAGTGTGACTATCTGCAACAGAAATTGCAAATTAAATCGGCACCCGATCAAGTGACCATGGTGGCCGTTCCCAACAATGATTCTAGTGTCGACAACCACAATGACCACAATGATCAACATGATAATCCTGATGCTAACCAATAAATGTAATTCTAGCAAAGAGGAGAGAATCGAGTTCCATTTGCTTTATCCATATGTGTCGTGCAGAGTGCTATTTTTTCGGACCAATTCACACCATCTCTTAACAACATTGAACACACAGGAAAATGATCTGATGTTGTTGGGACACTTGGTGTGTTGAAACATTTTCATTTTCAACATTATCTAGCCAGCCAAATTCACATTCACAAACACTAGTTAGAATCGAAATGATAATTTAGCGTGCCAAACATGAGACTTGTTTTATTATTTTGTTGTTAAAAAACACACGGCAAAATGAACATGCAATTCTCTATCACTATCAACACGACATAATCATCAATCCATTCATCGAATAATACAGAGCCAGTGAATGAATTCTAGTGAAACAGACTATTCTCAATAAGTCCAAAGTGTAGGAAAAATCTTCAACTTTTTTTTCTCTCTCTCTCTCTCTCTCTCTCTCTCTCTGTCTTGATTCACATTGATTCCTGATTGCTTTCCTTAAGCAGCAGTGTCAGTGTGAGCGCCCAACCAAAAGCAATTCTGTTGAGCTCAAGTTTCTCTCTCTGTCTCTCTCTCTCTCTCTCTCTCTCTGTGTGTGTGTGTGAATTGGATGAACAAGCAAAATAGTAAAGAGAGAAAAAAAAGTTGATTCCAACAAAAACAAATTCCTCAATTGCAACTTTCTTAGATCATCATAGAGATAGTGAGGGCAGCAACACACATGAGACAGACAAACATAGTGTTTGACAGTTATTGGCAAAACAGAATCATGTCGATCGATGCAAATAGAATGCATACACACACATTAAACACATTTATTAGGTGAATTGACATCATTGATCACCATCATGGTCATGACATCTTTCAACACATTCATAATGCTTAATCATATTCGATTTCTAGTATCCAATATATACAGACCACAACATCTCATATGTGATGTGCAAATTTCTTGTCCACAATACACAAATGTATAGTTGTGTTTTTTTGCTTAAAAACTTATTTCGGCCAAAGGATTATCGATATTTTGCAAACACAAACATACAAACAGAGTGTGTATGGGGATTGTGCAAGTTCCAATCAACAAACAACATTGAATGAATGGGGAGAAAAGTTGATGTTGCCAATAAAACAAAATTCACTAAGCCAAGAAGGGATAGAGCTCGAATTTCACTTGCCCCAAATACACATCCTGTTTGAATGAATGAGAATGACGCGTGAGATGATTCCATGAACAACAACACACAACCAATGAATGAATGAATGAATGAATAAATGTTCACATAGCGATCAGCCGAGAGAGATAAATTGAACAGAGGAAATGGATACAAATGACCAGCGTGCTTTTTCGATACGGCTCATTGTTAACTTATTGATCCAAACAAGCCTAACGAACGAACAAATTCGGAAACACACTTCCGATCGGGATCAATCAACTCGATTCGATTCAATCGTCGTTCTTATTGACTCGTTGGTGAAAATGACTTTGCAAGACATCATCTACGGCCCATAACTTTATTTGCCATCGAAGAATTCGGTGGATTTGTAGCTCGTGTGTTATTAAGCATTACCTGTTGAGATAAAGAATTTTGTGAATAGCATAAATCAAACATGTACCAAAATGCAACGAAAACCTGAAGCGACCACACGAATAAAGATGTCCATTGAGCTGAATTAATAATTCATAAGATGGCCATCTCATTTAGGTTGCCCACACATTAATCCTATGATTTCGGGTAGCGGCTAGGATTATCGATTCCGGACCAGTCATGGTTTGGCTTCGGCTACAGTCTGACAACAACATTATTCAATTTGACTATACTTTTCCTCAATTCGGTTATGCTCACCATGAATAATTGAAGTATCATCATCTACTCATCTATATCCATAACACACACAATGTAACAAGGCAAACCTAATGATGATGATGGTAATGTGCGAACCACCAGCAACCTTTATGAATAATTCAATGTTCAATTCATTTCAAGTCGAACAAAAAAACTTTTGTGGTCTGTCGATCAGTCGGTTACAGAAATGCAGGTGTATGCGAGATATATGTGTGTGGCAATTATCAGTGATGATGACGCTGATATGGCTGCCAATATGGATCGATCCATCAATAAAGTGATGTTCATATCATTTGGTTGGCTAGTATCACTAGCAACAACAACAAATGTGGCCATGATGCATCACACAGTTGGCCGAGATAAATTGTCTTGCTGATAAGCTGATACATTCATTAAAGTCATAGCAATCCTAACCAAAAGCAAACATGTCATCTGACCGATTCGTTTTTGCCGCCTGCATTTTTGCCTGTCAACAAACTGTGATTCTGAATAGTTTGATCATGTCTGGCCTGCTATGCAGTCTGATTCATCATGTAAATGGCCTCTCTCTCTCTATTGGAATAAATGTGATTCTCTCATTCTTTTAGAGCGCCCACTGAGGATTGCCGATGTCGGCAATGATGGCGATGGGTTGTGATGAGGATGACGGCTCAACAGTGAACGTTGCCTAGTGTCACCAAATTGTTCGACTTCATAAATCATCAAATCAGATTCATAATCATGCTGATTCTCATTCTATTTATTTATCTATCTATCCATAAAAAGAATGTGATCATCCATTGTGAACGAATAATGGCACAGAACACAGCCCAAATAACAACAAAATAATGTCTCAATCTCAATATACATGCATTGTGAATCGAGTCCATTTCCTTTACAGCATTCATCTAATGTCAGTAATGATCATCATCCTGGACCATTGTTGTCATCGCGCAATGTAAATGTCTTGCTTGGTTCAATTCAACTTTTTGCTGCTAGTGATTAATTGATATGATCAGATTTAGAACAGACACATGTGTGTGTATGTTCCATCACATAACGATTGACACATTTGCCTTGTCCGTATCGGCAATCGGCAATTAATTAATTGGGATTTTACCAATACGAAACCACCTTTTCTTGCCCAATGGTCGTTTATTACCATCATCGCTGTGTATACAAATCAAAGCAACCATTTAGCGTTGGCCTCATGAACATGAACAATGAACATTTGGGCCATTAATTATTGTCCCAAACTCTGTTTCGAACAAAGGTGTGTGTATGTTAAATGAATGTGGCCAACATAATGACCAACATGTCCAATTGATTTGCTACAACACACACACACACATATATACAAGGAAAAAAACAGACAACTATTTTCCATTCCCAATTGGGTCGTGTGTGAATGTGGGAAATTCGACAGAAATAATGAGCATAAACAAACAACATGAACAGCAGCCAAGTAACAGACATGGTCACATGATTCAATATTGATTAGACAAGCTTCCATCATTTAATCATTCCATTAATCGCCACTGTTGGCCACATAACATAGATAATACGTTAGTTAATCAATGAAAAATCGTAGCGCTAGCTCCTGCTCAGCTTGCTTCACTGCGTTGCTTTTTCAATATTTATCCAAATGCATTGAAAAGTAGTCAACATTTGCAGGGTTGAAAGGGCGAAAAAATTAATAATAATAATCAGAATCTATGTGTGGTGTGTGTTGATTGCAATTTGTTGTTTCAACCGCAATCACAATTAGTGAAAAAGCTAGATGCAAATGACCGAATGGTCGTATATGGTTAATTGTGTAATGGCTTCATGATTTAATGATTATCATCACATGTTTGCTCATTAGGATGCCTCTGTGCTTACAATGTTCAGAAACATGATCCCTTTTATAATGTTCTCTCTCTCTCTCTCTCTATGTGTTTATGTATGTACAATGAACAATAAACCCAGATCTAGGTGCCGAATGAATAAGAGAATAGTAATGGCCATCACTATTGTAATGAACACCGAGATGCATTCATCCGAAACCTGAACGTAGTGCCGAGATTGCCACATTTGCAACATTTAACCCATTCTGGCTCCACACAGGCAGGCAGGGAGCCAACATTTATTTATACAAACACACACACACACACACACACAATGGATGGCATGGGCATAGAATAATTGGCTCAAATGAATAGAGCCATCAAATGAGCTCCATTCTTTTACAACTCAATTGTGTTTGACTTGTCACACAAAAAAAACCAAACAAAACGACAGACTAGCTAACATTGTTTTGCTGTTTGTTTTTGGTTGACAGTGAATATCGAATGAATGATGGATTCAATTTGATTATTCCAATCAATTCGATTCAATTTGATATGACCAGACCTATGTTATGAATTTCATTTCATTTCACTGTGTTTGTTCTGAGATTGATGCGAGAGCTAAACTAATGTATGGCCAGTTGGATTTAGTTTCATTAGACTAGATTCACATTTATATTTACTCATGGACAACCCAACGGGATAAAAAGTTCAACTTGGTCTGATTATCACCCACACACACACAAACACAAATACATACATACAATGGTATTAGATGCTTTTGTTGTGATATTTGAACAAGAAATTTGAGAGTGCCATGTTCGTTGATGAGCTACTACATCTTTTCAAAGCAAATCGGCTTTTTTGCTCACTCGTTCAAAAGTTGTTCCAACAAAAAATAACCTGTTATCAGTGGGCCATCTGTTCATTAAAACATGGCTGCAAGGCCTAAACATTGACACACACACACCCACAGAACCCAAAATGATTCACATTCATATGCAACAAAAAAAATTATGTTAGATTAAAAGTCGAGAAACAAGTTGTTAATTATAATAATTGTGGCGACAAGTCGACACTTGTGTCCAGCAAATGATCAGAAACAAAAATCAAAGGTTGAGATCCATCCAACAAACACATGAGGGTCATTAAAGTATCACATTTCGCCATGGCATGCAGTCTTGCAAGACAATTTCATTTCGCTTTGAGCCTTTTCATCTTTTCTTCTTTCATTTGTGATCAGCAAGGATGGCAATAAATTGTTATTTGTTTCATTTTCTATGCTTAGTGAACATCAAATTTCCAGTTGTTGGCGTGGGTTTTTTTCAATTCTCTGTAGCAATGTTTATGCACTTTTCTCAGTCACTTTTGTTGGCTGCATTATAATGATGTGAAGAAAATATTTGGACATGACCAGAATCCGGTTCAAAGAAAAATATGTGTCTGTGGTGAATTATTAGTACACAGTACGTGTGCACTATGCTCGTGCATTCTCCACACACAAACACACACATACACAGAGAGAAACGCACAATGGTAACTTGATCCAATCAACAATCGCAATCATAATGGCATCTCGAATAGAATCGGGTCTGATTGCTTTCATCCTATATTCATAATGAATTCGGATGGCAAGATTTAAAATAATTTTCTCTCTCATAACTGTAATCATTTCCATTCTCAATTTACAGGGCCAACAAAGGAAAGAAGGCAATATATAAGCAATAAGACGATGTGATGTGATGACAATGTTTGTGTGTGTGTGTGTGTGTGTTGTGAAGATGACATCGCAATTAAGTAGATGAATGGCAGGCTTTATTTCAAATCGTCATCTATTAATACCAACATCGGCCCGGCTTTTCTAGGCCTCGACAATTGATTCAACTGTGGTAAAGGTGCTTCTTATCTTGGGTAATCCCTGGCTGCTCGTTGCAATTTTCTAACAAAACCGATAAACAAATATAGCCAATAGATAGATAACAGTATCGAATAAAACCGATTCCCAACAAAAAAAAAATTTAGAAACAAAATTATATAAATTTCTCTCATTTTTTGAGCCAACAAACACCAACAGAATGAAAACAGCATCTCTAAGGAGTTTCTGCCATATAATATAAACGAGTCGGCGTCAATTCAAATTGGATTCTAGCCTCAAACATGTATCGCCATCCAGTCAAATTGTCTTGTCGCCTGCAAATTTATCCTGTCCTTTCGTCTGTCAGTCAGTTAGTGTGTTACTATTAACAAGTCTCTCAAACCGAAACCAAATTCAAATGATTCCTATTCCTTTGTTTTTGGTTCGATCCAGTTGCAATTTTCAGTAACTGGTTTTATTGGTGTACCAAGTTTCAAGATTTTTTACCAACCGTACAAAAATTTACTTCCGATTCCACTTTTTATTGTCAATATTATTGAAACATGGTACCACCGATAAATATTATTCAAAAAATCAGCTGGATTGAACGCCAAACACAAACGAATAGAAACCATATGAATCCGAATTGGTTCTGAGATTCCGATGTTAGCATCAAACCACAGAATTCCATGTTAAGCTTGCTGCAAGTGATTGAATCAGAAAACTGACTGACTGAGTGAATGAATAGAATTCTTCATCCATAGCCAAATTGACAAAAATAAAGCCCAAATTTTTGGAATTGCAATTGCTCAATCCATGTTTGTGGCATCTCAATTTCATTGGTAGCACTTGAAAAATACGGGCTAATCACATTGTCGATTGTGTCGACAAGAAGCAAACTTGTTTGTCTAGTACCAATGTCGTGGTTGTTTGTCTATGAATTTGTTTGCAACAAACAAAACTGTGTGTCAAGTGTCATCTTGCCATATTTACACTGTACTCTGTACTGTAAAGAATATTATCCTGGTGAGAAGAGAATTGGAAAAAACTTGGAATTGCAAAATTCACTCACCCCCTTTACATCGTCGTCGGTATCCATTGACTTATAATATGAAGAAGCCAAGTTTTGGTTCGTTGTGTATGCGCTTCGTATCGGACCAGTCGATTATAATGAAGAATGTGCAATATTATTATTATGTGAACAAATCGCTTGGGAGGAAAATGAAGCTCATCTTGATCGTGATGGCCTCATCTCAAACTCTTGGTGTGAATAATGATCGTTATCCGTGCATTCGCATTCATTCACTAACAGTAACTAACAAACAGTATGGATATTCAAGATCATTATCTGGATATCATATCGAGACCATTACCCACACACACACACACACACATACAAAGTAACAGACATACAAATTAAGGTCAACTTGGATAATCTAACTCAATATGCTGATAGCATCCATTTACTTCAGGGTGTGTCTTTGTGGGGATAGTTTACAACACAAACAAACAATCAATTCAAGTGTGAATATCACACACATACAACTTCATTATTGTTAGCTGAGCAAAATTCGATAACAAATTGAATTATTCATAATTTATAATTATCGACTTACCAACCAAATAAAAGCCTTTTATTCTTTATTATGGCCCAAATTTGTCAATTCTTGATTGCAAATATGGATTCGAGCACAAGCAAAACCAGTAGAATCAATCAAAGACGGCTTAGTAATTGTAGTTCAGTGGCTGTTAAAAATTCATCCAGTCAAAAAAATGTTGTCAACTATTATGATGCGAATCATGAATGTCTTGATTTTGAAGAAACACAGCTATGTTTGTCAATGAATCGAATTCGACGTATATATTTGTCTGGTGGCGTCATCATTCGTCATTATCGTAATGATCGTAGTAAAGCCAATTGTTATCAGGATGAGTTGGCATATCTTTATACAATATTTAAAGAGTATCTGATTCGAGGTCATCAAGACGATGGTCTCACAAAATCAAAAATCGAACAACAAAGAAAACGATTAAGACGTAACCAAACATCATATTTAGCTCAGTTTCATCCATATAAAACTAACAAAACTAACAACGATCAATGGTTACCCACATATGCAGTATCATACGAAATTCAAATGCAAACTAACAGCAGCAATACTAGTCAGAATCAAATAGGCGATGCCGATGATTCTGAAACCAGCGAGAACATTGTACAGATATCATTCCGTCCCATCACTCGACAATCTTTTCTATTGAATACGTTGGGTGCATTCAATAAAACTATATTCGATGAAACAATCCGACGATGTGTGTCTATTGAATTGAGTACAAATCCACAACATCGGCTAGTAATGAGACCATGTCAAATGTCAATCACTACTGACCATCAGATTATCGATCGAAGAATATTCTTGGTTGCTAGACACGGATGGTTGGCCGTATTTCTGAATGGTCGTGAAGATGCCTACCTATTACTCGAGAACGAATACCTAGTATTTGGTAGCCAACTCAAAGAATGGCCCATATTCTACGAACGTATCGTTGATACGAATCAAGCCAATCATGATCTGACCGAAATGTTCTATCGACGTACCAACATTGTTCAGGATCAGTATTCAGCCAACGGTATGATTGTAACACGTGGTGTCATTCAAAACGAATACAAACCTGATTCGTTCACAATGGTCGGTCTAGGAAATGCCATTGTGAACATGACCTATTTCCAGCAATTACTAACCATCTCATCAAATGATACAACTCATTCTTAAACTAGCCGATTAATCGAAACACACAACAGTTAAATAGATAATTTTTATTAATGTTTATGATAATTGAAAAAATAAAAATTCTTCAACATATTTTTCACGTTTATTCTTATTATTAACAACACATCGCCATCAGTCATCATCTTCCGGTTCGTCATAATCATCATCGTCGTCATCATCAACATCATCATCATCGTGTCTGTGGCGAGAGTGATGATGACGATTTCCAGCAGTCATATTATCGCCAATGTCTTCATCGTCATCATCATCACTAGCAATCAGATCAGAATCGGATGCAGCCGAATCATCTTCCGGCTGTTGATCATCTTCCTCTTCAGACATTTCCCATTGTGGATGTGAAACAATCTCTTTCGGTGCTTCTTTCACATCCAACTATATATTCACAAATGAATAATAAAACAAATTAAAATTAAAAAAATAAAACAAAAAATAGTATAGAAAAGAATGAATGTTTACCTTGAGTGTTTTGAAATAATCCATATCGACATATGAATCACATCTGACATTGACCATATATTGATAGGATCCAGGCTCTTGTGGTGCCATGAATTTCAGCTCTACTTCTTCACGGTCGACAAGATTGGTCATGAAATATGGTATCGTCTTTACTGACATCTTTTTCCGATCAGTTATGTAGATCCACCAATGTTCTTGTTTGTCTTCTGGGTAATAAGGACAATGCACACTGTGCGACATTTTCGATACTGCTTTGAAAATTTCTTTTTTCGGCAGATTCTGCTTAACGATTGACCAGTCATCATCGTCATTATCATCGTTTGATTGCGTTTTATTATTTGCAGCACTTGGCCTGGCGACCGATTCCTCATTTTCGTCTGGTTCTTCACTTTCTTTGCCACGTTTGGTCGTCGGTTCTGATTCCTTTGCGTCGGAATCCGATTCAGAACCAGAATTTTCCTGGGAATGATTGTGATGATGATGAGCTTCGTTGTCGGAACAATTTTCTGAGACATTTTCCTCAGAATGTTGTTGCTTCACTTTGCTCCCATCTTGGGATCCTCCTTTCTGCTGTTGTTGTTGTTGCGATCGTTGCTGATTCTGACGTTGTCTTAGTGGCTGCTTCTTTTTCGGTTTAGCTTTCTTTTTTCCTTTCGATTGCTTTTCCCATGGTTTGCTGCTCTTTTTAGCTGCAGATTTATTCTCATCCTGTTCATCAGGATCGATAACTAATTCACTATTGGCAGCAGGCGATAAGCTCGATGCAGCAAGATGATTGCTCGAATAAGTATTATTCTCGTTGACCAAAGACAAATCTTTAAACAGTTTCGACATTGGTTGTCGAGTGAGCTTAACAAACACAGTGACTAATGCGCCAGCTGTGATAGTGGCCGTATCTTCATCATCGATTACTTCCGACCGGACATCCACATCCAACAATGGCATCCGGCCAAGAACATTCAACAGATCACAATACTGTTCATCATTGAGTCGTGCCAACATTTGTCGACGATCTTCATTGGGTAATGAGGCCAATTGCTGCATGTTTCGAATATTACGACGGCGATTAATAAAGTAACGTAGCATATCTTCGGTTATGTGTGGCAATTGTAACATAGAATTCTTATTCGACCACATTGCCTGCACAACAAGAGCGTTCATTTTCATAGCATTCTCCATCGTATCTAACGATGGACATCTTGCTATTCGACGAGAAAGATAGAGGAACGTCAATTGTGAGCTACATTGTACGAATTCCTGGATCAGATATGGGATTTTGCTAAGGATGTATTTTTTGTCCTGTTCCAAGGCCATCGATGGCAACGAAATTCGTAAAAGATGAGAGTACATTAGGGTTCGAGCTTTGAGACTATATTCAAAACACAGTGGACGTTCCTTATTATTCATGGCCAGATTCGGAATTTGTTTCATTAGTTTCGGTATCTCGACATTATCGGCGGGCCGTTCTTGTATCTCACCATTGTGTGATTTGTCAAATTCCAATGATGCACAGATGACCATCAACACACGACGAAGCATCATCTGAGGACTTTTGTTTATATAATACAAGTACAATTGTGAAGTGTCAAGAAGCACTTTGAAATCGCCATATTTCGACGAATTTGACCACCATATACGAACACAAACGGGCAATACAATCATTAACATGAGTACGTAGACCATCAATACGAACACTGAATTTTCCTTTTCGACGATCCATGACGGCAATGCGATACCGAATGACATAGCACCTGGGCCGTCTGGATTTCCATATTCTTCCCAGTTTTTACGAGCTTGTTCATCGGTTAACGCTGCATAAGCTTTTGTGATTTTCATAAATTTCTTTTCATCACCAGTCTCTTTGTCCGGGTGGTAGATCAAAGATAGACGACGGTAAGCTTTCTTGATTTCAGCACTTGATGATTGTGGATCGATACCCAATATCTCGAACGGATCAAATGTTACGTAGTCGGGCTGAATTTCTGATACTTTGTATGCAAATACAATCAATCCGATCCAGGAGACAATTAGCACAATTTTCGTTAACCGTTTACGAACCGTTCTAGATGGTTCTTTCAATTTCATGTAATGTTCTTTGATCAAACAAGGCTCACAACGGCACTGCTGTATGAACCGTTGCTTGTACGGTGAATTATTATCGATTGATTGGGCTGATTTTCGTTCCTTGTGAACATCATCTTTGTCTTTGTCACATGGCCAAAATAAATAGGTACATGGCGCAAGGATCATGGTAAGGAATGCCAAAACAAAATAGTAGAATGTCGTTCCACTTTCGTCATATTGGAATTTTGTTCCGGCCATGGCTAAACGATTTCAATCTCTAACGAGTTGATCAACAATTGACATAAAAACACTGAAAAACGGCTTAGATTAGAATAAGAAAAATGGACAATTCAATTCAAATTTACCGATGTGTGAATCAAAGAAAACCAAATGAATGAATGAATGGATGGTAGTAAAAATCAGGTGTGTTTCGTTTTGGTTCACCAATTCAGCTGTAGCTGATTGTTGTGATGAAATTGTGGCGGCCAAATTTTTACAACGTTTTAAACGATCTTATCAATCTGTCAAATTTTTAAATGAACGCGTGTACAAATGTAACCGTTAATGAACCGCAATGAAGAGAAAACACCAACAAATAAAAAACGATGCATGAAATACATACACACAAAAACCATCATGCATGCATAGAGCAGAGTTTTATAAAACTACCGACGCGGCACACATAATCAAGAATGGAATGGAATCATTTTCGAGTATACACTCGCATCATCTGGTGATTTGTATTCGAATTTATTTTTGCAAACAAAAAAAAAGTAAGAAAAAATCAAGCATTCAGCCGTTGAAATTGTAACCAAATATTGTCATAAGGTTTTATCAATTCTGCATGTGCATCCACTCGAAGCATTCCGTTTGAATCATATTGATAATCTCGTCCAGGACATAATTCGATTCGATAATCACATACTAAACGAGTGATTATAGCCCGTATTTCGGCCATAGCTAACGATCCACCAATGCAACTACGTTGACTTAAGCCAAACGCTAAAAATTTTGGATCATTAGCGGCCGTTATTGTTGTTGGTAATCCATTACGATCAGGATCAAAACGATAAGGTTTTGGCCATATTTCCTGATCATGGTGAATGGTCCAAACGGGCACTTGTATGGCAACATTGTTGGGCAAAATTTTCATTTCCGAATCAAGTTCAAACTCATAATTGTCACAATTGGTGTGATCACTGATTTCTCGTATGAGATAATCGATGACCGGAGGATATAGACGCAATGATTCATAAATGATTCGATCCAACAATTCACCATCCATCTGTTGTTGTCTCAATCGATCTTGTACATGAGTATGTCGAGCCAAATTGAACAAAACGAATGAAATAGCGAAAGCAGTGGTTTCATATCCAGCCATCAGAATGACCAATAGATTACCGATCAATTCATCATGAGAAAGATTGTTTAGATTGAGGTGATGAAGAACAAAATCCAATAGATTTTTACGCACACCAATGTCGAAATCATCTTGTTGTCCATAATTATTGTTATGGCATTGCTGTTGTTGTTTCTCGTAACGGAAAATCTGTTGCCTAAGATAACCGGTCAAATGATCAATGATTGGACCAGAACTAATGTGATCGTTGATGAATTTCAACAGATTTTTCATGAACGGATATATCATGGCTGATCGAACCAAAACAGTGTCACAATTGTTAACAAAAAAATGTTCCACCATAGTGAATAGTGGTGATTGTCTGTAAAAATCTTCATTGTCGATGGCAAATGCATAATGACTGATTGTGTCCAATGTATAGCGTTTTGACATTTCGCTTACATTCACGATTAATTTTCCGTTATCATCTGATTGAATTTGAATGTAACCGGGGCATGTTTCAGGTTCTTTCAAAATGGCCATTAGACGAAACACCGATTCGCCAATCATTTGGTTAGCTAAAACAGATGATTTTATTCTAGTCGAATTGAATGCCGGTGTTAATACACGACGAACTTGACGCCAGCGATCATCTGTCATTGTCATATGGATCATAACAATTAGAGTGAATTGCAACTGTTTTGTACAAACCTCTCAATGCCAGAATGGACGAACTAAATGGTTGCAATTCTAACATCAGCCGTAAACGATTGGGAAATTGTCGTGCCCGTTGAATGAATATTTGCTTTATGAGCGGAATATTCTTCGTCACCAATACAGCTCGATCACCTCGGAAATAGCCAAAAGTATGGCCATATTGTTCGAACCATTTGTCCATTGATCGCCATAGATATTGTTTGTCAAACAATCGAATATTACCAAAAAGAAAATTTGGTTTTGGTCCAGAAATTCCAGCCCGTCGAAATGTTTGTAACAATCTATACCTTTGGCAAGACCATTTTATCAATCTCCATAGAATGTACACTGTGATTGTCCATAGAAAGTATGATAACAATAATAAGGACCAAGGATGCATGATCTCCGTTTAAACAGGTGCTCAATGACGAACTGCCAAGAATTTTGTTTGTTTGTTCACATCAATGACAACAGTAGTAGTGACCACGACTGTATTCATGTGGTTCACCTTGAAATATGTCCATCAAATAGTAAAGCAACAATGTTAGCCTTAACTTTGATAGTGAATATGAAAATGAGTAATAATCAACACTACGTTACATTGTATAAATGAGTGAATTTATTTTCAAAAAATTTCAATTATGATCGATACATCGATTATCATGGTCATAAGTATGTTTGGATTATGTTGTTGTTGTATTCATATTATTATTTGTCAACGAGAACCAAACGTGACAGATATATATTAGAAATAAAGCAAAAAAAAGAACAAACAAGTCTATGATGTGTATGTATGGTACGAGGAATATTGAATAAAATAGGATGCTGCCATTTTGGAATATTGACATAATTATATCGTGCTTTGGTTAACATCATTATAATACTATATGCTATTACAATAGAGATTAGTACATTACACTCATCTAACCTATAGATTGATTCAAAAACCACGATAAAGCCACAAGCCATTCAAAGGAAGAAAAAGAGAGAGAGAGAAGAAAAAAAATTGAGTGGTACTGTCTATGTAGCAGAGAAAAGATGTGCTGTCACTGGATTCAGGACAAAGGACAAATAATAATCTAATGATGATGATGATGATGATGATGATGATGATGATGATTATGAAGATGATAGATGATCGATAACGAGTATGATTGCCTTCCATATATGGGTCAATGGGGGATCCGGTTAATTTAGTTGACATAAAATGTGGATGGTCGATTTCGGCTGAAATTTAGCACCAAATATGGCATGAGAATGGCCAATAATATGAGACAAGCGCCGACCAAATTGATGACAATACCAGCGTTGAGGAAAATGTTGAAATCTTCGATTCGCATATCACGATAATCGAATCTTCCAGGTTCGGTAAGCGATGGTCCAGCCAAACGAGAACGAGCTGTTTGTAAAAGGCCAGCCAAACAGGCAGCAATAGCCAACACAAAAATCACGACACCAAAAGTGATATGCGTTGGTAGGAATCGGGCTCGATATCCGGCAGTTGAACGATCACAACAGAGCAGAACCAAAAATGTGATGAAACCAAACAAAAACTAAACATATATTGTGATTATTTATTTGCACGATTATTTGATTTTATCATAGAACAACTTACCTGAAGGGCGAACAAAGCGCAGGTAGTTAGACCGATCCATGAATGAAGTGAATAAAAGTGCTGAACTTGTTGATCAGGACTTGAAGCGATCGATTGAGCCTGGAAACCGATAAGAAAGCCAAACGATACCAAACCGATCGAGATAACAAAGAAGAAAGCATGTGCTATCTTGTTGTATATTTTTTTACAACACAAATACGTCTTATAAATCAACATTGCTGCGGAATGTCAATCAGAATGAATATATAAGTCATAATTGAATGAATCGTCGATGTACTTACATTGTCCGTTGACAAAGATAAATCCGGTGAGCATCAGAAAGGCATGCAAATTGTACATTTTACGTTTATCATTCTGGTAAGCAAAACCTTTATCATATTTGAAGAACCAATAGACCAATGCAGCTACAGAACCGAATAGACCAATTTGTGCCAATAACCACAGTAGTCCATAAAGCAATTTAGAACATGTAGTTTGTGGATAAAGATCGTAATCATCATCATCATCAATGTTGTCGATCGATGTTTTCGGGCCACCATAGCCACCATCGATTGCCAATGAAGAACTGGAACGTTGTTGATGTTTATTGTTGGCTGATGCCATTTTATGATTGTTGGATGATTGAGAATTTAGTGATTGTTTGGAGCCTCCGCCGTTCAATTTGCTATGGATTCCCAATGATGAAAACAGTGATTGCTGATGCTTACTTTGCTGCTGCTGCTGTTGTTGTTGTTGTTGTTGATATTGGTCACGAGCAGACGGAACCTGTTGCTGCTGAGCGGTTGATTGTTGTACCGAGCTAATTATAGTGGATGTTGGTCGAGCTGCTGATGACGAACTAGTTGTGAATGTGGTGGGTTGACTTGCTGAATGATAGAAATGATTTCGATCGGTCAAATAGTTACGATATGGTTGGCTATGGATACCACCACCAGTGGATGCGGCGGTATACGTACTCGAACTGGAAGTGGTCGTTGTATACGACGTAGTATTCGATGTGTAATGATACGAACTTGAACTTGACACTATCGTCTTGCCAGTTAGACCGGATGGTGTTTGACGATAATCGCTATTACTGTTGCTACTCGACATGATTAGATTGTTCGCGATAAAGGATGGCAAGATTGATTAGAATCTCTGAATCTTTTAGAAAGCACCAATCAGATAGACAGACAGACAGAGCGATAGAGTTTGTGTTATTTCAATCAACCGATTGTGTCATTATTCATTTATGGAAACAAGATAGATTGGATGATTGAATCATACAATTTTTTAGAAAGATTACTGTTATGATAAGCAAAAAGTTATCGAAAAGTTTTATTGATGAGATATGATGCAATTCGTCCACTCGATAGACAGACGCATTGTTTCGCCTGTTTGGATGGGAAATCGTTAACACAATATTGAATTGGATTCTTGTTGCAAACAAAATGTGAGGCGCCAAACTATTTTCAAACTACGATTTAACTACCATGCAATACTAACACATATCAGACAGACAGGTTGAAATCATAAAAATAGAAGATGGCCAACGGTCACTTGTTATTGAAACACCGAACACGACGTAGTTAAACTGAATTAACTATCTGACTGACTGAATGGATGAATATTTGGCTGAATAGCCAATTTTAATGTTCAATCCTATCGTCAACTGTATTCAATAGCAAACAAACATACATTGAGACAAGAGACGACGACAAGGCGTCAACTACTACGGCAAAACTAGTCGATGCATCAACAAACACACACATCCTATAACCATCGTCATCATCATCATCATCATCATAAAAATAATAATAATTACGGTTCTCTTACTACCAACAAACCTCAGCAAAAATGATCATCACATCGAGTAGAAGCACACCACTTTTTGAGGTTTGGTACGATCTAATCATCACTCTGAACCAATCTCATCACTATCCAGCCTGCAACCAAATGGATATTGAATGTGAGAGAGAGAAAGAAAGAATGGTTCAGGTCACTGGCATTTGTCATTATGACACGATCCTGCAGTCAACAGAGTGAAAAAGAACCAGTTGACAACAACAACAACAACAACAACAATAGACATGAAGGACAGAAAAGAATCAGATACCATTGATGAGGTGAGGATAACATGTAAACCAGCGAAAGGATTGTTTGCAATATGTTCATACAACCATGTAATGGATATGAATGGCATGTAGGTCATGTATACTAAAAAAACGAGGAAGTTATCCAAAACATTCATTTCTATTCCTACGTTTTTTTTGGTCAATTTATATTGATCATCATTGATTAATGAATGGCTCAATGCCATTTGAATTATCACCATTACAGACAGACAGACAGACTGAGAAAGAATGGAAGAATGATGGTAATTGTCAATTGTCGAATAATAGACATTATTATTATTTGTTGTTGTTTGAATCAATTCACTACAAAAAATGGGGGTGTTATTTTCATCATTTTTAATAATGAATGATGTGACTGTGTGTGAATCAAGGACGAATCTCATTAATGCAATTGTAAAGAATTGTCGACAGAATTCAACTCAATCAAACAACTAAATTGTAAATTATTCTGAAATGTATGGGACAGTCAATTGACGATTGGTATGAGTGTGAGTGATGACCTAATCGATAGTGAAATCAAGCCCAATTCATGACTCAGTGGTTAAACTAGCATGATTCTAGAAATGAAATCATACGACCAACAATGTTTGCAATTTGCTATTTATCCGAATGACCAAGTGATCTGCATGACAATCATATTGATGATGATGATGGTGGCTACCATGCAGTATCATCAGTGTGTATATAATTCGAATCCTGAAGAGTTAGGCGCTAATTCAAGGTAAACCTGTTCACCTGTGATTGTTGCTGTCTATATTGTTGTTGTTATTCTAGCGTCGATTAAATAGCAGTCATGTGCCTAATAATGAATACACGTGTGTGTGTGTGTGTGTGGATGCTGCCATGTTAGATATGCACGACAAGCACGACGGCGACCAAATTTTAATAATAACAACAACAACATCCATCCATCAACAATTATGATCACCGAATGGTCATACTTTTGTGGCAGCATAGTTGCGATTTTTTATGTTGTTATATTAATAGTAGAATGGTTACATTCTATCATTCCATTATCAAAATCTGTTTATACCCTCAGCCCTTTCTTAATGATTATAATTTTAAGAATTGTTGTTGTTAGTTATATGCTATGATGGTCATTTGTCATTTGTATAGGCTACACACACAAACATACATAGCACTAATTTACAACAACCATCATTGATAATGATGAGTCTTATATAGCTTATATATTGTCGATTGAATATTGTTAGTACGACATAAACAATGATTTAATCAATCTATCGATCGATCGATTGGACATTAATCACATAATCATAATGAAAACATCGTGTTTCATTTGGCTAATTGATTGTAATCTATGTTTGTTTGGCCCAATGAATGAAAAAGGTCACCATTCATGAATTTGAAATTGTGGCCCATTTGAATTGAACTTGAATTAATAAACAATTGGCCAACTTGTTATATGTGTGTGTGATTCAATTAAAAATTATATCAAATAAAGCCATCAAGGATGAATCAATACAATTATTGCATATATGCATCACAATTGATTGTTCGTGAAAATCAAACAAATCTATAGCAATGAATAAAAAAATAAATAAATAAACATGCATAGAACATTATTATCGATTAGATGAGAATCATCTAATGAGATAAACATACAAGTTTGAATTACTTGCCTATTACTATTAAATATGGACTTTATGAAGGAATTTATAATGTTTTTCTCTGTTATTTATGGAACAAGGTCATCTAATCCATTCATTTATATGGTAGGGATAAATAAATGGATGGATGGATGGATGGATGGATAAAACAATAATAAACAAGCCAAATGATGATAGTGTGTAAATGAGAATTCAAGTGACGTAAACAAAGTTTTGTGTTTGGTGTATACATGGCATACTTATCATCTTCATCATCATCATAAACATGAATGATGGAAAAAAATCCATTATTGATGTATTTATACAACATATTCCCATCATCAAATTGATAGCTCTTGGCAATTATTAATGTGTATCATCAATTAATCGATCACTAATCGGTTATTAGTCGAACAGGTTACATATGATAAAATGTCCAATCTAGCCTGCATATACCCAATCAGATTAGATTGTAAATGCCAGATTGATTTTTTCAATATCGATAAAATACGAATATAGATCAATAAACGCCTCCACACAACCAACAACCAAGTATGAGTTATGCAACATTAGAAATTATGAATTGTTTGTCATCCAAACATCGAAAACGATCGTTACGGATGGAATGGAAGATCCATTTTTTTTTCTTTGCTTTTGCCATTTTCCATGTCCATACATTGTCAGTAACAACATAACAGTCGTGATGAATGTCATCCATCGATTGTATCATTTCTCATTGATGAAACTTGAGTTTGCATCATCACATCTGCATGATGAATACATTTCTTTTTGGTTTTTACAATATCCATTTGTTCGCATTGTTCGATTGTTCCCAATACAATATATATTCAATACAAAGTTCACAAAGTAAATAGCTGTTGTGTTCAGTTAGACAAGATCAATCGAGCCAAAGTAAAATTTGGACAAATTTGGCACCAAGCTAACCCGATGCCAAATGGATTGACGTCAATCAATACACACATTGGCTAGATATAATATAGAAATATGAGATTTGTATAGAAAAACGATGGATGCATATAAGCAATTTAGAAACAACTTGTTTGGCGGCCATCTCTGATTGATTATAATCAACAAGTCAGCTAAGCTCTATGTTTGTGTATGTATCAAATATAAAACGAATATTAATGGAAATCATTACTTCAAGGTCAAATAAATTGATTCCACAAACAACAATAATGACGATAAATTACATTCATTCACAATTATTTTTGATAAATTTTAAAATTTAGAATATGGCTCAATATTCATTCATTGTAATATTTTGCCAGATTCATTATATTTATAATACCGATTGATCAACACAACTGATTTGGCCGAACAAACCGGTTGATTTTTTTCTATATTCAAGTGAAAAAAATTTCTAAATCGTAGTAAAAGATCATTATGTTTATAACATCAATATAATATACCTCTCTCTATCTATCTCTCTAAGGTTAAATGGCAATTTACAACACTGAAAAAATCGACTGACCGAGGTCAATGGCAGAGGTCATTAAAGAGAGGCAACCTAACCGTCAATGAGAATCAAAGATTTCTATCCATAATAAATGAATGAATATATATCACAGGCATCAATCTATTTGTAGGTTCAATGAATCTAAACAAAGGCTCAAACATACTCTCTGTTTATATGTTTACAAAATTGCAAAAATTTCATGGCCAGATCAAAGACAAGAATCGTATACGATGCATCTATTCATTATCAAAATTCAACACAATGTATCTGGCATTCAAACAAAATACAAAAATTTCTGGTCATCATCTATATCATACATACTCATCACTCATAAACTAAACAAAACTAAAAACAAACAAAGCAATGATTCGATTCTGTTGGATGATTGTATGATAGCTAAATTTAGAAATTCGACCCATGCGACTAAATTACTTGTGAATATTATGGTTTTATGGTTATTTGGCAACAATTGATTCAAAACAGGCCATCATTAATTGAGAATGAATGGCAATAAATGATGATTGATGTGATCGAACATTAAACAATGCAGTTCTATTAATATTCTCTCTATAATTCTACATATGTACTTTATTGATAATTCCAACAACAAACGGAAACGGATAATTCAAACATGCAGGTTAATCTATTAGCTGGAAATCAAGGACGAAAATGCATGCAGAAAAGACACAAAACTGAAATACTTACCAAGTTTTTTTTATCGATGAACCAGATTAATGGATGATGATATTCACTATATTTTTCTCGGTTACGTAGTTGTTACTAAATCTATTAGATCAGAAAACGAATCAAATTACAATATGCATAAACAGATTAAACACACACACACATTCGAATTCACATTGATAATTGGATAATCCTGGTGTACTTTCACAATGATTATGACCAAAACGCGTAGATGAATGATGATGGCGATCTCTTTCTTCGACCAATGGTTTGATCGATGGTTAATGGCGATGGTCGTTTCCAAGGACGCAAATAAACCAATCCCGGAAACCAAAACACAGCATACACAAGAAACACAGTAGTAAAGACCACTTGGATACTTTGCTTAGTTACCAATCACTTTGACGGACAAAACGATTCGATTTGAAAACAAACCCAAATACACTGACAGAAGTTTACAGAATATGATGACTGGACGCACACTCGGTAATTTTTCTCATGTTTTCAAACAACTATTAATTGACAAGTTGAACTACTTATCAATGTTATCGTTTTTTTCTTTTGGCTTTTCATAAATCAATAATCATTAATCGTTATCCAAAACTGATTGATTAGAGCTTAGTGAGGTTAATTCACTTTCTATCATAAACAAACACACACACAAATATAATACAATACAATGTGATAGAGTGATGCCCGAGGGATGTGGTGGATAGTGAACCAACAGGTTGACAACAAACAAAAGTCAAGCAGTTATATTGTTTCAACAATATAAGTCGTATGTAAATGACAAACCCCTTGCCACCTCTTTGGTCGCGGTTCGTTGCTTATTGAGACAAACAAACATAAACAGGAGAAAAGAGGATCTATTGAACAAATCTTAAATCGACACATACGAATCGGCTGATGGCGCCTATGTGAATAATGTTGTGATCATACCAACACTGTATTATGGCTTCCACACAACAAACACACACACACACACACACAAACGAATGTATATTTGTCCATGGGAAGGAGGAGGAATCCATCAACTAAAGTTTTCTCTTTTTCACTATTTTTCTCTCTTGCTTGATGGATCTAAACTAACGGACATTCTGTTCAATGCTGATGCATATATTGATGAAAATGTATGCATAAGCAAGTACTGGACACCAAAATAACAAGCGGGAGGATAGACCATCTTGAATGTGATTATGATACGAAATTGAGAATACCCCTGGCTGTCGTCAAATTCGACCAAGCGCGACTGCTTTATAAACACACTGCACTGCAGTCATTACTACTCCCTTTTTGGTTGTTTATTACCAAAACATTATATAAGATTCTCAACCAATTACATAACCTACCGAAAGCATTTTGATCACGTGAATGAACGTAATAATGATGATGATGATGAGTAGATCATGCAGATGAGTTTAGTTTAATGTTCAGTTACTGAGGTTATAATGATGGGCACAAAGTTTTTCTTTTGGTTTATGGGCGCCAACAAGTGCTTTGTAACCTAAAGTCAATAAGTGGTTTATTATTCACCTAATGGATATTTCCATGTGTGCGTGTCTGTCAAACAACAATATTTTCTTTCTGGTTGTTGGTGCCAATCGGCCAAAACAACAAAACCAGCTTTTACCATTCAATAGTGGGTTGTATAATAACACACAAACAGGAACTAGCAACTATGATCAACTCCATAATGACCAAAATAGTTTTTTACCATTCATCAGATAGCTAAAGCTCATCATCAAAAAATCCAAAAACACACCCAGTCACATATCGGGACTCTGATATAGTTGTTCCATGGTTAGATATGGAGAGACTGCAGTCATTACTCACTCAACTCACACTGTGAATAGATAAACCAAACGTGACTGAAGACAATCCTTCGGGTTGAAGGTATATTGTTGTCCAGCAGTAGCCCAAACGGCAACCATCTGGAACCACATTTAAAATTTAAAATGTATTCATTTTTTATTACTTCTTACTGCATAGGTTAAAGGGCGTCGGTTAAAGGTTCATTGGAGTTTAGCTGGATTGATAGTCTATAATTAAGTACGACCACTTTACAATACAATAATACCGTCATGTAGATTGGTCATGTCATTAGAGCATCAGATAGTAGTAGCTTTATTGTATGATTTTAGGTATCATTAAAGATTGTTGGCAAATCTCTAATGATAGTTGATAATTAATGATGATGACAGTCAGTCCGTGTTGACCCTGTTGACGTTTATGTTTGGATTCAAAGCGAAATGCCTAATTGTTGCAGCAAACAAACATTATTTGATGATTGCATCGTTGGCCATAAAAAAAAATCGATAAACAAACAAAACACAATTTAACAACAATAAAGTCATAAGGCAAGATGAACAACAAACAACCACAATCAATTGGTTTCTATTTGGTAATCGATTCATTCATTATGGTTGATGTTTGAATGTCATATGGTGATACAATTATAATTGATCAAACAACAATTACATAACACACACATTGATGAACAATCTATTTGTCAACAAACAAACTGTTATTGGTCAATTGGTCATTTATTAATAATTCCCTTCAAACAAGATATTGGAACAAGTTTTCAATCGTGGGTAAGTGTTTCACTGATTTACAAAAATAGACACCAAATCAACCTGAAATGGTTGTTGTTGTCGACATACATTCAATATTCACACCAATCGAAGTGAATGAATAAAAACAGTGACAAAACCGAGTATCGAGATAAGACGTCCGGATGATATTTGTTGTTGTAAAATCGAAATTATCATCAAAAAAAGGTCAGCAACATTTTCGAATGGCCATGACAAGTGTGTCTGTGTTTGTCCAATAGTCCAGACTGGCCTTAATCCTCTTACCTCACTGAATTGACCTGGAAAACCGGACGCATGGTGGTCGATTCGATTTCACGTGATAAAATGTTTTTTTAATTTTAACTTGATGTGTTGATTTAATACTTTTGTCAGTGAAATTCTTCACTGGGCAATGAAATTAATTTTAATCAAGATGGGTGAATTTTAGTTTAAAAAATTCGACTGCCAAAAAGATAAATTGTATTGACCAAAAAACAAACACACAAGTTTTTTAATGTCAAAAAAGTACTGACAAAAAATTAAAAGTTACTTAAAGAGTTGCTAAATTTAAACACAGAAAACATGATTGTGGCGATGAGTATAGCAATCACAAATGCCATTCACTCATACAGAAACTGATGTATCTATCAATCAATCAATCATATGATATATGATATTATTACGGCTCTGTCAAATATAATAAAGCACCATTTCCGTTTATAGCTGCTGCTATCTATTGTCAGAAAATCACGATCAATACATTGAAAAATAAATACAGTAAGACCTCGACTACCTCGATTTTGGTGATGGTTTCAGTTGAACAAGAAAAAGAATTTGCAGCAATAGAATTGTCAAAAAATATATGTTATTAAAGATAAAGAAAAACGAAAATTTATTCGCCGATTTACATGAAAAAATATTCACAAGTATTGGCTGAAATTCAGGAAATAATCAATAAATAGATCACTATTTAAAAAAACTCAGATCATACATACATTACACAGTATCATCTATTGTTTTTTTTTTTTGAAGTGAGTGGACAATCTTGTTTTCATCTATTAACATTGATAATTTCGAAAACGATAAACTATAGAAAAACTAGCCGATAACATAATCAATTTTAGATTCAGTTCACTCGAAATCAAGAGTCAAAAGTATAAGTAAGTGTTGTTGAATATATCTAAATATGCATTTTTCATATCAATTTCAATCATTTCTTCTAAATAGAAATTCGAATGTTTCATGAAATTAAACGAATTATTCTTTGACGAATACCATTTGGATAAATTCTGTGAGAATGAAATTGGAAGTTTACATCTTTACTAAATGGTTACCAGTTTTTTGTCGACTGGCATTAAAGACAATTTGATTCAAATGATTTGAAAAATGCGAACAATTAATCCAAAAAATTGGAGTCAAAATCTACTATATTCTATTTCTATATTCTAGAATCTAGATAGTTATTAATCACTTTTTTGACGGAAGTAAAAATTTTTTCAATCTAACAAATTACACAATTCCAGAAATATTTAAATATGTGAATTTATCTTGCATTGAAAAAGATGCCCCATATATTTTCAATAAAGATATAATCACTTTAATCAAATCAATCGTTAAACAACTTATTGGTAATAATAAACCATACAACTTTTATATACCTCAGTCAATTTTTCGACGTATTATTCATCTTATTGTCGAAAAATATCCAATATTGATAATATTTTTAATTCTTCATCTCATGTTGAGATGAAGTTCCTTTCTTTTTTATCTTTTAAAATAATTTATATTGTAAGATTGTCTTCATTTTTCCTTATGATCATTGTTGTTTGTGACGTTTTTTTTTGTTACACTACAAATATTGCTGAATCAAAATAAAAACATTGTTGAAATATGTTGCCAACAAATATTTGTGATAGAATTATCTTTGGTTTTTGAAAATATTTAAAAGAATATTTTTGCAAACTGTTGATGCTGATGTTATTTTATCAATTTTTAAAATTATTATGATAGGTTTATACATGAAAAGTACTTGTATGGTGTGTATGAAAAAAAAGTAGGGTTTATGAATACAGCACCATACACAGAAAAGAAAGTAGGGTTAGTACTAACCAAAAAAGGTTAGTACTAACCCTAAAAACTAACCCAAGAAGGTTAGTACTAACCTTCTTGGGTTAGTACTAACCATTTTGGGTTAGTGCTAACCTGCAATGCTAACCTTCTTGGGTTAGTGCTAACCTTTTTGGGTTAGCAATCACCCGAATTGGTTAGCGCTATCCATTATTTTAAAATTTAATTTTTTTTGTATTATAAGATAAATTATCAATAATCATTAATTAATAAATTAATATTTATAGTGAAAAAATAAATCAGAAAAATAATTTTCGACCAAAACAACAGAGTAATCGATATATAATGAAATCAATTTATAAGCAAAAATTTATAACTAAATTATTCAGATTTATTATTATTTAATGAATATTATATCAAATACCGAAATGTAATTATCAAAATTTTAAAAAAGATGGTCATCATAAATCATTTTGGAGTGCGAAACAACGATGATGATATCGATAATAATCAAGATGGTCATCCAATTCAACAATCAATGGCTACAAAAATGGCCATCATGAATCGTCATCATCCTGCTACACTGATTGATTCACCAAATATGATGATAATGTCACCACAATTACAGCATCATAATTTTCAACACCATCAACAACAACAACGGAATATTGTACATGTGCTGTAATCAAACATCCATGAATGCAAATATTCCACCATCATCATATCATCAAGCAGCAGCAACAGCTGCATCGCCACAACAAATACCAATTTCAATACCAAATTCACAATCATTTGATGCTGCTACTAATGAAATTCGTGATGATTCGCATACATTTAATTTATACATGTAATAGCATTATGTGGACATAACATGGTTATAATCGTATCGAATATTATGTTCGCAGCTATGATTGAGGAATGGACACTATTGAAATATTATAAAGCTTTATTGATCAAGTATAGTTTATTTTTATAATCTGAATATATGTTTTTCAATAAAAATAAAAAATGAATAACAACAAAAATTTTGAAACAGTATTGAAATATAATACAAACACAGGATGTCAAAGAAAACGTTGATCGTGCGATTTTGAAATTGATTTTTGTATGGGGTAAACTGGACATAAACATCTTCATGAAATAGAAAATAATAAACCGAATTCGGAAAGTTGATGTCAGGTTAAACTCAAATGAAATTCTTAACGATAATTTAATAATCCAATTTACCAATTTGTGATAAAGGTCAATTATTACGTTCCATTGAAATTACATTATAATTTTTTTTCATCAATTATGCTGCTGATATGATAATATCTATCAAATCATGAGTTGATTTTTTATTCATTTTTCATGCTAAGTCTACGGCAAAAACAATGAATTCATTTTGCCGCCAAAAATTTCCATGTCCAACTAATGGGCAACTGCGCATAGTCATATAGATGTAGTGCGCTAACTATTTTTAATGCAAATACTGCGCGCTTCTATTCCCCATACAAATTTGAATTTGATCGTTGGAAAAATCGAACATTAAAATTCAACGGTCGTCGAAGACGGTTGTCCTCACTCAACTTTGCGCTATTTTTCGTGATCATGTCGTGATATTTTTTTCATTTTTTTTCTATTTTAATCGTAGATTTTTGCACTAAATTTTGGAACAAAGAATTTAATCGATTCAAGATTATCGTTGTTCAAACTTATTGTGGTCTAAGATCAAAAATTGGCCCCGAAATCGATGAAGATCGTTTGGTTCGGTCATCATGTAATCATGATACAAGTTGGCGAAAAAATCCCATTTTCGATGACTTTCAAATGTATTTATGACATTTTGTTTTTCATCAAATTGTATTCAATCAAATCCTTTTCAAGTTTTCTTTTTCAGAGTCCATTATACTTGATGTATAATAATTGGAATTCGGATTAATATATGAAAACATGGTCAATGAGGTAATTTACATTTTGCCTTAGATTGAAAATGCTAACAATTTTCCTTGTCTTTTGAAGCATGAAATTTTCATTGATGATCAATGATCATTAGACATATAATTGGTGCCGTCTTTAGAAAAACGATCATGGTAATGATGCCGAACATTACAAATTTATTGGTGGATATCTGGTCACTAACATGGTACAATGTCCAATGAAACATCATGTTCATCATCAGGTAACTTTGAAATTTCGCTATCGATCAATGATTCTAACACTTACATTTCTCAAAGGCCTGCATTGGATTGAATTTTCGGAACAACTTATTCGGTAAGTCGACATATTCATTCTTCATATCTAATAAAGATTGGTCTATCTTTTTTTATCAGGTTCGTTCCTGAAATTTTACAATCATCAAATTGAAATTCGATTGATGATTATGTTCGAGATCAATTCGGCGGTTCCATTTTTCATCAGCATCCAATTCAAGAATAGTTTGACCATGTTCAACACATGATATCAGGTTAGGCTAGGGTTAGATTAGGCTTAGGAACACGGTCTGAGCTATTTCCTATTGAATTGGATGCTGATTGAATCTTTGGAATCAATGAAGCGATCGAAAACATGATTATAAGTTGAAGATTCATGGGATGGAACACATACTTGAAAATGATCATGGTAAGCAAATGAATAGATTAATTGAACAACTAATATTTATCTTTACTTAGGATTGCCGGCGAACAATTGGGAAATTGAATCTCGAACCACGGATAGAATTTGGACATTGTCTTGGAACATGGACCGCGAACATTGGATCTATTTCAAACGGGACAATTAACGTTGTATGGCGCAATTGGGATGTGGAATATGGATGTATTTTATTATTTATTTATAATATTTTTATAAATTAATATATCAATAAAATCAATTAAATTTCAATATATCGATTAAATTTTAATGGGGGGCAAATGTAATAAAAGGGGGTAAAAATTGCTGCAACAATCGCGTGATGAACGACACAATCGATGATTTCGATATATCGTTGCAACAATCGGCTGGCAAAATTGCTCATAACCCAAAAAGGTTAGTACTAACCCTAAATGGTTATTTTTTGTATAATAACCAAAAAAGGTTAGTACTAACCTTTTTACTTTCTTTTCTGTGTATATTTTTCGGTTTTGAAAACTGAATTTTTCGTTGCCAATGGCAACCTCGACTCTTTCATTGATTGAACATGAATTGTTGACTAAATATATTCATCAATGAACATAAGTCATTTTTGACAAATCATATTTTGATCACTAAAATCTAACTCTGTTAAAAATTTCTACATGCGGCCATTCAAAATTGGAACAAATGGCCACAACAACTATAGACATTGCCGATCCAACATTCCTGAAATGTTTCCAGAATCATCGTTTCTCCATCAATTGGATTTCATTCTCACCGAATTCTCAATATCTATGTTCAGCTTCGGATGATAATAATGCTATGCTTTGGCGTCTAGATGATGAACAACGCACAAATACATGCTATAAATTTGTTGGTCACAAGAATTCCGTTACTTCAGTTGCAATGACCGATAGTTTTATGATTTCTGTATCCAAAGATTGTACGGCACGACTTTGGCGAATCAATCAAGATGATGTTAGCAATTGTTCATCCGATTCGATACAATACCGATGTCATAAATCGCCCATAAACAGTGTTCATATCAATATGGATGGTAGTCAATTCTGTACGGCCAGTGATGATCAAACGGTGAAAGTATGGTCCACTGCTTGTGCCAATAAATTACTATTCACCCTAAGCGGTGGCCATTCCAATTGGGTTCGTCATGCTCGATACTCGAAATTAAATGCTAATCTTTTGTCATCCTGTGCTGATGATGGTACGATATGCATTTGGGATATTCGATCCAAAGAAGCGGCCATCCGCCTCACATCGAAACGACGATCCACTCATTTTCTTGGCGTTCAATGGCATCCAACATGTGAGTACATAATGTCATCATCAAGTTCGGATTGTCTTTTACGAATCTGGGATCTACGATACGAAAAAACGATACAATTCTATCAGCTACACAATGGTATTGTATCGTCTAGTGATTTCCATCCAAATGGCAACTATTTAATCAGTTCGTCGATTGATCATACTTGTAAAATAATCGATTTACTCGAAGGTCGAAATCTGTTCACGCTAAAAGCTCATACCGGACCAGTCAATTGTGCTCAATTCTCACCTGATGGAAAATATTTTGCAACTGCTGGTCAGGATCATGTCATTCTATTATGGCAAAGTAATCTGTCTAACATTGATGCTAATGAACATTCCGATAATGATGACGATGATGATGATATCAGAAGCATTGGTTTTGATCCAACTCAACAAATGAACAATGCATTCGATGTGACCACCAAAAGCAGTAGTAACACGATGGCGTCGAAAAAAATGAATGGAAATTCATCAGATGATTTACTCGGTGAACATTCATTAAAAGTGACCAATTCTGTGAGCATACTAAAATGCATACTTCAACAATTGGAAACTATGACTGATTCGATATTGCAGATTGACCAACGATTAACGCAGCTCGAGGAGAAATTTCAATCCATTTCGTTCACTAAGAATTGATCTCTAGATTTATGCCAAGTTGGGTGCTATTCATAAAATAATTTAATTTTTTTGTTAACATATCTTATATTTTCATGTTATTGTCATTAGTCATTTACAATATAAAGAAAAAATTCAATGAACAAATCGTTTATGCAAAACATTAACAAAATGATTCCGTAATCGAATTCGAAAATGATGATACCACTTGATTAGTTGAATTCGTTTTTTTACACGTTCACGTAAATTAAGAGCATTGTATTGTGTCAACAAATCTGGTAATTGTTCAGTCCAATTGCGAACATAGATGAATGGAGCATCGAATTGTTTGAATAATCGTAATATCTGTATTCGATCACATTGATTGTGGTCATTGGTATTGACAATCTCTTCGATCACGGGTATGGATCCATATTCGACGGCTTCCAAAATTCGATAACATTCAACATTTAAACCCGAAGGACATAATGTTAAATCCGATGAATGTAAAGCTTGGACATAACTGTCCATTGATTCTACATTTTCATTGGCCATCCATTTTGAACGAGTTTTGATTAAGCAGCCATGATTCCAATTGTGGACATTGTTGATGAATAAATTTTGAAGCTCTTGACGGGAAGAATTTTGATAAATAGTGGCGATAAAATTACAAACATATGGCCTCGATGATTGAAGATCAATCTTATGGTCATCATCAGTTGTATAGGGAGAAGGAAAATGACGATATGTTGCAACGCCCAATGGCCATTGATATATCAATTGGTTATCGATCAATGGAGAGTCATATACCAGAAACAAGAAACGTAGATTCCGATATCTTCCATTATCGACGTATAGATCGGTAAACCAAGTGTTGTTACAGAATTCATTTCCCAATGCTATGATGCCTACATTAGATGGCACACCACTCAGATCCTCGAATAATGTACGAAGCCATTTATTAGCATAATTGATTTTGTCAACACTACGCCAATTTAGAATGAGCACCAAATTGGCTGGCCTGAATGATGGATAGCTTTCCGGTTTGAGCGATGGACCAGTTCGAAAATGAAAACGCACCGGTCCGATAGTTTTCCAACCTTCCATGTATAGATCATTCATCATTTTTGATTCGATATGTCCACCGAGGATAGTTTCCCAAAAATATTGACCAATAGCAGATTTACTCCATACTTCTACATTGATGGGTGATTCCTGGTGATCACCATTCACAAGTGATTGATCCATCCATCGATCACAATCATCATCATCATCGAGACTTTGATCAACATTAGTGGCCAGATAGACAATAAAACCAATGTTAACAGCAATTAGAATACATATTGTACACAAACGACATTTTACCACTGTAAACATCCGATATGAATGATCAATGAATAAAAATACCGTGAATCGGTAAATTTAAATTGAAACGAATTATTTTCGGTAAAATATAATCGGCTATTTGAACATGATGGTCGTATGTTTGAACATGCAAACTTTGATTGTGGTAGTGGTTGTATTCGACAATCTTGTATATATGCCTCTACCACTGTTAATGTGTGTGTGTGTGCCTGAGTATGGCTCGAATTATAACTGACTGTTGGGAGCTGTTCACCCAATTGGTCATAATCATTGCCCAAGAATATCGTCCATCATCTGATCATCGATTCAATTGATCAATGATCTGACTGCTCAGTCCGAGGACAATCAATGACCAGCAGACATATGGTCTAATGTGAATGTTTGTCTCTGTCTGTGTGTGTGTTCATTCATTCATTCTATTTTGAACAGATATTGATCGATCGTTCATAAGTTTGTAATAAACATCGATATCTCAAATTTTGAACCATTCACACTGACATTCGAGACATCTGATTGGTTTTAGATAACATTAGTGCATAACCGGTATGTATGTTAAATTTCCTGCATTGGTTGATGATAGTGTCTTATTATCGAATGTTTTTTCTTTCGTTGACCATCAATCGATAACAATGACAAGTCACATGCCATAATCTCTGTCACTGATCGATTTCCATTTTCTTCTCTTCATAGTTAAGTTTTAATTTTAATTTAATTAATTATGGTCATTCTTGTTGAATCTATAGGCTGACAACAATGATCACATGATTTGTGTGTTTGTAAATTGTTCAGATCTTTATAGTGATGATGATGATTTGGCGGCCAAATCATACATGTGATTAAAATTAATTAATCTTAATCCAGGCCATTGATGGTAACAAATGCATGTAGTTGATATTTAACAAAATGCAATCCTCACTCCCTTTCTCATATTCAGACCATTCATGTGTGTGTATGCTTATCAGTGTTAAATGGGGCCCCGATTCTTCGTTACATAGGTTACATAGATGCGTTCTGTTTGTGTGCGTAGATTAGAACCGAGATCTATATAATAGGATTGTATCACTGGGCATAACCAGAACGACAAACCCAAACCCAATCACGATGAGCGATTAAATGTGTGTGTGTGTGTGTGTGTGTTAGAGTGAGAAAATGATTTTTTTTTTGTTTTGGTTTGTGTAATTGGCAACCACACACACACACACACAAACAACAAAAGAATGGATGTGCTGATTTTGAGATTAGTTTATATATCATTATGAGATTCCGAGACACTACAACTCTGAATCAATTCAAACACAATATGCTAATTATCTAACCCTTTTTTTCACTTTCCTTTCAGTCCAATCAATCCATTCAATTTCAACCGACAATTTTGTTAATTGAATTCTAGAGAATCGATTCTGTGTGTGGATTCTAGTCTTTGGAAAATTGAAAATTCGTTTTTGAAAATGTCATCGAATCATTCAACAACGAAACCAATGAAAGTGAAGACAAAACGTTTCAAGCCGAAACATCAGAAAGCGAAATTGTTTCGTGCATCGGAACCATTGTTTTCTGTATTCATGTGGGGTATCAATCATACGATCAATGAATTGACACATGTGAACACCCCGGTCATGTTGATGCCCGATGATTTTAAGGCTTACACAAAGGTTAAAATCGATAACCATTGTTTCAACAAGGAGAACATGCCTTCCCATTTCAAAGTGAAGGAATATTGTCCACTCGTCTTTCAGAATCTACGTGAACGGTTCCATATTGACGATGTTGACTATATGAATTCATTGACCAAACATCAGCCACGTGAACATCTTGTATCAGGCAAAACGAGCACCAAATTCTACGAGTCCTATGATCGATTATTTCTGTTAAAAATATTGACCAGTGAAGAAGTGGAATCGATGCATCATCTACTGAAGGAATATCATCCGTACATTGTGGAAAGACATGGCAAAACATTGTTGCCTCAATATCTGGGCATGTATCGTATAACAGTGGATGGAACCGAAACATACATCTGTGTGATGCGAAACATTTGCTCTTCACAATTCATCAATGTTCATCGAATCTATGATCTCAAAGGCTCGACCGTCGATCGTGAAGCAAGCGAAAAAGACAAAACACTTGATGTGCCCATCTACAAGGACAATGATTTCACTCGTGATGGTGTACGTATCTATGCAGAGGAAGAATGGAAAAAGAAATTCTTCGAAATGCTCGAAGCAGACACAACGTTCCTGATGAAAAAGAACATTATGGACTATTCGCTTTGTGTTGCCATACATGATTGTGAACGAGCCGAACAAGAAGCCCAACAACGACATGCCGAAGGTCTAAACTCACAATTCAGCGCTGAAGATGAAGAAGCCGAAACAAGTGGCGATAATTGTTGCCAAGATCAAGCCCCGAATTCGATGCTTTCACCACCGGATTCACCAGAATCACAATCACAACCAAAAATGTCTGCCGATTCGGACAATGTGCTTCTTTATTCCAGTGAGAATGCTATCGACTCATCCAGAGACATTTATGCTGTCATTGCCACCAAAGGTTCGTACCTCGATTGAATCAATAATCATTTACAATATATTACGACATGACTAACATTATTATCTCACATTTTATCAAAATAGATTCGCCAAGGCGAGAAATCTATTTCATCGGTATAGTCGATATTCTTACACAATTCGGTATTCGTAAGCGTACGGCATTAGCAGCCAAAACGGTTAAACATGGAACGACAGCTGAAATATCTACAGTCCACCCGGAACAGTATGCCAAACGTTTCTGTGAGTTTATCACTAAAGTGATTCAATAGTAGTTCACTCACATAAACCCACACCCATATACACATCACCATTGAACGTAGAGCATTAACCAAAATTCATTTGATTTGCCCGATATCGGGCCAATACTCTATATTATCTCATCAAATCATCATTGGCTCATTGACCATCCCTACACTCACTACCATTATCCACATCGGCCACAGATCAATGTAGATTGCATTCACAAAGAAGCATTCAAAAAAAACAACTCATTTTGCAAATAAAAATGTACAGATCAAATTCAATGTCAAGCTCATCACAATGTTGATTAATGTAAGCAAACAAACAAACAAAATGTTGACAATGAATCCATAACAAGAATTCAAGATGCTAATAAAAATTTGCTGTGTGATCAATCCAAAAAAAAATCCACGAATCCAGAACTTTGGTTGCAATATTTATTCTTTTTTTAAATTCTAGAAGTTATTGTAATACAAAGGGCAGATTAAATGTTTTTTTTGTGTAATGATGATTGCTTCTCTTTTTAGAATAAATGCGTGTTCTGTTCATTTCTTTTTAATTTTCTCGATAACCAACGGAGGTGAATGATGATCACGTATGGTGGAATGGCCTTCCTGGATAGATTTTTGTCGATGAGTACCATCACAGAATGGTGGGTGTCGTGTTTGTTTACAATTACAGAACCAATATTCTTTCGTTTCGGTACAATCCCATCGGAGTGGTTTCAATTTGATTTGTAAATGTTGATTACGATGTGTACCATCACAGAATGGCTTTAAACATTGAGATCAACAATCAGTTAGTTCATATAAAACATTGAAATTGTAGCAAATAGTTACCTGTTTATGACTAAGGCCACAACTACACCAAAAATATGCTTTACCAGCGATGCATTGATATTTGAATGGTTTCTTATCAAACACGATTCCATATTCGGTTTGTTCATATTCTGGATATAATTGTTTGGCTTTCAAATCGCTTATCTCTTGTTTCGTTTGTTTTGTCTTTGCATCAGAATCGTCAAAGAATTTGCCTTTTGAACAAAATGATCTAACAGGATTGTTATTGGTAATCAATCGAATGAATAGGGAACGAACATAATTTTGGGTGATCATCTTGTTTATCTCAATTGATGGATCGGTTAAATCGGTTATTAAATCACTATAAACGTGATCAATGTTTTTGCAAATCAAAACAATGACAGTCTCGCCATCTATTGATGATAGTTGTCTTAACATGTGCTTATTTCAGCTGACTGTTTTTAATAAAAAAAAATGGATCGTAAAAAACAACGTAAAATTCAACGACAAGAGAAAAAAAAGATAAAAAATCTCTATTACCGACATCGACAAACAAACGAGATAAAATCGGAGAACGATAATGTCGAATCGAATCAAAAAGAGCCAGTCAAAGCAATTAAGAAAAAAAAGAAACGAACCACCGATTCAAAAACTAATCCAAAATCCTCGGCCCTTATCGAGCATCAACGACGTTTAATACTCAAGGAGGAAAGAGAAATAAAAAGATACGAGAAACTGTTGAAACTTCGTAGCTATACTAAACGAAACAAATTACCCAAATCATTCCATCTGGATGGATTGGCCGATCTGATTGAATTCTGTGATGACCGAAATGAGAACGACGGCCATGAAGATGGTGATCGACTCGATGATCATGACATGGAACAATCATCAAATGAAGAATCCGAAAATGTAGAGCAAGAAGTTAATAGTGAATTGAATGATGAAAACGAATCACCAGTTGAATATAGTGAAGATGAAGATGACAGTGATGAGAAAAAGTCTGATGATGGCAAACTTCGTGAAGATATTTATGGTTTTCTTCGTGATAAACAAGGAAACATTGTTCCACAACAAGACAAGCGAATGGATCATGCTCAAAAAGAGCAATTCATTTCGGATGTTGTAGTCAATGAAAATGTACAACGGAAATTACGAGGTCTTCTCAATCGACTCACCTCATCGAACATTAAGGTTATAAGTAACGATATTATCAAACTCAATGTCAACCACAGTCGACACGTCATCAACAAAGGAATAATGAATTGTTTAGATAAGATTGTCATCGAATGTGAACATAGCTTACCTTCCAAATTGTTCGCCGAATTAGCCATGTTGATTGCCATTCTAAGCTTTGAAATGAGCGATGATGTCGGTGGATATTTCATCCATACTTTGGTTTGCCGATTTGATGCTGCTTTTGCCAATGTTTCCACATGGAATGCATCCAGTAAACGATTAAACAACATTCTCACGCTCATCCTTAACATGCATTCTACTGGCCTGGTCGATTATCAATTAATCTACGATATAATTGACAAATTCAGCGAAAAACTTGACAATGAAAAATCCATTGAAATCATCGATTCCATTCTCAAAACATCAGGTTTTCTCTTACGTAAAGAAGATCCGGCTAGAATGAAATCACTCATCTTACGGATACAAACGTTAAGCCAAGGATTGAGCGAACAAATGGCCAGTGCTGGAAGTCGAGTGAAATTTATGCTCGAATCATTAGTTGCCATCAAGAACAACAATGTGGCCAAAATCAAAACAAACGAAACTGTAGTCATGAATGATTTAATTGAATCGACGTTAAAATCAGTTATCAAAAAGCCCAGAGTTCCATCAATACCTGGACAATATTCGGCAATATTACAGAGTTCGCATTGGTTTTCTTATACCAAACAAATTGTTCCGCTTGAATCGATCAAAGGTGGTCAACAACAACAACAATCAACGACAACGATGATAGATGAACAAATTACATTGAATGAAAAAGTGGATACAGCCAAACTAGACCGATTATGCCGTGCATTACGTTTGAATACACCGTTACGACGTCAATTATTTGCCGCCATATTTACTTGTGGTGATTATCTGGATGCAGCCGGTAAACTCATATCGATCGGTAAAAAACAATCATCAGAAATAATCAACGTTGTGTTACATGTTGCCATCAATGAAAAATGTTACAATCATTTCTACTTTTACCTACTACAACATCTGACCAATTTGGATAGGAAATATCGATTGGCATTAGATTTTGCCATACGAGACAAAATAACCGATTTGCTATCATTACCGGCGAATAATCGTACGAAACTTGAACAACTAATGTGTCACTTGTTGGTGGCCAATTGTCTGAGCATTACCTGTTTAAAAGTGATACAATTTTCTGATATGAATGAAATGTACGTTCAATTCATTCGTAACATTCTTCAATTCGTTTTCGATCAATCGGATGATTCGATCGTCACGATGGTACTGGGAAAGATACCGAAAAAGGATAATTTTGCCAGTGCAATCAAATTGTTCATTGCATGCTTTATGGATGCTCAGGCTAAAGATAGGGCTTCCAGTATTAAACGATTACAATCACTTTCTCATTCATATTGACAATAAAATCTACTAATTCATAAATCATTCATTCATTGATCAGTTTAGGCCAATGATAACTTTCATTTGATTTTTTCAATGCTATCTGTACATTTGAGACGTTTATGGTGACCTTACCACCTTCATGGCTAATATAATCTTGAAGGGTCCATTCTTTTTCAAAAATAACCAGACCTTCATGATTGATCAAACGAGCAAACAAATATCGGCCACCTCGAATCGAAACTTTGGATCGATTTTGTCCATCACGAGATTCACGACGTGCACCTTTTAATCCATATAAAGCAATGGTAATCATACCGCCTGTTTGAAACCAATTCTCTTTGTGTTCCACTTTGGCTATAAGTATATGATTATCTGCTCGAGCACATGGTGTTAATTTTTGGAAATCTTCAAAATCGGAAAACTTTTTATGTTGGCAACAGCTCCAGAATTTATAGGCATCATGGAAACTATAATCAGATGAAATCAATTGTTTGTAGCAAAAATACAAAAATCAGTGGTACTTACATTTGAACTCCTTTATGGTAAAGACAAGAGCCATCTAGGTTCAATGTGGACTGTTCATTTTTACAATTTTTGCAAATCATAATTGTTTTAGGAACCGGTGGGGCTGAAGCTACGTTGACCGATTCAAATATTTCAATCTCTTGTTCGTAATTGGGATCCGGTGGAACGAATGGTTCGATTGTTTCCTTGGGTTTTACATTCTCATCGTCATCGTTTTGAATGACCGATGGACATTCGGATTCAATGACAGTTGGTGGTTTGGCTGGCTCCTCGGGTTTTACATTCGAATGTCGTCCTTTTGTGCCTTATGTGATAGCAATAATTGATGAATTGGTAATCGATTGCAAAGCGTGATACTTACATCCTTTGAATCCCATGAATATTGAAAAATCTCGTGAACGCATCTTACAACAGGTCCATTCTTTGTAACCATCATGGAAGTACGGTTTACCTGAATGATATTGGCAAGCCAAATCATTATTCTCATTTTCATGATACGTTTGACCACATGAAATATTGTAACATTGAAGTGGGCCAGACATTCTGATAAAGAGAATAGGATCCGAATAAAGGAATAAATGTCAACAAATAAGAATATTGAGAAATTTCTCGAATCAATATTTCTCAACATTCGAATGTAACCATATGGCAACACGTTGTTCATGAATGTTACTGCAAAACTCATGCATTCATTGTTTTGATTTATTTTCGATTCTTATTCTTATTTTTGTTTTCGGGTATAGAGTAAAATTCATCAGCGAAAACAATGAACGAATTGGAAAAACTTCAATATCTGTCTCTTGTATCGAAAGTTTGTACCGAGCTGGAAAATCATTTGGGTTTCAATGATAAAGATATGGCCGAATTCATTATCGATTTAGCCGAAGAGAATTCTACTTTCGATTCATTCAAATCTGCATTGATTGCCAATCAAGCTCAATTCACTGATTCATTCATTGCCAATCTTTTACGTATCATTCAACATATGCGACCAAAGAAAAAATCAAAAGGCTTTAATGATAATGATGATCAAAATGATGATGTTGATGACGATGGAAATGATGGTCGAAAAAAAGATGACAAACAAATGAAACGTGCTCTTTATCCATGTTTGGCTTTGCCCGATCAAGAACTTGATCAAAAATACGGAGATGAAGTGGAAAAAGAAAATCATCAAGACATGGACGACACGATGAAATTGTTGGAACAGTTGTCCGAAAAAAATAAGCAAAACGATGATGATGACAATGATAAACGGCAAAAAGAAAAAGACCGGGATGATAGTGATAGAAAAAGAAGTTCTCGAAGATCCGATTCCAGAAAACGAGATGATCGAGACAGAGATCGGCGAAGTCGAAGCCGAGAACGCCGGCATCAACGTGATTATCGTCATGAATCAGATGATTATGAATCTGAAAAACATCGATCTCGAAACAAGCATTCAGAATCAAAAAGAAGATCCGATTACGATCATCATCACCGTGATGATGAAGATTCACGATCGTCTAGTAGTAAACGAGCGAAATATGAAGATCTGCCTGAGATTCCAGCCTTAGGAATGATATTAAACGGTCGTGTTACGAACATTATGCAGTTCGGCTGTTTTGTTCAGCTCGAAGGTCTTCGTAAACGACGAGAAGGCCTAGTTCACATATCACAATTGCGACGTGAAGGTCGTGTTAATGATGTTAATGAAGTTGTGAGTCGAGGACAACGTGTCAAAGTAAAAGTATTGTCGTTCACTGGTCAACGAACTAGTCTTTCAATGAAAGAAGTAGATCAAGAAACGGGTAAAGATCTAAATCCAAACACTCAACATACATCTCGTGGTAAAGCTAACGATGATGATGATGATTTGTCTGAATTCAAAAATCCGGATAGACCTTCGAATTTGCCACCATTACCTGGCAGCAGTATCAAATCTACGACTGGAGAGGATTCTGTTGATGACTCGGAAACTCGTCGTCGTATTATACAACGAATTAGTTCACCAGAAAAATGGGAATTGAAGCAAATGGCCGCAGCAAATGTCCTCGATCGTTCTCAGCTGCCGGATTTTGATGAAAAATTGGGCGTCCTGCCTAGAATCGATGAAGACGATGATGAAGATATTGAAATCGAATTAGTGGAAGAAGAGCCTGCATTTCTTCGTGGACATGGTCGATCGCATTTGACTGATTTGAGTCCCGTAAGAATAGTAAAAAATCCCGACGGATCACTAGCTCAAGCCGCAATGATGCAATCTGCATTATCGAAAGAACGGCGTGAGTTAAAACAGCAACAACAACAGTCCGAAGTAAATAAAAATCGACCCGAAGATTCGAAAGATTGGTTCGATCCAATGCCGCAAAACGCTGCAAAGGAAACAATTGGAGCTGGCTGGGGTAGTAGTGGTGGCGGTGGTACTGGTAACAGTGGAATGCCAAACGAAATGCCGGAATGGAAACGATATATAACAGGTGGTGCTAAAGCTTCGTATGGCAAACGTACCGAATTAAGCTTGATGGAACAGCGGCAAAGTTTGCCAATTTATCAGTTCAAAGATGAACTAAGCAAAGCGGTGGCTGATAATCAGATATTGATCGTCATCGGTGAGACTGGATCTGGAAAGACCACTCAAATAACACAGTATTTGGCGGAAGCTGGTTACGTAACTCGTGGTAAAATTGGCTGCACCCAACCACGTCGTGTTGCTGCAATGTCGGTGGCTAAGCGTGTGGCCGATGAATTTGGTTGTCGATTGGGAACGGAAGTTGGCTATACGATTCGTTTTGAAGACTGTACAAGTCCCGAAACAGTTATCAAATACATGACCGACGGTATGTTACTTCGTGAATGTCTTCTCGATGCCGATCTACGTGGTTATTCTGTGCTCATGTTGGATGAAGCTCATGAACGTACTATCCATACAGACGTTTTGTTTGGCCTGTTGAAAAAAGCGGTAAAGAAACGACCCGATCTCAAACTGATTGTTACATCGGCCACATTAGATGCGGTCAAATTTTCTCAATACTTTTTCGAGGCTCCTATATTCACTATTCCTGGCCGAACATTTCCGGTGGAAATATTGTACACGAAAGAACCGGAAACTGATTATATGGATGCTTCCCTATTGACTGTGATGCAAATTCATTTGACTGAACCACCGGGTGATATTCTTCTCTTTCTCACTGGTCAAGAGGAGATTGACACTGCTTGTGAAGTGCTTTATGAACGTATGAAATGTCTTGGTCCAGATGTGCCTGAGTTGCTCATCCTGCCGGTTTATTCGGCACTTCCTTCCGAAATGCAAACCAGAATATTTGAACCTACACCTCCTGGATCACGAAAAGTGGTGATTGCAACAAATATTGCCGAAACTTCACTGACAATCGATGGCATCTACTATGTGGTCGACCCGGGTTTTGTCAAACAAAACGTTTACAATCCGAAAACCGGTATGGATTCATTGGTGGTAACGCCTATTTCACAAGCACAAGCCAAACAACGAGCTGGTCGCGCTGGACGAACTGGTCCAGGTAAATGCTTCCGGTTATACACCGAAAGAGCGTATCGTGATGAAATGCTTACCACTCCAGTTCCTGAAATTCAACGAACGAATCTATCGGAAACAGTTTTGCAGCTAAAAGCTATGGGTATCAACGATTTAATCAATTTTGATTTCATGGATGCTCCACCAGCCGAAGCTTTATTGATGGCATTAGAACAACTGCATTCGTTAGGTGCATTAGACGATGAAGGACTGCTCACACGGTTAGGTCGACGTATGGCTGAATTTCCGCTAGAACCTCGTCTCTGTAAAGTGCTGCTGCAATCGGTTCAATTGGGATGTTCAGAAGAAGCATTGACCGTCGTTTCCATGTTGTCCGTGCAGAATGTTTTCTATCGGCCTAAGGACAAACAAGCGTTGGCCGATTCAAAAAAGGCCAAATTTAATCAACCGGAAGGCGACCATCTAACATTGTTGGCCGTATATAATGCTTGGAAAAATAACAAACTGTCTACTGCTTGGTGTTATGAGAATTTTGTTCAGGTTCGTACATTGAAACGAACACAGGATGTACGTAAACAATTGCTGGGTATCATGGATCGCCATCGATTAGATGTCATATCGTGTGGCCAGAATACAGCCAAATTGCAAAAGGCCATTTGTTCCGGTTTCTTTCGAAATGCATCGAAAAAAGATCCTCAGGAAGGCTATCGAACATTGGTCGATGGCCAAGTAGTCTATATTCATCCATCATCAGCACTGTTTCATCAACAACCAGAATGGGTCATTTACCATGAGATCGTGTTGACCACCAAAGAATATATGCGTGAAGTGACTACCATCGATCCAAGGTGGTTGGTGGATTTTGCACCGACATTCTTTCGATTCTCTGATCCAGCTAAGCTCTCCAAACACAAAAAACAACTTCGACTCGAACCATTGTATAACAAATATGAAGAACCAAATGCATGGCGTATTTCTCGTGTTCGCAAACGTCGAAATTAATTCATTCATTAATTGTATTCCATCATTTTTGTAATTATTATCATTGTTTTGAAATTTAAATTGAATTTAAATCTAAAAATAAAAAGCACTTTTACATCATTCTAATTTGTGTCTAGTTTAATCTCCAGATGGAGTTGAAACTCCAAAAATTGCAGTTTTGTTTATTTTGCAGTTTAGACTTTTTTCTAAGTATAAAATTATAGGTCACTGTCAACTGATTTGGTGGCATTTGATTAAATCTGCTTATTGAATCAAAAATAAAACATGTCAACCGATCCGAAAGGTCATTATCCATCAGCATTGGATCGATGGCTTCTTGTCCGATATAAAAAATATGCTACTGCTCAGGAGGTCCCTAATATGGTCAGGTGTGTGTACCTGCATGTTTTTGATTTTTTCAATGTTAATTATTTTTTCTCAACTCAATTTCACAGCTCAATCATGATGCGACGAATTCATGAAAAAGCTCGAATTCATACGGCAATCGTTATCATGATTTTATCCGGAGTCGGCATGTTCACCAATGCTATGATCGGTAAATATCAAGCAAAACAAGGTTATTCAGTCGAAAAAGCCGCCTCAGAGTATCAACAAGAATATAATAAACGTAAAGAGAAAGAGCTGATGGCACAAATGACGAAATAATGAACGAAATCTTATCATTAAAAAACTCTAGATTTTTTTTATTCATAAAATTCTAAGTTGTTATTTACTGTTGTTGTTACTTGGATGATATCAAAATTGAAATAAAAAAAAATTTGTAGCCAGCATTCTTCAACAATGATCATAATCATATGGGAGGCGTACTAGTCGCTGGTCGATAATATGCCCGACATCTTTCATGGAAAAACTAATCATCGAACATACAATTAAAAATAATCAGTGGAAAATGTTAAATTCAATAAATTGTTGGTCATCTTACCTTAAGGCTTCGGTCACGGACCACTTCTTCCACATGTAATTCATTTTGCATCATTCGAAGTTTATTTTGTTCTTTACGTAATTGTTTTTGTACCTGAAAATCGGCTTCATTTTCATCACGGCGTCGTTTTAGTTGATGTACGGATTCTGATACTCGAATGATACAATTTTTGATTGCTTGTTCACGATTTGTATGTAATTCCATGAGCTAAACAACAATTGACAATCGACATTATTCGCGAACCATCTATCCATATTGATATAATACCTGTTTGTATAATTCCTGGCATTGTTTGGTCGGATCGATTCCTTTCACAGCGAACGATTGTGTCGGTATGGTCGTATTAAGGCTGTGTACAATGTTATCATCTAATTTGCGAAGATTTTTGAGTACATCCTACATTGTATTGGATCGAAATTTGAAAAAAAAAATTAAAAAAAAAATAATCATGACACAAGCACTGTATGTATACACAATATTCATACCTCAAATGCGAGAAAATCCTCGCACATAGCTTCCATTTGGATCGTATTCGATCGAAATGAAAAGATTTTTGCTAAGAAAATGAATGGCAATCAGAGATACCAAAAAATCAAGTCACGTTGTTTAATTCAAAAAACAGCCGATCAAAGACCAAGCAGTGAACGTACGGATAGAACGTTACAATCAATGCCTATGATGTGTGTGGAGACATTTTGTTAAAATTAAAATTTTATTAATTAATAATATTGCAAAATAATAATTGTGTCAAATAAAATTATTTAGCATCAAATAAATGTTTGTGTCTGAAATGGACAATGATAATGAAATACAAATTTAGTGAAATAAATTGTCTGATGAAGTGGTGGGATTTGGGTTTAGAACTTTATTTCGATTGTTGTTTTTGTTTCTCCATTTTGGACAAATTTGATGTGACTGAAATACTGGATATTAGTTGACTAGAAATGAGGATATTGTTTCTAATAAATGGAAAACAAAATATCAGACATAAAACATCATTATAGATGAATAGTACTTACTCGACGAGGAAATCTTCGACATCTTTTTCATCAAAATCGGCACCAAATTCATCGCCAAGACTAACAAAATTACCAATTAGTTCACCGTTTTTGTAGATTAATAGAGCGGGCACTCCATATTTGGTCTGTTGGAGAATGAAAAGCAAAAGCGAAAAATGATTAATCAAGGATTGTATGTACGTCAGTGTGATTCACTAACAAATTCACGGCTCATGCCAACATTGATAGCATCGAGTGAACAGAATAGAACATCGGGATATTTACGGGCCAATTTATCAAGGCAATTGTTCATGATGTTACATTCGACAATCTTATGATTGTAGATATGAGTTACGATCAACACGGTTCGTAATTGAACATCATCAATGTGTTTAAGGAATGCCTCGCCACTAGGTAAATGTTTAAGCTCGCCGAATTGTTTGCTGGCCGTTGATCGTTGATAACGGTCGAGCATTTCTTTCATTCTTTTTGCAATGTATTCATTGATGAACGGATCATTCTCATCGTCGAGATCATTCAAATCACCTGCAGTGGTGGTTACATTAGTTGCTGGTGTCATTGCAGCCACATTCGTCTTTACTGTTGATGCCGATTTTTTCATTCTTTCCAATCGCGCACGTACACGATTTGCACGTCGTTCATTTTCGAATTTTTTATAACGTTGAAAATCTTCGATTACACCTTTTGGTCCAGTCTAATTATGGAATCGAAATGGACATGAAAAATTGAAATGGATGATTATAGTGAATGATGATACTTACATTACAGCTGGTTCCTTCCCATTTGATTTTGCTTTGAACACTAATTTCTCGATAATCAGATCGATCATCATCATCATCATCACTGCTGCTACTGCAATAATAATGATTCTTTTCACCCAATAATTTATTGTCCAGATTCGACATTTTCGTATCAAAAAAAAAATGAATCTTATTATTGTCAACACCGAAATTGGAACGCTAGAATTAGTATCTTGAATTTATTTATCAGGCTAAAATATAAAACGTCTTTGGCCTGAATCCGGGAATTATACAAGGCTGATGACAATCAAATACATGTAATAATAATAATAATAATATAATAATAGTGCACAGCGAATGAACCAAATAGGTGATCCAAAAAGGGAGTACACACAAATATAAACACTTTTACTTAGACGGGATCAATAATTTTATAACAGTCAGTGGACTATGATATCGAGCCAAAAAATGAAACTTGCGCATAACAGGATTCTATTTTCATCCTCCTCTTGATTCTTGACTCTCTCTCTCTCTCTCTCTCTTAGACGCCATCTATGTTTGACCAAAACAAATAATCTGAATACAAAAGATGATTCAATTATTTTGATGATGTGAACTTTAATTTGGAAATCGATGAATGGATGATCATAAAAATATATGTTTTGCATGTCCTATTTGTTTACCAAACATCGTTGATTATTATCGAAGATGGCTGCCACTGTACAGATTCTAGGCGTCAGATGTATCCAAAAATATACTCATTTAAAGAATATATGGCTGTAGTACATGGTTGTCTTCCTGATCGACAATTGAATGGATCATTACACGATCAGTACACAGGCCCAGGTATTCTCACACAAATACAAACAGCAGTAGATATGAATGCAACGAACCGAAGTTTGAAATACGTAAGACAATAATGGTGGTAAATGATTATGGTTGAATGACATGAATTGAATGCTTCAATGATAACAATAGCCCAATTCGACTGCTTTTCTTTACAATTAGCAGTAGTAGTTGTGATCCCGGTTAGATTGTTATCCTGCATTCAATTGGTGGATCCATAATTATGATGGCCTCTAGCCATCCTTTCATCACATTGCTATCGATTGATTGATCGAATGAGCCAATTAATTCGTTCATTATTCGTATTACAATCCATGATAAACTTCCGGTTTGTATTGGCCAATTGGTCAATCATTGATCAATCACTGTCATAATGTCTATAGTTTACTGTATCCGTTTCCTATTGGCAGCCATCAACAAACAATAAATCAATCAATGATCATCAAATATGACCTCCATTTTTTAAAGGGTAGTTCTATTCACTACACTACCTATATATTGAATGATTGAAACAAAACAGTAACAGAAAAAAATCCGATTCAAAGGTCATTTTATAGTCTATACGAATATATCTTGTTGGCATACAAATAACCATCAAAACGGTTGTATATGATGATCACGTAACGGTTTGTTGTTGTTAGAATATGGCAAATGTCCAATGGCAATAGACAAGTCATACTATAGTTCATAGTTGATAAAATTGGCGGAGAGAGAATAATCTATATTCAGTCCGGTCATTTCATGAATCGACCCTGTCCATTGAGGCCAATCATATATCAGGTGTTTAAGTGGTCATCCCCACATATGATACCGTTATTGATACAACCACTACTACTACTACCACCAACAACAATGGCCATCGATATATCTGAAGAATAGGCAACAAAAAAGCCAAAGAGCAAAACAAATGTCTAAACGAAATGGCAGCCTACCACACATACAAAACGACATCGACATAGGTAACTAACTATACATTGTTGCTGACAAAAAAAAATAAATAAGGTGTACTGGCAGCAATTATCAGAGAGACATAGAGTGATAAAAACAACAAGTTTCCAGGTATAGCAGAATGAATAAAAAAGGTAGCCGCTGCTACCTATGACGATCGGCCATCATCGTTCCTATGCATCCATGCATAGCACAGATTGTATTAGATTGTGTTGTTGTGGCCATCTTCGAGTAGAAAAATAAGCAAGATTTGGCCAGCCAGCAAGCCATCAACAATAATAATAATAATGAAAAAACATCATTGCGTTCGATTCGTCGTTCATGTCCATTCAATGATCAATGATGGATGGACATGAATGTTTCGATGATTATGATCATCATTATATTATTATTATTATTATGGGGATAACCAGTCTAACTTGAATGACTACTACCTGCTTGCATGTTTCCACTTGTTGTTGTTGTTCCATACACATATTCATGATGATGTGATTTGAAGAAAAAGTCCGAAATTAGGTGAAATACAAGCTATACATGCAGCCAGCCAATCGTATGTTCATCAAGCATAATAATCACCACAGCAAAAAAAAAACAGGAACGGTTGTTTCGAACGCCGTTAAAAGTCGACCAACAACAACAACAGGTTGGCTTTCCAACAACAAGTTTTTGCATCACTCCTCCCAATCACATCGGGTTGTTGTCATTCCAGTCATTCAGTTGTCCGTCGTCATCATCGAGCAGAGAAAGAGCTTGTGTATGTGTGTGTTTAAGCATTGGGGATATGAAAATCGGTTTTGAAAATCATCATAAACAACGATTCACAAATCAAAAAACTGTTCTTATTTCCACCATCCTCCTCCTCATCAATTCGTAAAAGACGGAAGCAGAGTGTATGCGTGTTCGATTTACGAAACAAGTCTTTGAATCAACTTAAAGAACAGTTATTAAGAACAACAACAACCACCACGATGATGACGACTACGACGACGATAACGAAAGAACTTGTTGGCCAACACCACCACACTGCCGCTATCGAAGTCTCCGAATAACTTGTTATTGGCCACCAACAACACACACACACACATCACCCGAACTCCATTTGCTATTTTTTCACAAACAGACTCGAACACAATTCATACACTCTTTTGCTCTCTCTCCAGGTATACAATCGCAATCATTCCATTTCATTTGTTGTTCATTTCAATCCGTTCATCGTTTGACCTCATCCATCGACGTCTTCGTCATCATCATCATCATTATTGACGAGAGCAGCAGAAATTATTCAATCTCTTTTTCTTCTTCTTTTTTATTGTTATTATTTTGCTCTCAAACTTGTCAAGATTATTCTGGGATTATTCACCTATTATACATTACCATCATAAAGGTGTGTGTATTGTGTTATGTGTGTGTGTGAATATTATAAACATTAATGAGTGGTGGGTGTGTTTGATTGATTAAATGTTTGATTCTGATTCTGGTTTTAGTTGTTCATATTAATGTTCAATCGATTGATTATCCGATGCCATATTCGACTACAATCTACGAACCACCAGAATTGGATTCGACAATTACTAACACGGATTCATTGATTATAGATGATGATAATGATGGTGGTAATGGTTATTGTTTAAGTAATAAATCCTCACCACCTCCACCATTAGTACCGTATGATTTATTAGCAACGTGGCAATCACCATTCTTATCCACAACAAACATTGGTGAGCATTTGATTAGTGTTGAACAGCAGCTAAAGCCGACCACGACATTATCATCAACGACAACGGCGATCCAAAAGCAAACATTATCTATTAATTATCAGGAACAACATTCACCATCATCATCATCATCATCATCAGCATTGTCGATGAATGGTGTTGTACATCATGGTACAGCCGCAGTGGCTACGGCTGCAACAAGCGGCAGCAATGTTGTTGGTACGGTTGTTGGTGATCTAATTACAAACGCTGATATGGGCCAATATCTACAGCTAGCCCAGAAAATTCAATTATCCAATGTGGTGGCCACAACCACAACAAACACTAACAACGTCAACAACAACAATAGCAATAATAATAATAATAACAATTGTTCATCGTCCACATCATCACTATCATCATCATCCTCTTCGTCGTCATCGACGACTACGACCACTGATGCAACAACAATAATAACGACAACCGGTAACAGCAATAATAATACTAATAATAATCTGGTCACTACGGCCACCAATTCACAACAATCATCTCCGAATAGTTTCGATGCTAGCCAGATTCAATTCATACTAAGTCCATCCGGTCAATTTCAAACGGCTCAAATTGTATCTAGTAATTCATCAGGAGTTGTCGATTGTAATAATAGTTCGATTGTTTATTCAACAAGTGCGATTACCGGTGATGGTGATGGCAAAACAATTGGCACATTGGCATCGGCTTCCTCAATCCCTCAAACGAATAATGCATCGACACCAACAGCAACATTGTTAAGCAATGTGGTTACTTCCGTTTCCACATCTGCAAACACTGCGACCAGTACAGCTGCCGATTCTTCATCTGCAGCATCGGTTTCAGGTTCGAATGTTGTAACCAACAACGTTCAACAACAACAACAACAACAAATGGTACAATCAGGCCTCGTGCAACAAGTGATCTCGAATTCTCATAATCCACAACAACAACAACAACTTCATCATCCACAACATTCACATCTGACCAATGATAATGGCAATAATAATGTTCAATCATCTCATCAATCATCAAACAATGGCAATAATCAACAACAACAACAGCAGCAGCAGACAACCGAACAAATGCAGATTCGGGATTACCTGAGTGAAATCAATGTATTACAATCGGCTGCAGTCAACAATAACAATTCCAATCAACAACAACAATCTCAACTACAGATCGCAACCAATAACCATAACAATGGCCTTATCCAACAACAACAACAACAACAACAGGGAACAGCGACAACAACATTGCTTTCATTGGATCAAGCTGCACTTGGTCTACCACCCAATACTACACTTTTGACGAATGCATCGTTCCTGGATGGACAACAGCAACATCAACATCTAATGAAGAATGGCTCGATTATTATTGATCCATCATTGACTGATCCATCTAATCTTAATTATGTTTACAGTACATTACAGCTACAATTAGCCACAGCTGATCATCAAAACAAAACGGCTACCATTATGGATCAGGCAACAAAATCATCACCAATATTTGCTATTGCAACATCGGCGACAAACGCCGCTGAACTTTTGCAACAACAACAACAACAACTTGGTGGCCACCAAACAACCAACAGTATTATTCAACAACAACAAAATGGTGCCCAACAACAATTGACTAACCAAAGTAATTCCAACAACAACAGTGCAGCTTCACGTAGAGGTCGAGGTCGTCCAAAGAAATATTCCGATCCATTATCATTAGCCGTTGAACAATGTCTCGAAAATAGTAATAGTCCCACTCAACAACAACAACAACCGCAACAACAACAACAACAACCGCAACAGACACAGCAGCCTCAACTTCAACAAATTCAACAACAGCCACAACATCATCAACAGCAGCAGCAGCAACAACAACAACAACAACCAACAGCGACAACAGTATTAGTTACGACGACCAATACTGGTAATGGCCAACAACAACAACAATTAACTCAATTTGGTGGACCATTAACGGTGACAAGCAGCACTACAAATACGAATCAACAATTGTTACAAGCAACGACGTTAACTGCGGCTTCGACAACTACGCCACAAACGGCAGCAACAACAACAATGATGATGATGGCCGCAACACAATCAACCAATGTACATCATTGTCGTTGGCAAGGTTGTTCATTTGCATCATCCGATATTTTGGAATTTCGTAATCACAATCGTACACAGCATCGTGATGAATCGACAATCATACCGTCACGAAAAGGAAAATCATCCTCATCGAAAGAACCGTTAATATGTGAAGTACCGGGATGTGGTTATTCACCAAAATATCGTCGTTTATTGATCGATCACCAAAATGCTCATAAAGGATTACGGGCACATAAATGTTGTTTTTGCGAATACAATTCCTCATATTTCGGTGATATTCGTAAACATATGATCAAAAAACATCCGGATCTAGCACAAGAAATAAAACTAAGTAAACTTAAACTCAAACAAAACGGTGGTTTAGATGGCAAAAAAGGATCGAAAAAAGTTCGTGTCGATGAGATGGGCAATAAGATTGAAACGAAATCAAGAAAATCATCACAACATGCCAGCAGCAATGATAATGATCCAAATGCTGCCGGTGGTGGCAAAGGCCGTAAACGCAATTATAATCGCAAGAATTCAAAAAAGAATAAAAAAGATGAATCAAACCCATTAAACACTGCTGCTGCTTCCGCCGCTGCTGCTACCACGTTGACATTGCCAAGTGGATTAACGTTGGCCTCGCCCAATATCGCTACTGGTAACAATGGTAATCAACCACAATATCAGTTCATTGGAACGCCCACCGGATATCATCCACTACAATTGAACAATGCTGCTCAGGCCGATTTGGCCACGCTACATTCAATGGGGCCTAACTATGGTACAACTGCTTCGGCAGCCACAACACCACATGGCCTTATGCCACAAACTGCAATAATCTATCTACAGACCAGTCCTACTTCCGGTAATCCATCCACCATACAGATTTCCTCTAACGATATGAATGCCATCAATCAATTGATTGCTGCAGGAGGTGCAACCTATGCTACTGCAGCCGATCTAAATTCTCTGACCAATGGCCAATTGACAACCTTATCAGCCACCACTGGTCAACCTCAACATCATCATCATCAACAACAACAAACACAGTTTGTAACACCCACTTCCTCATCGGCAATACTTACGGCCACATCTATTTCCGGTACATCAACCACTGGACAACAACATCATCATTTAGTGCAATCATCCACACAACATCAACAAGCTCGAAATGATATGACCACAGCCGTTGCAACTAATGGTTTCGCTACGATTGGTGCTGATGGAACACTCACATTTCTTACTGATCCAACGGCTGCTGCTGTTGCCGCTGCTGTACAACAACAACAACAACAACAAACTGGTTCAAACACTTCCGGTGGTACAACAACAACATTACAGCAAGCTGCAATCACTGGAACAACATTGTTCAAATGTGATTATCCATTATGCTATTTTCAAACAGATCAATATGAAAGTCTATTGATACATAAACATCGTGATCATTCGACCACGACAACTAATTCAACTGTCCATTTACAACAACAACAACAACAACAACAGCAGATACAGTTACAGCAGCAACAACAACAGCAACATCAACAACAACAGATTACGATAATTGATGCGGCCACATTGGCTACACTGACAGGGCAATCAAGCAATCAGAACGGTGGTGGTGGACAACATCAATTGATTCAACATCAACCATCAGGTGTGTATACATTGGCAAATGCACAGCCATTACCGACATCATCATCATCATCATCATCAAATTCGGTGATTAGTTCACAAGCTCAACAGCAACAACAACAACAACATTTCATATTGGATGCCTATGGTGGTATGATCACAACAACTGCAGCAATTAATCAATCAGCTTTACAGGTGGCCGCCGCCGCTGCTACCGCTTCTGCTACTGATCCAAACAGCGGTACTAATTGTTCGAATCTTGTAAATGGCACAACTATACTGAACCTTAATCAAATTATCTCATCATCATCTTCATCGTCCGGTACGACCACCAATACAACAATGACTAATAATAGTAATGGATCACCATCATCGTCGGATATGTTGGTAAAAGGACAGAAAAGTAGTCCCATATTGATCAATAATAATAATAGTACCGCTGGATCGGTAGTGATCAATTCGACTTCCAATGATAATAATAGCCATCTTCAACAACAACCACAACATCAGATCGTTAATGTTGGTGGTCAACCGCATATGATATTCACTGGTGACCCGAATGCATTGTCATCATTCTTCACTACTACACAACAACAAGCAAACACCAATAACAACACAGGAATTAATCAACAGGGTCAATCTTCGACAAGTACTGTACATCAAGTCGTGGCCACAATCAATCAGAATGGTATGGCTACATTGACTCAACAACAGCCACAACAAAACAACAACAACAACAATGTTAACAATAATAATGGTAATACACAGAATGGTGGTTCCAATTCTTCATCATCAACAGTGATTCCAATACCGAATTCATCAACATCATCCATTGTGACCACCACATCGGTAGCACAATTAGCAGCCACATCTCAATAAATGAATAATAATTGAATCGATAAACACACCCACACACATACACACCCACTCCCATCGATATAAACTTTTATTTTATTTTATTTTATTTTATTTTTTTTTTTTGATCACCAAAAACATTCGATCATACTCGTACTCTATAATCACATATTAGCATTAAGCATCAAATCCCAAACTATGTAGCTAATAATATTTATATTGATGAAAACATTATTATTCAACCACCACCCACCCACCTTATGCGCATCCACTGCAATCCATTCCATTGCATTCATTTGATAGTCGTGCATGTTTTTATTATGCATGCATATACTGTACAAACAGAAAAAAAATTCACCTGATTCATATCGACCAAATATTACCGATTTATTGATTTTTTTTTTACTTTATCGACAAATGTTTTTTTTGTGTGTATGTGTGTATTCTTTTTCTCAGTACAATTAATTTATTAATTATCATTTTTTTAAAGAAATTTATTATTTTTTAATTAATTGATATAATCATCATTTATATTTACTCAAAAACACACACACACACACACACGGATACAGACAGACATGCAATCCAAATATAAATGATTCATTTGTCGTTCTTTGTTTCATCATCATCATGATCATCATCATTGAAAAAAAAATGTGGCAATCACTCATTCAAATTCATTTTTTTTGTCATTCATTTATTCCCAACTTTCTTTCAGCCGAATATATATTATTATTATTATTATTGTGGAATAAAGTTTGGTCTCCAATACAAAAACAACAATAAATCAATGAGAAACATTGTCCAATGGATATAATATTCGATCAATGGGTATATCGAATTCATTGACTGGAATTTGATCGACAATTTGTTCAACAAATGATAGACCGATTGTAATTGGATATCGATGATTTTGATCGGATGAAATTCGTTGTCGACATTGATTTAACCATCGATCATAGTATCCTTTACCATGTCCTAAACGTAGACCATTACATGTGAATGCTACACCAGGAACTACAATTAAATCTAATCCACCTGAATTCATGGCATCTGATCGTGTAGAATCATCTAAAGATGGCTGTTTGATTCGATATTTTGGTTCGATAGGCATTTGTTCATAATCATGCCAACTATAAATCTGTAACATCTGCATATTAGGATTATCCGATGAATATCTGGGCACAAAACATTGTTTACCACGTTCAAAACATTCACTTAATATGGCCAGGGTATCGATTTCTTTACCATCCATACTCAGATAGAGACCAATACGTTTAGCTTGTTTGAATTCGGACATTTGAAATAACATCTTATGTATTATTTTTGATTGTCGATCAATTTCCTGAGCGGATAATCGTCCTAATCTTGAGGCCATTTCTTTACGTAATAATCGTTTTGATTGTTGAATGGCCATTGTTGCATTTGAATTGTCCATTCGATTAGAAACAAACACATAAAAAATATTTGCCTGTGTTTTATACACGTGTGATGATTTAAGCACGAATATAATAAACACAAGAGTATGAGTGAGCAAGCTATCATCACAAATTAATGGGCTGTTATTTCAATCGAATGCAAACAAACAAATAAATAAATCAGCTCATCATCATAGTGTAACAAATTATTATTATTATTATATTTCTATGACCTTGATTCTTTCTTCAAATCAATTTGATTATTTCGATAGCTAATGTTTCTTATTCCACCAGCACCACCGTTATTGTACAATGATTTTTAAGCAAACACAAAGAACAAAAAAAAAAATCTTCGCCCAATTCGTATAACCAGTTTTTTCCACCAAAAGATTACCGATGGATTTAGGTCACAGTTATACACACATACACATATAAATACAGTATATATAATATATGGTTGATATTCAACACAACAAACACCCAACGTTTAAATCTCGTTAATCGGTCGGTACCTGTGGCCATCATTGATGGTTAAAGCGAAAAAAATGGCAATTAACCGGAATTAGTTTGAAAAAGAAACCTGGTTTGTTGATGTGATGTGTGATGGTAGGCCATCACATAAATCGAGATCGATTTGATTGCTTACCTGATTGGGTGATTATCAGTTACCAATAATAAACATTCATTCTATTGAATATAGCCACAAAAGAACTTATAATCAACAACCTGGCGCCAGGTTAATTATCCTGTTCTCTATTTTTTCTTCTTTTTTTTATTTACCGTTATATATGGTGAGCCACGATTAGCAACCTAAACTCACTGACATATTGAAAATGTAGAAAGAAACGTAGAGAGAAATATAGAGGCAGACTTATCTCCATGAATGTTTGGACTGAAAGATTCATGTCAATCATGATGCCCTGAAAATTTTTTTTTTTTCTTCAACAACAACAACAACAACAGCAAAGATATTCAACTTCAGGTATACTGTCTCAATATTGGCCTCAAATGATGTTTCGCATGATCAAATTGATGAAATGAATGAGAAAAGTATTCAAATTCGTCAATCTGGACAATCAGTACAGCTGGTATGTGTTTGTATGTTTGAGACCGAACACATAGCGGACAACAACATTGAACTTTTTTTTCGACAAAAAAAACCCGACTTGAAATATCGTTATGTTAAGATTCTAAAAAAAGATTGGCTTTGTGTGTGTGTGTGTGTGTGTAATCAACTTTCTTTTTAATGAGCCAAAACGTTTCTCATTCAATTTCGACAGAGATTCATTTCGAACATCCAACAGAGGAATGAAGAACCGGTCAGACTTATTCAGCTTCATTCATTTTGGTAAGCTTGTGTCTAAACTTGGAAACCTAATTTGTCAATAAAAAACCAGGTTTTTTTTTCTTCTTCTTAAAAAAGACGACCTCGATTTGGTGATAGTGAGAGAAAAAAGAAAGAAAGAAATGTTCATGTGTCTTGTTCCGGCAAAATTACATTTATTAATTTCATTTCTTTTGGCACAAAACTTTTTCCTCATTCTTGGCCAGCTTTCGATTATAAGACGATTATCTATCATAATATCCGTATGTTATATGGACACATTATTTTAACAATTACTTTTGTGGTTTGGTTATTGTTGTTATGTTCCAAACAATCTCATCATCATCATCATCACTTTAATGACGTAGTCCGTTATTATTATTTTTTCTCAAGTTCATCATCATCATTCGGTCAGCCATAGATTGAATAAAATTTGTATTGGCAATCAAAACAATATATGACTGAAATTGAGGGCAAAAAGTCGTTCAGTTGCCAATGAGAGAGAAAAAATGAGATTCGCCAAGGCCAATGCATGCATACATCCTATGACACAATGGAACAATGGATAGCCATTTAGCCATTAGTCATTCAAATTTCATATATTTTTATATGATTGACGATATATCGTTAAGGCGCCAATACAAAACAGCCTCAATCAACCCTAACAGTGTTATAATGTTTAAATAGATTTAATTACCTTAATGACATGGTTGGAATCATAGGTTTTCATTGCGAGCAATCTATATGTGTTCCTATTCATATAGTAAGTAATTAATAGTGTAAATTGTTGAACATTAATCAAGCATTATGATACAAGGTAATAAGGGTATATCATGATGATGATTGTTGCACGTACATACATCAATGCTGCAGCTGATTATCGGTAATTGCGTGTGAGTGTGTGTGTGTGTTTGTCAAACTCAATTCATTTTCGTCTCGATAATTTCTTCATAGTACCATTGTTTTCTTATGGTTGCTCGAATTCTAAAGTAAAGATCAAATAGCTATAGATCCATCTAATAATTCAAATGGGCGTTGCTGATCATCCATACATGAATTGATGTTCGAAACTCTTCTTAATTTTCATCGATCAATGCATCTGTGGCCAAAAAAGAGGACAATATAGCTCCTCCATTCTCTCATTTTATTCATTACGATTATTGAGAGACTGGCTACTGTTTAAATTTCTCCCCCTTCAAAAAAAACGCTTTCACAAAAGAAGAATTTTATAGATATTCAAACGATTGATGGTAAGAAATTACAAAAGTGATTTTCATTCATTACTCATTGATAAACACTGTGTTTATGACCGAAAATTATAATATAATTTATATATAGTGATGATAATGGTCACCAATTGAATCGGATATAAATACACAAACAAATATTGAAACAAATCAATCTATAGAAATTGTATGTATGTATGTGCGAGAGAGAAAGTGTTTCATCAATAGGTAATCCAACACTGAAAACGTATGATAAACACAACACAGATTTATTATCTACATATAAATAAAAATAGAATGCTCAAACAAAGCAAAATAAAAAAAAAGAAGAAATCCAATGCCAACAACGCCAACAATGATTGACAGAAGCTAATAGAACTATTGATATTGATATGTTTATTTATTCAATTTGTTTTTTGAAAAATTTATAGTTAACAAATCAAATTGTGAAATGAATGAACCAAGATTAGAACAAACAACATTGTAATAATGATGATTATGATGAATGAATTAGAAATTCTTAATGTCCAAATATTGTTTTGTATTCCACATTTAGAGACATCAATCACTGGTTAAGCGAGAGTAAAATGAGCCTTTCATCAACGCCAAATGTTCGATTGAATTCGGGATCACGTTCTTCGAGCCAAAACAATAATCGCCTATCATTGGGTTCATGGTTCAATCAGGTTTGGATTTTCATATTAAAATTCAATGTTTAAAATATTTAACTGTATAAAAATTCGCCCATATCTAGAATGATGGATATGATTTTCTCAAAGTTGAACATCGAATTCATCGATCCAATTCATTGAAACAAAAAGATAATGTCGGCCAAAATGCAAATCAAATATCAAAATCAAAAAATTTTATCGAACCCGATTCGATATCCGAAATGGGGTTTCCGGCCATCACTAAACGTTTATCAAACCATGTTGTTTCAAGATTTCGACGAAAACAACGCGCCAATAGTGTCAGTATAAATCCGGCTGATTTACGTGACGATATACTCACATTTGATGGTGTATTATTCTATCTTTCCATGTCGAATGGTCTGGCCGGATCGTTGACTGCTAATTCGAAAAAAATATCATTCACATCTGGTCTAGCCGAATTGACACGAAACAGTAGTAATCATCAAATGCGTAAGCATAATTTTCTCAAGCAACCGGTACCGGTGAATCCGATCGACACGGAAAATCAACACATCGAAATGGAGTCATATGAAATCGATTTGTCCAACATTGCCGAAGTTTCGTTGGAAATGCCCGCAAATCAGGCCGAACGAAGCATCATCTACATACATTGTCGAAATTTCAAACATGCCAAAATTGGCCTCAAACAATCGTCAGCCGAATCGCTTTACAATAAATTGATTGTCGATCATCAAAGAATGAACAATCAACAACATTCTTTATTATCATCCGATACATCTTCATCCTCATCAACATTGATCATAGCAGATTGTCGGCCTTTGCTTTGTGAATATCTTCACGATAATTATCATTACCGTGTTCGCTCTGATTGGGTCAAATATGAAAAATGGTACGTTAACAATTTCAAAATTCAATTCTCCCAATTCAACGAATTGGATTGTGCCTGTCCATCGTTACCTGAAATTGTAATTGTTCCGAGAAAAGTTGGCGACAAAGAATTGGAATCGATAGCAAACATGAGCGATGGACAACGTGTACCAATCATAACTTATTTGCATCGTAACAATGGAAATATGATTATTCGAAGTACAACCTATAATTCAAATCGTTTACCACTACGAGATTTATACCATGAACGAATTTTTGATGATAAACGAAATTCGCTTTTTGAGTTGAACGTTATGGCTAATGTACCGTCATTGGAAGATGTTGAACGTGCACATACCAAACTAAGGAAGGCCTGTTTCAAGACAATTAAAATCAACCAACAACAGCAACGAAAACAATACAATGAACAACTTGAGCTTCACTATAATATCGATTATTGTAAACATTTCTGGAATAAATGTTCATCGTGGCTACATATGATGGCCAAACTGTTGAAATTAAGTTCAAGATTGGCTGAAATTGTTTACAAACGAGAATCGATTGGTTTGGTCGAAAAATTCGATTCCAATTGGAATTGTCTTCTTTCTAGTCTTGTGCAAATATTTCTAGATCCAGAAAGACGTACGATTAAAGGTTTTCAACAATTATTGAGCAAAGAATGGCTTTATTTATCCGGCTATAAACGTATGGACCGTAGATTTGGCCATGAAGATATTAAATATAGGCCAATGAATTGTCCGAATCATATTCTTTTCTTGCTATTTTTGGACACTGTTCATCAATTACTGCAACAAAATAGCCAATCATTTGAATTTTCTTCTTTTTATCTGATACTTCTGTTGGATTATCAGGTTAATTCCGATCTACCCACCAAGGAAAAATATCTTGAATTCGAAACGAATCAATCTCATCCGCTAATGATGAATCCATTGTTTACGACGACGGCGACTAGTTCAAAGCCATTACGTATCAAAACACATGTTACACATATGCGATTCTTTACTAAACTATATTTTCGTAGTCTTGGCTCACAGATTCCGTCACGATTTACAGCCGAAGAATTTCTTTATTTAACCGAATTGGATTCAAGAAATTTAATCTAGTGACCATTTTTTTGCTTGTTTATTTGATTGGCGTTCAAAAGAAAAAATTGTTTATTTATTCATTCAAGTCCAAAATATACTATTTTTATATCATTTATTTTTTATCATTGAAATCGGTGATTCTTGGTGTAATTTTATATAATAATAAAGAATACAAATGGTGATGAATAGTGAAATGAAACAAACAAACAAACAAAAAAAACAATGAACAAAGTTTCAAAGATCAGGTGCTATCCAATCGATCACTTTCATGGCTACTTCGTAGCCAAAAAAACAGGCTGCATTGGCTGGAAATGCACGAAGAAAAACGGCCATTGCTCCACGATAGAATCCACCGATGCCTTCTTGGCTAACAATCTGACGGACAACGTCACGCATTCCGTTCGGATATTGATTCACGGGTGCCGTTTGTAATCGTGATTTAATCACATCAGCTGGCAGGGCAAAAGACCAGAAAACTATACCGGACATACCACCGGCGAACAATGTTCTCCATACGCCAAGTTCGTGTTCTTGTGGTTGACTGGAATGTCGACGATCATCCGTCGTCGATGGTGAGTGATGTTGAAGATGTCTTTGAAGTAGCTCGTATGTGACGAAATACGCACCACCAGCCGGGACATCCCGACATAGTGTAGCAATTGTGCCACGATAAAGCGATCGAAGGCCACCATCTCGATATAGTTTAAATGCACAATCAATTGGACCATTGAATACAGGTTTATTGCTATTTGCTTGTTGAATCTGTAATAGGCATTTAATTCGTTCTCCAGGTGTTGTAATGAAATTCGTAAACACTGAAGACAGCATACCGGCGTAAAATATCTGTATAGCCGAATGATGATAACCATCGGCAGGTCTTTGTAATTTTTTTCCCAAACTATAACCGAAAAAACAGACTGAATACAACGGAGTTACACCAATCAATGGTGTGGCCATTCCTTTGTAAAATCCTCGTATGCCTTCATCGATGAAAATTTTTTTCACACAATCCCAGGTTCCCGAATAATGTGTTCTTGCCAATGATGGAACTGATTCAAGCTGTGTGGCTGAAGCGATTGACATGGTCTGCATGCGAACTTTGACCGTATCTAATGGATGTCCAGCTGCAACCAAACAAATGCCACCGAAACCACCGGCAAAAAAATTCTTTATCGTTGATATTTGTTTCGGTTTGTGACGATGTTCATGGCTCGCGGATTGTTTATTTGAATTTACCGTCATCCTGATCGATCAATGATGGATTGAGCATTTGATCGTATGTAGAAGAAAAAATTAATATGACGAAACTTGTTATCAGTACATGTATATCATATTATTTCGTTTTGTTTTGTCGATAATTTCCTATTGGAAAAAAACATTTGTTTTTGTATATGATGATGATTCTTTAGATAAAAAAAAATTGATGTGAACATCTTTGAAAATGACTATTTCAACCTATTCATTATACGAATATGTTATACACGTGACTGGCAAAATGAATTCATGATTGCATGGTGATTGGTTACGATACACAATAAACATTTGATTGATCAACAATGAATCTCAACGAATTTCAACTAAATATTTTTTCAGGAGATTTTGGTTTGCCATCAATTCACCGTGATAGTCTGTTGGCAATTGCCTATTGTTCATTGGCAGGAATCAAACAAATCAAAATAAATCTACGTGATGACCTGTATTACAGTAAACTTCCATCACTTTCCACCGAGTTGAATGAAAGGATCGAAGGTGTCCAAAATGTGATCGATTATTTCGAAACCACTCAATATAATACTGAATTTGTCAAAAGGAATGGCCAACATCAGTTTGATTTTCTAAGCTATAAATGCCTATTCGATAGCAGACTAGAACCATGTTTGCTTTATCTTCATTGGTATGATGAAGAGAATTACAATGAAAATATCAGCTGCTGGTATGCCAAGAAAGCTCCATTTCCAACAAATTTTCTTCTTCCTCGATTATTACGAAAAGAATATATTGGCAAATTAGAGAAAAGGTTTCCAATCAAAATACTCGAAGACGATAATCGTGCTAAATTGATTGAGAAAAAAGTGATTGCTGACGCTATTCTATGTTTGAATTCTTTGTCCACCAGACTTGAGAATCGTCCATATTTATTCGGTTCGAAACCCACTAAAATTGATGCCTATCTTTACACATATCTGGCTTTGTTGTCACGATTACCAGTTAAAAAAGAAATGATACGTGCCCATATACGTTCATCACCACATCTGCAACAATATTTGAATCGAATCGATCAGATGGATTATCTTAAACAATTTTCTGCCAATTCGAATGGCGTATCATCACCATCTGCTAATGATATTATCCACCATGATAGCTATTTGACCATTAAATGGACAGATGTATTGTTTTCCGGTGCAATTGCCGCAATGCTCATGGTTTACTATGCATTCTCGATTGGAATCATTTCAACATCTGACCAAAATGATGATGACGATGAAGGTGAAGAATTGCAGCAACAAGAACAACAACAAGAACAACAAAAATCTGAAAATTAGTTTTCGAAAATAAATTGTATTGTATAGCATTTTTAGTGTTTTATATTGAATAAATGAATGATTAAAAGAAAAATGTTTGAGAAAAGAGAGACATTTTAAAAAATTCAAATTAGCCTATCGGAAAGGCATTCCTATCGTTCTAATGGTGTAGTCGTCTGACCACGTAGAATCTTTGCCCAACCAATTAGCCGCCAATGACGATCAACACGACGACTGAGGGCAATCTTTTCACCAATTTCAATACAGACAGGTGTATACAGCGATATTTTGGCCATATCACCTTTGATGGCTACCACTTTGCCACCGGTTGATAATGAACCGATGTTCAACATGAGAACTTCATTTTTGGCCAATTTCTGTACTTTGGCACCCTTCTTATCGCCTTCGGTTCGAACGCCCAACAATCGCCGTAACAGGTAGCAGGTAATTTCGATTTCAACATAAATATCAGGTAATGTACCAACTGCTCCAAGTACTTGGCCAACCATACGATCGCCACGCGTTAACATTGGATCGATTTTTGTGCCAACACCGATCAAACCACCAGGTACGGCATATTGTAAATCATTTTGATCAGCATACAATGAAACGATTTTCGATCGAATTGGATAGCACTGGATTTGTTGATTTTCACCTTTGTCGATAATGCCAGGACGAACTTCGATTTCCATACCTACGGTTAGTACACCTTTGAGTATTGAACCGCCTGCAACACCACCTTTTATATCTTCCACTTCACTTCCAGGTTTGTTGACATCGAATGATCGGATTATGATAAGCCTTGGTGGCGAAACAAAATCACGATCAGGTATGGGGATTCTTTTCGTTATATACTCGCAAAGTACATGGATATTATACTTGAGCTGAGCACTGATCGGTATGATTGGGCAACCTTCGGCCACCGTTCCTTGAATGAATTTCCGAATCTCTTCCTCTTGGGCTTTGGCCTGAGCTTCTTTAACCAAATCGATTTTGTTCTGCAAGATGATCAAATGTTTGAGTCGCATTATTTCGACAGCGGCTAAATGCTCCGAAGTTTGTGGCTGTGGACAGGATTCATTGGCAGCGATCAACACTAACGCTGCATCCATAACGGCCGCACCGTTCAACATGGTAGCCATAAGAATATCGTGACCAGGACAATCGACGAATGAAACATGACGCAACAGACGATACTTTCCATTACAATCGGGCCTTTCACATTTGAATTCGTCTTCTTTGTTGCTCGAGGCTGACACGTAACATTCGGGCCGTGGACAATTGTCACATTTGAATATTTTAGCATTGGCATATCCTAATTTGATTGTGATATTACGTTCCAATTCATTTTTGAAACGAACAGTCTGCACACCCGATATCGCTTTGACAACTGTCGATTTACCATGAGCTACATGGCCGATTGTACCAATGTTGATCGTCGCTTGTCTTGAAATCACTTCAGGTGTAAGTGGTGTCAATTTTGTCTTATCTAGAGTGTCCAAATTCTGCACTTTTAGATGGCCAGACATTTTTGTCTCGTTTGTGAATGATTATTTGCTGGCCTGATGACAATCTGATGCAATCTTTCACAAGTTCATTAACACGTGGACATCGAACACAACGAGCCAAATGCTATACTACCGGCTGATGAAAATTTAGCAAAACTACTTACAACGTATATACATTGTTCACAATCGTCATATATATCGATTGCTCACAATCGATATCTGTAAGCTTTCGGAATACTCTTCAGGCAAGGTGATATCAAATGATTGCCAAGGCGTCATAGTAGTAGAATAACGTAGGATAGTCATGGCGATTGTCCGATGAGCCAGTCTCTATCTCCATTCATATAGCATTATTTTTTTGGGCAAGGATCAAACTGAATTCAGAACTCTGAACCATATGGATAACGATAACGAACGTATCCAGAATGTGTTAGAATTTTGGTTCGGTAAATCTGGAGATGCTGATTATCTTAAATCACGTTCATTCTGGTATGGATCCAATAAGACTGATGATGATTGTGTTCGTAATGGGTTGGGTCGTGATTATGAGGATGCTAAAAATGGCCGATTAGATCACTGGTCAGAAACATCGGAAGGTGCATTAGCTTTAATCCTGTTGCTCGACCAAGTTCCACGTAACATTCATCGGGATACACCGGAGGCCTATGCTACTGACGATCAAGCGTTGGTGGTGGCAAAAAAAGTTCTAGAAAATGGTTGGGATAGTGGCCAACCAAATATCATCCGTCGATATCTATATTCACCATTTAATCATTCAGAAACATTAGCCGATCAAGAACAATCCGTTAAATTGTTCACCGAAATGGGTGATAGTGAACATTTGTATTGGGCAAAAAATTTCTACAATATTATCAAAACACATGGCCGATTTCCACATCGTGATCGTATTCTCAGGAGAATGTTATGAAAATTCATTCATTGATTTTACTCGATTATTATCATCATATTATATATGGGTACACATGACCGATTATATTATATATGAAAATGACAAACAAAAAAAAATATGACAAATGTTATTGATTAGCATAGTTGAATGCATCGTGATTACGGTCAATAATATCTTGGGCCAATTGAACATCGGCTATATTGCTGAATTCATGATGTTGGATGCTTATCAAACATTTTTTCAATTCGAATGCTTTATGAGGCTCTTCAGCATATTGTGTATTCTTCAATATGTTGGCCGTCAATTCCAGATAATATTTTATCCGCTACATTAATTAAATGATTTATTTTGTTGTTATTATTATTATTATTATTAAAAAAACCAAATCAAACTTTAACTTACATGATCACCAACAGGCAAATTGTTCAATTGACTGATAATTATGTCAATGATGACACGAACATCATTATAATAGAATAATGATGATACAACTTTATCGGCAAACATTTCGATAAGGAATTTCAGAACCGAATTCTGATTCGAATCATAATTATTATTGAATGTAGAATTGGAAAATTGATGATGTTGTTCCAAATGATCATCGAATGATTGTCTGGTCAGATTACAACTGGTCAGTATGATATCTTCTTCCCAATTTAGATAGGAAATAAGATTCTCAGTAAAATGACTGGCATTTGTTCGTTTTCCCAATGCTTTAAAGATGACATTATCACCAATATCTGTAATGTGCAGATTGAATGCTAATATTGGCGATATTACATTTTCCGATGGAATTTCACATTCAATCGTTTGGCCGTTGATATCGAAACCTTCACAGAGATCAAATTGATGACTAAAAAATTGTTCATTTATATGTTCATAAATGTTCACCGGTGGTTTGTGACCAGAACTAAATATCAATGTAAACAATGTCGATGCTTTGATCCATCGTTGTTTGTCTTGTACATAATTTTTCATTTCAACAGCCAATTCACCGGGCAACACTGTCGTCAGATAAAAATCGGCTGGCACACGTCGATATAATCGTATGAGGCTGTGAATCATTAAATGTACAATTTGATAAAAAATTCAATGAGATTATGAGAGCAATCAATTTACCTTATGAAAATGTCCATCAATTTCAATCGTAACGAACGTCGTGTTTCCATCTGAAAATATTGAATCAAATTGGATAGATTTTCATGATTCTGTGAACAAATCTCCTTTTCAAGAAATGATTGTTCAGTAGTGGTCAACAAATTCATCAATTCATCGAGATAGCTCTGGATGATATCTTCATCCTGATAGACCGGCCAATTACGTTGTTGTGTATCATTCTTACAGAACCAAAGACGTTTGAATATGCATTTCAATTTGGATGAATAAACATTCTCGCTATTCACTTTTTCCTCAACATATTTTTCCATTATGTCAATGATTCGTTGACAATCTTTGTTCCATGGCTGTATATTTTCCGATAATGTTTTTATCACAGAATTAGCTACAACAATTGCTTTCGATTCGTTTAGATTCGAATCTAATTTTACGTTTTCGATTAGATTCGATATTAATTGTTCATTGATTTCGTCACCAGCGGAGGCATTTATACCTTGTTGTTGTTGCCAGCAACAATGCCGACATCTTTTCAAACATTCATCATTTGATGTGTCCACTCCATTACTTTCATCATCTTCTTTGTTTTCCTCTTGAATGACGGATAATTCGTTTACACCGGACAATACACCAACTGGTTTTGTACTCTGTTCCATTTTGATCAATGTTTCGGTTATTTCACATCGCATTTGTGCTAATTTGCTATTTAAGAATAAAAAAAAATCAAACAAATAAAAATTACTATTATTTCAAAACGTACATTTGAGCGTGTTTCAATTGCCGATCGGTTAGAATCTTGTTTTGTTCATTATTCTTCTGATCTAGCTTGGAAGCAATTGAATCGATAAGCTGAAGCAATTCTTTAATGTTCATATTCTAGATAATAAAAATAATAAATCAACATATCAATAAACAAAGCATCGAACCGGAAAGCATTGGATTAGGTCATAATATACCTCTTCGTAGATGACGTACGAATTAGGAACATAACCGATTTGTCCTTTTTCATTGATAACATAATACCAATCGGATGATTTATCCGGATCTTTGATCATAACAAAACGTTCATCAACATTGAATGTCAATATTTTAGGGTCCCGATTTTCCATATATTCAAAGACCGATTTTAATGTGAATATCTGTGGAATATCCGTTGCTGTTGTTGTCGTTTTAATTTTCGAATCCATGTTGAACACTTTTTATTTTCGTTTTGACTAGAAATAGTTATGTAAGGATTAGAAGAAAATAATTGTTGACTGTTTTTTTTTAGATGAATATCATGGAGATTTTTTTTTTTGGAAGCGTCGATTATTGCAATAAATAAAAAAAACATTCACTCGATTGGAACGATGTAAGAATGATCAATGATCATCATCGTGATGTAATAACAAAACTCATCATCATTTAAAATCTGGATCCAAAACAAATGTGAAGAGCAGCGTTTGAGTTTATGATCCTGATGATATACGCCCATTAGAAAAAAAAAATACGAAACTACGTCATTTTTGAAAGGAATATGATTCCCTCTTTTTTTTGCTAGTGAACGGCTCACATTGATGCATGTTGAACAAAGTGTTTTGCGTGTGTTTGTGTATTATATGATTCACATTCGTATTTTTCATTCGAAAAAGTGATTATGGAAAAACCATTGAAGCATATGAAAATGGAACCAGTATCGACAATAACCGACATCAGTAATGTTGTTGAGAATCACGTTCAAAATGTTGAGACGATGATTGATACGAATGTTGTCGAAATGATCGTTGTGTCCGAGCAAGAACATCAATCATCAGAACAACAATTGGGGGATGATCATGATATGGAAACATCGAATGAAGAGTTTGACGCAACTAATCATTCATTACGAATATCTCGCCATTTTATAACATTGTTGGATGAATATCGTTTTCTCATGTCATGTCTGATGAACACCTGCAATTGTCATTCGAATTTTGATTATCAATTTTTTCTACGAAAACTTGAAGATCGTTACAATAAATTAACCAATCTAGTATCTGACGATTCATCCGTTTCCGAGCTATTGAGTCAACATGAAGAAACGACTATTGAACAATTGATGGAACAATCATCGATAAATCGTATGCAAGATCATAAACCAATACCTGCTTCATTCATACATCGAGTTCGAATTTGTGAACGTCCTAAATCATCGTCGATAATGAATAAAGATATCATTACTATCGATGATGATGATAATGATGATGATGACGATGATCAAAATGAAGAAAATAATGATGAAGGTGGTTTTTTTGAATTGCCCAAGTTTGATATATCTCTGAAAGATGCTCAAATTGCCTACAAATGTAGCCATTCAAAATGTGAATTTCTTAGCTTCAGCCAGGATGATCTCGTCGATCATCTAAAAGATCATTTATCTGGTACATCGACAACGATTAAAGCTGGTGATATCGAAGCAAAACGAGAAATAGTCTATGTTTGCGATCAATGTGGTAAAGAATTTGCTGGACAAAAATGGCTTGATAATCATATTGACAATGTTCATACATATACCCGATTGTTTCATTGCGATTTTCCGGCCTGTACGTATAGTTCTAAATTCCGTTGTGTAATGGAAGATCATAAACGTCGCCATAAGAAGAGCAAAGATTTTAAATGTACATGGCAAGGTTGTGATTCGGAATTCGTTACCCGACGTGATATGGTTGCACACGTTAATTTCTATCATAAAGGTATCAAAAATTATCAATGTGCATGGCCTAGTTGTGAGGCTAGCTTTAAGGATTCGAATCGTTTGAAACATCATTATTATACACATACAGGTGAAAGACCATATAAATGTGATGTTTGTGATGCCAGTTTCAAACAAGCACCACATCTTCATAAACATAAACGTATTCATACATTAGGCATACAACAATCAACAACAATGTCAACACGATCATCATCCGGTATGTATATCTGTCCAGAACCTGATTGTCAAAGAAAATTTCGTACAGCCAATGATCTTGAACGACATCAGAGAATGCTGGAACATCGTTCGTTGATTGTCAAAATGGAAGATGATGTACATCACATCTATCAATGTGTTATGGCTGATTGTCAACAATTATTTCATAATCAAGATGATCTTGAGCAACATATAAACGATAAACATTCATATAAATATAATAATACAATCAAAATAGAATCGGTGTAATATGTAGATTTATGTACAAATACTGGGACAACATTTATTCAAAATTCCCAAGAAAAAAACAACAAACATTAACAGGCCATTATGATGGAAGATGAAAAATTTGTGTGTAAATATTAAAAAAAATGATGATGAATATTCATCGATTTCTCAACCCAGCATCCAACTATCAATATTACATGTTTGGAATTATCAATCCATCATCATTGTATTTGTTGCTGCTGCTGCTGTTGTTGTAGTTGTTTGGATAAACGATCAATTTCAAGTGCTAATGTATTGAGATTTTCCTGTGCCGTGTTAAAAAACATCAAAAAAAAAGAATAAAGAATGATTCATATGAATTATGGAAAACAAAACATGTTCTGTTTTTGTGTTTTTAAAATACCTTTAGTGTCATATTCTTTAGTAATGTATCCTCAAGTATGGCATGTAATTTATTGTTTATTTCCAATGATCGTTCCAATGTCATTGTATCATCTGTTAATGATGAATTGTATAATGATGACATGATGCCACCACCGCGTTTCGATATGTAAGCCTATATATGTAATTCAATTCATTCATTTATTAATTACAAATAAATTTTTCGATCAATATATAATAATACTTATATTACCTTATTCTTGTCCATAGATTCTGTGGCCAATGCACCGGTTTCCTCTTTCAATATATAATATTGTAATAGTTTGGATTTCTTTTTCATTTCACCAATCAATTGTCCATTATGTTCTTCAAGAAAATCAATTTTTTCATTACGTTTAATTAGTTGACGCTGTAAACGAAGAATCCTTTCGATCAATGTATTTTTATCGATATCGTTTAATGATGTTAATTCGTGGTTTGTTGTCGTCGATGAAGATGACGATGATATTTGAGACGTATCAATCGATAATTGATCACTGTTACAATTGGTCGATGATGATCCATTACCTATCGTATCAGTATTTGGTTCATTATCATTATTCGATTGTAATTGTGTTCGCGAATAGATCATTTCATTCAATGAACTCAATGAATTTGTACGTGATGATAAGCTCGATGAATTGGTGGCCGTCTCACTCATCGTCGTCTTAATCGATGTTGTTGATGGAGCATCAAGCAATAGTGGCTGTTTCTGTTGACTCCGGCGAAGCTGTTGGATCTCCTTATTTAATTCTTTAAGATTTAATATGTGTTTTCGTTTCATAATGTTGATATCATTCTCAAGTTCTTCGATTCGTTTTCGTAGATTTTGTGCATCAACATTTTTCTCTTCAATTTGAGCATGTAATTGTTGGATTTGCAATGATTGCTTATCGATTGTTGATTGTAATCGTTGTTCCAATTGATCCCGTTCATTAACGATACGATCATAATCACAATGATATCGATCTGATTCACATTGTAATGATCGAACTTTTTCTTGCAAGGAATTATGTTCACATTGTAATGATACCATTTTGGCTGTTAAACGTTCCGTATATTCAAGTAATTCACTTTCTTTGTGTTTACTTGAATCGGCTTCATTCAACAATTCTCGGTTCATTTCGTTTACTTTGTCGAATTTTTTCTTCAAATCATTGATTACATCCTGTTGTTTGATCAATTCCTGTTTTAATGATTCAATTAGGTTAAGATTTTGTTGAAAATTTTTTAGTTGTTCACGTGATTTAGCTAGCTGTTCATTTAATTGATCAATTTCTTCTCGATAGTGGGTAATTTGCGTTTCGAGATCGACGATTTTATCGTTGAGTTTATGATTCGAGTGTGTACATTGTAGGTATACATCAATCCATTTGTTTTGCTGTTTTTTGGTGTGTGGTTCTTGTTCATCACCATCACTATTCAGAACAACACTATCATCGACCAAATTTAACGTTTCCAATGCTGATTCAATTTCCAGTAATTTAGATGATGATGAATTGTATTTAGCACTGATATCATCGAATGAAAGCTGTAGCTGTTGCGTCTGCACCTGAGATTGTTCCAATTTATTGACAAGAATTTCATTTCGATTTCGTAATGATGCCGATTCCAATATTTGTCGTTCGAGTGATTGTAACAATTGTTTCTTTTCTTGGCTTAATTCTTTGGTTTTCAATTGTAATTGATCGCGTTCTTTCAATAGATCTCGATATTTTCGATCGATATCATCGAAACGTTTTTTCACATCGATTACCTCTTTTTCCGAAGTAGCATATTTTATTACCATCGATTGTAATTCGGATTTTATCTGTTCAATTTGGCGATTTGAAGCTATAGATTTCTGTCGATAATTCTGAACCATTCGATCTAATTCAGTAATTTTTGTAGATAATTCTTCATTATCACGATTAAGACGATCATTATCTACGCTTAATTTTTCCAATTTTTCAGCCATCAATTCTTGAGCATTGATTTGTTTAGCATTTGATTTTTGGTGGTCGTCTGATGGTGCATGAATCGTTGATGAATCGCCATTCTGTTGCTGTTGATCTGATGAATGATCATTCAATTGTTTATCATCATCATCATCATTAACGGGTTGGCTCATTTTTTTTTCTCTGAAAAAGATCAATCAAATCAAATAACCGGTACGTCAATATTCGTTGATATTTTATTTGATTGGTATTGAATTATGATGAATTACATTTCCATATTGATGGTAATACTGTGATAATTAAATGCATATATGATGTATGTGAAATAAATAAATAAACAAGATAATATAAACATAAAAAAAATCAAATTCAACAATCATTCGATGATATCAGTTTTGGCCTTGTATTTTGATAAGATTAAAAACTTAGAGCAACAGTGATCGTTTCTGGCAGTTCCATTCATTGTATAAAATCGCTATATATATCAAATATCATGACGAAGGGTATACTAAAATCTGGTTCATCATTTCATCATATGTGTCATTTTTTTTGTTTTCGTTGTTCTGGCCAGCGTGTAAACATTGTTAACAACTATTATGGCCGACAGATGGAGAATCATCATCATAATAAATGCAGTAGATCCGCGGTTAACGATAGCCTATTTGCGGGTGATGGACTATTGTTTCATTCAGTCATTCAACAAAAAAAAGAAATGTTTATTGTTGTTGTTGTTGTTGTTTTTGTGGCACAAGGAAATTATCAATTACCATTTTTTTGGATTCTGCGTGTTTTGAACGAAGATATCTTACTTTGGTGGGAATGTATCCACGATTGATTCGCACCACAGAATCTATTTCGTAATCACTAATGATATGGAGCAATTTTTTTAATGTCGATGTGACATTTCGATTTTTTTTGCCATCCATGTATTGGTGTTTTAATTTTTTGTGAAAATTTTCGATAATCATGTTTGTGTTGATTCCCAATTGCGTTCTATGGCAATATGCCCACCTTTCTGGTGGATATCGTGAATCGTTTGCCAAATAATATTGCAGCATATATTTGGCAAATCCATTGGTTTCATTTTGATGTAAATAATTATCCAAAAATTTATTCTTCTCATTTTCGAAGTTTTGTGGATCGAGATTTGTCAGTAATTTCATTACTGATGAACGTACCGCATCTCGGATTTTCTTATCCGATATTTTGGCATTTAAATTCTGGTTGAATGCCTTTTTCACATGAAAAGAACAATACAGGAAAATACAATTTCCAAAGATATGTTTCCATGCATTGGAAAACAATATCTCCATATCGGTCATAACGATGTTTGACTTCAAATTTTGACCAAGGTTAATTTTAATTTTTTCAAAATAAAAAGTGATGAATTTGAAATTCACTTTATTTGAAAGCAAAAATGCGCAAGGATAACCGACCCTGAAAGAAAAAAATTAAAATTATAATTATTACAATTTTGTATCTGCAATACTTACTTCATTTTATCCCGACACATTATTGTCGTCAATATCAAACCTTTGATGCTCGAGTCATGAGTTGAATCTATCGATATTATTTCAGAATTTTCCTTCATCATATCTTTTTGGCTATTAGCCTGTAATATGATTAAGAAATCATCTTCGTGAAAACCATCGATTGCTTTGCCAATATCTTTGAAATATATCACCGAGCACGACGAAGTTTTTAAATAATCGATGAATGTAGACAAAGATTCTTCAGCGATATCTTCAGTATTATATTGTTTTTTGATATTGTTTATATCTTTGGTAGTGACCATCTGTGCCATAGTTATTTTATCCGAATCATCCAAAAGATTGCGCATTTTTTTCTTTATAACGGATGGTTGCAATCCGATCTTGAGATAATGAGCAATCGATTCTTTGTATTTGTTTGGCAATCGACAAAATTTCATGTCTAATTCATGTCCAACATGAGTTGTTGTCCATTTGGCAGTGTATGTGCCATTTTTGTTTCTGGTCAAACTGATTTGTGATGGACATATATTGCCGATTTTGATTGTTTTGTTCGATTTCGGAGCTCTTTTTCGCTCCGATCTATTAGCCGGTATGGTTCCACGGCGCGAACAAATATAATTTGCAGTTATAACTTGCTGATTGGAATCCCGTTCAATTCTTCTTGTCAAATAATTGGAGCACGTTTCTTCTTCAGTTTTCTCCAAAAATGATTTGAACATTTCAAAATCTTTAAATTCCAAATTTTTCACCTGAATTTCGACGCCATGTGCAGATTTTAAATGGACTGCTAAATAACCGGCATACTTTTTTCTGCATAGACAGCACTCATATAAATTTTTAGATGTGCTTTTATCAACGTCATGTATTCGTTTATTATGTCGTTTTAGATTCCATTTAGAATTGAATGATTGATTGCAGCGTTCACAAAAATGAAGTGGTATCTTGCCAATGGATGCATCATTATTCAAAGAAGGGCCGTTTTTTACGTTGCAAACGGAAATCGGAACATGTTGACCATTGGTGACGTTCGACGTACCATTTGAAGTATTAGAACCAGGAACATGAACCAGGCCCTGAGAAGGGCCGTTTGTCACGTTGCGAACGGAAATCGGCACATGTTGACCATTGGCTGAGAGAAGGGCGTTTGTCACGTTGCGAACGGAAATCGGCACATGTTGACCATTGGCCAAATTAGAACCAGGAACATGAACCAGGCCCTGAGAATGGCCGTTTGTCACGTTGCGAACGGAAATCGGCAATGTTGACGGCTAAATATGGGAACCTGATGACTAGAAAAATTTGGTCCTGAGAAGGACCATTGGTCACGTTCGAAGTACCATTTGAAGTATCACAACCAGGAACATGCCCTTGTATGAATTGCACTTCGATCCATTGTTGATCAAACAAAATTATATGAAATTTTATTATTAAATAACAATAAAAAACCAAAAATTTTTAACAAGTGTGATCATATGTAAAAATTGCGCTAAAGTTTAGAAGCTGTAAAAATTGCGCCAAAGTTTAGAAGCTGGAAAAATCTTAACCGTTCATATACTACGTGACATCAAAGCCTCAGCTGGCCTGCTCCAACGCTGAAATTTAGCTGCTTGTACGATAGCCTATTTGCGGGTGATGGACTATTGTTTCATTCAGTCATTCAACAAAAAAAAGAAATGTTTATTGTTGTTGTTGTTGTTGTTTTTGTGGCTGTTTTGTTGGCCAATTATGCAAATTATGGAAACATGATTAATGCATATACAAGTCATGGCCAACAGCAACAACAAAGTCGACAACTACTCAATCCATTCATTATTATGATTATAAATTTTTATACCTATTGTTAATTTTCAACAAATGTTGTCCAACAATTATCGTTTAAAAGAAAATTGGCTATAAAAAATATGTTGGAGCCACAAAATTCAATCGATGAAAATGATGTAATTGTTAACAAACAAAAATATCTATCATTGGCCGAAAAGATACGTCAACGATCTAGCCAACATGCTTATGAGAAATATGATCGATTCTTTTCAGTGGAATTTTTTCCCGCACGTACGCCTAAAGGTGCTTTGAATTGGATTCGACTTGTCGAACAATATGCTGATGGTGATCCATTATATTGTGATATAACATGGCATGTTGCCGGTAATCCTGGTTTGGATTCACCAACGTCTTCACTAACGATGGCCAATGTAGCACTTAATTATTGTCAATTGGAGACAATGTTACACATAACATGTATCGGATTAACATGTGAACAACTTGGCAAACATTTGGAACGTGCCAAAAATTATGGTATTCGTAACATATTGGCCTTAAGAGGGGATCGACATGGTAAGTGTGTGATTAACTGTCATATATCTCTGTGTGTGTGTGTGGGATTTTTGCCAGCCCACATATTATCTTTTATCATATTATCAAGTGATAAGACTGCCTGATATCTGACAGCTGTCTGTTCTTCTTTTATTACAGAGGATTATGACATCAATGATTTTCAATATGCAGCTGATCTTGTTCGATTTATTCGTCATCATTATGGACAATTTTTTACCGTCGTTGTTGCTGGTTATCCGATACCACATCCTGAATCACGTGATAAACATCATGATCGTCAATGTTTGAAGAAAAAATTGGATGCAGGTGCAGATTATATTATTACACAGTTATTTTTTCGTTGTGAAGATTATGTTCGATTTGTAGAGGAATGTCACGCAATCGGTATCACAGTGCCGATCATTCCGGGTATCTGTGCTATTAATAGCTATGAATCAATGCTGAAATTTGCTGAGTTATCAGCTGTTCCAATACCACCGGAATTATTACGTCGATTAGAGCCAGTACGATCTGATCAACAAGCTGTACAAGAATTGGGCATCCATTATCTAACCGATCTTTGTCGACAACTATTGGCCACAAATCTTTTTCCGGGCATTCATTTCTACACATTGAATCAATCTTCCATTATGAAAGTGATCAAAAATTGTGGTTTATGGCGAAAATATTCAATCATACGGCCCTTACCATGGCGACAGGCTTGTAATTATCAACGTATCGATGAATCCATTCGTCCGATTTTCTGGGCAAATCGCCCAAAAAGTTATATTCACCGAACAAGACAATGGACCGAATTTCCCACGACCTGTTGGTTGGTAAATTTTTCTATGGATCTTGATCCATGTTTGGTAAATTTTCCATCATACTTGAATTCAAATTTATCCGCCGATGCAAAGAAATGTCTATCAGAGTGTGAAAGCATCGAACAGATTTACATTCTTTTTAATCACTATTATTCACTGATGAATTGGTCGACATCTAATCATGATAAGAACAATAATGATTTTGTAAATGGTGGAAAATCGCAACTATCATTACCATGGATAGATAAAATTGATGGCCAGCATATCGGTTTGTTTCTCCTTTTTTTGTTAATTGGTTAAGTGATTAATTTATTTTTCATTGATTTTCGGCTTTTTTCATTATATAGAGTCATTATATCGACAATATGGCCAGTACATATCGAAAGGTTTAATGGTTACTAATTATCTGCCTGCCATAAATGGACAATGTAACGATTATAGTATTGATAGTATGATCCCGTGGTCCTATGGACACCAAGCAAATGGATACATTTATCAAAAGGAATACATTGAATTTTTCATCCATATCGGTCATTTATCTTTTTTACAATCATTGCTACTGGATATAGATCATGATGAGATTAGTTTTATGTTATGTAATCGAGATGCAAGTATCCGATTAACAAATTGGTCATCATCGGCGGAACAATTTCCACTTGTGATTACATGGATAAAATTCATTAGTAAGTACATTTTTTATTGCTTTTTTTCTTTTCAAAATAAAAACTAAATTTAAATTCACATAAACACACAGACCAATTACGACCGGTTTATATAGCCGACATAAAAACATTTGATGTATGGCTTAATGAAACCTATTCACTGTTGGATACATTGATCAATGAGACACCAACGATAACTACAACAAGTGATATGGATCAAAAAAATATTAGCAGCAAAGTGTTGGCACATGTTCGAAATGAATTCATTCTAGTCTGTTTGATTGATAATCGATTTGGCCATTCATCATCATCGTCATTTAGCCAGATATTCGCCCACCTTTTTTCAAGTGACTAAAAAATGAGACGTCATCATCACACCATTATTGTTATCAGGTTAATATGAATGGATGACATTCCAATTTTTGTTCCATTTTCAGCATAATCGATTTGTTTGTCAAATCAATTTTTAATGATTTAAACCATTGATCGATTCTTGATTGAAAAATATGGACAAATTTATTGGGTACAGTAAAAGAATAAATAACGTATGATTCATTCGTTTGGACATTCATCATTCGGATCGTATAATTACGTAACATTTGATTGGCAAGACAATTACCATTATTCATTGTACGATTACAATAGATGATTGGATAACCAAGTAGAATGCCCGTTATTGCACATAGATCCCAATAATGGCTACTTGAATCTTGTAACAAGTGATTGCCAATATGAATAATAACACATGGTTCATCATTATTTCGCTTGTTAACATTATTTTGGCTGACAAAAACAAGTTGATCACGAATGTGTAGGAGGCAATATTTTAGGCTATGCATTACATTTTCCTCTTCCTTGTTCTCGACGTTGTTGTCATCATTTTGGTGTTGAATAATTTTAGGCTCATTCAATACAGCTGAAACGTCGATCAAATATGTATAAAGTGGATGATGAAAGACGTCTTTATTATTATGGTGATGGTGACAATCGGATGCATGATTATTGTAGCCATGAATCCAAATGTCGAGTTGAATTAATGTTAAATTAATGTTCTCGATCATGTGTCGAATGTTGCCATAGAATATAACAGGCATTGTTGTTTGTTCATCATCATCATTACTGTTAGATGGTGAATGTTGTAGTGATAATTTTACTACATTCAATGAATGGCCATTGTCACCAATCATAATGGGCCAACTAACACCACCAAATGAAGTAGGGCGACAATCTATATTTATCTCATCAAGTATACGGTAGATTTGATGACAATTTTCCTCCGACAAATCCCAAATATATGATGCTTTTAAACCCAAACGAACGGTTAATATTTCCAACCATAAACGTTTCCGATGTTTCTGTGCTTGTTTATACTTATTATTATTATTGCGGGATTGCCATTCCATATTGAGAAATCACCGAATGATCAAAATATTTCAACAAGAATGATCAACTAGAATCATCAAGGACCAATGGAAATATTTCATAATCATTGATGCGTAGTACAGGTAAAATAAAGAGTAGTTGCTCTAATTTTGCTGATGATTAAATTGAATATAATGATAATGATAATAATTCGATTTATGATTCATAACGACGACCATAAATGAAAAATCGACCTTCGACTTTAGTAACAAAATTATATATTATATATCGACAAACAAACACAAACAAAGGGCTTGTTATGGCCCTGTCATCTGTCATGGAAAATAAATCTAATTTTTCAAAGAACAAGAAAAAACAAATTGAGTTAATGATCTTCAAGTCATCATCAATGATGCTAAAACATGTTTATTGACCAATCCGTAGCTGATAATTTATCCAATTAATTAACGACACGTTCTATATGAACGGCATTGAAAAAAAGTGAAAGCAAGAAAAACCGTTGTCTGTTGTTGTTGTTTTTGGCATCGCATTTGCAAACATTGAATATAAAAAGTTCGTTGTCTCTCTCTTAGTCAGTATTTCAAGCAAAAAAAAAAATGTTTGCCCATGTTGGGAACCACTCTTTAGCCAAATTTGGATGATATGACTTTATTATTACACATTCACATCATTCATTCATTCACACACACACAAACGAAATTAAATACATTGGCCTCTCACCACCATTTGAATCACATTCAACTCTAATTCTGCATATATAACAAATTAATGTTTTTGTTGTTATTGTCAACAAATAAATTATTTTGAAAAAAAGTTATCCATTTTTTGTTACTAAAATCATCATCACGTTATATTGTGTGTTTGGTCTGTATTACAATTTTTTTTTGCTATTTATTTTCACTCATTAACCAATTGCTCGCCAATCGCCATTATGATTTTATATTTCGACATTTTCTTCATTCAAGCATTTTCTACGTCTTCCATACGGAAAAAGTGATTTCTTTCATTCACCACCTATATGAAATTGAAGAAAATTTGCAGCCATAAAAAAAGAATTAATATTTATTCATGTGTCTGGCTGGTGAGATGTTCTAGTTTTACATATACTACAACAACCAGTCATACAATCGACGAGAAAAATTGTGACAAAAAAAATGTGATTTCATCATGATGACCGCAAAACAAAAAAACTGATTTTGTTACCAAAAAAAAAATTTATGTTAATTTAAATGCTTGCAGCTACTACATTATTATCGTTTTTGTTGTTGACATGTGAAAAATTAATCAAAAATATATAGACAAACAATATGGAGTCATTGGATGAATTTCAGATACTTGAATCAATGATTCAAAAGGTAAGTCATGTTGTTTCCATGAGAATTGAATTTTAATTCGAAAAAGAATCAATCCAATCCAAAGTCAGAAGAATCATTGAAGCGAAATAAAAAGGCGCCACCATCGCCTGATACGAAATCAAAAATTGAACCAAATCTTGATGATTCGAGACAACAAATGGAATTGTTACAGAATATCATATCGAATGAATTGGCTAATCACGAAGAATTGAATGATCGAAATAGACTAATAAAAACGCTTTGCACACGATTACATCAAGCATTACAGAATAATGAAGAGATACGAAAATCGGAAATGGCCATCACGCAGCAACTACAAGATATGAAACATGAAATGCAACAATTCTCAACAATGATGTTGACAACGACGACGACAAAATCCAGAGCAGCAACAATAAACACAAATTCTTCCAACATAAGCGTTGACAATAAAAATGATGATGCAGAAGAATCATCATTGGAATTATGTCGAAAACAAATTCTAAACCAAAGTAGTTTTCTAAGTCAAATTGATTACAATCATATCGATATGTCCAATTCGGCTTTTGATTGTGATAAAATCTCGAATCATAATCATCATCATCATCATCATGATAATGATCAACAACAACAACAACCAAATGTACAGATGTTGATCGATCAGATTCGAATGTTGGAGAAAAAAATTGAAATGGAACGTCATTCATATCTGGAAGAGAATGAACGTTTAAATATTGTTATTGATGAGAAACAAAAATTAATTGATGATTTATTGCTCAACAGTGATGAACAGATGCCCATGTTAATGAATAAAAAAATATGTGATGTAGTTGTCGATCCAAATAATCCATTACAAGGGTAAGTTTGTTTTTTTCGTAATTTTTTTTCACACATTACATATTCATGGAGAAACGCCGATAGTTGATGAGAGTAGGCGTGAAAGAGAGAGAGAGAGAGAGAGAGAGAGAGAGAGAGAGAGAGAGAGAGAGAAAATGTGAATAATTTTTTTCCCCTTTTTGATAAAAACAACAAATTAGTAGCCTCTACGATTGGCATATCGAAGAGGAAGATGTCAACGAAGATTTAATTGACGATCCAATCGATGTTCACATTGATCACGATGATAATATTCGTCGACTGGAAATGTCGAGCAATTCGTAAGTTTTACGCACTCACCCTTCCGGTGTATGGTCTGATTATTGATTGGAATTTTTTGCTGAATGGAATGGCTGTATGAATGATGATTAACCGCTTTTGGCTGATAATTTTTGCATTGACTCATGCTGTAATTTCATTTGATTAATAAATGTTTTTGTTTGTTACAACCAATAGATACAATCGACAGACCGACAATCGATTATTAGTAGTGCTATCTGATTTGGTTAAAACATTTTTGGACACAGAAAACGATATACAAAAACAGCTGGAAACGTTGGGCTTGGAATCGAAAAATGGCCAAGGTAAATGTTCACCAATGAAAAATGGTCATGCCGATGATTCCCTGGATCGTGGTTTTCCTTCACTTGAACCTGATCAACCGGAAAGATTGCTTATGTCGACCACTAGTGAGATTGCTACATTTGATTTACTTTGTGAAGATGGACCAGATCTTACCACACCATCTGAATTGATCTATAGTAATCCGTTAAGTTGTTCAACTACGATCGCCGGTTCTGGTTCGACAGCTATTGTTAATGGCACACAATCGAATGATATCGAAGATGATGTTGTACTTGGTGCCAGTCGTCGATTACGTTTAGCCGTTGAACGTGTTCTAAAAATTCTTGCCGATACGTTGGAACGGCAGAAACAGGATTTCGAAGAATTAAGGCGACAAAAAGACGAATTACTGATGGAATTTCAGGAAGAATGTCAACGTAGTGATAAATTAACTCGTCAGTTAATGGAAAAAGAACAGTTGGTGAAAACGTTGGAAAATGAAAAGAAAATTCTCAACGATCAATTGATTGATTTTAATGAAATGAAATTACAACAGCAGTGTTTACGCGACAAATTGGAAGAATTTGAACGTGAACGTGATCGATTTGTAACGGATAATAAACGTTTTGAAATGGAACGAAAATCATTCGATAAAGGACTACCTCAACTACATCAGAGTAAGTCATTATTGGATCATTGTCATCCATCGATTCACATTATTATGCATGCTTGTTTCCTATGTTTTTCATGTGGGGTGGTATGATGTTTATAACAAAAAAAAATTCTTCACCATTATTTGGATACTTGTGGACCTTTTGATTAATCTATCCATTCCTATCGAACTGTGAACCTACAAACTTTTTATCCAAACTTTTCAATTGACCCACTCATTCATTTTGAAACCCTACAGAAAAAGGTATCACATTTAGTTTATGTTGCCTAGTTCATCTAGCATCTTTTAGTCTTAGTGTTGGTTTCATAATCTTAATAACTAATTGTCATTTTTTTTTGTTTGTTCAAATAGAATTATTAAATGAAAATGAGACACTTAGTCGTGATATTCGAAATTTACAACAAGAGAAAAAGAACCTCTTGTCAAGGATCAACAATCTAACTGCCGAGATGGAAGGTATTCGTTCGGAAAAGGAGCTGATTGATGAAAACAAGAATGCTGAATTTGAAGAATTACTATCACAGCTTGATGCTAAAGAAAAGAATCTAAATTCATTGAAACGTTTCATTGATGAACAAACACAAGAACGTGAAATGGAACGTGATGAATTCAACAAAGAAGTCACCGGATTAAAAGATAAACTGAAAGATATGGAAAAATTGGAAAATAAATTGCGATCACAGTTACGATCGATAGAAAATCAAATGGCGATGCTGACCGATGATGGCAAACAACGTGATGAACAAATCGATGAATTAAATAAAACGATTAAAAATCTGAATCAAAAGTTATCTGAATCAAATTCAACAAAACGCCATCTGGAAGGTGAAGTTGAACGAAATAATCGAATTGAAAAGGATCTACGATCCCGGCTGAAAAAATTATCCACCGTATTGCAAGTCAGATTGAACGATGAAACCAATTGGAATGAAGTGATTGCCGCTATCGATCAATTTGTCTTGGCTAAATCATTGCAATCATCGACAGTATCACCACCGGCCGTAAAAGTTTTTGGTCTTCGAAAATCGCAACAAAAAACTGCCACATTGGATGATAATGATTTAGACAATTCCATATTTACAACAATCAAATTGATGGATGATAGGATCAAAGATCTGAATACGAATGTTGAATCATTACAAATGACAAATGATCAGATGAAAAATGATTTACAAGCGAAAATGGAACTGATTGATCGATTGGAACAGCTAAAACCAAAGGTCGAGAGTTTGGAACGGAATATACAAGAGCTAAACAAAACGAATGAACTGCTGCAACAGGAAATCAATGCTAGCCATATGAAATGTTCAGAATTGAAAGTAAAATTAGATTCATCAGTCGATATACAGGAATTCAAACATATCGTACAAGAATTACAAGCTAAATTGAATGCCGAAAAACGACAGACTGAATCGGTGGCAATGAAATTAGAACAAGCGAATCGTCATGTCAATGATTTGACGGAAAAATTGGATGCTTATAAGAAGGAAATCCGTTCGTTTAAAGAATTGCTTAAATCTCATGATCATTGTAATACGAACAATAATAATGTGGATAATAATAACAGGAGAGCGCCGGATAAATCATTCGATCGTCGAAATTCAAAAGATTTGGCCCTAGAAATGGCCAAAATTAATGATCAGCTTGAGATGAAAGATAAGACCATCTCAATGTTGGAAAATAATATTGAAATTTTTAAAGCCAAACTGGAAACCACGCAACAAGAACGTGATATTTATCATGAACGACTTAAATCGGCTGATGATTCGAGAAACAAAATCACTATTTACGAAAAGAATATGGAAAAATTACGGCTGCAGAATAAAATATCAGCCGATAAAATTACTTATCTAGAATTGGAGATTCAAAATCTTCGGAAAAAGATTGAATTATTGGAAAAGGAAAATGATCAACTTAAAATGGAAAATCAGAAATTGATTCGACAAAAACAGGAAATGAATGCAGCAGCTATGTTTACAGCTGCCGTTGATTATGTCGATACGGCTACCGAACAAGATTTAGTCATTACCACCAATAATAATAGCCAACATCTGAATGGATTCGAAAAAATGAATCATATTAGCTCAAATAATCTTTTGATGTTAAAAGTTCGCCGTCTATTAACACAGAAAGGTGCATTGATTTATCAGAAAAATTATCTCATCCATGTGTTAAGTAGCTATCAACGTACCGAGAATGATACGCTTGCATTGTTGGCCAATTTCAATAATTCCAGAGGTAAGTCTCATTACTCAATCTTATTGTACAAAAAAATATAATCTTTGATTACACCGATAGATGCCGATGAAGACGATGAACACGGTAATCGAATGCGTGGTAAATCTCGTTTCCGTTCAGTGGTATATGCATTGATTGCTATAAGTCGAATGCAATTCATGGTAAACGTTTGGCAATGTCGTAAACGACAATTATTGTTTCATAAAACTGCCAATTCGATAGCTGCATTACAGAATGTTCCTTTACCACCACGACAAACAACAAAAGATGGTAAAGGCCATTTGTCATCATCATCATCATCATCATCATCTGTACATACAAGTCCATCACGACATCATGCTATTATCAATGTATCAAAACAGGTCAACAACCATCCAGCAATCAATTCGACACTCAAAGATTATGTTGATCGATTACATGTAGTACATGAAACATTGGGCCTTTATACCAACAAACGTTTATAAAAAAATAATGAATTTGTTTGTTTTCAATATTATTTATTGTATTTTTAAAAAAAAATCATCCAAAAGAGAAAATTAAATTTTTTTTTTACTCATTAAGAATTTTTTTTTTGCATTCTTTTCATCGTTTCACAAATGAAATAATAAAATGAAGGAGAGACAAAGTTAATATGTAAACAGAGTGAACAGCAGATACTGTATGTTTTTACAGAAGGCGGTTGTTTTTTTTCATTTCATTGTTTTTTGTAGATTGATCCAAAAAAACAATTTGGTTCATCTAACATTGAATTTTTTCTCCAATGTTGTCTGTATAATGTTAACCATTTCATGTTTCACATCATTCGGTACCAGATCTTTGGCTTTAGGCGTTATACGTTCAACAAATGCATCGACAGTGATGTTATCAACACCTATTTCGGACAATAATTCACGGCAACAAATTGTGACTTTGTGTTGCCAATCACATGCTTTTAATTTATCATTGAGAATTTGTACTAAACGATCACGTTCACCCGATTCGACCAGATAGCGATGAGCATCACGACGAAATTTCGTTTCTTCATCTTCAATATTTTCAACGTTCATTTTGTATTTGAATTGAATGTCGTTAACAAATTTAAATGCCGGCTTTTAATTCAAGAATTAAAGGATGAAAATTTACAAATTGAAAAATTTTTTTTTTGACAAGTTTGCAGCACATGGATTGTTCATAAATGACAGATTGTCTGTTAGGAAAAATTATTGTTTATTTAGACATGCGTCTGCAGCGCGCTCAATTTATATACATACACACAGAAAAAAGTGAGGTATGTGAACTTGCAGGGTAAACATTGAGCATGATTAACTATTTTACAACACATGTCATGTCATTTATGAATAGTAGAATCGAATATCCGTTTTTTTATTGTATACAATAGCCATTCATCATAGTGGACACCCATCCATCCACTCAATTATCCATCATCATCAGTCATCATCATTCATAATTCAATTCAAATCTTTTTTTACAAAAAAAAGAAGAAATTATGGACAATTGAATTTCAATCAGATTTTTCTTCATATTCAAAGACAATAGAAATGAAATGGTGAATGAAAAAGGGTCACCATATATATCTATAGATAGAAAGCGATTTACGTTCCTATTTGTTTGGTTCAATTCAATCAATTTTATTTTATTTTTTCTTGAATTCAAAAATCAAAATTCAATTCATCATGACACATTCATCATCATCACTGTAGCCAAACAACAACGGTAGCAATTGTAACAACCGAGAAAAAAATTAATCGAATCGATCATCGCCCATTATCATCATCATCGTCGTCAATCGATATAAAAATCAAAAAAAAACTGTATGAAAAAAATTCTCATTTGAAAAAAAACGTCTAACAATTTTTTTTTTTACTGATGATGAACAATAACAACAACAACGTTTTTACAAGATAATATCAAATCAAAATAGTAGTCGTAGATTGAAAAGAAAATCGGATCAATCAGTCATTCACTTGATCGATTGATTGATCAAATGGATGAATGGTGAATAGACATTTTGTTTGACAATAATGAAGAGTGCTATTCTTTTCATATATTTAGTTTTTTTTCCAACAAAATAACAGGTTGATAAAATCGTGTATGAAAGAAACGAAAAAATAAAAAAATCCAGAAGCTTAAATGCTTTGTGTGGATCTTGTGATCAACGAATATCTTTTGACGATGATGATGATGATGATGATGGGAATGAACCACAGATATCGCGCGATGAGATTATAACCAAGAAGAAAACAATTGATCGAATCTTTTTTTTCAAACATTGATAGTTCAAAACATCCAACACACACACACACATTCATTTATCAAATTTCATCTCAATTTATTTTATTTTATCAAGAAATGAAAACAAAATTCAATGATCAAATCAACATAGATCAAAAAAAAAGAAACAAGATTTTCTTTTTTAAAAAAACAAACAAAAACCACCACATTCATTAGAAAAAAAAATTCGTATCATGTTATTCATGTCATACATGTGTGTTGAATGTCAATTTTTTTTTATAATTCACAATCTCTATACATTAGCATGATGATAATGATCATCATCATCATCATTAATGATTTCAAAAACGAAATATTTTGTTGATAGGATAATTATCAACATCATAATCATCAACATCGAAAACAACATCAATGATCATCATCATCATCATCATTACAATTAATATGCATAAAAGTATTTTTGTTTCATATATCAAAGTGGATCATCATCATCATCATCATTACCAAGAAAAAAAATTCCCATCAGAAAGAAGAAGATATCCATAACCAGATTAGCTAATCTAACAACAACAGTAATTCAGGCTATAAGCCTCAAGTCGAAATTATAATGAAGTAAGGCATAGGAAAATAGAAAAAAAATCACCAATTTTTTTTATACCAAATGTAAGATAGATAGATAGATAGAATGAATGGATTTAAAAAAAGATTTCATCATTCATAAGTGTTGTCCACAGTTCATTTTGAACGTTTTTTTTTTTGACTATCAAGATTTTTATTTTAGTTTGTGTAAGTTTAATTTTTTCAATTTTTGGTGTGGTGGTGATGATGATGTATTTGTTGTTGAATTGCAAATCACATATATATCTGTTTTTAAAATTTGAATAATAATGGTAATGAGAAAGAGTAATTTGTGAATTGAAAAACAATAAGGTGTGTGTGTGTGTTATTTTGTTTGTAGGCGTTTTTTTGTAGTAGATTCATCAACCATTTATCAATGGTTTTTATGGCCATTTTTTGATTTTTGTTGTTGTTGCTGCTGTTGTTTGTTTTTTTGAAGAAAATCCTTTGCTTTCATTATGTTATTGTCGCCATTATAATCGAACATATGTCCATTATTATTTGGAGGGGTGTTATTTGATGAAGCTTCTTGTTTTTGTCGCTGTGTTTTATTTATCTTTTTTTTCACATTTTTTTGTTTATCATTATAATTATCATCCGAAGACGACGACGAAGATGATGATTCTCTTGATCCTGATGAATTAGTTCGATTTTTCGTCTTGCCATTTTGATGATCGTTTGATGAATTTTGTTTATTGTCATCATCATTATTATATTTGATTTGTCGATGACACATTGGAATATATTTGACTTTGGTCATAAACCATCTTGTACGGACTAGACGTTCAATATAACCGTGACGATTAGCATCGGATAGAAATTCATCAAGAATTTCTCTTGAATCAAATCGATACCATTTAGGTTTTAATGGTTGTGTTTGTTGATATTGTTGCATTGGTTGAGAATCCAATGGTTTTTTTAGAAATTCTATTTTTAATAAATTTTTCTTCAAAATTTTTTCCGGATCTTTTACATGTGAATGATGATGTTGTGTCGATGGAACATGTAAATGTTTTGTATTATTTAATCGTAAATTCGGTGACGCTGGAGCTGAATTTGAAACATTTGTTGTTGGTGGTGGTCGAATCTGTATCTGAGAATGATGTAAATCTTTTAGCGATTCCGAATCACCACCACCACCAGTAGAATCGACATTTTTCTTCTTTTTTATTGGCCGTGATAACTTTTTCGGTACTAATTCACGAATTTCATCCCAACGCCATTGGCATATGATTGATTTCATCTGATATGTAACCGTTATCCATTCCGGTTCAGGAACAAGAAAACAAGGTTCTTCCAGATCTTCGAATGCACGATATTGACGAATCATTTTTAGTGGTCGTTGTTGTTGACGTTTATTTGTTTATCATTCAACTTATTTCATTGATGTAGAATGTATCACGAATATATGTCAATTCACAATGAACAAATAACAGAACAATAATCAACAGAACAAAAAAAACTACAATAATCCAAGAGATAGTAACGAACACTCTGGATCGGTAGAGAGAAGCATAAATAAAATGATTATGATTTTCTCTGATTTTCGAAAGTCGGGTCATACACCATACACACAGGCCATATATAATGTGGTTGCTGTTGTTGTTGTTGTTGTATGGTCTAAATTTAGAATTTGATATGAGCTTCTTTTTTTCGTTGTTTCTTCTCTTCAATAAATTTATTTCTAGTTGAATAAATTTTTAGTTGTCGTCGTTGGTTGGTTAGTTGTCGGTTGCCGAAGAAACGATGATGATGATCATGATTGTCCGTCGGTTTTGGATTGAATTCAAACCGTATGTTTTTTTTCTATTTGACAATCACAAATATAATCAAAGCAAGTCAAACGACAGTTATATGATGAGAAAGTGGAGAGAGGATCGGTAATTTCGAATGTTCAATTGGCCAGTTTCAATCTATCCATCTGTCTGTCCATGTTTTTTTTTTGCTGGTTATTCTGGCTATATAAATTTAGCTCGTTTGCTAGACGCACATAATGAATGTTTTATTAAATCGGATTATTATCCTTGTTTTAGTAGTAGCAGTAGTAGTAGTAGTGGTTAAACACGCACAGTTTTTTTGATAAATTTCTTTGTTTGAATAAATCGATGCTACTACTACTACTATTTGTAAACTATACATGTACCACTATTTTTATGGTTTGAAAAAAATGAAAAATGAGAATTTGATAAATCGAAAATTTTTTATATTGAAAAAAGAACAAAAAAAAATCGAAAAATTAACAACAATAAGGCAAAATAAAAAACGACGATAATTCTTAAAGTTATCATCAATCGTTATTGGTTATTAAATTAAATATAATTATTATTTATCATTGTGATTCGTAATGTTGGAATGTGATTGTAATTTTGATTTCAATTCACTCGATACGGTGTGAAATGTTTTCGATGGATTTGATATTTTTTTCAATGTTGTACGACCCAATTTTGATAGATTTTTTGATTTTGTTGCCGAATTTTTATCATCGTCAACAGCTTCGATCGATCGACAATTGTTGCTGGATAAATCATTAGTTGATGTTCGTAATGATGGACCACCATCACTAGTAATCGATTCTGAACTTTCATTAATACTTTTACCATCATCATTATCATCATCATCATTGACCTGTACACCGTCATCACCGTTTTGTTGATGTTTTTTATGTTGTTTAAGTTTGGTCTTGATTTTTTTGTTCAACTTTTTCAATTTATGAAATGGTTTCAGATGATAATTTTTACCATTAGTTTTACTATCATTCATTGCAATTTCATTGGATTGTGATTTTCGTAGGCCGCCGCCAACTTTACCAATCATATTCTGATATTCTTCAATTTCTCTGTGTATGAGGAAAAAATTCAAATCAGAAAAAGAAAATAAAAACTAACATTTACGAACTTACTTATTTTCATCTTGAATCATATTCTCAATGATATCATTACGTTCATCGATAATTTCCATCATTTTCTTTAATAAACGTTGTTCTTCATCACAATCATCAGTCGTTTTTTGTGCATCCTGTTTTGACATTATAACACGTAGCTGATATTCCAATTCTAATTGTGTTTCTTCTAGTTTAAGTTCACGTTTCCTGTGAATAACAACAAAAATCACATTTTAATAATACAATGAACAAACCATGTATGCGGGGCAAATGTAACTCACATGTACATCAATTCTTTTTGCTTACGACAAAGTTTACATTTTTCTCTTGCCAATTCTAAAAATCGTTCCAATTTCTGATCATATTCTATTATTTTTGCATTTTTATCCATTGGATCTTGTTGTTGCTGTTGCTGCTGTGGTTCTTCGGTTTTCAATGATTCTAATAGCCATTGTTCAAGTTGAGCTCGTTCCATTTCGATAACGGGTAATTGATCACCAATTTCATTCAATTCTTTATCCATATCTTCGGTTGAAGTTTTTAATTCACGTTTGAATGCCGGCCTTGGTGGTGCTGGTCGTTTTTTATTTTTAATCGCTTTCAATTGTGCTTGTACCGAATTTGTACTATCACCATTACCTGTAGCCGCTGTACCACAAGAATCAATCAATATATTATTCGTCGATGAAATGGAAGATTTTTGGCTATCATCATCTTGATGATTTGAATGAATTTTACTTCGCCTTGGCACAGGTGTTGGTGTTCGCGTATCCGAATGTATACTATGTCGACTACCAAAAGAAACATTCGATCCTGTATCGAAATCAACATTCGATGATGATGCATTTGATATGAATGAATCATACATTTGTGAGGATTCCGATTGTGTGATCGGTTTATCTGTTGCCATAGATATTTGATCCAATGATTGATTGGATTTATTCGACAATGATGATGGTGGCAATGGTGCTGGCCGTTTTTTTCGTTTCGATGTTGGTGTTGGTGATGGCTTCAATGATGATCGTCGTTGTTCTGGTGAATGATGATTTAAAATTTTTGATTTAACAATTGGTTCTTCATCTTCATCATCTGATCCGAATGGATTTAATGAACTAGAATTTTGTTTGGAAATTTCAACTTTGCAACTATCAATATCATCACCAAATGGATTTAGATCGGCCGGATAATGTTCAATTTTAATCACAGTTTTGAGTCCAGATGGTTCATGAATTTCTACAACATTCGTATCATCGTCATCATCATCATCACCAAAAGGATTAAGATCATCTGGATAATCTTTTGTCTTATTTGTGGATGATGATGACATTTTTTCAGATTGTATTTCAATTGGTTGTTCAATTTTGTTAATCGACAAACATTTTGATTTTCGTTCTCTTGGTTTTGGAATTTCAACAATTTTCTCCACTGTAGAAGACGTTTCTTCATTTTTAATTTTCTCATCAATTTCCAACATTTGTGGTACTTCGAAATTATCATTATTGTTGACTGATTTGAGATCATCCACCACTACGTTCATCGTATTATTATTTGCACAATTTATCGAATCATGTTCAGATCGATCATCATCAACAGATGGTAATGAATCTAGCTCGATTTGATCCAATGTTTGTATCAAAGATTCAATTTTTTCACATTCCAAATCTAGATTAACGAATTTTTCTCCATCATCATCATTTTCAAGTTCGATTTGAACATTCTTACCATCAACAATTTCGTCATTTTTATCAATTCTACAGGAAAAAAAATCAATTATTAATTTCATTTGATCCATAAAATAGTAAAAAAAAACTTACTTGCACTCATACTCAACATTCATTTTAGATGATGAAGAAGAATCCTTTTCCGCTATCGGTTGTACATTATTATTATTATCATTATCATCATCCATTTTCTCATTCACCGTCAATGGTTGCTGTTTTTGTTGTTGGTCATCAATGTCATTGTTAATGGCCGACATGTTAGATTTTTCGTTTGTAATTATCATGGTATGATTCATCATCATCATTATCAATATATGAAACTTCACGGGTGGATAGCTGATTACACAAACACACACACACACCAAATTATGATCACTCAGGCATCGAAGGAGGCACGTATATAGTAGTTTAAATAAAATTTTCTTTTTTTTCGCTTTAGTGATTAATAATAGAAATGATTTTTGAAGTGGATAAATAACAAATAAATAAAAAAACAAAATTCCAGGTATCACAGGTAACACACACACACTCACACAAACTCAGCTATGGCAGGTACAAAGGCGATCGATGGTTATAATGAACTGATTAAACCAAAAAAAAAAAAAAAAATAATAATAATGAGGTGGATTCACAGAGAAAGAATATCATCAAATAGAAAAAAATATTTTTGTCGTCGTTATTATTATTGTTCTGGATGTGATTTTGCTGTAGGAAAATTAGTGTTTAAAAAAAACCCAAGATAAAAACAACAGACATCAATGTGGTTGTCAATCAAAAGGGCGTCATTTATTTATTCATTCATTAAATTAATATCATTTTTTTTCTTTAGTGGTTGATTAATGGTTAATATCAGCTGATTGATTGTTGAGAAAAAATTGCTAAATCATAAAAAACCCTGTTTAGAATAATAATAAAAAAAAATATATAATTCAAATTCGAATTGCACTTAAATTTTGAATCGTTTTTTTTTTGTTTTGTTTTTCACGTTTCACATTATCATTGGTTTTTTTTGTAGTCGTCACCATCATCATCAATAATAATGGATAATAATAATCGTTGACATCATCATCATTACATCGTTGACTTGAATTGAGCATACGGATATGAGAACAAAACAAAACGAATAATAAAAAAAAGAGAACAAATCATGATGAGAATTGAAAAGAGACAATTGTTCCCATAGGTGATGATGTTAATGGTGAAAGGTAAACTCTACTCTATTTGATTTGTCAAAAAACACACGCATACACACATTTCCTGTGTGTGTGTGTGTGTGGTTTTGTATATCAAAATAATGGTAAATTGGATTGTGCGTCATATCATATCATCACCATCAAATTAAATTTTTGATGGCTCATATATTTATTGTATTGTATTGTTTGTTGTCAATACGTTGTTGCGTGTAACGGAGAAAGATTTAGAAAAATATATGACAAAAAGTTTGATCGATCACAACTAGATGGCAAGATTGTTGATTTCAAATTTTTTTTTTCACATTTTTAAAATTATTTAACAATTTTCTTTTGGTTGTTTTTCCCATTAAATAATTATAATAATTAATTATTAAATGAATTGATTCAAATCAAAATAATGATTTTGTATAATTTTAAATTCATATAGGCAAAATATAATTGTCTCGTTTTAAATATGTATGTGTTTGTGTTGTTAATAATCAGAACATATTTTGCTGTTTATAAAATATATTATATTATTATATAATTATTCAAGACCAAAAACATAATTAACACCTTGTACGGCAAACAATATAAGTGGCTGCCATGCAATCAGATAACGTATGAAATCCAATAGATTTCCATAAAGATAATGTGGTTTCTGAAATGGTAATGATGAGAATAATTTGTTGAGATCAACTTTTTCACGACAGAATGGACATAGTTGTTTTTTACCAACTAAGCACCAACCAAATATACAATATTGATGGTATGTATGGCCACATGTTAATGTATATGTTTTTTCCTGTAATGATGGATCAATTGTTGAATTATTGTTATTACTACCATTGAAACAGTTAATATTATTTAGATCGGATAAAGAAGGATCCATATCGTGTGCCAACAGACTTGATCGAAGATCTGTATCATGATGATGACTATTGATTGACATTGATGTACGATGTATACCACCATGTGGACGGCCACATATTGCACATGTTTTTGAATTTAATTGTTTACTAGGCAATGATGATGATGGTGAATAATAGCCAATATTTGCAGCTAATATATCGACAAGAAAATCGGTAAAATCTCTTGTTAGGACACCATAATAGATACCATAGAATAATAATAATATTCCAATATCTAATGTATACATTGGTTTTATGCCCAACAAAATATTGACACCCAATAATGTTAACATTATAATCGTATAGCCAGTAACAGCAATCACTGATGATATTGAATATAAATAAAAGAACCAACGATATACTTGTCGTGGAATGGATGAACCATTAGAGTTTAGATTCTTATAGAATAATGGTCGAAATATTAATAACATTGTCATCATTGAAATGAATAACCAAACGATAACGAAACGCCAATAATGATGATAGGCTGATACAAATATTGGTATGATCCACATTCCTAAAAATAATTAAAATAAAAATAAATGAATGAATCAATTAAATACAAAATTAATACAAACCAAACATTGAAACATTTTGATATGATTTAAAATGTTTTTTACGCCAATAGATGAGTATGATCTGTGCAATAAACATTGCTACAATCAATATCAGTAACATGATAGCATGCATTGATTCATGGCCCCGATGTTTTTCATGCATAAGTAAATGTTCTTGTTGACTTTTCGGTAATGAACTAATGTTCACTTTGGTTATATCGATTCCATGATAAATATGTGGACCATCATCATTCATATGATGACCTCCGTCATGATGGCCATCATCATGTTCTAAATTCATTGTTCAATTATTCTTTTTGTTGTTGTTGTTATTTTGTTTGAGAAGATCCACAAATCAAAAAGAAACTACGATGACTATGTTGAGTTTTATCAAATAAAAATATAATTTAAACGATATCAATATTCACCACCACTACCATCGATTGATTGATTCAGATAATAAATGCTATAACATAATTTTTTGTAAATTATTATTATAATAATAATGATGAATTAAATTCTAAACGACAAGAAATATTCCAAACAAAAAAAAACAACAAATCGACGGCGGTAATCAAAAGACCACGCAAACATTTGTGAGAATAATTTTTTTTGGAAAAAAATTCACCACAAACAAATGGATAATTGAGAAAATTTCTGGGAAAGAAAAATTCAATTTCTATTTAGATTATCAGGTGGCGGCAGTGGCAGAGTGTGTGTGTTTGTGTGTGCACATTTTTTCTCTGATTTAGTAAATCCGTTTTTTTTTCGCGAAAAGAATTTACATTGAAATTCGATGACAAAAAAAATGTGCAAAAAACAGAATTTAAATTCAAATTCACATTTAAATTTCAAATCGAACAAACAAACAAATAAAAAACAATGGAAATTGGTTCAACAAAATCGTAGCAATGTGTTTGCGTGTATGAAATCGATTCTGATTAGTATCAGTGATTATTACTACGATCATCATCATCATCATCATCAATGATATTATCATCATAATAAAGTCTTGAAAAATCGATTGTCAAAGCAACAGAAAAAAACTATTTTTTGTTGTTGTTGTTGTTGTTTTTTCCTGAAAATAAATCCTCACATATATATCAATGGTATGAAATTTTTTTTTTTAAAAAATTGAATCATCAACGATTTCGTTCCATTCTTTGGTAAGTTATGATGATGATGATGAACATCAGGATGGGGTAAGTAAGTAAGTAAGTTAGTAGAAATGAAAACTTTTTTTTCATACCATTATATAACTGATATATATATAAATAGCTAATAATGTGTATATACACACAATGAACATTACTGCTGTTTTATTTTATTTTTTTATTTTTCTTTCACATACACACACACACACACACACAAAAAAAACACCAGAGCTATTCAATGCAGAATTTCCTGTGTATATATGTGTGTGTATGTGTGTGAAAATATTCATCCTGTCTTTTATTATCATCATCACTGATGATGATGATGATGATAATAGCGGCAAAAACTTATGGGTAACACATACACACAAAATTTGAATGTATTAAATGTATGAATCAAATATGAATACTTTTCCAATGTGTATATCTATCTATCTATCTATATGATATGATGATTGGTGATGAATGAAAAGTTTATTTCTCAAAAAAAATATCATATTCAATGTGTTGATGATTCAATGATGATGATGATGATTATGATGACTACGATGATCATCATCGAATCATTGAATCAATCACATATCGATTTTTTTTCACAAAAATCGAAATATCATGACAATATTGAAACGATAATCGATAACAAAGAGGAATAAGAAGAAAAGAAACAAAACTTTTTGATGTCGTTATCATGTTGTGTTGCGAAGAATTTTTCTCTTTTTTTCTCTCCATTCTCATCCGGTTTTTTTTTACTTAGCATAAACATTTTCAAATTTTCTTCTGAAAGAAAGAAATTCTTAAATACTGACGATTCAAATTTTTTTCTTTTTTTTTCACCAAAAAATTACCGAGAAATTTTCTGCCATTTTCATTCATTATACACTTCATCAATCCAATAATGAACAATGTGTGTGTGTGTGTGTGTATCAAGATCACAAATCTACAAATGATAATGGCTGCTGATCGATAAATATATTAGATAATAATAACAAACAAGATATTCACATTAAAATCGATTAACCCCTCTACCTTCATTCCCCATTCGGGTAAAATTTGTGTAACCGCACATCAAACGTCCACAAACACACACACAAAACGGTAATAACAATAATTGCAATTGATATACACTTGATTAGATGATAATTGCTTTCTTTTTTTTTACTTTTTTCATAGATTGCTGTTGATTTTATGCATTTAAAGTAAACACATCACTTAGTTGTTGATTATTATCACAAATGATTTTTCAATCATTATGAATCGATTATGTATTAATGAATGAATGAATGAATGGATGAATGAAAAAGAACATGAATTTTCCATTTACTCAACATAAGAATATAAATAATAATTTGACAATAATTGGTGACTTAAAATGAGCAAAAAATTAGTTGATTGATTGATCGATTGACTAATTTATGTATTAATTTTAGATAAAATGTGTGAAAATATGTTGTGTTTGGTATATAATTTTAAATCCAAATTGAAAATGTGAAAAATATCATCATCATCATCATCATCATTATCGAATTAATTAGTAAAATAATACTAGAACTGGAACGACGAAAACATGTTGTTTTATTTGTTGTGAGAATGAAACAAAAAAAAACTTTTTACTCACAACAGATTTTTTTTTGCTCTTCTTTGTTGAAAAATTTTTTTCTGGTCAAAACTAAAAAAAAATTTATTTATTCAATATCCCAATTTTTCATGATTTCTCCAAGGATTTTTCTTTTCGAACCCAAGAAAGAATAAATTCAACTGACGACATTTTGTGAAAAAAATGTCGAATATATTTATTATTTGTGTATATATATATTAAACAAATTCTATTCGCGTATTTTCTATTTCATTCATTCATCGAATGGAATTTTAACCATTGAATCTCTCATTCTATTGTGTAAATGTGTGTGGATTTTGTAGTACACACAGTATATTTTATATGGAAAAAAGTTTTCTGATCCAAAGTTTTTTTTTCTCTCATTCTGTTACTGGATAAATCAAATCTCTCTTGCTTATTTTACCATCCGGTTATTGTTTTCCAACCATTGTTTATATGTATGCTATGTATGTATGTATGTACCAAAAGAGAGAAAAAAAAGTTTCCGAAACTAAATCCTGAAAATGAAATAATATAAAACAATAAGTAATCACAACTATCGCAAATGAATCAATGTGAATGTATGAATGGAATGCAAAAAAAAAAAGTTCAATTCCAGAATATCTAGTTCACAAAATCAACTTATACTTTAGTTGACTAATTTCCATTCAAACGAATGGCCAGAAAATTTTATTCATTCATTCAATCCATCCATTCATCCAATCGTATCGTATCGTATTGATTGATCCAATAGAATCTGTATGTTTAGTGTGAAAAAAGAAAATTTCAATATGCCTACATAGAATCAAGATTATATCCACAAGCAGTGTTCAGCAGAATATTCTCTTTTTCTATATATATCCAATGTGTTTATTAGTCCGCAATATCATCATCATCATCATCATCATTGATGAAATGAATGACTAAACGCGAAATAATAATAAATAAAAATATTGTTATTGAGTCAATATTTACATTTGATCCATCATTCTGATATGATATTTATATATAGAATCGAATTCATCTATTCATTGGAATTCAAATTCAATCTTATCGAATCAATATATTTCTACACATTCACACTATGAGTTTTTTCTAGAATTTGATGCCCATTTCAAAACTCAAAATGATGATGATGATGATGATTCTTGTCCTTTATTCAATGTGATTTGATTCATAAAATTCAATTTATCGTATATTTCACTATTCTTGTGTTTTTATTTTTTTTTCGATTTGATTTGATTACATTCGATTTTATTGCATCCAAATTTTCTGGTCGATAAAGATGATCTAATATTTGGTGATGGAGAAAAGAAAAAACATTCAAAGATCATTCATCCAATGATGATTATCATCATAGAAAACAATAGTAATGAAAGTGGATGGCAAATATAAAAGTCTTGCAAAAAAATATTCATCATTGAATGCAGCAGCAGCAGCAGCAGCAAAAAAAATATTAATGCCCCCTGTCAAGCTAATAATAATATTGGTTTTATTCATTCGGAATTTTATTTTATTTTATTTTTTCATAAGATATTCTCCTGAAATTCTGTTTCTGGATTATGTGGATTTCATACACACGCACACACATTCATTTACGGCTATTATTATTAGGCTAGTGTTTTTTTCCATCGGTTTTTTTTTGAAAAAAGAACGATAAAGAATAAGAAACGAATTCCTTTGAGAATGAATGAGTGATCCCAAAATTTCGTTTGTTATTTTCTGTGTGTGTGTGTGTGTCATACATTTTGTGTTCACAATTGGTTTTGTATGGTATATCGGTTATGTGTGTGTGTGTGTGTGTAAAGAAAAAGTGTCATAGTGACAAAAACTTACCGAAAAGAATCTTTCAACAACAATAACAAACGTTCTTTTGTTGTTGTTGTTGTTGTTGTAGTTGGATCCCCATCACACACACACACACACATACACATCTTCAGAATGATAGAATGCTCTGTTTAGTTGAATTATGGCTATCTAGGATAGATAGATAGATAAAGGATAGAAAACTTTATGATTTTCATCATAAAGCTATCACATTTTTTTCTGGTTGATGAAAATTTTTTTTTTTTTGTGATAATATGGTTTATACGATGTGGATGGATTTAAAGTGAAATGAACATTTTTTACGAAAAAGTTTTGTATGTTTTCAAAGAATAAAATTTTTCTTTTTTTTCCTTACACCAAAAACTTTTAAAATATTATGACCTTTCTATCCACATAAAAATGATGTTTCCAAAAAAAAGACCAGATGTGAAATCCTTCTTTTTTTTTTTTTTTTTTTTTTTAGATATCGATATTCACATTGGCCACCTTTTTTTTCACTTTCTCTCATATACCCACCAGTGAATGATCATAATGATGATGATTATTGAACAGGGTGCTTCACCTCCACCCCCCTCACACACACCTACCTACTTACCTACTATTATTATGATACATTATTGATTATGATTATTAACCAGTAATCTATGAAAATGATTGATAATTCAATTATTAATTGTTGTTGTTGTTGTTGTTGTGCAAAGAAATTAATAATTTAGAAAGTGAAAAAAATTCTCCATATTCTGTACCACTTACTATTACCACACAATATAGAGAATAAAAAATAGTGTTATTTATTGTTATTACTGAATTATGTTGATGATGGAAACCAATTCAGAATATGTGAATTTTGTGAATGTATGGATGCCATTGAACAACAGGGTTATACAATTGAATTTCACTTTACAATTCACGCAATCTATAGTAGTACTGAAAAAACCAGACACCATTTTGACTAGCACACATAAACAGAGAAAGCAAACACCATTTTTCCGATGATTGTTTGGTTACCGAATATAGAAAAAAAAAC